TCATATCTTGAACATTTCTTATTAATAGTTATATATTTACAAATGCAGCAATTGACCCCCTATTAGGGGAGGTCAATGCTAGTGTCTAGACGACTCGAAATCTTGCTGTTCATTTTAGGAGGAATAAATTATCTATTAAACTTGATCGTAATACTGGACCCAGAGATCGTTGTGTTGGTTGTACTGTCATAATGATATTGGGTAACACTCGTGTCCAGTCAGTCTGTACATAGCTTCAGGCCAAACTTAACCACATTACAGGCCTGACCAGTTACATTATCATTTCTACAGATATACCTTAATCTTTCTGCTTTCATTACTTTGATTGTTTAATCGAGATGTACTCGTGTTCTATGTGATTAATGTATGTCTACTACATGTATATGTAATGGCAGACATCTGTGCTGATTTTAACCAGTTTTATAATAGACACCGCCAAAAACATGTTAGTTACTGTGTAGGACAAATTCAAGTTGGTTTCACTGCATTTAATATCAAAATATAAAAACATGTTGTATTTTTAAGAGGAATTGAAAAATTTAGTGTGTCATTCGTCAAAGATTATTTCTCTTAAGAAGTTTTTTTTATAAAACTATGTTTCGTTATTAGAATATTCATTTGATCTTTACTTTGATGTATTAACTTGTTGACCCCTATTGCAGTCTTTAACAAAGTCTTGTTTAAAATGATATTTTGTCACATAAATCGTGTTTCTTGAACTTTAAAAGTCAGGTTTAATCTTAAATTAATACTGTTTTCACATATTTTGACCCATTCATTACAATATAATACATACAGCTTGCGATACTGTAAAGAAAAATAGGCGATGTGGTGGGGAGGGGCGCAGAGGTTATATATTTCCAGTTTCGTACAAATACTGCACCATTTGGCACCGAAACATAACTAAAGAATTATTAATTTTGTTTCGCATCATCTCCCTTATTTGCCAAATCCAGACGCTTTGAGTATACGATTCGTTTGGATTAAAGATTTTAAAAAGTATTTAAACCGATCATGAATAAAGATACACTTGTCCATTGACACATTAGATACATAACAAAGATTAAATATCCATGTATTCTAATCGAATGAAACTTTTGGTATTTACCGGGTAGTCCAGTACCAGTATTCTTAATCCATAATTTTCGCGCAGCTACTGCAGTGTGGGAAATTATTGTTCTGTTCTGACCAAAAATAACTGACAAGAAAGTAAAATTCCATAAAAAGAACGTAAACACGTTAGCCCAATTAAAGAAAGTGTTGGGTACACGTGTAGGATTTGGGGATCGTTAGTTTGTAGTTTGAATCGCTTTTGTATCTACCACTGTCTTCACACGCTGGTGTTGGGAGAATGAAACGTGATAAAATGAACGTGTCGTACATATTTGTAAATGGTCAATCCCTGTAAACTACGAGACCAACTTTATTGATCAGATCCCTCACCTCCTGCTCGTAAAGGAATTTAATTAGATACACGTTCAACTAGATTGTTAAAACCCTGGGTTTGTACTGAGCATGTCAAAATGAAATACAATATTGGACATCCTGTCTTGGTAACGGGTATGAAAGAAAAGAATGACCAAGTGACAACTTTTCCATCCTATCCGCTTTAAAATCAACATTTGGCTTTCAGCTTTGTGCCAAGTTTCATCTTTAACATCTTTGTTGTCTACTTTGTTTGTGTTTTACTTTGTGTCCAATAAGAAGACTAAAATCAGTGTTTATCACTTCATTTCGCTCGGACTACGCTGCCGATATCCTTTATTCTGTTGGTTATATATTATTCACCTGGCGACGCTGCTCTTTAATTCATTTTGATTATTTGAGTAGGTTATGAGATATCAATTGTTAATTGAAATGATTAACCCAGTTCGGAACAGAACAGTGGGACGTTAAACCCCATTTCATTTCATTTCGATAATTTAAATGGTGCCTTTTCTTTCATATTGTCCAACGATGCACACAATATTATAATTGGGACTTAAATTGTACCGGCCGAAATGTAGACTTCAGTTAAGTTTGAACGCGTTTGTAAAACTAAGATATGTCTCAATAAATCACCTTTCTATCAACCCTGTGATTAAATTTCTAGAAAATAAACTTTATGTATTATCTCGTTTTTGCAATGTTTTCTGTACAACTATCTGCCCCATGCTGGGGTGTTATAGCCGTCCATAGATGGCGAGGGTCAAGTAAAGTTTGATATCATCTTGTTGGTTCGGCAGTTTCGACATTGATGTTCTGTTGTTTGCGAATATCATCAACATGTGTCAGAGAACAGATTTAAGGGTTGAAGGCTAATTAAAAACATGTAGTCGACTGTTGGACATATAACTATCTCCTGGTCATCTTATGTTAGTTGGCTTAGTTCAGACTGCCCATTTGACCTTCCAGGTGTTCGTGTTACGGAGACACTGTCGATTTATTCAGGGTCCTGGGCAATTCTTTTGTATCATGTTTCTTTCTCTGTCATCCCGAGCGTCTGCATCACGTGGCGCTCTACTCTTGTTATTTCCAAAGAGACTAAACCAGTTGATAGAAAATGAAACGAATGTGGATTTAAAAGGCATATATAATAATTTGACAGTAATTATCATTTGTTAAAAAATGAATAGTCTATATTATTTTGACTTTTAGGGTTATTGACATGAGTTATTTTCAGTGGCGCGAAACCCATTGATCAGCGGGGATTCTCTAAATTTGTGTAGCGACATATGAAAACGTTTAATAACCATAACAAAATAACAAAAACATGCCAAACACTAATTATTACTGACGTGACAAATAGTTTCTACAATATTCTTATTTGTCTAACAGCTTGGAAATTTGTACCAACAAGAAAACACGAATTTGGACAGAAATGAATAAATTATTTTTAAAATGTGCGTATGTGGAGATCTGCAATTCTTAAAAAAAGAATCTGATCGTTTGAATAGTTATAAATTCTTCTACACGTTGTTCGTGTAATTTTACTGAAAGGCTATAATAGTTTTCTACACGACACTGCACGTTTATTATCTTTAAACAAACAACTTATATTTTATTTGTTAATATTCTCTGGTGGGGTTATTATATGTGATCGGAGCAGATGCTAAAATGTACAAATAATGGTTTTCAAAACGTGTTTATGAATGAATAAGTTAACGGCTTTGTTCTTTCTTGGTTTGTTTCTCTGTTATTTGTGTGTATTTTTAGGTTTTAGATTTTTTGTTCTGCTGGGTTTAAATCAACAAGCAACGAGTGTGAGAAAGTTGGAATTATCGTTGTTTCTTTTAACATTGGTCAAAGAGTGGCCAAGGGAGATTTAGCAGGAACGGGGCACCGTACGTGTAGGAGAAAGTTTATTTTACCCAAAATTTTCTATAGTTCTTGCTATTGTTTCCTTGACCTCGTTGCGATCCTCTAACACACAGGAAAGGGAAAGGAACAAAGAAACACCGATGAGAAAAGAAAAAAGGTGGGGAATTTATAAGAAGCTATGTATTCTTGGCACACATTGTTTCTCTTCAGTTGATCATACGACCCCGGTACCTTCTACGCGTCTTAAAGGATTTACAGACTTGTCGAATAACAAAGAATGAACAACGGTGTAATCGATACGCGGGATTTAAGGCCAATTTTGCGATTTCTCGCCACTGTGCTTGTTTATCGAAATATCTGTTGAATAGTTGATTGTTATGTGTAAAGGTACCCCTCGGTCGTCTGAAACCAGATACTATCTCATAGCACCTGAGAATGGTGTATTCATTGATCCTATATAATTGCCCCTTACCCCTGTCCCATGTCACAACAAATTTTGTTTTGATCAGGTGTATATTTGATTATATGTCATCGATCTTAAGGTTACTGTCAGTTCACCATTTGAAATCAATTATTATTCTAAACCAAGGACATACATTTTTCACAAACGTACAGAGAACTTTTGTAAATTAATGAAGATAAAAAAAAGCAATCATCACCCCTCTCCTTTTGGAAGCGTCAACGCAACTAACCGAATAACTCGCGTTGTTGGTCGTTCTGGGTCATGAGATAATTAAATTATTCAAATACCCCATTCATCTTCTGGGTATTATTGGAGACTTATCACCAACCTCTAAGAACTGTATCAACAACTTTATAATGGATAAATCCTTTTCTATTTCTTCTACTTGATTTGATTCTGTTTTAACAATACGCATGTCACAATACGGATAGGAAAAATAATCACTCATCTTAAGGGGTGAAGAATACAAATTTCACTTTGCAAGTTTTAGTTGATCTTAGTACAAGCTGCTCGCCCCAGGGCAGGTTAAAGAATTACACGTTCCCAATTGGAATTTGACAGGATAATATGGTCTGTTTAAAAGAGATGTAACGCTGTATATTTCATGATAATAGAATGCTACATAAAAAAGAGTTATATACATAGATTGGTTGAATTATAAAGGGGTTATGTAGGGGCACTATTTCATTAACATATATATGATGCCCATTATTCCCCTTTGTTAGACTCACTTATCGATATTCTAGACGGATTAATTTGAGGGTCGATTTTGTAAATTGAAAAAAAACGAATGTTTATTTATGTTAACAGACATATGCTCAAATGGAATGACTTTGGTCGTCCTAACTGTTCTACTATGAGTTCTTTTACATACACATCAACTACATCAACTAATTCACAGGTGGACTTCGGGGTTTTTTTGTTCCACGCTTTTCCTTGTCAGTTCCTCCATCCAGCAACACTGGCAAGGGAAAACTATGCTGGAAAATCCCGACATCTTTCTTTACCAACGCTGGGATCGAAGCAGCAAAACTTAGTTAGTAAGCCAGTGCCACCATGGCTCAGTTCAAATATAAAGATATTAATAGACATCAAATTTTATTATTAAACATAATATATCTATCAAATTGGTGATAATACAGACAAATGGATATTAACGTTTAAAAAAATATACAGGAAGGTACCGTGATATATATATATGTATTCTAACGCTTTGCCCTTTCTTTCCTTTTTTCAGAATACGAAGAAAAAGAAGTATCGATTTAGTTTGGTGGTTGATGATCTAAGGGCAACAGATAATGTGCATTACAAGATCATTTTACTAGAATTTATAAACTGCTTGATCATCTACACTTCCAAAGCAGAAGACAGAATTCGTATAAGAAATGAATTTTATGGTACGTATTTATAAACTACTAATTTTCTAGTACAAAATAATATGTACTGGTTCCGGAATAGAAACGACAAAAAGAGCTTAGTGATTTTGAGTCACAAAGGTCGTTATCATTGTACATTATGTAGATTAAAATATGAAATAGTTTTGGATCATTATAAACTATTTTTGTTTTGGCTTGATTATAATAAACGCGATCTAACGGCATATATATACATATATTGTTACGACAATAACAATGGACATATATAATGTTTAATCTCTAAGGGGGTAATATGATATAGTATTTTATTAACTTCGTATAATAGGTACACGTGCATATATGTTTTTATATAATATAAATCTATGTAATTAAAAAAAAACATGCGGTTATATTCATGTACATTTAAATACTCTTTTTATTAACTGGAATTCAATAATATGGTGTTACTTAATAAATCAATTCATGTTTTTGACATTGATATATAATGTTATCTTCTCTACGATTTCATGCAATTAAAGTTCGAATATTTAAATTTGGTCTGTTAACTCTATAATAAAAAAGTCAAAATTCGAAACATGTTGGACGATAAAATGGCGGCCCCGCTGATCATTAGTTTATACCTGAACAGTTTTCATAAAACCACCCTTAACACCTCAACACTGCATTGACGGCCCTGACTTTAGTACTTAATTAGTATATTTATTTAGTAAGTAGAATTAATATATCTAATATAAGCGAATATCTATGATAATAAGAAGACTTTCCTAACTATTTCACATTCATTAAGATGGGTTGTAACACGTGTTAAATGCAGAGCAAAGAGCGTTTCTATTTACAAGATCAACAAACAAAATCTGACGGGGTTACCCAAATGTAAGCGTTGCTGTTCTATGAATTCGGGCCATTGACCACTAAAAATCTAACACCAATCTGGCTATCACTCGAAATGTGTTGCTGCGACTTGCAATTCAGTTTGTTTATTGAAAAATTCTCACTTTTGTACGCCAAATGTGGGCTATGTCTTGACGATTTCACAATACGGGAAACACGTGGAACTGGTGCTGTATTTTTTAATGAATTTATACATATATTTTTTTTATTTCCAGGACTGAAGCTTCAAGAAATACTGAACTCTTTAAAGTAAGTAGTTGACTTTTCTCTTAAACTATTAAATAGTTTCTATCATTCAGATATATCGAGATTTACTATTAAATAGTCTCAAACATTCAGATATATTCAGATTAACTATCAACAAATATCACGTAGGTACCCACTTCAACACTAGCTCGTTTCAGTATTTAGTCGCGGCTGTTCCGGTTTTGTATAAATATATTTATGGTTCTGGTTCATCATTTACTGAAAATCTAGTCACAAGTCTTTTGTATTAGATACTAGGTAATGATATATATAGATATATATATCAAACTCTTGTCTTTTGATTGTATATTTGTCTAATTAAGACAGTAGGAAAACTACGCTACCTTAGGATACTTAATAGACATCATAAAGTACATTTCAAAAGGTGTCCATATATTTATTTTAGATCAACTTACCACGAGGGCCATTATATTTTTTTAAAATATACAAAGACTTTATTCAAGTTATTATTATTATTATTCATATAAACGACACAAAAAGTGACAGTTTCTATACGTACAGTTTTGACCAATCTGATTAAAACACAGATCCTATTTGGTTTCGTTTTTTATAGTTCAAAATTTCGTTTAATCTGTCTTTACTACACTAGGATCTGGAAGAGTTATTATCATTGACGTGTTCTGGATGATGTGAGGGATTAGCCAATGAAACGGTCTGTTACGGCGAGCTTTTGGCGTGAGGTGCACGGAACTGTGGGTAATCCACTAGAAACAGCAATGCTAATTGGTTCAACAAATGTCTGACAGCATAGGGTCAAAAGCCGCTCGTATGACCTCTGACGCGACCTCCCAAAACATGTAGTGTAGGCCATCGAAAGTATAACAAAACGAAACGAAATATAGATCTGTATTTTAATCAGATTGAGTTTTGACTATCCTCATTTTACGCTGTGGATCTAATTTTGACTATGATGACCCCTTTTTCCACCTGAATTGAGATGTATAGATTTAAATTTAACACGCGGATGAACTAATAAGTCATCAAAACAATGATTCATATAAAAAATACATATCCTTACCCACGGTTTATATAAATAGAATAATTTGATTAGTAAATACCACTGAATAAATCGTGATTCGCTTCACTAGAAGAAAAATAAAAGTATATAATGTCAAATCAATGCTTTCTATTCACATGAGATTAACAAAACATAGGTTCAATAGATAAGTCTATAATTAGGTTAATTCCTGTCAACATAACCTATGGGTAATTTTGTATTTTGATTTAGAAAAAAACAAACCCAGCTGCACTTTCAAAATTATGTAAACGTTGTATCATTCAAATCAGAAAATGATTATTACGCATGTGGCAATAGTCGTTATTTTAAATGTGTATGTTTATTTATAGGAGTGAAGAAGAACAGCACATTGTTCTCCAGCTTCAGGTATTTGAAGATCACAAGGCAAACGATGAAGAACATTTTCCGGGACTAAAGGGACTTGATTTAAACTCACCTTTAGATCTCTTTAATGCTATCTTTAAGCAGGTTAGTTCATGTGATGCAAATCAGTTATTACTGGTATAAATTTTTAAAAAGGATATAATATATTATAGAGATGTCCCTTTATTTACATAATATATTAGTAATATCTTTCACTTCAGGACATATACAACTGCTACTTAAGTACAGCTAATTTTTATAAATCTTTCAAATTAATCTAAATGGACAGAATAAATCAACGGTGTGTTGAAAGTTGTCGTATATTTTAATGTATATGTTTTATGAGCCTTATAAAGTATACAGTTATTTGTTGCCAAGCATATGTGTGTATATGTAGACTCAGTCATGTGACTGAATGAGTCATTCGTACCTCGCCCAGATAGATATACACGTAGATATATATACCTATGTCATATATTGTGGTTTATACTTCTATATATATTATATATTCATAGATCTACTAATGTATTCAAATAAACAAACCCTAGTGCGTGGGATAGCCTCACCATAGAATATCATAATTTATTATACACTTCAAGAATTAGAGTAGGTTGGACAATACTTATTATTAGCCAGCATCAAAAGATACGAAGAGGCCCATTAATTAACTCTTGCAAATCTGTATGTTTAAAAGCACAGAGGGCACGTGCCACATAAACTGTATTTAGCCTCCCTTTATAAACAAGTGAAGAAAATACGTCTATCTGGATAGCCAAACTGCATCATTTAAAAAGGGCCTTTTGTAACAATAAAAGAATTGACTAATTTAACATTATAATAAAATAGATAGACATATTTTTTACCGACGAAAGGGATTGTGAGCCTATTTTTAGATATAGGTATAAATTAAATTGGCTTAAAGGCATAAATATATAAATACGCAGCATAGTCTGTTTTTAAAGTTTCCGCCGGCAATGTGAATTAGCAAATATTTTTGATTATGTCATCATCAATGAATTTATAATAATTATTATCTTGTCAATTCAATATCGTTTCCTTAACATTTTTATATTAATTTTGTTTTCTTTAAGGTGAGTGAGACGCCGCTGGAACTGTACTTTGTGACATGTCTCCAACACTTATTGAAGATTGATAACACCGAAGCTCTTGCCGATAAAATATGGCAGACAATTGAACAACTAATCAGTAAATGTGCCTTAATCGAATCTCCGGAGGAAGCTCAAAAACTATTAGTGACATCTACAAGAAAGTTAGACAAACAGGGAGATGTTCGTTGTTGTTGTTCCTGTCACAAAGATGGGGGCGACAGAGGAAATATGGGACCAACGGTTCGGAGTGGCACGACTGATGAAATGCCAAAAGCAGCACCTAACCCACCACCACCACCTCCTCCGCCCCCACCACCATCGTGTGGTGCTCCCCCTCCTCCACCACTCCCTCCTATGGCTGGAGGTGGACCCCCACCTCCTCCTCCTCCACCAGGAGCACCTGCCGCCCCAGGCTTGCCGAATACTAAATCAGCGTTACCACAACAAAACACACCTAAACCCAAATCAAAAATGCGAAGCTTACAGTGGCAGAAAATTCCCATTGTGAAAGTTTTGGGTAAATCCAACCTTTGGACAATGGTTGGGAAATTATTTAACGGTTATAAGGTTGACTATCATAAAATGGATGATTTATTCAGTGTTAACCCCAACCCACAGACACAGTCAGAAAGTGGGACACCGGGAACAGAGAGAAAAAAGAAAGAAAACCTAGAGGTAACTGTCATTCTTGTATATATGTATCTTGACATTTACAACCTTCAAATATTTGTGATATTCCGAATTTGACTTAAACAATGGACTTTTGTATCATACTTTAGTAAAGTATGTTCTATAAATATTCAGATCTACATCGAAAATTGTGGCAAGTAAATACGCCATTTATAAGCTATAAAAACTTAAGTATACAGGCCCCTGGAACCGTTCGATCAACATCAGAGTAATGTAAATGACAACCAAACTCACCTTTTGGCAGCTTTTACACTATTTGGGTCAATTATGTTAAAGAATTCATATTCATTGACTCTTATAGACACTGCCATGTAACTGTATGACAAAAAAAGCAGTTGATAAATTAATACAATGAAGGTGATAGTATTAGATGACTTAATCTAAGATAAAAAACGAAAGAATCTGTTGTCTCGGTTGTAAGGTAGACAGAGAGCTAATAGTCTAGCGATGAATAATTTTGTTTAACTTTTATCGGATTATTTTTTGCAGGTGACGTTAATTGATGGTAGAAGAAGTTTAAATGTAAACATATTTCTTAAACAATTCCGAATGCCAAACGATGAAATTGTACGTCTACTTCAGGAAGGGAACAGTAATAAATTTGGCGCTGAAAAATTACGCGGATTGCAAAAATTGTTACCAACACATGATGAGGTATTTAGCTTTTAAAATGCTATTTTATATGGAAGTGGTCAGTACAAATGAAACTGTGCAATTATATAACATTTAGAAAAAAAAAGCTCTACAGAATGGTCAATGATAATAATAACACATGTTTCTATATATATTGAGCTATGGCGCGAAGGCTTAAGTCCTCTATGACTTATGACTGACCTTAGAAAACGAGAAAGTCAAATAAAACAGTGGTCAACCTGCAAAAACTAGAGTCACACACAAGTCCGTGGTATTTATTTGCTTTATTTTTATGACTTTTTAAGAATTTAGACCAACGAGACTTTTGTCACAAATATATTTAATAATGCCTTCAAAGGTGACAGTGGTAAAAAGAAGATTTTATTGGTGCTAAAATGTTACTGTATCTTTAAATGAATCTCCATTCCCCAGAATTGACCCCAGTAAACAACTGACATGTCTATACATTTGTCTACAGCTTTTCAATATCCACTGTTAGCTCGCAAAGAACACCGTAATACCTGTGTCAAAGGGATATTTTACAAGTGGACAACTGCTATTGAATAGTTGACAGGTCAAGAAAGGCCACCAGCGTCATCGACATAAATATCTTTATGTAGATATGGCTAGTAACAATAGTAAACTAAGTTTTCTGTTATTTTTTGGGTATTTATGTATGTCTAGTTGATCTAGTAGTAAAGACAAGAATACATCATGCATGTAATTGTTGTTTGTGTTGTTAGATGTTTGTTAAAGGTGATAATCTGTTCTGCCTTTGCCTTCAGACTTTTACTCTAGCTGAGCTTTTGTCTTATATTAATATTTTGAATGCCTTTTGTAGATTGACATAATAAAGTCGTTTGAAGGCGACAAAGAAAAACTTGGAGAAGCAGAGAAATTCTTCGTCTGTTTAATGGCTTTACCAAAGTAAGTTATTGTTTTTTATGTCTCATTATTATAAGTGTGCCAGTCTGTTATCTTAGTTGTGTGTGTGTGTGGGGGGGGGGGGGGTAGCGCGTGTGCGTTGTATCATAAGGCCGATCATTGAGTCAACTTACGTGGTTTCGATTCCTCGAGTGTAGGTGACAAGGAGTAGTAGGGTCGTTTGTCCAACCTCGTGGGTTTTCTCCGGGTCCTCCTGTTTCTTTCCACTGCTAAAAGACCCCTACGCGCAAGCGAATCATTGAATTAAATTTGAACCATATGTTAGTCCCGAAATGACCTAGTTTGCTCTCTGTTATCTTAGTAATATTTATTTGCAGTTCAGGCTATTTCTTTTCTCAAAATCAAACTTTGTCGGGTATTTTTCTCTTTTAGCTATAACTTAAGAATAGAAGGCATGTTAATAAAAGAAGAATTTAATGATAATATGGAATGGATTCGGCCATCTATAGAATCGGTAATACAGGCAGCAAAAGGTAAATGATTTAAAACGTTATTAAGGTATTTATTCATATATCTATCTAACAAATCTTCCATACCCAATAATCGCACTGTTCTATAAGACTGCCTCACCAGTCCTCTATAGTTTTTGTCAAACTATTTCGCCAGTCCCCTATAGTTTCTGTCAAACTACCAATAGTTTCTTTCAAACTCATTAAACTAATCACCAATAGTTTCATAGTTTCTGTTAAAGTCATTAACCTAATCACTAATAGTTTCTGTTAAACTCATTAACCTAATCACCAATAATAGTTTCTATTCAACTCACTCACCTAATCACCTATAGCTTCTATTCAACTCACTCACCTAATCACCAATAGTTTCTATTCAGCTCACTCATCGAATCACCTATAGTTTCTATTGAACTCACTCATCGTATAACCAATAGTTTCTATCAAGCTGTAACGCTAGACTTGTAGTGATTTACATCTGCTTCCACCTAGGCGGATTTTGTAGTGCTCCGATCAACCACACATGGTCCAATTTTTGGATCAAATTGGCCGAACAATTCCCACTCACCTGGCACACTATTCAGCATATCTTTAATATTCTTGTCACCATTGCGGACTAGCCACCAAGCTGGTTCATAACCCAACGTTTTAGTTTTCCAACTTTTAGCAAGTTTTTGTCCACCAAGTTTACACCCTAATTATATAATGTTATGTAAGTTATTTCTAATCAAGAATAAAATGGGACCAATATCAAGATACTTGAAGTGAGGGGTAAATAAAAATATGAGGGATTCTTGAAGTGAGGGATAATGATAAAAATAAAAATGTTTTAATTGAATGCTCTCGTATTAGAAAATGAATGCTAACTCTTTTTTTTATGAGAAATGTCGATTGGAGCTAGTTTCTTTCTGTGATGACCTCAAAAACGTTATCTAGTGTTAATGTTAATCTTGTTTGAATGGAGTTGTGTTTGTGCTAAGGAGTGACAATATAAATATGATCAATTGAAAGATTGTTTGAGCTATTTAAACTGGATTTATCAGAATGAGGATTTTGAAGTTTTTGCCAATGAATGTTAACTTATACTTGAATTTATTTCAATATATTTCTAAATATATTTTCATAAATGATTTTTTTCTCCATTTTTCTAATTTTTCTATGAGACTTTCTGTTTTAAGGTATTAAGAGGTATATAGATAGTATTGACAATAATAGAAAGGTATTCTAGTTTTTTAGTATAGTCTGGGGGCTACATTCTAATATATATATATTATATATATATATATATAAATAATACCATGATTTAATCAGGTATGGTTTGTTTTATATCTATAAGCGTTGGAGGTTTTTAAACGTTATATAATAAAGGAGATTGATGGCTCAGCTTTTGGTATATTGTGGTTAGTTCAAATTCAAACATGAAACGAAAAAAGAAAGTAAGTTTTGTGGGGTTCGTTTTTTATATCTTTAATGACAAAAGCAGGGATTTAAACTGTTAATACTGCTAATGACCAATGGAAACCCACCAAGCGTGTAAGTAAATATAGATGTCATAGGGAATGGGTTAATGGACAGTAGCGAATGTGGCGGCTTATTCAGTTTAATAGACCTATTAAATGTAGATCATCCCGAAAGATTATGCATGCTTGAAAAGTTCTTAAGAAGGACATGCTGTATTTTAAATAATAAACGTAGGTACCTATTTGTTTTTATGAAGATTATATGGGGTTGTTATGATTGAGGTATTAAAACCCAGTCTATGTATATAGGTATACTTAATGATAATCTCTTAATATATATATGTGTGTACATATAAGTATTTTGTCAGCAAAGAGATAGTTTTGTATCCAGTATGTGAAATAGACTATATGTGCTCACAGAAGGGACCTTACAATTTTCGTCTTAGCCAATTTTTGCAACCAATGACCCTTTACGCAGCTTTAATGACACATTTCGAAAATTAGGTAGGATATCTTGTTTTAGAAAACCTAGGATATATTATACTTTTCATAGTAATTAATATTCACTTTGTTTCCTACAACTTGCATTTCTTTTTCATTTTTATCTTCTGACTGTCATGTAATTCTATCATTCTTACTTTACTAACAGTATCATATATTTATTTGGGTTGAAGATGCTTGCGGTTTATATAAATTGCATTCTTTTACTTATTATTTATTTTAATGTGTATGTTACATTTGTTACAAATATTTTATTTCACGTATTTTGATTTGAATATGCAATTCTGATTGTGATAATGAAATGATGTTTTGATATAAATGCACTTGCGCAGCTTTTGTTAATGGATGTCATGAGCAAGAATTTTACAAAAAGAATTTTTATCGGCTGTTCAACCTTTCTTTTTTTTTCTTTATTTTTTGTTATAATCAAAGAAACATAGTGTATTAACTATTGTGGTTATTAGATTTACATTAATATTGTTTTAGTAATGTTATATATTAACACTGTTTTACTAATTTGTTATATATTAACACTGTTTTACTAATGTTTTATATTTTCAGATATTAAAGATAACCCGTCTCTTCGTGAACTTATATACTTAGTTTTAATAGCCGGCAATTATCTCAACTCAGTAAGTTACGTTTTATTTAATATTTGAATTTGTTACATATATTAGTATGTCCTAATTGGTTATGTATTATGTTTTGATTACTTAAATATTATGTTTTAACTGGTTGATTAGTTACACGACCCCTTGTTTATAATTTTATAGCATGTTATTTCTGGTTATATATTATGTTATAAATTGTCAAATTGATCATATAGATATGTTTTAATTGGTTTTAATTAGAGTGATATATATATGCCTATGTTAATAGTAATATATATTTTTTAAACTTATGTTAACAGTGATACGAATAAATGATGCATGACAAATTATTTGCATGGTGGGACATTGTTTCATGGCAAATTACTTTTTTAGGGAAACTACGCTGGAAATGCCGCTGGCTTTAGATTGTCGTCACTTGTAAAATTAACAGAGATTCGAGCCAACAAACCACGCATGAACTTGATGCATTACGTTGTCATGGTACGTATAATTTCCATTTTTTCATTTGTTGTATGGTTTTCTGTTGGTGTGGATTCTTTTATGGTGGGGATAAAGCTTATCTACTATACTTCATATGAACTGGTCTGTCTGGGCTAAATTATGTATTTTAAAAGTCCCAAATGGTTGTTGCCCCCTAAAAATCGCTTGAGATATCATTTTAATTTAGACATTGTGGTGTTTTGTTCCAATTATATGTTCTTAGATTTCAATATTATTTTATTCAGGAAGCTGAAGAGAAAAACCAACATCTTTTAACTTTCCCAGAAGAAATGAAAGCTTTGAAAGATGCTTCAATGTAAGTGTTTCTTTATTAATTATTATATACTCGTGATGTATTTTGGACGTCTTTAAAAAACAGTTTTAACTTTCGTCTTTTCAAGGATTTTACAGATTTATTCATTATATTTAATTTTTTCCATTTTTAGGACGTCATTGGATAGTTTATCATCTGATATTCTTAGCTTAGCTAATAAAGTCTCGGCTGTCAGCGATCACATAAACAGGCTGAATGACAACTTTAGAGAACAAATGAGTTCATTTCTAAAGGTAAAATTCTTCATTATATTTTATGTAAAAGAATTAAATATAATACAAGTAAAACTCAAGTACATATATATTTGTGGCGCCGTTTTATGCAATTTTATGTGTATATAAGTTGTTAGTACTTTATCATAAAATATCAGTTTATGCATAAAAAAAAGTCCGTTTTAGTGATACGTATGAGGATTTTTATAACATATTGTATATACAGTTTATAAAAGGACTATGTAAAAGACATGTTTAATTAGATTATGAGGACTGATATAAGCACATCCAATGCACTATATAAATTATATAACTATGTAGATTCTGGTCTTACTACAGCTATTTTAAACGTTCAGTATTGTCAAGCAGTAAACAAAAATCTGCTTAGTTAACACTGAGATAATTGTTTCTTTCAAAATAAAAAAAATCAATTTAGCATGAAAGTTTAAGAAGGAGGCTTATATACATTACTTACTTTATATCGACCCGTTTATCATTTAAATGTATCATTCAGGGGCGGACTGGGCCGTGGACCCAGGATGGGTAAGGGCCCATCGAAAATAAATAAAATTCATCTGTACCTCCACTGAAAACTGTAATGGCCTAAATTCGAGGAGATAAGTTATCTGTGAGTGGGGTGATGGAAAAGTGAATCAATCTAGTTTCGTTTTCTCATTCTACAAAAACTGGACCCTGGATCAAGATCTACCCAGTCCGCTCCTATATCAGCTATATATATATATATATAAATGTAAATTTATTGTGTATTATAGGAAGCCAATTACGAAATGTTGGAGTTAAAAGAAGATTTGAAAGATATTGATATTTTACGAATTGAATTAGCCGAATTTTTCTGTGAAGATCCTAATACATTTAAATTGGAGGAATGCTTTAAGACGTTAAACATCTTCTGTGAAAGATTCAAGAAGGCGATAGAGGTAGGTTTTACTTAATTGACTCTGTGAATTCTTGAAGTACGAGTATATTCATTGTCACTACTTTTCAATTCTTACCGATGTAAGAAAATTCCGTTCCCCTCAAATAGAATACGTGAACACGATATCATTTCTATTTCGAACTTTTGTGATTGCAAGGGACGTACATGTATAATAGCTATAAATCAAATTTGTGTTAACTATTGTTACGTGTAGGTATAAGAATGTATAAATATTTGACAGTTGTAGACGTACTTGTCAGTTATATATACAACATTTATAGTTTGAAGACTAAATGTTGAAAACGCCCATCAACTATTTTAAGATGATGTGTGAAGTCATAGGTACATTCTTGTTCTGCACAGTAAAACCATTATTTGGATGTTAATATATTTGTAATGTTTCGTATTGCTTAACAGGAAAACAGATCGAGAAAGATAGACGAAGAAAAGGCTAAAGCTAGACTCAAACAAAAAGAACTGGAACAAAGCAAACGATCACGTAAGTTCTATTTTAAATCGAAGAGTGAATTATTCTTTTTGTATTAAGACTCTATATAGAATTTCTTACCCATGTTTTGTGTTAACATAGTCTATTTTCTGTCAAATAAGTTTTTTGAAACTACAAATGTTCACGTGATTGATTTGTTGAAGGCTGTGAAATTATTGCCCTTATTGAATTTAGTATAGATTTTGTGTATGTATTTTCAAATTACGAACTATTTCAACCATAAGTAAAAAAAAAAGAACGTCAATGAACATAGCTCTATTTTGTTTTTACTTTAATTAATTTCAGGTGATGTGAAAGAACCAGAAGAACAGGCCATGGAAAGATCTGTTGATGTTGATGAAGATGGTTATATTGTGGATATGTTATTAGCTGATGTACGCAGTGGTTTTGCAACACGACAACGTGGCAATACCTCATTTTCTGTTACCAAAATTAAAAAGGTCAGCTTAGGTGGTCCTCTAAATATTGGGTCAATTCAGTCTGGAGTTGGAGAAGTAAAGTCAAAAGGAGACACGTCTGTTTCTGAGACGGACCCAAGCTTTGTTCGAAACAGCGTGGGCCGCGTGAGTATGAGGCGACGTCGATCCCAGAACCAACCACTTCAAGATTCCCCAACGCCATTGGACAGTACCGATACGGAAAGTACTTGCAGTAGTTTGGAGGAAACATCTGGTTCGGATGCAGTAAACACAAAACGCTCTCGTAGAAGTTATGCGACATCGGATGACGAATCTCTGATAGATTTCTTAATGCAGTCGGGCGAAGAACCGGACAAAATTCCATTTGATAAAAACGGAAGCATGCGTCGAAGACGAAAGGAACGTCTGGAACGGCGGGGTTTATTAGAGGTGTTCGGATCTGGAAGAGAAAGGGCACCTTCGCCAGCATTAACAGACGTCAGTGATAAATCGCAATCGACGCCCGGAAGTCCGCTTAAAGTGTCAGACACATCCAAATCAGACATTGTAGACGGTAATAAAACCAATAGTCCGTTACGTAGAACACGCAGTATGGTGGACAGAATGAGTGTGGACCGAGCATTATCCAGAAGTAAAGATACGCCTCCTTCTAGACGAAGTGTCGATGATTCTGGTCATGAAGAATTCTTGTCTCGAATAAAACAAAAACTTCATAGTAAAAATGACTCCAATGTTGACTCTTCTAGAAACTCGCCTGTGATAATGGAACCCGATAATAGCGAAAAGAAACCCATCGAAACATCGCCCGAGGTTCGATCCCGTAATCGCTGGAGAAGCGGTATCCAAAATTGTGTTCTAAACGAGTCACCGAGAGCTCTAGAGACAATCTCAGAAAAGGATAAATTCGAACTAAAGGAAGATGACAATAACAATAACAAACTGTCATCGGCTTTAGAACGCAGTAAAGAACAATATTCAAATAGATACCGAAAGACTTTAGATTCTGCAGAATTAAGTAAAATGATGCAAGATATAGACGTGCGCCAAGAACCTAATGCAGTAAATGTTTCTATATCAGAAAAACTCAACCGTGCTTATAATCTCAAAGAGGAACTTCAAAAGGTAGAAATGGGAGAAAAGGCCCTTGGTTCGGTTTCAAACACCATCAACCAACCCAATAGTCGACCCGAAACGCCTTCTGATATCACTGAGGAAAACTTGAAGAAAAAACGAGAGAGGAGGAAAATGCGTTCACAACTTTCAATTGAAGAAGTTCATGCAGCACTAAAACCTGGCGAATCACCCCCCAAACCAACACCCAAATCACCACAAGCTCCGCCAAGGAAATTTCGGTCCAATAGTGATTCTACAAAAGCCGATGTTTCGACAGGAAATAAAACTTCTGCAGATGAGAAATCAGTTTTAAGTAAAGCGGCTAAGCTGGCTGGAAAGAAAAAGTTCCGTCAGGATCGTTTTGGTGATAAAGATAAAACTGGTAGTGATACTTCAGTTGATAGATGTAAGAGTGATGTAGAGAAGGATCTTGTCGACGAGGCGCTTAAGAACATGGCATCTCAGGGAAATATGAGTCGATCCAAATCCTACGACGAAGCCGTGTCAAGATTGGCCGGTAGTGACAACTGTGAATTAACTTTGCGTAATAGTGGTAGCACACCCGATACATATGCTGAAAAACAAGCTATACGACGGGGTAGTACAAATCGTTTGTCGTCGTCTGATAGTCGTCGACATGGTGTTGTGATTCAAAGTGATGACAGTGATAATGACACTAAATCGAACTCTAGCAGCACGTTACACGGAAGTAGTATTGGCAGTCCGAAATCTCAACATAGACTATCCATCAAATCAACGAATACTTCCACTGAGACCTTACAAGCTCATCATAGTGAAGGTGAAAATTCACCCGAACAACGAAGAAAAAATTCACCTATTAACATAATTACAGAAGGTGGTCATCGAAATCCCGAAAATATAAAATATGAACAATTTTCACCAAAATCCGAATGGGTCAATCCTGCTGAGGATTTAGATGACCCATATAATTCATTAAATAGATGGAAACTAAACCGACGAAGTCTTAGAGGTAACGATGCTGGCCACAGACACAATTCTATTCGCAACGAATTCAGCCACTCGCTTAGTCCTCGAACCGATATCAACGACATGAAAAATGAAAGTGGCTCACGGAGTAGTTATGCCAGCAGCCAGGCAAGTTGTGATGAAGGATTTGAGAGTATGTCCGGCACATCCGGTACTGGATCTCAACGAGCTTCTATGGCCAGTACTTTGGACTCTAATGATAATGTTCCTAGCAGTTACTACCGAAGCAACACTTTTCATCCCTTCCCTACAGAAATAGTAGAAGAAGATAAAAAACAGCGAACAGAATCTTGGACGGCGTCTACCATACAGGCAACGCAAGGTCGTCCTACTTCGCTAGACTCATCTGTCGAATATCCTGTCTCAGCTCCTGGTATCATTCACGAAAGCGTCTCGGAGGATGTCTGGTCAAGTAATATGAACGATACTGTCAAACTGAGTTCACCCCCTGAAGAGGGTATCGAACAACCAAAGTCTCCCAAGAAACCAACAACAACCGAGTCTCCAAAGACACCAAAGACTGTTAAAACAGCAAGTTACATGAGAGGTACGACTAGTAGTAGTACCCGACGAAATATTAGTGACACTAAATTAAGTAATTCCAATGTGCGTGCATCTATGAGAGTAGCAAATACTCTCCGGCGATCGGCCGCTCCATCCACTAATCTGAGCAATTCAAAAACAGTTACGGGTTCAAACAATAGTTTAACTGCCAGCAATGCATCCGATCTCAGTACATCCACAGCTCAATCGAAAGCTTCAACAGTTCGTCGAAAGCTTGCCCCATCTAACAGGCCTACAACGCCATCAAACCGCCCTACTGCGCCTGCCGACCGACCAATCACGCCGTCATCGCGAACGTCAACATCGTCATCCCGCCTTCTACCATCTACGCCCACTGGCAGAAGACCTACAACACCCTCGACTACAAGTCGATCTACTCCAACAAGCACACCATTCTCACGCACACAATCAATGAGGGTGACATCATCCACAAGGAAATCAGTCTCCTCACCCGTCGAAACGACAAGAAGTCGAACACCTGGATTTATGGAACCAACTGCATCTTTCAGGGCAGCTCGCAAAGAGCTTCCGCAGACACCAGATAGCACACCTAGAAGATCTCCGGCTGCAACTGGTTTTAAACCGGCTGGTAACTCAACCCCATCTCCACTTACCCGACATGGTAGTATGAGACGATCTTCCAAGGGTCCAACTTCAACTATTGAAGAACAGGGAAGAATGACACCGACCAAACGATTTGCATCGAAAGAGACACACAAGCATTTACCAACAGTGACCGAAACAAAGAAACGGGACGGAACGAAACATGTTGCGTCAACAGAAACGAAGCGAAAGCTCGTTAAGTGAAGTACTAACTAACATCATGTTTGTAATGTGAAATCCAAACTAAAAAAGACACCAGGAGATATCTGTATTATACTGCACAGTGAACTTCTCCTCGATCTCAAGCTGTAACGTCTCAAACTAGAAGGCTTCTGATAATGTCACGTTGGTGCTCCAAACGTCTTTAATCTAGACACAAAGCGTCTTCTACCATTATGGTAAGATTTACAAACCTCGCCAGTTATCATTGTGGCTAGGGGTGTGCTTATCGATTTATGTAGCGCTTACAAACCCCGGATGACCCCACTGTGTCAGAGAACAACTTGAAAAGTAATAATGCATCGTGCGTTGTTGTCTTATTTTATTAGTAAATTGTTCATGGTTCGATAAAAGAGGGGCGCTGAAAAGAACAATAGTATCTCGTGCAGAAGACAAAGCATAAAACTAAGATGTTCTCGAAATTTGTGATAAACGGGCACAAATATAGCCCCATATCATAGATTGAACTGGTGTTATAATGGGCATAAACATCACGTCTAAAACTGATCTTAGTGTAATAATTTAAATTTTAAAAGATAATAAATCGAAGACTGAACTGTTGTGATCTATTGAAAATGAACCAAAATATCACTCCTGAAGCACCTTCGTGCCTTAAATTCGACCTTAAAAGGTAATCAAAGATGAATAACCGGTGCTAGAATAGCTTTATGTTATATTTACATATTATTGTAGTAAAAATATTTACATATTATTGTAGTAAAATTAACGTCCAATGTTCAATTAGTAATTCATGTATGGCTTTAGTTAGTTTATACATTGATGTTTATATAAATATGTATAGACAAATTAGTTGATAGTTAATATTGTGTAATAAAATTCAGAACAGGGTGTCGATATTATTGTACAGCCATTTTGGTGTAAAATTTGATATGTCTACAATATGCAAACGGACACTTTTTATATTAGTGCACGTATGTTCTTATAGTAAATTTAATAATGCCTTTTATGTATTGGTGAATATTTTAACATAAAATGTAGAAGTGGATATTTATTTTTTTTATAATTTAATATTAAATGCTTAAAAAAATACAGGTTAGTTTTTTGTAAATATGAAATCACCGAAAATAAAAATTGTACATAATATAATCTATCCTCATTTAATATTGTATACAATTATAACTTCGTCCATCTTTACATTGAAAAATGAAATTGGTCTTTTAAAATATTTATTATAGGAATAGTGTGTGTTTATAGAAATATATCAAGACATGTATGAATACATCAATTGGTGTAAAATCGTAACGCTTCCATCATCGAAAAGTCTTCAAATAAAAACATTTTGGTTTTAATAAATTTTACCTGATCTATCATTATTGTAGTCTTGATAGATAACAATCGAATATAACTTATATTGTAATATATGTATTTTGTAAATATATTTACGTACATTTGTATATTTTGTCTGTAATAAATTTTTACAAATATTATTAAAATTAGAGTGTAATTTTGTGTAATAATTTGTTTAGAAATGTTCATTTTGATCGACGTAAAAGTGGGCAACAAATTGTCAAATTTTGCTTTGTATTCACAAACATGTTTGACCCCTTTTACCATCGAACATTCCGGGGCCTCTACACTCGGTTTCTGGTACTAAGAAGCCCGTAACTACGAAAACGTTGCGGTTTGTTATCTAAGAAGCCCGATATCTTGACGTAAACAAGTGATGGTCGCTGGCAGAGAGTCGGCCACCAGTATAATAGTGACACTACGACATTGTTTTCTTTGTTTATCTCCAATATTTCACATTGTGGGGCTAGTGGATATAAGCTGAAAACCGGCCCCTCATTTTCAAGGGGTTAAAGATAATGACAATTATCACTCTGAAAGCTTGCTCGCTAGTCTGGAGGTGGGGTGTTCGATCGCTGCATTGGCCGAGAAAGTTCATCCAGATTTTCCTTCGTGGTTCCCCCTTGTCAGTGATGCAGGACAGAGGGCCTGACAAGGACAGCTGTCTAGTCGTTCGAATGGGACGAAAATCCGAGGTCCCGTGTACACATTGGCGTGCACGTAAAAGATCCTTGACGGTTGGAATTCGATATAAGAGTAGGCCGTAGTACCGCTGTCCGGGCAAAATTTCCCTCATAGTACACTGTATGGCATATGCCCGTCTTCATTAGCCCAGTTAGGGGCAGAACAATAGGACGTTAAACCCCATTTCATTTCATTTCATTTCATTTCACTCTGAAAGCTGTAGGTGCCCGTGACGTCAAGTGCGTTCTATTGTTTTAAATGTGTCCTGAAACATCATAGTATACTTATATATCCTGAACAAGTGGGCCTGCGGGCTACGGCCAAAATTTCTAGCTTGCTTAGAAATACAATTCAGCTACAAGATCTTCGAAGCTAACCAAACTATACATTTTTGGAAATTGTCGAGTGAATGCTACACTGATAATTCTGAAGTTGGCATAAAATTTAATATTGACGAAAAGACCCGGTGTCATAGTCCTTGGCAAGACATGGTGTATTGGTTAAATTATGATTTAAACAAAAATATCTAAAACATAAAAGTTGAAGCTGAACAGGGAATTTTGGAAATCCATTAACGGTAAAAAAAAAAGAGAGTTATCTCCCTTTCTGTTAATTGCTAATTTAGTATTTGAGGTGCGTGGTGACTGCCGATGATGTATGGCGCACAAGGCCATATGTGAGCACACATATCGTTAATGGGGTCGCAGGGGCCTGCTAGGCAGGTGTTTACCCAGAAATCATGGGCTCGTTTCCACTAAAATATAACCCCACAACCCACATACCCTTTCCGTTAGACCCTACAGTATTTGTACTACATGTAGCTGTAAACCTCTTGTTCAGATATGATTTAAGGACAAATTACAAACATACTTAAACCGAAACCGTATCTATAATTCTGTAATTTGCTTTATAAAAAAAATAGATACAAGGCAAAAACTAATATTTGAATTGAAACAAAGTATCTATAAATGTATAATTTTCTCACTAAAATAGATATTTGACAAAATCTAAAAAATACTGTAAGGGAGTGGCAATTGTAATGAAGAGAAAACATATCCAAAGGAGTTTAATGCCTTACTGTTTAGTATCAACCGGGATAATGAGATGTGCATACGCCATGCATTATGCTATAGCGGAAATTGGGCCCAGACAGCGACGTTACTGGCTATTCTTTTTTTCGAATTCGAACTGTCAAGAGTTATTTTACGTGCACGCCAACGTGTACACATGACCACAGTTTTATATACCATCCGAATAACTAGACGCCGCCCATGACAGTCCACTCCCAGCACTGACAAGGGGAAACAACGCTGGAAAATTTGGGGGAACTTTCTAGGCCAACATGAGCACCAAACCCCTACGTACTGCACCACTGACAAGGGGAAACCACCCCGGACCTTGCATGGAAAACAGGAATACTAGCTGTACATGTAATTTACAAAATCCCCCCCCCCCACCCATTGTAATGCCCATGGTCATCTTCATTATACGGGTTGGTGCAGAACAGTAAGACATTAAACTCCATTTGATTTTTTTCTCTTCATTACAATATTGTCACTCACATTACAGTATTCTAGTTATGGCCCTATCTATTTTAGTGTGAAAACTAAATATTTAGAGATGCTTTGTTTCAGTTTAAATATTTAACTAACCTTAGTTCCCCATCTGAAAAAAGGTTTACAGATATTATAGTAGATATAATTTTTGTGGAGAACTTATAGGCCCTTGTCAGTTTATGGAATAAATTGTTTAAACTAAATACCGTTATCAATGATTAATTCCTTGTACCTTGTACCGTTAAAAGATTTCCAAAATTCCGTATATTCCCCTGTCCATTATGTTTTCTGCATTTTTGTTTAATTCAAAATTTAACTAATACCCTATTATTTACCTACCGAGAATGAAGGCATTGAGTCTTTTAGACAATATTTAATTTTATGTCAACTTTAGAACTGTTAGTATAAATATAGCATTTACTTGACAATTATGACGATTGTCACGAGGTTCTAAATCGAGTTATTGCAAACATTTTTCTTGGAACTCTCGGATTTGTGTTCCTGGTGTCATAAGCTGTCTAAAAATCTATAGTTTGTTTAGCTTCGAAGACCATGTAGCGGTATTTCACGCTAGAAATTCTGGCTGCAGGCCTAAAGGTTGTGTCCAAAAAAAAAAAACCAAAAAAAAAAAAACAAAAAAAAAAAAAAAATGTTTTATAAATATGGTCTAGGAGTTATATCTAAATATATGCCAATTGTTCTAGATACAATTAAATGTTTTGGAATGATTCAAATCTATTAACCGAAATCATCATTGACACAATCGAATGCACTATAAAAAAAAATCCGAAACGTACCGAAAACCCTTTTTTTAATACTAATTTTTACCGAAAAATCTGAAAACCTCTAAATACCGAAAAATCACTAAACACCGAAAAAAAGCAACACTAATTACCGATAGAATGACCCCATTGGGTTCCCGGGCTCCAAGCCTTCCCAGGTCCCGATTGTATTGGCTCATTTTGGCGCCCAACTCGCAGTAAGGCTTCCTGGGGCCCGATCTGAGCCCTCACTGTGCTATAGACTCGAAGCACCGATGGTCACACACATGATCCAGGGTCAGCCCACTGAACAAACTGAACACCTGTTGGGACCCTTCAACTCCACTGGGGTCCAGGGAAGTGGTTCTAGGACAATTACGCCCGGACAAGTAGCCCAAAGGTTTTCTCTTGGTATTAATTTGTTGTTCAGATGTCGGTGTAAATCACTAGTCATTACTCAAGGTCACCTCTTGGGGTCCCATAATTTTACACAATAATTCAAATGACCCCCTGTTGTGCTCTTGACCAGTTCTCGTCCAATTTCGTCCACATTCATGTTTATATTATGTTTATTTACGTTGGCAGGTGAGCAATACATCTTTGCATGGGTCTATTTCTTTATGAATATGGTCATCTTTATTGTTAGTAAACAATATGTCGTATAGGGAACTGAATAGTGATTATAATCGTCAAGGTTCATGGGTCATCGGGTGTGATTTGGCACCTGTTGAAAAGAAAAGAAAAGATAATTCGCATTTCAGCATTATACTTTTTCTTATTTTGAGATAAACATGCGATCAATTTGTTATTCAAATTGAAATTAGCAAGTGGTTGTTTATATGCACCACCACTTCATACACCGGAAATCTTAACGACCTACATAGTAAGAGTGTGGATACAAGAAATAGGCCAAGTCCCTTTTTTATCCACCCGGTTGAAACTAATACTATCTAAGCCAAAAAATCGAATATGTACTAAATAGCTATCAATGAAAAAGTCAAATAACCTTTTTCGGAGAGTTAATTTTATGGCAGTCTCGTGGAGGTAAACGCCCACTCAATTCAACTAGGTCATTCCTGCACTAAGTGGTCATTGTTTACTTCTTTACATGGTATCGATCTCTGTGGATTAAAGTAAGTCATTGTTATATCAAGAGCTAACTAAAAATGGCTTAATCATGTCGATGACAACCGTGTAATCAAGCCAAACGTATTCCAAGGTATCTGATAGTCCGTTTAGTTGCATGTTCCTGAAGCAACGATTGCGAGATTTACAACATAAGATGTACGGAGTTAAAGCGATATCAAGCCTTCTATTGAAGATGATTTAGTGGTGAAGAGTGGTTTGTTCTAAAACTACATCGCTATAGTTTCGGAGCCACCAAAAAAGTTTCATAAAGAAATTATCTTCTATAGTATTTCATTAATTTAGCCCAAATTTTCCACACTTGAAAAGATATTCTTTTCTTTGTGGAACATAATTTAAGGATTTAAGACTTATCATAAATTATTACTTTATGAGTAAAGCGCTGGTCCACTAACCAGGATATAACGGGTTGTTAAGAGTTCCTTGTCAGTGCTGCAGGACGGATTGTCTAGCAAGGAACATCGTCTAGGCGTTTCGATGTAACGAAAAGTCGAGTACATGTAAGTTGGAATCCGACAAAGAGTAGGCTAGACATGCAAAATTTCCCTCATGGTACGTACACTGAATTTTGTTGACTTAAAATCGATGGAAATTATATAAATTCCAGGGTTACCGGTTTCAAAATCAGTTGCACGTGTAAACACGTGATGCCAAGTGATGCCACATCTGAACGAATACCAACGCAAGAAAGCTACCGGTCGGTTACAAGCAGGTGAATACCAGACAGATATAGCCAGGCTGCTGAATGTTTCCCAGAGTACCATTTCTCGCCTTTGGGACAGGTGCCGACAGCGAAGTTCAACGCGTGACCGCCCAAGTTCAGGCCACACTAGGCAAACCGCGGCAGATTCCGTTACTCTACGTCTACATCTAGCTTCGGCTATATGACGGGAAGTGATATGTACCTACGCCTATACAACACCGGTTTACTTAGAAAACTTGCCGCTTCTAAAATCAAGTTCTAAAAATTGCGACACGAGCGCGGTGGGCACGGGCATTATCATCTTGAAAGAACTATCGGTGCTAGGGGTCACGGTAGTATACACCAGTGACCCTTCTTTCAACAATATGCAAGTCCGTTCTGCCAGTCATGGTGATTCCTCCCCACACCATAACAGACCGACGCCCGAATCTGTCATGCTCTCTGACGTTAACGTTAGCATGACGCTAATTTACACGCCTCCAAACGCGAGCACGCCTATCGGTGAAATCCAGAGTAAATCTGGACTCATCTGAGAACATTACACGCGAACATCGACGATTACCCCAATTTCTACGCTGCCTACACCATTGACACCTGTTTGCCATGTGCTGGCGAGTTAATGGAGGCACAACACGCGGTCGTCGTGCATGCACATGGGCTGCATGTAGCCGATTTCTAATCGTTTGGGATGTAACTCGAATTCCTGTAACTTGACACATTAAGCATGTTGGCTACAATTCGCTGTGTAGAAACCATTTGAAGCATGCCAATAGCACGTAGACGTTCATCATGTTGAAGACGTCTCATTGCAAATTAAACGTAACACACTAAAGCAAAGATGCGCTAAACAGTAAATCTTATGCAAGAACCGATAGGAAAGCAACCATGGGTAGGATAAACCAGCACGCGACAGTTTTCATCAACCCTTCCTTGAAGTGTTAAATTTGACAATGAACCCTTCCCACGTGTATGACACTATTGCGTGTCGCACGTACAGCTCAGTGGTTCTGTGAGGGCGATAAGTTCTTCATGTGTGAACATACTCTCAAAGCATGTCAAGTGTCCATGACTGTTTATCATATCACAACCTACATAGGTATTTGCATTTCAATATCCCCTACTTTTTTGAAGAGTATATATACGTCCACCAGCAGCATTTGGAACAGTGGCATACATAGGATGTTGTGATGTACGAAATATTCTCGAAAACTGTCGCCAAGTTGCATGCACGTCTTTAAATTTTTATTGGTTACTCACTAATGATTTGCCGAACACTACCGGCAGATTTGGGATTTATTTTACTCTTTTTAGAGGGGTGACACACTTCTTTTTGAAGCTTTCAAGTTTTTTTGGTGGATCAGGGGAAGTAACTACAATAAAACTGATGTTTGACTGAACAGATATCCTTTTCATAATTAATTCATTTATCCAGAAACTTTATATAAAGTATGGGTATGTTCTTTTACTATGTCACATATTTCTATGCACACTGATCCGCAGTGAATATTTGCTTGGCCGCGACAATCACTGATAAGGATGACATTGATGCGGCTTAATGAGTTAGAAATATTAACTTTTTTCCTGCGACAAATTAAATTCTAAAACATTTTTTGTATATATTGGAAAAATAAATAAAGGCGTTTGACGTATTTGTAGGTAAAAATTATTTCCGATTTAGTGTAAATGGGTATTAAATTGACTAAAATGCAGCATTCTCTCCGAAGCAGTTATGTCTTGTGTAAACAATGCACGCGCAATTCAGCCAATGATTCACACCGCGTGCTGTGACAGCACGTGTTAAGGCAGTCATCTAAGACAGAGATATACGAGACTCGTAATTCTCTGTGAAACAGATTGATTTCTACGAACATTTACAAAGGTACGGCTAAGAGGGCATATATATTGAAGGAAAGACATCGGGAAACTGATTACCGATATACCGATGTATGTTAAGTTTCATCTGAAGGGTCGACAAAGATATAGTCAAATTCGAACCAGTTTCATCTGGAGGGTCCACGGACAATTTTAACGGGAAATTACGGTCCGATTTCCACCAGAATCGAACCTAAACTCGATTGTTTTTAATACACATATATTTGAACGTTATATGGCACTAAACCAGGAACATAGAGTACCATATACCGGTGCCATAACGGTTATAACCAAACCTATCCGAGTGGGGGGGGGGGGTCTATAATATAGATAAAGAATTAAAAAAAAAAACATCTCTCGACCCTGCGTGTCTCGTTAAGCAAACAGTCAATGTTTTCTTCAAAACAACGATTCATTATTTTTATTTATTTAGTTCTGCTACACCCAATTACAAGCAAGCATATAATCATACCTGAGACGTGTATAAATCACCTCTTTTAAATCTTAGCGTTCAATGCGGACTTTGCCCGACATTTTAAAACGAAATAGGTTTGACGTCTTAGCGTCATAAAGGCAGGGCTAGACAATTTAAAATCGCTAGTAGAAGCCCTTTATGGGCGCGCATGACTAATGTACCGTTATTATGAATGACCGTTCCAATTTCGTTAAAAACACCGCATGATTAACTTTACTGACAATAATTGCAGATAAACGAAAGTCGTGTCACTACATTGCACCCGCGGACCAGTGAGCATTTCCCAAATCTCCAATGGGACTTCCAGATATTTTGACCCAGGGGAACCAGTGACCGGTAATTACCAAAATGAAAAAAATGTATCGAAAATGGAATCAGCTGCCTCCAAAACGTATAATATTTTGACATCAAATCTGGTCACTTTGTAAAATTCGAATTTTCCCGCCATCTGGAATTATTTCCCAATATTGACTCCGCGGTATAACTAATCACCAAAATGTGTATTGAAATGGATTCAGCTACCCCAAAAGGTTATATTTTGATACCAAACTCGTTCATATTATGGTAAGTGGATAAAAATTGGCATTTTTCCAGTTAAAACTGGCGGCCATTTTGGATTTAGCCATTGTGACTCATTTTGGCACAGATTTCGGACTGCATTGGCTCACTTTTTTTTAATTATTTGGATTCACATTTTAATGTGGGCGCATAAAAAGTAAATAGTGAGAAAATATCATTGGGCCGGAAAGCAATACACCAAACCAATCAATAAGAATATTATTTTCATAGGCATTCTCAGTAAAATTACAATCAATATTATAACGACTTTAATTCTTTTAACACAAAGACACAGTACAGAATGACAGTAATAAACTTTTTTCTTCAAACTAATTAAAACACAGATCATTTTTTATTTTATTTTTTGTAGTTCCAATTTTGTTTTGTCTTCAGATGAGTTTATAAATGAAATGGTTTGTTTAGTCAAGCAACATGCAAGCTGGCACACAATTATGTGGGTCAAATATTGAGAAATTGAGAAAAAATAGGTTGCCAGACAACAAAACATACGCCCACAACAGGTAAGTTGTCCATGCAGTCCACAAGGGCGTTGCATATTATTTCTTTTGTCAGTAATGAAAGCATTAACAAGATACTAACAAACGGTTTCCATTGAAGATCAGCTAAAAAAAACTATTTTCAGTCAAATTTTCACAAAATTCGAACTCGACCATAATTATGGTTTAACGGTGATATATATATATATATATATATATTGAACTATATATTTGAACAGGTTTTAAAAAAAGATAAAACCGTCACCTCAAAAGGGTCCATAAGCGAAAATGCCATTTTTTCGTGCAATCATGGGCCAGGGCCGTAGTTATCTGAAATCGCTGAAAATCAATAAGCTTCGTTGTCTCATCACCATAAACAATGTATATAAGTTTTAAGTCAATGGATATTAACTTTAGCCTGTACAGTGTCCACAATTGCTTGTGGACTCCAGACCGCCAGACGGGGTGGGGTGACAACAATTTACGACCATATTTCAATGTGAGAGACTTCCAATAAATAGAAACAGGTGACACAAACCAACAATAGTACAAAAAACTCCTTATAAAGATCACAAAAAGTTGAAAACAGCAGGAAGTATTTTGATTCATAGACTGAATTCAGTTTGGCCTAATTATTGAAATGAGGTAAATCCATAACTTTCCTTTAACATTTCATTTGATCATTCGTATACATGATGATTTAACTTAAGCTAACCTTTCATGTTATGTATCTAAGTTCATTCCTATGATGTCATAACTGACTTCCAGCCATTTTGTATTTCATTCTTCATCTCTGAAGAAGTTAGTATTTTCATGGCCTATTCTATTTATTATTGTATATCACATTTCAATGTGGGTGTACAAAAAGTTAAATATAATAGTCTTCCACATAAACGGGTCAGATCAATATGGAATGGAGGTCATCGAAAGTATAATGAAACGAAACAAAATTTAGATCTGTATTTTAATCAGATTATTTTTTCTTTAAAGAATTAGCAAATTCAGAAAAAAATTAAAGCAAAAAATATTTTTGGGGGTCGTAATGAGACATCACTAACAAGGTTTGGAAATTACTGATGTCATTTAAAGACAATCTTTTACAAATTTCACACAGAGATTCATAATAGCAAACCAAATATATACATTTCCCTTTCTTTAATAAGCGTTAGCAAATAAACATATTAGTTTTACAATTCCATAAACATCTCTTAAAATTCAAATAGCACTTTTGGTAAATTTAACAATAGAAATGTACTAGAAACTGAATCACAACTCTATTGATGTAAATTTAACTGGTCATTTCTATAAGTGTGTATATATAAGTAAAGATTTGTTGGTAACTAATATAAAACATTAAAACAGAAATATATATCTCTCGAAACTTATATCTTAATTCTAGGAATATCTTGCATCTACATATACATTAATATAATTTAATAAACTGAAACATACTATAGAAGATTATAAGGTCCTAATATCAACTAATATTATGCCACAGGGACCATTACTTTCTGTAATAGGACCGGCAAGTATATTGGAGTGCCCAACAACAGCACAAACAGTCCTCTCTACCTAATGCTAATCTTTGTTTTAAATTCCAATATATAGATTGTGGTTTATAAATTTCTCATTGGTAGATAATCAACCAAAATGAGAACTGCTCATTCAGCTTATAGGCCAATATATAACAGTTAACAAAGTAAATTATAATAAAAAAAATAAGAAAAGTACTAATTTTTTTAAATGGAGTAATATTAGATACATAAATATGAAGATTGTTCATGAAAAGTCTCAATAGGCAACATCAAAACATTGGTTCATCTTTTTGTAATATATAGTTCAATTAAACTGCTTCAACAGCATTTATCAGTAATAATTTAATTAGCTTGTAGATGCCTTACTTTATATTTTTTAAAATACATTCTGATTTCCATGAACATCGACTCCATTTTATTAAGAATACATCCACCAATAGATATCTAGCTAAAAGATACATCAGAATATTCACATTCCTAATAAAAATTGATTAGTTGATGCTATTTTTTAACAACAATCAACAAACAAATAATTCATCTGAAAGTACACACACAACAATTCAAATGCTGATAATGTATTTAAGTACAATGTACATGTATTTTTATTCAATGATGAACAAATTATTTATATTGAAAGCAATATCATGTTTTATAACTGATGGACATGTTGAGGTACATTTTTGACATTTTGATATTCATTGCAAAGGTTGATCATTGCTGGCAGTAAAGAAAAGTTAATTCTAAAGTATTAGAAAATACATTCAACTGACAATAATAGAGATTTCACTGGTATTCCAGACACATCAAATCCAATTCAATTCATTCCCGACTCTTTCTACTGTCAGTAATTGAGTAATTTAGTATAGTCTCCATACATTAATAGCCAATACAAGAAATTAATGTTAAAAACAGGAGACAGGCAAGCTCAAAAATAATTGCACATCAAAGATTTTAAATAATCTCAATATCGTTTTCTGTTACAGTAAACCAAATTATAATCAAGAGTATCATTGAAAGGTCACAAGAAATTTGTCAAAATTCAGATAAATCATTGGTGAAGAGATCAGTTGTATAATGTTTACCATAGTTTAGTTGTTGGTCCACCAGGTGGATTCAATACACGTGAAGATGTTCTTACATCTTGAGCTTTACCACTTGTAGACTGCATTACACCAGGTCCATCACCTGCTGATGGCAGAGGTTGGTAGTTATCCACAGGTTTAGGTTTCTACAACATAAAAATATCTAATTTAGCTAAAGTACTTTGATTCAACCCAAAAATTGCTAAAATAGGGATGATTTATGGCAGGGATGCCGTTTAAAATTTTGGCTTGTTGGACATTTTTAGTTGGGGTTAATAGAGACAGAAAATAAGTCACCAGAAGTCATTGTCAGTTTCAGGCAACAGGTTAAATAAGTTTCTATTTCATTTCATAATATTTTTCATGTTATGTAGCATATCTCGTCTTGAATAATATTTATGAGTAATATAAAAAAACGATAGGTTGCCAGGCAACGAAACATACGCCAACAGCAGCTAAAATCTGATTAACAACTCATTAAGTAGTTATCAGAAAATCATTAGAATTTGTTTGGCACATGCTAACGTTTAGTATTAAAATATCATGGATTTAGCTATTCAAGTTATCAAAAATCACTGAAAATCAATATACTTGTTCGTCTCAAGACCTTAAACTCTGTGTGTCAATCTAAAGTCAATTGAAACAATTATATATAGGCATGAACACGGTGTATAAATTTAAAATATATCAGATGATACTATGGTCTCTAAAGCATCCACAAGATTTTCAAAGTGATCAAGGGCCATAACCAAGCCTGGGAAATAAGGCACCTGTCACAGACATTGTCAGGCACAGATTCAGGTTTTGTCTGATGCCTGTTATTTTGTCCGGCACTGATTTGTCTTTTTCATTAATACCTTTCCGGCACTAAGTTGAAAATGTCAGGTACTATTTCATTAGTGCCTGACATTTTGTCAGGTACATCTAAAACCGGTATTTCCAGGTCTGGCCATAACTCTGGCAGTAAATTAAATATCGGACATCTGCGAAAATCAATAGGCTTCTTTGTCTCATGACCTTAAACACTGTGTATAAATTTAAAGTAGATCATATATTAACTTTAGCCTCAAGAGGGTCCACAAGATTTTTCAAAGTGATCATGGGCCATAACTCTGGCAGTCATTATTAGAAATTGTTGAAACTCAATAGGATTCTTCATCTGATGACCTTAAACACTGTGTATATATTTAAAGTCAATCGGATATTAACTTTAGCCTCTAGAGAGTCAACAAATTTTTGATCAAGGGCCATAACTCTGGCAGTAATTATCGGAAATTGGTGAAAATCAATAGGTTTCTTCATCTCATGACCTTAAGCACTGTGTATAAATTTAAAGTGAATCAGATATTAACCTTAGCCTCGAGTACGTCCACAAGATTTTTCAAAGAGATCAAGGGACATAACTCTGGTAGCATCAATGAAACATGTTTTTATTGAAATATCTGTATATCTAGACACATGCAATATAAAAGATACCCCTTCTAAAACAAGCATGACACATGTAAAATGATTATTATGTAAATTAAATATCACTGATATCAAAGACTGCAGTCTCAATTGCACATGCAAGGGTAAAGTCATGGGTATTTCATGTAATGTCTGATTACCTCATTTTAGCCCTGAACACTTTCAATCTTAACTGTCTACCTATGGGTGTGAATCTGGTAAAATAGAGCAACATAGCCAATCTGAAGGAGTTTGTATATTTTCTGGAAACAAATATTTCTAATGGTGGTCGTGATAAATACTTACAGGTGGTGGTGCAGAACATGCTGTCTTTTCATATGCTTCTCCAGTTATAGGGTTATAAAAACCTACCAAATAAATATCAAACATTATGATCAGGGAAATAACAGTATCATTTGTAATAATTAGTAATTATTGACCATACTGATAAAATTGGGCAAGTTTATTTTTATTTTAAATAAATAGATTACAATGATAAAAATTGTTGTTTTTAAAAAATTGTTCATTCAGTTTTTCAATGATGGAAACAAAAGATGGGTTGCCAGACAACAAAACATACGCCCAAAGCAGCCAAGTCTAAGCAGTCCATAAGGGTTGTCGCATATTTTATCTACAAAATAAAGCAAGGGCCTTGACTCTATAAGTAATTAATTTACAAATATTCTTGAAATTTGAATGGCTTTTTTGATTTAAACAATGCATGTAACTTTCATACAGATCGGATGCTAAATTTTGGCGTTAGAGCATTCACACGGGTCAACAATGTGAAACAAGGACAATAACTCTAGAAATAATCAACAAAAATTGCTGAAATTCAACAGGCTTCTTTGTTTCACTAATCTAAATAATGCATATAAATTTCACAAACGATCCGATAATAAATTTTCAAAAGAAATTATGGACAGAGGTGACGGCAATATACAACCACATTTCCATGTGGGCGTATAAAAACAGATTATAAGGTCTCAAAGAATAAGGGGGGTTGGATGGCTGAATGGTTAGCGTGCGCGCGCTGTATCATAAAGTCTGTCATTGAGTCAATTGGCGTGGTTTCGAATCCCCGGTTGTACGTGGCAAGGAGTAGGGTCGCCTGTCCAACCTCGTGGGTTTTCTCCGGGTCCTCCGGTTTCCTCCCACTGCTAAAGACCCCTACGCGCAAGCGAATTATGTAAATAAAATTAAACCATATGTTAGTCCCGAAATGACCTAGTTTGTGTCCAGTGGTCGTTAAACCCCATTTCTCTGAATTTTTGGACCAATTAAAGAAGCCCAGAAAATTTGAAAAAAAAAAAAATCTTAATATTTCTGACGTTTGGACTAATTCCAACAATGTGATTCTGTGTCAGTTTTTACATCCAAAGTGAAAACATGGTTATTTAGATACTATCATTACCACTCCAAAGTGAGAACATTTTCTAGCGCCTAGTGCATTCCCTTGTGGATTGAATACTTGAGCGATACAAATATTATTATTATTAATTCCAAAGAGATGGGACAGACTACCAAATGACAGACAGGAACAACGACAATATTCATTTACATCAGTATGTGATTGTATTTTAAAAAGATTTGTAAATTGTGTAAAATAAAAAAGGTTTTCAACAAAAACATGCAATTAATATAAAAGACAAAAAAACAATTTACAAATAAAAAATTAATAGAAAAAAAAAGACAAAATATTGTGTATACATGTAATTAGATTAGGTGATACATAGCTCTACTGCTAGGTGAATAACTTAAACTATACTAATTTTGCCTTTTAAAGAGTTCTAATGTCTACAGGTGAACAGAAATAAATAATTCATGCTTATATAATTTTTCTTTTCAAAATTGGGATTCAGATTTATTTAAAGAGATTAGCATTGTGAATGGTCTATATCTTCACACATTAACCATCTGGCAAAATTTTCAAGAGAGAGCCCTGGCACGGAACATTTTATTTGGTCGGATCAGTACAACTAGATCCCTTTCCTTGCCAAGTCCTGCATCCCTGACAAGGGGAACAAGCATTAATTGCACCAAGATCTTTTGATCCTTAACATATGTTTCATACGAATCGGATGAAAAATTGTTGTCTCTGGCAGATCTGCAAACTTTGTACATATTTCACATTTTACGTAAAAGGCAGGGGGCATAAATCCAGAACATAAGATCTTATGCAAAATTGAACTCATGCATGATCTTTTGATCCTTAACATGTTAAGTTTCACATGAATGGTTTAGTCGTTCGGATGGGATGGAAATGAAGGTCCCGTGTACACAATGGCATGTATGTAAAAGAACTCTTGACAGTTGGAATTTATTAGCCCAGTAGGAGCAGAACAGTAGGACGCTAAACCCTATTTCATTTCCGATACGTGCCAAGATCTGTTATCTTTGGGATATATTTCTTAAGTTTCATCAAAATCAGATAAAAATTGTGACCTCTAGAGGGTCCGCAAGCTAAAAAATTAATTTCTAGCACAATTGGGGGCAATAATCCATGAAGTTAAGGTCTTATCAAACCCATCCGAGATATTTGGGACATAAACATATATTTTAAGTTTCACCAAAGTCGGATACAAATTTTGAAGTGTAGAGGGGCACAACAAATGGCAGTGTCATATGTCCACATTAAAATGTGGGCGTATAAATATAACAGAAAAGATTACTCCATGAAAAGTGATCTAAAAGTTTTGATCTTCAATGGGGTCCTTTACTTATGATCAAATGAACAATCCCTGCAAATTTGAAAACATGAGTCATTGAATGACCAACAACATCAAGGAGACATACAGTCAAGAGGGGAAGATTTCTAACAATCTTTTAAGTTTTTAAACAGCATCTTTTCTTTACAACTACTGTAGACATTTAACGAATAATTTTTTTAAAAGAAGTAAAAAAACCCACAGAAATAAAACGGAAGCACATATATCAATCGTATAAATAAAAGCTAGCATGATACTGATAAAAAAGATAGAGGGGAATAAGAAAATTAGTCTGAGGAAGGAAGGAAGAAAATGGGAATAGAAATTTATATTTGGTGAAGTGTACTTTTCTTACCAACTAATGTTGACTCAAGTTGTAGAGTTTTAAAATTTTGTGTCCTGCCACATTTGTATAAAATATAAATGTAAACATTCACAATGAAAATTCATTATCAAATACTAAACTAATCTGGAATTAATTAAATGAATTGAACTAGTTTAATTATGTTCGAAAGAACATAATATACCTCTACGAAGTCTATTCACTTGTTGTTCGCGAACCAGTACAGTGTCAATAATATCTAATACTTGAATATTATCTGATGTTTCTGTTTAATGACATAATGAAAAAAAAAAAGAATTTAAAAACAGTCCATGGCCACGGGTGTATAGTTTTGTTTTGTTCATGTACCCTAGTAGAAACGTACATTTGTAATCCAATTCTAATCAGAGTTACGGGTGTTCATTTGTCTAGAAGATTTAAATTAAGTAAAAAAAAAAACTGAAAACAATAAACACTTCATTATTGGAGACGGAACATCTTCTACTCGTAACTGGGGAAAGGTCTTTTCTATTAAAAATTTAAAAATAGTGAAGATACAAAAACAGCTTTGCATAGATCACAAATAGCCATTAATAAATAGTACTACGTAATTAAAAGTCATACTTGTCAAATCTATTGAATGTCACAAAGGATAACTTCCTTTTTAAATTTTAATATTGCATGGTTATTAATACCTTTCACTTTCAGTCAAAAATTTTAGTTTTCCTAAAAAGAAATGTCAAACTTTCATTTTAAATAATTTAAATACTTCAAAAGAATAATCTTATAAAACTCAAAGGTTAATAAAGATCTTGTAAAATCCTAATCGAGTGCTTAAGTGAAATACTTGCAATAAATTAATGTGTACAGTTAGATAACCAATTATTTTTATTCATAAATATTCTGCTTTAAGTTCCATTGTTTAATTAATGTATAACATGTTGTGTTTTTAATTATGCGTAGTGAGCGTAAATTGTGGAAACATACCCTGAGTTTTTTGCTTTGCTGAGGGTGTGTTATCTTCACCAAATATATTACTATGGGTATTGTTAGGAGGAGTACGGGTTACTACTTTATCTACATTTACACATTCAACAGCATCACCAAAAATTCTATTTTTAGAATCAGAACCTCTGGTTTGAGGAAGAATTTTCTCAACATGATCACTTTCGCCGAATAACTTCTTGCTTTGCCCATGGGTTGGTTGTTGGGAAACATGTGCTCTCTGTGATTGACGCTTTGGTGGTGGGTCAGCTTCTCCTCCAAAAATATTACTTGCACCCCCTCCTGGAGGTCTCAACACTCTAAAAAAACAAAAACATTCCTTTACATCTCAAAGACTTGATGTGTCATGATTTAGTGCTATAGGAATCTCTGCAACCAACAACATTATGAAATTTTAATCTCTACTAATACTATTAGTAACAGGAATATCAGTTCAAAAATGATTCAATTCCGTTCAGTAATTACAAAGTTATGATAAATTGAAATTTCATCGATCTATGCAGCTAGCTAATATTGATAGTGCAATCTGATGGCCCTACATATGTAATTTGAATCCAATTGAATCCATGGCGGGAGATTATCTAGCATTGGTATTTTAATTTCTTAATCAACATGTTAAATAATCAATCTGAGTACATATTTAGTGTGGATTAATAAGCCGAGAGAAATTGATATTTTACAAAATTGCAAATGACGTTTTGAGCCTTTAAAGGATTTACAAGTTGTTTTATCAAATTTCTTGAATGGTAGTGTAGGATTTTGATTGCTATTGTTAACTATTACTTAGGGATGTTTTGATCAACTTTCAAGTTTGAATCCCTTGGTTGGTAATCTGAAAAAAAAAACCAACTCTAATTTGCAAATTAATTTTTATGCTAGCCTTGGCCCTTGAAACAGATTTGTGCCTCACAGCTGTCAAAGAAAGACGGGAATGACACTTGGTTTTTTTTTTTCAATTCCAAATTGGATTAATCATTATTTACTAAATGAATAGGTACATGTAAGTCTAGATGGACCACCCTATCTGATTGTCCATAATCATACTTTGTACAAGGATAAAATGGAATGTAAGTGTTACAAAAGTGAAAGAAATGGGGTTTAACTCCACTCGACACAAACTAGGTCATTTCGGGACTAACATATGGTTTAATTTTATTTCAATAATTCGCTTGCGCCTAGGGTTCTTTAGCAGTGGGAGGAAATCGGAGGACCCGGAGAAAACCCATGAGGTTGGACAGGCGACCCTACTCCTTGCCACGTACAACCGGGGATTTGCAACCACGCCAGTTGACTCAATGACAGGCCTTATGATACAGCACGCACATGCTAACCATTCGGCCATCCCACGTGACAAATGAGAGAGAGAGAGAGAGATTGGGTTTAACTTCCACTGGACACAAACTAGGCGTTGGGGTCTTTAGCAGTGGGGGGAAACCGGAGGACCGGGAGAAAACCAACGAGGTTGGACAGGCGACCCTACTCCTTGTCGCATGCAACCAGGAAATCGAAACCACGCCAGTTGACTCAATGACAAGACTTTATGATACATACTAACCATTCAGCCAGCCATCTCCCCCCCCCCCCGTTAAGTGTTACATAGAATCACCTTGGCCTAGCCTAATTTAATAAATTTCTAACTGATACTTTTATTTAGTAGATCTAATCGGTTCATCGATTTAGTTTACCCAAAACAACTTTAATTACCCATTACAACATATTTGTAGGGTCTTTCTTTCTTTTTATATGTATGGATGATTAATATTCCTTAAACTTTACTCTTTTTTTAAAAAAATAATTCTGAAACAAAAAAAGAAAATATATGGAAGATAAAAAGCAAGGTTAGGCCTAGAGCCTATAAAGTTTTTATATTAATCATGCAAGAGGTAAATCTGTCTATTGCAGATCTTTCTTTAGGCATTAAATGTTACATAAACTATTAATTAGACATATTATTTATTAACATGAAAAGACCATAATCAACTCTCAGTGCCATCTTATGTGTCAAATTTTCATTGGATTTGAATCTGATCTGCTGTTCAATGTCTGTTGATGATTAAATGCAAAAATGGATAATCAAAACTGTGTTAATTATCGTGACAGTGGTAACAATGACATTCTCAAGGCTACAGAGATTTTAAAATAAGGTTTTCCACTTACATCATCTAGTTTTTAACTATTACATAGTGAGAAGTTGAGAACTGCGAGCTATTTATCTAATCTTCCATAATGTATCGTTAAATAAACTTTAAAGTTTTAAGGACATTACAAACTACTAGTTATGATATTATAATTAATCGTAACAACACAAATTGTGATAGAGTTATCATTCTTGTTTCCTTTATTTTATTGCTAATTTATAATTTTATGACTATGTAATTTAACAGGGATAAAACTCTCTTCAGTTTGAGCAAAGAAATATGTCCTTAGTGATGTTATCAGACAATTAAGTTTTTAGAAGGCTCAAATTAGACATACCAATCACATGATTTCATTGCTTAAAGCGAATTTTCTTTTTGTCTTCTAGATTGATTTCTGAACACTTCAGTGGAACTCGAAATAAAAAATTGTATGCCTAGCATCAGTCTGACTGACTGGATTTAAATAAGATGATTTGTGCCTGTATCAAGTAGGATTTATATGCTTACTATCTGTTTCAGGTGACACTCAATTGCTTCAACTTCTAATTAAAAGTTAATTCCTTTGCTTTCTACCACTTGGGAACTAATTTCAGATCAAGCTATATAGCCTTTCTGGGCTTCTCCCTTGAAAAATCGTGGTTTGTTTACATCGCGTCACTGAAGATCAGCCATGTTTGACCTAATTATCTGGAAATGGCGAACTGCCTAAGATGACCAGGGGTGTAGTTTTGACTTTGAGTCATTTTGGCATACTTGCATGTTTAGTTGTTTCAGCCCAGTAGAATGTACCTTATTAAAGCCCTATTTAAGAGAGATAATATAAGTTTGCCTTCAGACCACAGATATTTCTCCAAATGACAGTCTGTCTGTACATACATGTAGATATCTACAAAGTTTAACCTACTAGTGATATTGTACTGATGGAAATTTGGAAGGAGGTTAGAGGATATACATGTACCCCTAAAATAATCAGAAATCGTCTATAATATGTAATAGTCATGATTGTTTGCATAGTTATTCCTCTGCTCAAAATTCCTAAAAATCATCAAACCAAAAACTGACAAGGAATCGAAATTCAAAAACTTGTGCAAAATTAACCATGCAGAAGTATAGCGAGTGGTTAAATTTACACACACAAATTTGCTTTATGTGAGCAATAGGCTGGATACCAATTTCCCTTTATTTAAATACTTTTATTGCTATTTAAAGTTTTTGCAAATGACAAAACCAGAACTGCAAATTCAACTTGATTAAAAATTTGAACCAAATATCGAAAATGTATATGTTCTTTAAAAATTTTGGGGGGGTAGAATAAACTGCCCGAAATCTGGAGCCCCTCTGCTTTGTGCATTGTTTTTGGGCATTGGTCATTATTTGTTACATCAATTACATCCCATGACAGTGCACTTTGAGGCGAGGAATCATAATGTGAATTGTTTCGGAAACTTTATTTCTGCACGCTCTCCCCAAAGTCTGGAATTCAAGCAAGCACGGAGCGGGATTTCGATTGGAAAGTCACACCACAGTGGGCAGTGGGGGGCATACAGAACTTTTTTCAAGCATTTCACTTCCCCCCACAACCCCTGAAACACAAGCTGGTCAGGCTTGTATGTCCAATGAATACAAATTATGAATATGTATGATTTAATAAACAGTGAGAAATATTAAAATACGGGTATCCAAAAAAGCGCCACAGAAATTGATGTTTTTAGAAAGTTGACCCGTACAATTTACAAGAGAATATTTTATCGAACTTCTAGGCATTAAGGCTTGATGATGAAAAAATTCCAGGTATGTCACTAAGTTAAATTAAATATTAAGAAATGGCAAGCAATCTTCTAGTCGGGGTGTCACCTTGAACCTGGACATGTAGTGTTACTTGGGTGTGGCTTAAATTATGTAATAAAATCACAATAATCAATCGTTGTTTTAAAGAAGATGTTTGCATTTCTATTTTAGCGGCGAGCCAAGTGCCCGGAATAGGTTAACTATTGGTATTAAATCTCACCTGGAGACATGCACGGTCGGGAGTTGACGTATGTAAATCTAACTCTAACAAACATACATAATGATACAGGCCGCAGCTACAATTTCTGCAGTTATCCGGGATTAATTTTACAGGAGTGAAGTGACTTGTAGTTGTTATCGGTATATTTTACGGCAATGACAACGATGTGTTGTTAAATATGTTTGTTTGCTAAATAACTTAACAATACAATTTACAAATTTCAAAATTTCTTCAGATGAGAAATGTTAAATTATTAATTATTACAATCTAACAATCTGTGGTTTTTGGTTTTTTTTTTTAAATCCTTCTTAACACTTAGAGGAGAGAAGTCTAAACAGTCCGCCTACACTTGACCTGGACAGCGATTTTTCGAGCACCTGCATTTTTCAAACGTCAATCCCTGACTGGCCTGAGTCTAATCTATCTCAAAATAAAAACATGGCAGCCACGCAAGTCGATATTTTTTACTAATTTTCCTACTCTTTCGACAAACCTTGATGTGGGTTTCTGTTCATCTCCTAAACCTTGATTAATTCCAGTCGACGTCATGCTATATCAGCGATTTATATGGCTAATATTGGTTGATATTTTTGCAGTCTACTTCGCCTAAAACAGATTTCTTCGCCTCACCCTGCCTTCGTTCGAATTTTACGCACACTAATAATGACGTCATACTTCCGGTACATCTTCATTTGAAACCCCTCGTTTTTTTTTAGTTTAACTTTCACCATTGAAGTCATTCCCCATACAAGCCTCGATATCCAACATTGTGAGAATACACTAAATTGTGGCTGTGGGCCTATGGGACAACAACAAGACAACACAAAAAGAGTAGCAGTTATTAAAGTGGATATCAAATTAATAAGGTTACAATTTATTTTTAGGATGAAATTGTTTTGAAACCAAATGTTTTGCATTTTATACTTGCACCTTTTTTACTTGGCAGGAAACAAAATGACCGTATGTTTGTCTCTAATGAGAGAAGTATTAGTATGTGCGTTAAACTTCTTTAATAACAAACAGATGCTCGATATGTTGTAGTATTTGATTAGTATTGGGTGCTATTGAGTAAAAAAATCGCCCTGTCCGATTAAGCAATCTGTTTCACAGAGGTTATGGAAAAGTCTGTAGAAGATGGCTGGCCTTAATGTCACGTGCATAGGTCCACGTGTGACGTCACATACGACGCGATAGCGTGTGCAGTGTTTACTTCGTGTACTGTTATGTACCCATTTACACTAAACAGGAAATATTTTTTATCCAGACATACTTGCATCACATTCATATTTTTTCTTAATAATATTAAGAGCTAACTCGACCCGATATTCACTGCTGACCAGTTTGGTTTAAAAGTGTTCGTAAATATGACTTGGTATTTCCGATTGAAAATATAAACCCGAGTAACCTCCCCTGCCTTGTTCTGTTTAGGTCCACAGTTTTTTTGCAAATGGATCGAGTTTGTCCCTCGGTACAAAAAGGCATATTCTTTCTTCACATTGGCGTGGCTTCTGATAATAGATAAGGTCCACTTCGAACTAGTTTTAGAAAAATGGTACACTTTTTTTCGAGGTCCAGGCCCATAGGTTATCCCGAAATATAAAAAGGGGACTGCTCTTTCATTATTAACGTTTGCATGGCTTCTGTCCTCGTGATACTGATAGTAGTGATAGTAAGAATTATAAGATCCACTTTGACTTCGAATTAGGCCTAGTTTTAGAAAAAAAAGAAGCAGATTTTCTTATTTTTATATAAAGAATCATGACCTAATACTAATATAACACGGTAAATATATAACACACAGAATATAAAATAAATTATTGAAGTTGAAGAACAGTTTAATGTTCCGACGTAATAATTTGTTTAAATGAAATGACAATAGTTAGTAGTAATACTATATAACTAATACTAAAAAGTAATAGCCAATAATAGCAGGTTTTAGATGAATATTTTTATTTGGTCTATTTTGTCTTTCGTGTGTAAAAGTACTCATAGAAAGGTGTTTGTGGACATGTAGTAGCAGCAGCAGTAGTAGTAGTAGTAGTAGTAGTAGCTATTGGTTTAACGTCTGCCACCACATATTAGTGATATTGTATTTTAATAGACCAACCTATCGGTAATACTTGATTGATGAAAATAGGTCAATAGACATGATATTCTCGTCTACAATATTGTTGACGTCATTGTGACCTTAATAAATTATGTAAATATCGGTAGTTTCCAGTCATGTGATGCTGTTCAACCAATCAGATATTGGGATTCCCCTTTTTGATTCCCGCCAAGTATTTTGACAACACACCGTGCGGAATAACTTATTCGTCCACCAGTTAGCTGGTGCATAATAATGGAAGTCTATGCACAGCTTGTAAACTAACCATAATAACCAATCTTGTTCACTTCTATGTGGATACATGTTATACAGTCGTAGATAATTTTTTGATCATTATTAAGACATTTTACTTTTAGAAAATGATGATAATCAGAAAATAGAAATATTTCGATATGCATGTGACTGTGTATACAGACAGAGTAATATATACATTTTCATTTTATAAATCTACTTATCCTATTTATTAAAATAAGAAAGAAATACTCCGGTTTAACAAAAAAAAGGGGGGGGGGCAGAAATAGAATATCCAGCGACTAAATATTAATTATTACTCCACAAAAAAAGCCCAGTCACCAAAACACATAATTCTCATGTATGTATGTGGTTTCCATCGCTTCCCGAATGATAAAAAATTAAAATAAAAAAGTGTGCTCGAAAAGGGTGGGGTCTATATCTATAAATGAAAAAAAAAAAAAAAAAAATACCAAACACAATTAGTCCTGACTCCTTATTATACACCACTGTCATAATCCAGACAAATTCAAGTTATACGGTTGGGGTGCATCAACAATCCGATTCCGAATCAAGGAATATTATAGAATCAACCAAATTAAATTTATTGATTGTCGAGGAGGTTTCCCCCACCCCCACAAATAAAATAATAGTCCATATTATCTTCTAGCCAAGAATCGTTTGATGTTATCAAAAATTGCAAATTCAAAGCTCTAAAAATAATTAGGCTGCTCGGTATGCCTATTCCGTATAAACCTCTCGCAATGTTGATAACCGAGGGATGTTTTGTGTTGGGTAGTTGCCGAGACGAGTATTATGACTGTACAAAGAGAACTGCTACGAGTTATCTGGTTTTTATTGGTGTGAATATCACATAAGTGTTTGTACTTTTTCAAGATCTATGCCTTTAGCTAAACGGAGAAAAGTTTTAAATGAGGACTGTGCCGTAAAGGATGCATCTGGAAATCGGTACGTAGTCTAGTTTTCTACGATTAGTTTCGGACGTTAATGGAGAAGGCAACCGCCATCTTGACACAAATATCGAGATGGTGACTTCGATAGAGAACGGTTAACACCCCAGGTTATGTGTGAATCTCCTAAAACATACTATCATGTCGTTTTTTGACATTGCATCGTTAAGTACAGGACACATCGCGGATTAAATCATGAGAATTAACCCCCCAATAGACCTATTACAATTATCGTATTTGGACCTAGCGGCCATGTTGAATTTATTCAAACACCAAGACGTAACTAAACCCAAGTCCTTGTGAATTCGCCGGATCTCTTCTATTTATTAATTGATTTTAAGTGTTTACTAGATTGATTCCGGTCGTTTATTTATATATAATCTAATTTTCTTGTACAGGGTGAGTGTTACAACACAGGATGTTGCACAAGAAGAAGTGGATAAGAGATGCACAGTGACAGATGATGCAAAAACACAAAATTTTCCAACTTTAGAACGGCGATCAAGACACACAAGTCGTTCAGATGAAAGTGCTGTAACAGACGATGAAAAACCATCAACCCCGTCAACAAGTGTTGCCACCACCAGTGTGCCTCTGAGAAGCAGTACAAGAGTAATAAGGAAAACAAGAAAAGATTTTAGCCCCCCTGAATCACCTGTTAAAAAAACAGGTAGACCACCTACCCATAGCCTACATTGTAGATTAATATATTTACTGTACGGTACATACATCCAACACAGTAATCCCCATTACTGTTTGGTGTAATAAAAACAATTTCCTGGTAGCCTACATACATGAATACATTAGTATTACAGAAAATATTCCCCGGTAGGCCTATGCATCCATACAACTTACAAGGCCAGCTTTCTACAGTAGTGGATGGTTAATTTTTTGGTTATAAGGACTTACTTTTCCCAATTTTTGTAATCATTTGATTACAAAAAATTACTGGCCTTACCACATAAAGTTGTTTGTGGACCCTCTAGAGGTCACAATTTTTATCCAATTTTGACAAAACTTGAAATATAGGTTTATATCTCAAAGATCTCGGTTCCTTTCGATGTATTGGACCATAACTTCATGGATTATGATCCCTGATTGTACGAGAAAATTGTGGACACTCTACAGGTCACAATTCTTTTTCCAACTTTGATGAAACTTAAAATGTATTTTTATATTCCAAAGTCAGATCTTGGCTCCTTTCGAGATCGGACTATAACCTCCTGGATTATGGCCCCTTATTGTATGAAAAATCACATTTTCAGCTTGTTCACTGTCAATCTCTTGCAAAATGTGACTGTATCTTGCATGGCAACCGCTTGTTCCACACTTTTGTCCCATACCCAAAAAAATACATAAAAGACAGGATAATCAAATATTATTTATTTTTGTTTTACACAGCTAAAGAAACAAAGGTCACAACACCATTAATTAAAACAAAAAGAGGCTGGGAGCTATGGAGTACTGAAGATAAAAATATATTCTTTGAAGCCCTTTTTGAGGTAACGTAAGCTTTATTTCATTTGAAAAATATACAATTTAAATTAGATACAATAGAACCTTGTGGGGATATACATGTAGCCCATTGTAGCACTTTAATTTGACTACGATCTTTTCTAAAAAATTCAGTTCGTACCTTTCAATTGATTGTCTGTAAAAAGTTAAGCTGTTGATTAGTTTTTGCAATATACCCATCTGAAAATAGGGGAGTTGGATGGAATGGTCTAACGCATGCTTTTAGATCATAAGGTTTGTCATTAAGTCAAGTGGCTTGGTTTCGATTCTCAGCTTGTACATGACAAGGAGTATTGTTGCATGTCCAACCTCATGAGTTTCTCTTAGAATCCTCCTATTTCCTCCCACTGCTAAAGACCCATATGTGCAAGCGAATAGTCCCGAAATAGTTTACATTAAGTTGACTATAAATGCCATTTCTCTGTCTCTAGCACCATCTGAAAATATATATAACATCCATGAAAGGTGAGCACCACATAATCATAATTCCTCTACCAGAAGCAGATAAGAGATGTAAAAATGCTAAAATAACTTTAGTTCAAAGAAATCTTCTTCCTTCCACTTTCTTGGTGTATCCAAATGGAACCTACAAAATTATTGCCACTATTTTCTAATTTAACATTACAAATACAATACCAAAATCAGGAAACTTTACAATGTTTTAACACATAGGTAGGAAACATATACGTTGATTAAATTACCATTGTTTAGCCTATTTAATGAGGACGTAATTTGTCATTGTACCTGTCTCGTGTCCCTTTTTAATTACTTGTGAATCTGATGGTCAGAGTTTTAAAATTTTATTAAAATTTGCATTGATGTCTGTTTTTTTCCAGTCAAAGAAAATGTGATATCCTGGCAAAAATTCTGGCAAATTAATTTTTTTGGACTAAAATATTGTAAATCTGTGAATTCTTAACTAAATAATGAGTTGATCAACATCTTTTTCGAATATAGAACTGTACGAGAAATCTGTTTCGATTGCATCACTGTTGTGTCTGTTTGTAGTATCTTGTCTCAATCTTACCGGTCTCAATCAACTCTAGAGGTCACAATTTTATCCGAATTAAAAAAAAACTTTAAGTATATCACCGTTACACCCTAATGGTGGTTGAGTTCTAATTTCGTGCAGATAGTGTAAAAGTACGTAATACCAACAAGGTTACCCTAAAGTTTTCGTTATACTGTTTACCAAGAAACTAATTATGTTGATTTTATTCCATATCTTTCAGTATGGGAAAGATTTTGATGCTATCCAAACTATGTTAGTACAGAGAGGGAAGAAAAGAGGTCTAACACCAGAATTATTGAAGAGAAAAGATCAAGTTCGCTTTTTATATTACAGAACATGGCATAAAATTGCTAAATTTATCAATATTTCTAAAGGTTTGTATTTATTTTCAGAAGTTTTTAAGTTTTTTCCCCTCAATAGAATGTGTCGGAACATAATTTCTAATGGAATTCTGTCTGTACTATGTTTTAGTCTATATTATAGTTTTAATCTTTAGTAATATTTTTTTTTGTAAGTGTTATGTTCTTTGTTTCACAGTTTTTGAGCACTGTTACCAAAATTCATGTTAATACAATATATAAAAAAAATGTGAAAATGCATAGGCAGATACAAATTGGGAAATAGAACAGTGAAAATTATATAGTTAAAACTGGCCAGCCTACAGAGATAAACAAAACAGAACTTTAAAAGAGCAATAAAGTTTACATATGTAGTAGAAAAGGCTTAGATTTACTATTAATAGTACTGTCGTTATTTTTATTAAGATGTGAGAAAGGAAACACAAGAACTGTATGGTCTTATCAACTATGGTATTTTTCGTAAAACAGTAAAAGGTATTTCTATTTTACACTTTTCTAATACTTGGATACAAAAATAGCATAATTTTAAAAGAAAATATTTGCTGTTTTATAATCCCACATTGAAATGTGGTCATATATTGTCGTCGCCCGTGTCCATCGGTCAGTCTGTCCGGCGTCCACAATTGCTTGTGTATGCTCTAGAGGCTAGAGTTATTATCTGATTGACATTGAATTTATACACAGTGTCTATGGTCATGAGACACCGAAGCTAAATGATTTTCAACAATTTCCGATAATTACTGCCAAGAGTTATAGTCCTTGATCAATTTGAAAAATCTTGTTGACGCTCTAGAGGCTAAAGTTGATATCTGATTGACTTTGAATTTATACACATTGGTTAAGGCCATGAAACGAAGAAGCCTATTGATTTTCAATGATTTCTGACAATTACTGGTTTGTCAAAGTTATGGTTCTTGACCTTTTCAGAGTTATTGCTCTTGATCACTTTGGAAAATCTTGTGGACGCCTTAGTGATTAAATTTATCATCCGATTGACTTTAAATTTATGCGCAGTGTTTACGGTCATGAGACAATGAAGCCTATAGATTTTGAATGGATTCTGATACATATTGCCAAAGTTATGGCCCTTGATTTTCAACGATTTTTGATAAATAGAAAGAACTGCTAAATTTATGATCTTACATATTTTGTCCAAGTTCTTGTAGTTAAATTTATCATTTGAATGACTATAAATTTATGCATGTTTGTGTTCATAAGAGAAATTCTATTGATTTTCAATACTGTCAGAGTAATAGGTCTTAATCAATTTCATAAGTCTTGTGGATGTCCTGGAGGCATTATTTACATGCATTATTTAAAGTGGAACCATGTGAACGCTCTGACGACTTAAGTCATCATTTGATCTGTTTTAGGTTTATAGGCAATATTTACATGTAAATTAGTAAAACAAAGTAGCCTATTGAATTTCAGCAATTTCTGTTAATTACTTCTAACAACAAAAGTTATTATTCGATCTGTATTAGATTTATATATATCATTCAAATTAGTAAAATGAAGAAACCTTTTGAATATTGGCAATTTCTGTTAATAACTTTTAGAGTTATGGCCCTTGTTTCACTTCAAAAGTTATCATCCGTTATCAAAAGTTATACTCATTATATAAATTAAACAAAGAAGCCTATTGAATTTCAGCAATTTCCATTTATAACTTCTATATTTATAATCCTTGTTTCACTGTTGAATGACAAAAGTTATCCTATCTGTATGAATTTTATGTGCATTATTTGAATAAGTGAGACGAATAAGGCTGTTGAATTTCAACAATTTCCATTAATTATTTTTATAGTTATGTCCCTTGTTTTACCTTGTAGAACTTTGTGAATGGAATAACAATGTAAGTTATCATCTGATCGATATGAAATTGATATCAGTATCTTGTCAATTCTCTCATTACCTAAAAAAGAATGTGACAACCTCTACAATAGAATGGATATGCAGCAACTTTTTTGACTGCTCAGTCAACTTGGGTGCTGTGAGCGTACGTTTTGTTGTCTGGCAACATATCTTTATTAAATGGATACTATTCGAGAGATCATGTGTACCTTTATCGTGCTGGACACATTTTAAACAAGAAATTATTTCCTTGTCTTATGATTTTCAGGTTTAAATGAAAAGACTGCAGTGAAACTGAATGAGTTAATTAATAAAGGGTATGATAATTTACTATTTTTTATACCATTAATAGTAACAATAATAGTATACCAAATCTCTGTCCCATTCCTTAATTCAGATTATCAAATTATTATCAATAAAATTGTGTTATTATTTTTGTGATTTGTTACAGCTACACAACTCTAAGAATAAAAGGAAAGACAAAGAAGTAAGTTGTTTTATATGCCCACATTGATATGAGATCGTATGTTGTTGTCACCCCTGTCTGTCAGTCATCCGGTATAACAATGGGCTAAAGTTATCTCCTGATTGATTTGAAATTTATACACAGTGTTTATGGTCATAAAAGGCTTATAGATTTATTAATTATTTTTGTCACAGTTATGACTCTTGATTACTTGAAATTTATACGCAACGTTTATGTTCACGAGTCAAAGAAACTTATTGATTTCTAACAAGTATTGTCAGGGTTATTGCCCTTGAATTTAATCACTTTTGAAAAATGTTGTCAATGCTCTAGAGACTAAAGTCATCATCCGATTGCCTTGAAATTTATTGTATATCTTACCACACCAGATAAAATTGAAGCATTTTAAAAAATTATCTTCATTTGCTCGATAATCAGGTTTCACAGACTATTTGATTCACCTCAATAACTGAGAGAAATCTCTGATATACCAGGAAATGAAATGAAATGAAATGAGGTTTAACGTCCTACTGTTCTGCTCCGAACTGAGCTAATGAAGACAGGCATCATCATACAGTGTGCTATGAGGAAAAGTTTGCCCGGACAGCGGCAATTATTTCTTATGATATTATTAAATAGTCATAATTTGCAAATGATCTATGAATATTTTTTATGTATAAGTAATTTTTTGTACATAAATAAATTTTGTAAAGAAAAATTTTATTGTATTTAAAGATTGAAAACACCAGTTTGTAGTGCACTGAAGAAGATAAATGGACTTTTTGGAAATGGTAAATTAAGCATTTATTTCTTGTAGAATACCCAACACTAATAGCAATTACTTGTCCTTCACTTTATCTGTGAATCCCACAAATAACATATTTTACAAATGATGATTTTATTTTTCACATTTGGATCTGTTTTTCAAATGGTTTATACAGATACATGATATTCCATAGTACAGTGTGATGCCGAAACCATCAAGATCTTATTTACTCAAACTTGGGCACTGATTTCAGACAATTCTTTGAGAGTAGACAAGAAACTACAGGATGAATACTAACCTGAGTTTTCTACAGATGTTAATCAGGAATCATGTTTCCTGTAATGCCCAAATTGTATTTTAGAATCCAAGTTTTTATAAAGAAACAGTTTATGTTCATAGATATTTTATTGCTGATTTTATGTTTCAGAGAATAGAGAAGTCCATCAAGCTCATCAAGTACCAGAAAAAATTACCGTAGAGCTTTGTCCACGAACCAATAAAGCCTGGTCACAAGTTCAATCTATTTCTCAAAACCCTCGTCTGCGCATGAATTTAATGTCCGATAGAACTCTCGGAGCTGTCTTAGAATACTTGAATAAAAAATGGAAGAGTCATCGTGTCAGAGTGGTATCCTTTGAACTTTAAAATAATCCCATAGTAGGACTTAAGTTGAAGTCTTATTGACTGAAACATTAAAAATCCTATTTGATATTTTCATATGAATTTATATAAGTCAACTTGTAAATAATTTCGCTAATTTATAATTGTTTGAAAGAATATTGGTGTTCGATTTGAGGACTGTTGCATAAATATAATTTCCAAACAGCACAGCTAACTTTTCAGGCAGACAGGTAAAGTGAAAAAAATAAAATCTATCGTCTGGTTGGCCAAATAAAGTGCCCAAAATCTAATAAAACATTATTTTTAATTTTCTTTCAATTGAATACCGCAAATTTGTATTGAATTGATTATGGATTAAAACATTTTGTCTGGAGCCACTCGGCTTTGTGCGACATTTTTCAGGCGACATATTTGTGAGGGGTAGGGCAGCTGACTTTTCGGGCAGACAGATAAATACTCTTAATTAAATCGACTTGTCCATAATATCATGATTAATGTATTTGTAATAAACAATAACAATATAGACCAGCATTTTTATCAAGTCGTTGTGGCTAGATCTATGTTTGAATCTGATCATTTGTTTGTAAATATATTGTTTATAATATTGATTACAAAATGTCAAGTGAATACTCAGATTGTATTTCCAACTTTTTAGGCATGTTTATTTACTTAAAATGTGATATACCATACATTATTGACATTTTGCAAGATATCGCGATATACTGATAATATCTTGAAATTTTTGTTCTAGGTTATATTATGCTCTAGTGGGCATATCTCATAAACCATGTGTCATAAATATTTCCTTAATCATATGAAAAAGTTGGAGAATATGGATCAATGTGAAGTAAATAAAGATGATTTGACAATATTTCCCAGTAGACATTGTAAATTGAACCAAGCTATAACCATGTTACCACAAAGTGTTCCCAGATTAGATCTAACACTCTCTAATTATAAAGAAAACTTTTTGAGTAAGTATTTTTTTTTTTTTAGGAGTTGTTAATCAGACTCAGAATTTCACATTAACACTCAAAGGTGATATCTTTGCAATTTTGGCAGATAATGGTGCTAAAATCACAATGAAGAACATAAACTATATTGGTTGCTCAAAATTCCAAGCTCTTTAGTTACAGACAAAATGGTCTTAAATCAGAATGGCCTAAAAATATGTTCTAACCTGGAGATCCTGGGTTTGATCCCAATGTTGGCGGGGAAAGTAGTTGTATATTGTCGTCGCCTCCGTCCAGCGGTCGTCCACAATTTCTTGTGAACAGACTACATTGGATTCAGCTTGTTGAATTCTTATGGAAACCACTTTCAAACCGAGGTCTGAGAGAATTTGTACCGATTTTTTTCTCCACTAAAAAACCAGAAGATACCTCATGGTGACCATCTTGAATATTTAAATTTCCCCTAGGGTGCCAGCCAATGTGGCTATATTCGCAGACTGACAATGATAGCGTTGACCAATAGCAATACCTGACAAAACTTGACAATCAGAATTTAAGTGTTATATTTAAAAAAAACATAAAAAAATAGAAAAAGTATATGTTCCATAATATTTTCAGAAAATCTATAAATTACTGTATTCTACATTTAATAATGGTTATAACAGAATAGCCCCACTTTAAGTAAACTATGTTTAATTAAATTGCAGATTCACCAAGTGTAAATAAAGGGAAATCTGTGATTCCAGTAGTGGATGAAAGTGTAAAAGTTGTTTGTGATAATTCTAGTGAACCCAGTGTGCAAATGATCAACCAGACGACACCACCAAAACAAATAAACAAAACACCACCTGGTAAATCAAAAGACTTACCTGAAGAACAGCTGTCCATTAAGTCGGATACAGTTCCGTTCTTAGAAGATGAAAATGCTGTATTTCCGGACAACTTGTTCTCTAATTGTGATTCTGTACCTAGTACATCATCAACTGAAAATAATAATAAAACTTCTAAGGGTTCAACCAGTGAGAGCCCCATGCAAAGTGCAAATACACCACAAGGCAAAACGAACTGTGATGAAAGTCATGATTCCGTTCAGGAAAAACTTCAGAAACTGTATGAAGATTCAAAGCAAGGATGGACTGCTGAAACAGGCAAAAATGTTACCTTAGCTCAGCTAATGCTCATGTGCGGGAAAGACAAAAAGTTATTCTTGGAGTATGAATGGTGTCCTAAGACAGTTAGTAATGAACTTCTCACAAATAATTTAGCAAATATGTTACGGAGATTGGCTCATTTGGCAGCAACAGAGTTCTCAGACTTTTCAAATACAAAATCAAAATCGGTACGTTCATATTTTTCTATGCCCACATTTAATGTTTTGTCACCCGTGTTCTTCCATCCATCCACATGTCCTTGTGAACACATTAGATTCTATATTTGTTTACCCATGAATAAGCCAAAGTACTTAAGAAATAGCTTAGTATACATTTTTATATGCCAACATGTGGACGTATTATGGTGTCGCCCCTGTCCGTCCGTTCACTTTTTGTTTGTGGACACTGTATTCTATTGGCTTATTTCAGGCTTCTATCCAATTAAAACAAGCCTTTCATTAGCATTCGATATCCTATTTAATATTATTTCATCACATCAAACTTTGAGACTGTTTATATATAGAGTGATAAAACAATTTGTCAGTCAGTTGGTACCTGATAATCAAGGCTAAGTCATGATTGAGAGAGTGGTAATAACAAAAACAAAACTTTTAGCAGGAATTTAAAGATGTTAACTTTCTGTGATTTATTACAAATAATAAGTGCATTATAAAGTATGTAGGTCTGTGTTGTCTTTAGTGAAAGAAAACAATATGGTAGCAACGATTAATGGTTTGAAAGTCAGATATGATATGAAAACGAATAATGATAGTAATTTTTTGAACTGACTTACCTGTCCAGTCGGCCGTTGAATGTAAATACGATAATTGATACATATCATCTATTTAGTTGTAAAATGCAAGGATCAGCGTAAATAATAGAGAGGTGACCTGTGTTTACGTGAATCGGAGAATTATAACCACTGATTGACCCTTTATAAATAATTGTCTCATAAATAGCAACTTCTGGTACTGGTCGGTAAACCTTTTACTTAAGTTAAATGAAAATAGTTGTGGGTTCCATTTTAAGCGATACAAGCAATCAAAATCATGTACAGCCTATGCCCTACAAGTTTCTGCAAGTAAAAAAGGCCATGCACTGTGCATGACCAAAAATGTTTTCAGAAAGGAAACCTGTAAAAGCTCCTATTGATTAATGTTACTTATATATCATGACCTGTAAAATGGCCTCCAGAAACGTTCCATATGTAACATCTGATGGTTAAAGGGTTAAGAGCAGAGATTTTAATCAATTAAAACGTTATGCAGATAATCATTGCTCCAACATTACTCATTAGTATTTCTTCAAATTTATATTTGGTTTGAATGTCAAGTTTTTCTGTCATTCCCCCTACCATTGGCTTTTAAATTCATGCAATATTGTAAACCCAAGATCTCAAAAGAATTTTTTAAAACACAGTGAGATTGCTCATTATAGCATTAGAATGAACCCCTATCCAATTTCACAATTTTCAGATTGTAAATATGAAACGCTTTCTATGGCATAATGTCTATTCACGTTTTGTCTTAAATATTGTGGACATTATTATAGTATGAATTTCTCAGTGGATTTATTTAAAACTTGGTGAAGTTTTTCATTGTTGTTTACAAGTTCAAGCTTTTGTGGAGTAGAAAGAAAACAAGCCCTTTTCAATGGCTATTTATACAGCTTTTTAACTAGATATTAATTATTAATTTTTACTGGTCCTTTTTCTCATTTCAGCACTCATCCAAAACTACTCCTTGTTCTATGTGTGGAACTGTTGCTTCAAGATCAAAAGTTCAAACAGCTAACAAGGGTGTTAATACAAGAACCAAATGTATTAAAACAATAGAAGAAGAACCACCAGAGAGTATGATGAATACAGTCTCACATGATGGTATGACTGGGAATATGATTTCACCAGATATTTCTGTTGTTAACCCATGTGCAAGTCAGGTTATGGCCACTCAGGTAATCTATGTTTTATCTTGTAGAAAAATAACATGCCAGTTTTAATGAAATAAAATGGGGTTTAACGTCCTAATGTTCGGCTCCAAACTGGGCTTATGAAGACATGCATACGCCATACAGTGTGCTATATTGAAATCCAACTGCCAAGGGATCTTTTATATACATGCCAATGTATACATGTGACCTCGGTTTTCCATGCGTACTTGTCAGGCCCTCCGTCCTGCACCACTGACAAGGAGAAATCCTGATAAACTTTCTCGGCCAGTGCAGAGATCGAACCAGTTTTAATGAACCACAAAAGTGACAAGTTAAAATTATTGACTGCGTGGACAACTTAGCTGCTGTGGGCATATGATTATGATTTTTTGCCTGACAACCTGTCTTAATGGTGTGGAATGCATAACCTGTACAGAACCTACTTCTAATGAATGATCTGTACTGTATTTTTCAAAAGATTTACAAAATAAGTGTTGATATTCAAAACACTAGAATTTAATTTTTGGGCAACAATGGACAAAGATATACACGAAATTGTCATGTAATTAACTGACTGAATGCAGCAACGATAGTTTGTCGGTCCATTGTCCGTCAGCTTGTGAATGTGGTAAAGACTATACGAAAAGACATGTTTTTAGTTTGTCGTCACGCCTGTCAGTCCGAACGTCCATTCACATTTTGTTTGTGGACACTCTACAGGTCATAATTTTTATTCAGTTTTGATGAAACTTATCACATATCCCAAAGATCTTAGATCCATTTGATATTGATGCATGTCAGCCAGTAACATTCTGGATTCCCTTGATTGTACAAAAAATCACTTTTTTAGCTTGTTCTCTGTCTATCTCTTTCAAAAAATGATATCAATTATTTTGTTCTTTTTCTATAGATACCTATATCACAACAAAATGGTGTATTTAGAGTACCTATGGCTGTACCATTACGTGGATGTGGTGGTCAACAAACACGAGTTTCACAGGCAGCAGTTAATCAATTAATACGACCACCTGAACCAAAAGTAAGTTTACATTTTCAAACAATGTCTTGGTATAAACATATTTTAACTCCCAAGGAATAAGCACTAATCAAGTTTTAGGTGTCTAGCCTTTTATTTTCATTATGAAGCAGAAGACAGTGGATAAAAATCTACAATGCTACTATAATTATAAATAGATATATGCACCTCTTCCTTTATCAGCAGTCGAGAAACTTTATCAGGATTTTCCAACGTCAGTGGTGCAAGACAGGGGGCCTAAGAAGGACAGCTGTCTAGTCATTCGGATGGTACCAAAAAACGAGGTTTCCGTGTACACATTGGCATGCAAGTAAAAGATCCCTTGGCAGTTGGAATTTGATAAAAGAGTAGGCCCTAATGCCGCTGCCCAGGCAAAATTTCCCTCATAGCATACTGTATGGTACATGCCCGTCTTCATTAGCCCAGTCAGAGCAGAACAGTAGGAGGTTAAACCTTATTTCATTTCATTTCCTTTATCCACACGTACACAAAAGTCCTTTAAATAAACTGATACAATATTTTCAGCATATAAACTACGATGTACCTTTATCCATTTCAGGCTAATTTTCTTATACCACGTAAAAGAAAGAAACAGCGGAATAAGTCCATCATCATTCAGCGAACACTTTTACCGAAAACAACAAAAGAACAAGCTTTTACTATCATGTCAAATTTACCATCTAACCAACAACAGTTATTAACAAACAGTGGTACAACTTTACCTTTAAACCAAGGCAGTGTTATCACCCAACCTTTTTCTCCAATAAGTCTCAACTCATCTTTACAAACAGCTCAACCTAGTCCACCTATATTACCTATAATAACAGGTATGTTTACATCAACCTAGTCCACCTATGTAATAACGGGTATGTTTATATCAACCTAGTTCACCTGTAATAACAGGTATGTTTATATCAACCTAGTCCGCCTATATTACATGTAATAATTGGTATGTTTATAACAACCCAGTCCACCTATATTACATGTAATAATAGGTATATTTATATCAACCCAGTCCAGCTATATTACATGTAATAACAGGTATGTTTATAACAACCCAGTCCGCCTATATTACATGTAATAATAGGTATGTTTATAACAACCCTGTTCACCTATATTACATGTAATAATAGGTATGTTTATATCAACCCAGTCCACCTATATTACATGTAATAATAGGTATGTTTATATCAACCCAGTCCACCTATATTACATGTAATAACAAGTATGTTTATAACAACCCAGTCCACCTATATTACATGTAATAACAGGTATGTTTATAACAACCCAGTCCACCTATATTACATGTAATAACAGGTATGTTTATAACAACCCAGTCCACCTATATTACATGTAATAACAGGTATGTTTATAACAACCCAGTCCACCTATATTACATGTAATAATAGGTATGTTTATAACAACCCAATCCACCTATATTACAATATTACATGTAATAATAGGTATGTTTATATCAACCCAGTCCACCTATATTACATGTAATAATAGGTAAGTCTATATCAACCCTGTCCACCTATATTACATGTAACCATAGGTATGATTGTATTACCTATAATGTTTATGTTTAAACCTAATCCACTTATGTTCCCTGTAATTATGTGCAGCTGGCTACCACATCCATCCATTCACTTGATTGGATAGTACTTATATAGTTTGATGTGCCTCCAGCACTTACTATTATGAAAACAGGTATGTTTATATCAACCTAGACCACCTCTATTTACATTGGCCACCTACAATAAATTGTCTACTTAGATGAAAACTGAAGATTTTTGACATTCTTTTATGTAGGTATGGGTGAAAATCCGTCGACTATATCGGTTCCAGTTACAGAAACGGTTACTATAGGTGAGCTCATTTTCTTTACTACTACTACTGGGGTGTGGTGGTTTCAATGTCTAAAGATATGACCCTCTTGGATAAATGTTTTGTGTATTGGGGGGTGCGGGAGGGGATGTAGGCAGGCCATTCGATAATCTTATAAATTAGTATAACATTTATTTATAGCACTGTACATCTTTATAGAAGTATGTATAATGTCCTTAGGCAACTGTTTTGCTTTTTGTGGGGTGGTATTTATTTGTGGGGGAGGGGGGGCAGCAAAGCGTAAAATTGTTGGTAAATTTGATAAAACATTAATTTCTTGCATGAAATAAGCGTATAAAATGGCCCTATGGGCATCTTTTGAGTTTTGTGGGTAGGATGCAATACTAAATTTGGTTTCAAATTGGTCTTGATGATCCCCCTGTAGATAAGTAAAACATTATTTTCTGAAACATTAATGCTTAAAATTGGCGAGAAATGTGAAAATGTTGATATCAATGATGATCATCTTATAAATTACTTTATTATTTTCCAGAAACAGGACAGTTGGATCTAATACAACAGAAGAACCGTGAAGAAAATCTCTCGATAGATATCCCCTTTAATAATAATATGCAACAGGTAAATTGATATTTAATGTAATTTTATTTCATACTGATTATTTTATTAAACAGCACATAAAACTAAAAAAGCAAATTGTGTAAAAGTATGTAATGCCAAGGTTGTGGACCCTCTAGAGGTCACAATTTTTGTCTTTATATCCCAAAAAGGGGATCAAATGGCTAAGTGGGTAAGACGCTGGCTCGCTATCCTGGAGGTCGGGTGTTCAATCACTGCACTGGCCGAGAATTTTCATTCCGATTTTCCAGCGTGGTTTCCCCTTGTCAGTGATGCAGGACGAAGGGCCTGACAAGGAAAGCTGTCTAGTCGTTCGGATGGGACAAAAAACCATGGTACACATAGGCGTGCACGTAAAAGATCCCTTGGCAGTTGGAATTCGATATAAGAGTAGGCCGTAGTGCCGCTGCCGGGGCAAAATTTCCCTCATAGCACACTGTATGGCACATGCCCGTCTTCATTAGCCCAGTTTAGGAGCAGAACAGTAGGATGTTAAACCCCATTTCATTTCGTTTCATTTATATCCCAAAGATTTCAGCCCCTTTCGATATTTGTGCATTTCAGACAATAATTTCTTGGATTATGGCCCCTGATTGGAGGAATATTTGTGAAAATCAGATTGAATTCAAGCATTGATATTTTGATTTGTTTTTTTTGTTTTTTTAAATTAAATGTTAAATAATCAATTTAACTTGGACCAACCCATGAGAAATTTGATACTTTAGCAAAAAATGCAAATGACACATCGTTAATTTAACTATAGAATAATTTGTTTTATAATATGAAACAAATTAGCATAGCTTATTAAGATCCTATTCAGCATTTGTCTTATAAATGCCATAACCAGAACAGTTGCTGTAGCAAATACTTATAAAATTGGTGTAGAAGTTGACTGCCTTAGTTCGATGATGATCATTTTCTGCTATGGCTAAGTAGAGATATGCAAATTAATTGGTCAATGCTTTGGGACACTATAACTTTGCTTCTAATAATGTCATCTGCCTCACTGTTGGCTTGTTATTCATCATTTTGAGTCCATTTTATTGTGGATTGAGCTGTGAAAATTGAAACAATATCTCGAAAATGCAAATGACAATCGGCGGCTTAAAAAATTTGTTTTCTTTTATTTTCTAGTCTGTGTTAAGAATAGATAATACAGTTACATGTAGTAATTCAAGTAGTGGATTATCTAGTATGTTATCTTCACCTGTCAAAGATAGGATGCAATCAATCAGACATACATCACCACCTAATCTATCAACATTATTAGACATGTCATTACCTGGACCCCCTAATGGTAATTATACAATTATTTATATAAACATTTCATTCTTTTACTTTCCAGCTGCTGCTAATTCAGCAATTAATGGGAACTAACCAAAACTAAAGTACACAATGTTAGCTAAAAATGAATTATGTATGATTTAGATAAAGAGCTTGCCGTTCTTGCTATATAGTTCAAAAATAAATAACGAGAAATGAAAATATTGAAAATTTCAGTCAAATTACTTTATTCTCATCGAAGTGTTTGAAGTTTTGACAATATAGTCGTCATATCAAGTACCATTGCTAAAATAATAAATAGTCTTGATTACCTTTTTTGTTGTTAAATTTTAAGACAAGTTTAAATTCATTAAATATCTGAAGCCATCCGTTGGCCCAGAGATAATTTATATAAAATTTGAAGCTAGAAAATAGACCTGCAATAGACAGATCTAACCTTCACATAATACATCCTTAAACAATTTGGGAGTTTTGGAGTTTACTTTGTACATGAGCAAAGCTATTGATGTTCTTTATGTACACAGATGATGGGTAAGGTTGTCAGTTTTATAAATCCACTTTTCATAATTTTTTCAGGAGCTGATAACAGTACAGCTGAAAAATTACTTGATATTGCTCTGGTTAATTCTAATTCAGGATTTGCAAGTAAGATTAGTTATCTACTTAGTATACATTTACCAACTATTATAGTGAACATGCATCCACAGCTCTAGCAGGCCTCGACATAAGAGGAGATCGAACCGGTCGATCGCCTGCCGATCACCAAAATCTAAATAAGGGGGATCAACATTTCGATCACGATATGAACAGCAGGCGAACGGACGAATAGTTCACCTTATTTTACATCAATTCCTGTGTTATTCAAAACAAAATTCAGCATTCAATTTTCGTGTACGTAAGATTGAAAGTAATTAGCCGAATTGTGTTCGATCCATAGATATCTATAGTGAAAAAATTCATGGTTCAGTCTCAATCGGGTTTTTCCGCAAGAACTACGAGCTTCGCGGAGCCGAAGTCAGAGTGACCCGTAAGTTATAAAGCGTTTGCTTGGCCAGCTGGAATACACATGGCCAATGAAATATCACGTTTTTTACACTTTGCGAAGTCCGCCAAATATGGCTACGAAAAAGCCTTAAACTGTGCATCTGAAAACTTTCAATAAGTTGCCTTTCAAAGACGAATTCACAATTTTACAACTGGATGATGATATAACCAAACTTCAGTGCAAAATATGTTCAAGTCATCTGTCAGTGATACGTGTTGAAGCCGGTCGGAGATATGTCAAAGGTATCGCCTTCAAGGGAATTGTTAACCTCGCAAACGGTGTCGAGTGTGTGCATCGTGGAAATTTATTCCGTCATTATCAAGGCAGGTGGACTGCACGATTGGTGATCATTTTAGGAGATCAATTGATCTCCTTGTGTCTTGAGGCGATCATAAAACTGATCACCTCATTGAAAAACCAGGAGAACGATTCGTTGATCCCCTTATTTAACCTTATGTCAAGGCCTGCTCTAGTTAGATCTTTGATATTGTCTACACTTGACTATTGCAATAGTCTACTTGTTGGCATTTTAAAGTATCAAATAGAACAACTCAATGCATCCAAAATACAGCAGCTCACATTTTGTCTATGTCAAATCCACGCACTCATGTCACGCCAGTACTGAAGAAACTACATTGGTTGTCTGTTCAAGCCAGGATCGATTTCAAAATATTGTCTATTGGCTATCAGTGGATGAAAATGCTCCAAAGTAGCTGTGCAATCTCTTGAAATTTTACGTCCCATCTAGGCAGTTATGATCAATAAATCAGAAAAAATTACATAACTTGAAATAGAGGTTTATGTTCCAAAGATCACAGTCCCTTTTAATATTGACACATGTCGCTCAATAACATCCTGGGATTTGGCTCCTTATTGTACGAAAATTAATTTTTTAGCTCGTTCTATGGTTATATCTTGCATGGCAACCGCTTATTAATTATACAAACTCCTTACTCCATATTGGGGAGTTGTATCTGGTCTTCTAGAAAGACTTGTGCATACTTTTAAACATTTTGTTAAAATCTTCCTTTTTAAACACACATTCTAAGATATATATTTATGTTATTTATTATATAATTTCAGCCTTTCTAGATACTCCTATCAAGAGCAGTAAAAGTGATTTATTATTAAAAACATCAACATACCCTGATAGAAGTAATATATCGCCACCAACCAGTCCTAATCCTACCCTACTAAAACTTGGTTTCTCAGCTTCAGATGTTCAGTGGTTAAATGGAGAGGTATGTATTAACTTAATTTAAACACTGTTCTATGGTTAGAAGCATTGGGGATGAACCCTATTGATGATGAGCATTCTGGGACTTTCGGTTCCGGTGTTATCAATTTTACTCAACATCCAAGTTTTCCTTTCTCAGATAAGCTGCAGTTGAGACCAAGCTGCTGCGTCGGCATATTTCAATGCTTTACGTGGTTATCTTCAATATAAACTGAATTCACATTTTACCTTCCACTATTAGTTATAGTTAGTGCAGGAGAACTGCACCACACACAAACAGAATCAAATACCATAGGTCATTATAGACATATGTTGTTAAAAATCAGTGCCAGTGAATAAAGTACATTATTTAGAGTAACATCTGGTATATTATTATCAATTTGAGGTATTTTAACACTTCCATTATATCAAAACTTTATTCCAGCAAATTTTCATGAAATTTTACATACATATATAGAAACACTCGCCCGAAACACATGCTCACAAAAAAATAATGAATGAGTGTATTTGAAAGATAAGAAGTATCAAATGAAAAATAACAGTCTTCGAATTCTAGACAGATGTTTATATCCTAATTGTTTCATATAAAATTCTAGGATTTAAATTGTTATTTCATTATAAAGTTATTATATATTTTTAGGGACAAGACATATCGTTGAGCAGTTTTTTGACTGATTCACCATTGAAAAAGAATACAGGCAGCTCCTCCAACTCTAATAGTTTTGGACCACCACAAAATATCTTCAGCGAACACTCTCAGGATTCTCTAGTAAGTTTTATTATAACATGTTATTTTGTTTTTGGGTTCATCCTCATGAATGAATACAACCAGAAGTAACCTCACAGAGTTATCTGGGTTCCCTGATTTCCTTCAACTACTAAATGGCTCTGTGCAAATACATTTTTAAACGCCAACCGCTCTTAGAAATACAGAGTTAGTTTCTAAATGACTGACTTGTGTTCAAGTGGATGTTTAGCCGAATTTCCTGCCTTTTGCTTTCTTTATAACTATACAAACAAAGATTACAAACTAAAAAAGGTACAGTTATAAAGAATCAAATCAGTCATTTGAATTGCAACATTTCTTGTCATCTTTAGTAAAACCTTTTGTGTTATATTTCAGGTAGAGACGTCTTTTCAGTCTATGATGAATGAAAGTAGTATAGATTTAGTCAGCAAGTTTGCTAAATTAGCTGATCACATAGCTGGTCCACAAGATAAAACGTAGTCAAAATATAATACAGTTACCTTGTACACAATAGATAGTTACTATATAGTTACAATACTTACATGTTCATACTGCACATTACACAAAATAGTCACACTAATATTACTATAGTAATATATAGTCTTTGCAGTTCAAGAAAAATACATTTTAGTAGTTATGTTCATAATGAACTTAGATAAATTAATAGATTTTGTAAAAAAAAAGGTAATAGTAAATGATTTTGATTGGAGTGTGTTTTTTCAATGTACTGGTATACAATTTATTTCTGAAATAAGGATTGTTTGATTTTTTTTTTTTTCATATATGATTTGCAAACAGTTGTGATATAGATATCAGTTGGTTGATTTTGTATGTATTTAATTGTTAATTCTTATTATATGAGCCATCTACTTTATAAATCAGAGATATCAGTTTAATTCAAAACAAAGCAATAACCTACTATAAAATCCTTACCACTAAACTTAGTGTTATCTGCGGTTGCTTTAAATTTATTTCAGAATAATATATTCCCACAAATAAAAGTTATCAAAAATTCAGCTGTGAATGTAAAGAACCCAGCCATTACATCATAAATGAAACCAATTTGATTTTCAGTGGGTTTGTGAAATTATTTTAGCAATTTAGGATCAACAGATATTTGGGTGTTTGGATAAACCACATGTTGGTAAATTTGAAATGGCAATAAAATGGATCTCCATATCATGATTGATGTCGTAAGAGTACTGTCACAGGAATTTGAGTTTTATATTCAGTCACATCGTATTTACAGGTTTTCTTTAAAAATGTGGATCTGTTGATAGAGATGTTGATAATTATTCTATAAAATCAACGACAATGTAAATCGGCTACATAATTGAAATAGGACCTACTAGATTTTTATAGTTTGTTGAATTAACAAAAAGGCCTCAATGTGCAAAAGCTTCGATGTTTTTTTTAATTAAATTAAAACCTTTTTGTACCTTAATTACAGATAATTCCAACATGTGTCAAGTTTTCATATTTTTCTCAGCTTAGGTAATATTGATTTATTGAAAAATTATTATATTTTGTTTAATATATATACGTAAAGTATTTTCTGTCAGTAAGTTGTGTTGCGGCTTGCTGTGTACAATTTAATTGCGTATTAATGTGATATGTAAAATATTATTTATTCTTACAATATTGGAATGTGTCCCAAATGTTACTTAATATTAATCAGTATTCAAGATTAAAAAGGGCATATCTTGCCTTTTATTACTTTAAGTTATGTTATTTCCAAGTTAATATTGTATTAAAAGCTTCAATTTTTAATAGCATATTTTTTTTTTTTTCTATTTTTATTTATTTAAGACAAAGTATTCAGCTTAAAACTATATATGATTTACATGACAGTTTATATTGCAGTCATCATTTAATGAACCATAGCATGTTAATATTGACATTTACCAATAATATTTATACTATCCTTGAGAACCATGTCAGATTAAAATATTTATTGAATGAAATTGGCATGGAAAATGGTTGTTTATTTTATGATGCTAGATGGCCTAATATTAATTTGATTAGCCTATTTTGTTTTGCTTATAATATTTCTTGAATAATTTTTATACGCCCATATTTTCATGTTGACTTATATTGTTGTCACCCCTGTTCGTCCGAAGGTTCCCATTTTGTTTGTAGACACTCGACAGGTCAAAATTTTATCCATTTTTGACGAAACTTGAAATTTGGGTTTATATCCCAAAAATCTTGGTTCCTTTTGATATGGGCATTTATCGGACCGTTATTTCATGGATTATGGCCCCTGAATGTACGAAAAATCACGTTTTTAGCTTGTGGACACTCTAGAGGTCACAATTTTTATCCAATTTTGATGAAACTTAAAATATATTTTTATATCTCGAAGACCTTCTTTGTTCTGATATGGATGCATGTTGGACTGTAACATCCTGGACTATGGCCCTTTATTGTACGAAAATCGCTTTTAGCTCGTTCTCTGTCCGTCTGTTACAAAATGTGGGCATATCTTGTATGGCAACCGCTTGTTATACAGTCCTTTGGTTTTTTGTTCTGAATCATTTGTGATTTTTTTCTTATCCTTAAAACCAAAGAACTGTATATTTTCCTGTTCTAAAGTAACAGTTTAACTGTTTTGTTTCTTTAAAATCGATATATTTTGAACGCTCATTAAAGCAATACCAAGAAGACTAATTTGATTATTTTTCCTATAGCCTTTTATTTAAACGACAATATCCCAAGAGCAATAACCCATGTCAAGTTAATCTTGTTTTTCAAGGACATATTTAAAAACCTTGCCTTTTTATCCCATACATTTTAACAGGGTGGCCTCAAAGCAAATCTTGCTTGATTGTTACATCTGTGGCATATATACTGAGACTCAATGAAAACACACCACTTTATAGAAGGCTGATTGTCAAACTGGTTTGAAAGATGCATTTTGATATTTCAAATCAGAATGTAACATCAGATCACGGAAATGGAATTTATAGATATCGCAAATTTCTACTGTGAATAATTGACAAAAAGATTAAACAGCCAGTATTCATTTTTATCACTGTTGTACAAGCATAAGGTTATCTGATTGTGACTACTGGATTAAGGTCATCTCTACATGTTAGGTGAAACATAACGCTAACGCTACAATATACGTCCACATTCCAATTCTGCTTTGATTGACAAGGTACTTTGTCAAGAAGGCTAGGCTTTTGGTTTGTTTAGCGTTGAGGGTCGTGCATCAACATCAATAGTTCCTGTCCTTGGGGGTCGGGCATGCACCAAAAACAATAGGGATCTTCCTTGGGGTATAAGGAATAAGTATACCAAGTTTGAAGAAAATCCAGTAAGAATTGCGCCCTGTAGGCGACACAAAGACACACGAAAAGAAAATGGGAAATGGGCGTGGCTCTGCCCCTGGGGGTTGGGCATGTACCCCAAACGATAGGGATGTTCCTTAGGGTACAAAGAATGTGTATGCAAGATTATAAGTTAAGAAATGTGGCCTGTAGACGACAAACAAACAAATACTAGAAATGGGCGTGGCTCTGCCCCTGGGGGTCGGGCATGCACCAAAAACAATAGGGATCTTCCTTGGGGTAAACCCGAATTTTACATGGGAGACAACTCTTTAAAGCATATCACGCCGAATTTTACATGGGAGACAACTCTTTAAAGCATATCACGCCAGTTTGACATTGTTAGACGGAGTTATCTCCTCCGAACCAAGTGAAACCGAAGTCTGAAATTAAATCCCAATCTGACAAAAGTACTTAATATTCTTAAAAGACAAATTATTAATAATAAATTTGGTACTAAATTATAATAACGAATGACACCCAAACATAAGACTTTTTAAAAATGTACATCCTGAAAACGCACATGTACTTGCAGTTACATGAATTTATAATTTATTTAGTGTGAGAGAGAGAGAGAGAGAGAGAGAGAGAGACATTGTCATTGCAGTACCAAAAGGTCTTTAGCAGTGGGAGGAAAGGGGGAGAAAACGGTGGTTTGAAACGTCAACAAATAACCGGTATAAATACTTCTAACACTTACAAAGCGTTCTGAAAAATAAGTTGAACAAAGGCTCTCAGAAACCACTCACAAAAACCCGAATGTTACATGGGTGACAACTATTTAAAGCATATCACGTCAGTTTGACATTGTTAAATGGAGTTTGACATTGTTAAATGGAGTTATCTCCCCAAAATCGGGCATGCACCCAAAAGAAAAGGGACCAACCTCAGGGTATAAGGAATATGTATTTTAAGTTTCAAGATGATCGATTTAGAATTGTGGCCTGTAGGCGACACACAAAAAGAAAATTGGCATGGCTCTGCCCCTGGGGGTTGGGCATGTAGGGCCTACTCCAAATGATAAGGATGTTCCAAATGATAGGAATGTTCCTTAGGGTACAAAGAATAAGTATATAAAGTGTGGCTCTGCCCCTGGGGGTTGGGCATGTACCCCAAACGATAGGGATGTTCCTTAGGGTACAAAGAATGTGTATGCAAGATTATAAGTTAAGAAATGTGGCCTGTAGACGACAAACAAACAAATACTAGAAATGGGCGTGGCTCTGCCCCTGGGGGTCGGGCATGCACCAAAAACAATAGGGATCTTCCTTGGGGTATAAGGAATAAGTATACCAAGTTTGAAGAAAATCCAGTAAGAATTGCGCCCTGTAGGCGACACAAAGACACACGAAAAGAAAATGGGAAATGGGCGTGGCTCTGCCCCTGGGGGTTGGGCATGTACCCCAAACGATAGGGATGTTCCTTAGGGTACAAAGAATGTGTATGCAAGATTATAAGTTAAGAAATGTGGCCTGTAGACGACAAACAAACAAATACTAGAAATGGGCGTGGCTCTGCCCCTGGGGGTCGGGCATGCACCAAAAACAATAGGGATCTTCCTTGGGGTATAAGGAATAAGTATACCAAGTTTGAAGAAAATCCATGAAGAATTGCGCCCTGTAGGCGAACCACAGACACACACACACACACACACACACACACACACACACATACATACATACACACACACACACACACAGACAGGGGCGACGGCATAATACGTTCACATTATGAATGTGGACGTATAAAAAGCTGTGAAAAGAGGGGAAGTAACTGTGTAGAAAAGTCACTGACCCCATATTGTCTCCCCTTAGCCCACACATCTGGTTTAAAAATCACATGAACAGTCTACTAGCCAATTTGAAATTAATGTATCATTAGCAAATTTATGAATAAGGTACTCTCACAAAATGTCCAAATAAATGTGTTTCAAAATATTTTATTGCTATTTTGATCTTTTAGGTTGATTGATAGCATATTTATAGACTCAATTTCGACCAAAATCAATATTTTCACTTGTTTTGTCTTGCTCAATATTAGATTTTGCGCATTCCAACACATTTAGCCAGCACGGGTCACAAATGATGCATTTGATTTACCTCAGCTAAAGCTTGTTTCCAATCAGGAATTATGTTGTACTTAAAGACAAAGCTATAAACAGTTCCAGTCATAAAAAGACTTTAATAATCAAACTAGACTCTATTTCTCAATAATATATTTTAACTACAAGTTATACAAATCATTCCAATATCAATCTGTACAATTTGTCCCACTATATAATACCATTTTATAAATCAATTATAATTTACATAGTTTTATATGTAAAACTAACACCACATGTTGTCATAAATCTTTAACATAATGGCAAGATTCATTTACATATAATAGAATATTTAAGTATATGTTAACAGGCTCTTGTCAAAACATATAAATTTATGCACCATAAGTAATCATGATTTTCGATTCATTCTCTGGATATATAAATCATTGGACAAACAATTAACATTCCATATTATAACAAAACCCTTTTTTCAAATTGAGACAAAAATCTGTTTACCTTACCACCTTTGCTCACCTTTTTCACAAATCAGGAACAAAATAATAATCCAGTTCATTAATAACTTGAAAATGTGAATACCTTTCTTAATGTAAACCCTCTTGACAGTCACAGTAATTTCAACACATTATGTCCCATAAAATACAGCAGGGTGTAGTTAGCCCATAAATCGGTGGTATTATAATACTTTTCCAAACAATAATAAACAGTGACTGATCAAATGATAGGCTACTCAATGATATTTTATACCATGGTAAATGGAACCAGACTTATATGTTAAAATTACAAGAATTGGGTCGTATCATTTTTATAAGTACTTCTATAAACCTCTTTCAGCTCACATTAAAATGATGAGACATTAATTAATCCCTTGCTTTATATTATCATGGAAGGGAATACAACCATAATTCTAAATTAAACTATCATTCAGAAAATAGAAAATATGAAGTTTAAAGTCAGAATTGAATATCCTGTGAAATGTTTGAAATAACCTATGATGTATGAACTAAAAAGCAGAAGGTGGTCATGCTAAAACAAAAATAATAACGTGTCAGTGTTTTATTGTGCATTATACTCATCCCTGCACTTAACAGACAGCTATCGTTTACCATATATTTAAATTATTACATCTCTTAATACTTAATGACCAGACAGTATCTGAAATTCTGAATATTTGTTTTGATCCTATCGTAGGGTGCCCCACACAGTAAAATGTTGCTCAATTAAAAGTTGTTCATGCTCAAATGACAAGTTCCCATGTGATAACCGGGTTGAGGTGGAGCATGTGCATAATCTGGAGATGTTCTATTATCCATCGCACGAGACAATTTCTACACATTTATAAACTATTAAAGCCGTAAAAAATCTATTGTTAATGATTCTGAATAACAGTAATATTTAGCGTTTAGGTTGTTACAGCAGCTTTAGAAAATTACTGTTGTTTTGTTTTTTAATTTACTCTATTATTAACTATAACATTAGGAGTGGCATCTTTTGGTTTAATATCTCCAAAACACTCACGTTAGGCAAGAGGATACCAGTAGTATTTTCGTAGAAAATAATTCTTGATTATCCAGGCCTGTCAATCAGCAGGAGAACAGTTGGTAGTTGTTTACTTTTTTAGTCTATTTTTTTTTATTGCTGTTTAAATGGTTAGAACTTGTTAAATTCAATATAACCGTTATTTAGTGATGATAAATGTTAGAAATAAGTTAAGGCTAGTTATATAAATATTGTGGTATAATTGTCAATATATTTAATTTATGATGGGGCACCCTAGCTGTCATGTTCCTGAAGCAACGATTGAGGTTTTTACTTATCTGGCCATTGCCGGATAAGTCTGAATTTCAAAATTTTTTAGGTACGTTATCTCACTTTATTACAGACACATAAAGGAATAGATATGTTAAATGCTGAGTTTGAAGTGGAAAAGTTCCAGCAATCGTAAAATTGAACGAACCTTGAATCTTTCAACTTGTGATGCTATTTTCTATCGAGGAATCTGAGAGGTCACAAGCTGGGTCATTAACCAATCAAAATTAGTGACGAAAAATGCAGAGTATTTACGTGAAGGTCTTGATAAGATGTACAGAGTTGAAGCGAGATCAAGCCTTCTATTGAAGATGCCTACCTATGGGACTATATATTATAGTAGCTCTTGTATGAAGCCTGGAAATAGGACACCTGTCATGTTATCCAGCACTGATTTGTGTGGGGTTTTTTTCTGTGTTTTTATTGATATCATTAATACATGTCTAGCACAAAGTTCTAAATATTAAGTAGTAGTTCAGTAGTGGTTAATATTAGAACAATAAACATATGCTACAGTAACTACTTATACACTAACCCAAAATATAAACATAAATATAATTGGCACAAAAATACAAAAAAAAATACAGTATTTCCAAGAGAAAATGAAATGGGGTTTCATGTCCTACTGTTCTGATCCGACTAGGCTAATGAAGACGGGCATACGCCATACAGTGTGCTATGAGGGAAATTTTGTGCGGACAGCGGCGCTATGGCCTACTCTTATATCGAATTCCAATTACCAAGAGTTTTCTTATGTGCATGTCGATGTGTACACATGACCTTACTTTTTCATCCCATTCGAATGACTATACGTTGTCCCTTGCCAGGCCCTCTGCCCTGTTTTGACAGAAAACTCTTTGTTTATTCAGTTGATCTACAAATGAAAATTCAACCTCTATATAACTATTATTCTGTATACAAATGATGAAATTTTGATAAAAGTCATTACTTGGAAATATTGTACATGTCGAGTTTATTACAAATACTTAATAAAATCTAAGTGCAGTGTAAACTATATAAAATATATAAAAACTGTCATAAGCCATCTTAAACTATGAGGTATTAATTGCAACTGTCGTAACACCATTATTATTCAACAATATTTTAATAATTTGAACAAAGACGCTAGGATTTCACAATAATTACCAATTCCACGAAATATGGTTTTAAACAGGAATGGGTAAATGTTACACATCTTTGATTTCTGTGCAAATACAATATATACTTTTTATGATTTATATCGATCTTTGGTTTTCTTTATTTATCTATAATCACAATGACTGACCAATAAGCTCCTGTTCATGAAAGTAAGACTCACATTATTTTATCAAGAAATAAGCACAAAACCAATAAATAAACAAAACATTGGCTGGGGATTTTAAATGACCATGAAATCAATATTTGCATTGATCAGGTCAATACTTTTTCTGAATCAAATATCAAAATAAATACAAGTTTAAAGCTACAGTCTCCTAATATAGTCTAATATTAAAAATACTTTAAATATAAACATTTATTCTTATCAAAGACATTATACAAATATAAAGAGCAAGTAATCATATTACAGAAAAATCATGAGTATTCCTTAGTGCCATTTCCTTGGTAATTGAAATTCACATCAAGCAGACAATCATTAACAAAATAAGATAGGCACTTTATTCTAATATGATCAGTTAGTTATTTTCGTGTTATATTTTTGACTAGATTTCTATAATAGTATTTTGTGTTGATTTAAAAGAGACTGTAAGTTTAAGAATAACTGATTGTATAACTGTTATTGATATGACTTGTTACTAGGTGGTTGATAAAACTGTTGCGTTGGACGTCCCTTGTCCTGTTTACGGTTGTATTGTGGACCATTACCGCCCCGTCTAAACTCCATAGTGAAATGACCAGCTGCCATGTATGGATCTGGTTGATAAGGTGGACATACTGGCATCTGATTTGGATAAAATGGTGGAGGAGCTGTAAACGTAACTTGATTCATACTTTGTACACCATCAGTCTGAAATTAAACAATATTATATACTATTCAAAAAAAGTAGGGGATATTTGATTTTTAAGTGTTATTAAAGTCACCTAATGAAACTGACGAAGAAACAAATGACAAAATGAAATGAAGTTCACATTCATCGATTTATTCCAAATGATCGTTAGACTAAGTAAGGCACAGACTGACCATTATAAGGGTAAAATGATACCCGGGGTCAAACAGCAAAGTTACCACAGCATCACAACCAAGTCAGTAACGGGTAAATCCTCCTCTGTTTGCCAAACAAGCATTGATCCGACGTGGCATACTCCTAATGAGACGTCTAAGGTCATTTTGGTCCAGATTGTCCCATTCCTGTTGCAACGCAGCAGCAAGTTCTTGGACATTGGCAGGACGTTGTTGACGTTGACGTAACCTCTGTCCAAGCATGTCCCAGACATGCTCGATGGGGGAGAGGTCGGGACTCAGTGCTGGCCAAGGTAATGTGGTGATGTTCTGTTGTTGGAGGTAACCTGTAACCTGTGACATCTTGCGTTGTCATCCTGGAAGATGAAACGGCGGCCATGACGTCGTGCGAACGGCACAACATGGACTGCCAAGATGTTGTCCCGGTAGTACTGGCCTGTAACACGCCCTGCAACAACATGTAAAGCCGTTCTTCCAGCAACAGTGATGCCTCCCCACACCATAACAGAACCACCCCCAAATCGATCATGTCTGATGACGTTAACGTCTTGGAAGCGCTCGTTTCGACGACGCCACACCCTCCTACGTCTGTCCAAAAAATCAACAGTGAACCTTGACTCATCTGAAAACATCACATTGCTCCAGCGTCGATTATCCCAGTGTTGACGATCCCTACACCAACGACGTCTTGCCTGAATGTGATGATCTCTCAAACAAGGGATCACGCGAGGACGTCGGGCGCGAAGGTGACCCCTATGCAGTCGATTCCGAATCGTCTGGCCACTCACTCTCACACCAGTGTCTGTTTGAAGACGAGCGCTGATCTGATTTGCTGTGATGACACGATTTCTCAAGGCCAAGGTACGGATAAATCGATCCTGGGCTTGAGTTGTCGCCCTTGGTCGACCTGAGCGTGGTCTGTCCTGTACAGATTGTGTATCACGGTATCTGGACCATAGCCTGCTTATGACAGACTGAGAAACATTCATCGTCCGCGCCACAACCGCCTGTGTTGTGCCGATCTGTAGCATGCCAAGGGCACGTAACCTTTCATTTTGGGTAAGCCGACGCATATCAAAATTTGTTTTCTGGTCACTAAAACAATTAAACTGATGTTTCCACCCTGGAATTCAATGCCACAATGACTGTAACATTCAAAGTCAGAGTCGTGCAAATCTTGGGTTGGACCCCCATGATGATCCCAAGCCTCACCTGCATTCCATGCGGTAGCTATTGGTGCGTTTGGGCGTCACATGTAACTGGAAATGTTTCTTCTGTTAGGTTCTATAGTGACTTTTTTCGTAGTCATTTGCATATTTTAGTATTATGCCCCCAAAATCAAATATCCCCTACTTTTTTTGAATAGTATATCTACTATTGCAACATTATATTGTATGTCTTATATTGTCATATTAAAGGACAATATTGGTGCCAGTCATTAGCACATATGTGATAGAGCTGGTTAAACACATTCCATATATAATTTTAACACAGAGATCATTGCTACGATAGCTGAGTAATACAGGTTTCCTGAATTGGAAGTGACGAACGCCAAAGGAAAACACGAGTCATACCTCTATATAACTGACTGAAGTGACGAGTGATAACAGATATACGGTCGAATTTCTGCTCACTAATAATTCTTTCAAAGACCAAAAGTTGTTATATGGGACTGTAAGAGGATACCTGACAATTCAATAAAGTAATTGAATCTCACACAACAACTTTTGGTCTTGGAAGGAAGAAATTCGGCCGTATATCTGTTATCACTCGTCACATCAGTCAGTTATATAGAGGTATGATTCGTGTTTTCCTTTGGCGTTTGTCACTTCCGATTCAGGAAACCTGTATTACTCGGCTATCGTAGCAATGATCTCTGTGTTAAAATTATATTTGGAATGTGTTTAATTAGTTCTATCACATATGTGATAATGATTGACACCAATATTGTCCTTTAACTATAATACTACACACTATGTACTGTCATAATAACAATAATACTACATATTTTATACTGTCATTTTAACCACAATAGTACACACTTTATATTTTCATATTAACCATACCGTTAATACTACACACTTTGTATTTTCATATGAACTATAATACTACACACTTTATACTGTCATATTAACCGTAATTCTACACACTTTATACTGTATTAACATGTTTTACTAAACATTATATTAAATATAATGCATGATTCCCACTGGCATCAATTGAAGGCAATTTGGGTTTCAACGGAATGATATGCAACTTGATACTCTTATATTTTGTTTAATGAAGGACAAATATTGTTTGATCTTCAGGATCTAAAGACCATTTAGTTGGATGTAATAATACTATCTACATTGCTTGAATGATCGATATTGTTTTTGCTCGATCTGGATTCACTTGGATCCATATTTAATTTGATTCCAATGGGAATTGGACTTAGCATCACAGGTATCACACAGCAGCATTCTAATTGAAGTTCGAAGGTCATCATTTTATTTGCAGGCTCTAGCAGCAGGGACCTTATTCACTGTCAAACACAATTAGAATTGAAACCACACTTGCATAGATGACATCTGTTTCATTGCAATGCTTACCTGTCACCATAAGTACATGACAAAGATTATGTATATATCAGATTCTTCAGCTGGTGTCATTTGTGATGTGTGAGGGCTGGGATACATATTTTCATATTAACCATAGCGTTAATACTACACACTTTGTATTTTCATATGAACCATAATACTACACACTTTATACTGTCATATTAACCGTAATTCTACACACTTTATACTGTATTAACATGTTTTACTAAACATCATATTAAATATAATGCATGATTCCCACTGGCATCAATTGAAGGCAATTTGGGTTTCAACGGAATGATATGCAACTTGATACTCTTATATTTTGTTTAATGAAGGACAAATTTTGTTTGATCTTCAGGATCTAAAGACCATTTAGTTGGATGTAATAATACTATCTACATTGCTTGAATGATCGATATTGTTTTTGCTCGATCTGGATTCACTTGGATCCATATTTAATTTGATTCCAATGGGAATCGGACTTAGCATCACAGGTATCACACAGCAGCATTCTAATTGAAGTTCGAAGGTCATCATTTTATTTGCAGGCTCTAGCAGCAGGGACCTTATTCATTGTCAAACACAATTAGAATTGAAACCACACTTGCATAGATGACATCTGTTTCATTGCAATGCTTACCTGTCACCATAAGTACATGACAAAGATTATGTATATATCAGATTCTTCAGCTGGTGTCATTTGTGATGTGTGAGGGCTGGGATACATAGTTATCGTAAATTTCAAGAATTTGATAAATTGTTTAATCATTACAAATAGTTTTATAAACAAATCTATGATACAAACCAACCAGCGGCTGCCAGGCAGGAGACGCCCAAATTTTCGAGAGATAGATAGAGAACAAGCTAAAAAGAAAGTGATTTTTCCTACAATCAAGGGCCATAATTCAGGAAATTACAATTCGATATGCGCAAATATCAAAAGGAACCGAGGTCTTTGTGTTATAAACTTACATTTGAAGTTTCAACAAAATCGGATAAAAATTGTGACCTCTATAGGGTCCACAACCTTGATATACCTTATTTTTAAGCTATTTGAGAACGAACGGCGGCCATTTTGTCTGTCAATTTTGGGCCGATTTACACGAAATTCGAACTCAGCCATCCTTAGGGTGTAACGGTGATATAATAATACGTTTTTTTTTAAATCGGATAAAAATTATGACCTCTATAGGGTCCACAAGCTAAAAATGCGTTTTTTCGTACAATCAGGGGCCATAATTCAGGAATTTATGGTCCATTATTAGAGAATATCGAAAGGAACCGAGATCTTTGGGTTATAAACTTACATTTCAAGTTTCAACAAAATCGGATAAAAATTGTGACCTCTGTAGGGTCCACAACCTTGATATACCATATTTTTACGCTATTTGAGAGCTAACAGCGGCCATTTTGTCTGTCAATTTTGGGCCGATTTTCACGAAATTCGAACTCAGCCATCCTTAGGGTGTAACGGTGATATAATAATACGTTTTTTTTTAAATCAGATAAAAATTATGACCTCTATAGAGTCCACAAGCTAAAAACGCGATTTTTCATACAATCATGGGGCATAATCCATGAAGTTTCGATCCAATACATTCCAATATCGAAAGGAACCGAGATCTTTCGGAGATAAACCTATATTTTTACGTTTCGTCAAAATCGGATAAGAATTGTGACCTGTAGAGTGTCCACAAACAAATTGTGGACGTCCGGATGGACGGACGGACAGGGGCGACGACAATATACATCCACATGAAAATGTGGGCGTATAAAAATATAACAACCCTTACCCAATTTTGGTTTGGCATAGGCATCATGTCTGTACAAAAGACTTCTTCTTGGTTACCGTAATCAGGAAATGTTACAACACAAGTTGAACCATTCTGTGCTATAGCTTCTATTACAGCAGGGTAAAACTAGAATATAATATAATCATTATACATCTATACACATTGTAAGTTACACAATAAAAGTAGCAAACTTTATCTACATTTTACACAACTATTCTATTGCTTCATCTGTATCTAACCATACTCTTTATATATGGATCAGATTTCCGCTTAAGATCCAAAAGTGGAAAAAATTCTGGAAAACGGATAATGGTTATGCATTGGGGCATGACATTACACAACAGTACATACCAGTAAATGTGAAACAAGACACATTTTGTGGAACACAACACATTTCAGCAGAATTACCCCACCCCCTTTTGTAAAGTATTTAAAGTTGTATTCTATCAATTATTTACATTTGAGAATTAAAGAAATAGTTACCTGTTTATCCTCCCAGTACTTGGCTAAACACATGTCACCTTTATTCCAGCCTGCTAGATCATTTCTTGTCTACAAAATATAAAAGTAAGTGGGAATTGTTTTTAAACATACTGAGTTTTTTCCCCCAAAATTGAATTCTTAAGAGGTTTCCAACCAACAGAACACCGGATATAATGAAGCACTATAGAAGTTGAATTATAATAATAATAACAGTAATAATAACAGGGCCTGCTCTGGAAAAGATAGGTTGCCAGTCAAAGAAACATACGCCCACAGCATCTAACTGTCCAAGCAGTCGACAAGGGTTGTCGCATATTCATTCTATTGTAGATAATTGGGGACATTTACAAAATAATTTCATAAAGATCAGATTATAATTTTTGTGGTTGAGGGTTCACAAGGTCATACAAACTGAATTAAGGACCTTAATTCTGGAAGTAATTTATAGAAATTTTTAAAACAATAAACAAAATCTAAACATTTATGTGATAATGAAACAAAGTGATCACCCCATTTTAAAGAAAACATTTTAGCATATTTAAAACCAATATATAACAATAAATGTTATTAATTGCATAATTTTTTAGTAAAATATTAAAGATACGTTCCCGCATACAACTAGGTGATTTGATGATATATTTGGACTAAAAACATAATCTATCATAATTTTGCTTCAAATCCTTCTCAAAACACAGTTTTCGTGAGAGAATACCCCTACTTATAAAAAATCTATTTAACCTGCGGCTGCCAGGCAGGATACGCCCACATTTTCGAGAGATGGATAGAGAACAAGCTCAACAGAAAGTGATTTTTCCTACAATCAAGGGCCATAATTCATGAAGTTACAATTTGATATCCGCAAATATCGAAAGGAACCGAGATCTTTGGGTTATTAACTTACATTTCAAGTTTCAATAAAATCAGATAAAAATTGTGACCTCTATAGGGTCCACAAGCTAAAAACGTGATTTTTCGTACAAACAGGGGCCATAATCCATGAAGTTTCGATCCGATACATGCCAATATCGAAAGCAGCCGAGATCTTTTGGGGATAAACCTATATTTCAAGTTTCGTCAAAATCGGACAAGAATTGTGACCTGTAGAGAGTCCACAAACAAATTGTGGACGGACGTCCGGACAGGGGCGATGACAATATATACGTCCACATGAAAATATGGGCGTATAAAAAAGTCATGTTTGTGTCACGTGACTTAGCTGAGGCACTACCTAGCTGTCAATTAGGGAAACCCTTACATTTTTGCTCTGTATGCATTCCATGGATGTTTTTAAGGGAATCCAGTATTTTTCTAGTAAGACTGGATATTTCTACTTTCCATATATACCAAAATTGCTGTACTTTTATTGAAAATAACCACCCTATAAATACTTTTCTGGGAAAGTATCTTTAAGAACTTTGGGTGGTTGCCATAGCAACTACATAATTTTAAAAAAAAAAGGCTACAAATCGGTAATAAACGACTTTCTTCCAACGCGAGCAATGGAGTTGTGACAGCTAATTATTGGGTCAGGCAATTAATTAATAACCTCTAATAGTCAAATAAATCTGTTTTGATGCTAGAAAATTTTATGATAGAAGAAAAATGAATTTTGATAGGATTCAGCAAATCTGAAAAACAATCTGTCAAGCGTTTTCACAAAAAAAAACTATGGACAAACAAATGGACTATCTATACGGGTGAAAATGATATAAAAATATATTTTAGTATAAAGATATAATATAATATGAAAGGGTAAATTAAAGAAACCATCTTACCTCCCATTTAGAAGAACTTGTGGTAGTGGCAGTAGATCTATTATTCTGTACTTGAGAATTGACCAATCTATCACTTTGAGATTTTATTCCACCAGCTTGAGAATATTTCACGTCAGCAGACTTTGTTTTAGAATAGTCATTATATTTCTTGTTTTCTATAGGTCGTGAAGATGCACCAGAGCGATTAGGAGGAGGATCGTAATTATCACTTTTCCGTGAATCTTGTGAATATTTGTTCTGAGAACGATAGTTTGAGTCTCTCGAGCTTCCATTATAGTCATTTCGATAGTTCTCCTGTCTTTTATGTCGTGTTCTGTCAAAATTATCACTGTCTGAATTAGAACTATTGGACATACCAGAATTATAGTGACCATCAGCAGCGTCCTTCCCATATTTCTGAGCAAAACGGGGTGGCACATTTTGACGTCTGTTATTATAATTATGATTATCGTAAGATGAGTGTGATTTATTATCAGGATGATTTGAACTACTAGCTTCATAATGAGGATTAGATCTGTTAGTTCTATTAGGGTTGCTTTTATTATCATAACTATTAGTTGACTGTGATGGTTGATTGGTTTTGTTTTCATTATGCTCTGCTACAAAGCGACTCTGTGATTTGTAGTTGCTGGTAGAACTAGATGGTTTTGTTTCTGAAAATATTAATGATCGATTGCAAACAAAATATCATTTAAAATATCAATACATCAAGTTTAAATGAATGGTTTAATTTGTAAAAGAATACCTCCTACTGTACATCTACTGGTACTCAAACATTCTTTTGAATTTTTACCATGCTACAGTGACAATTAAACACAAGAGTGTTCAATCGGTTTCACAGAGGATTACGAAAGTCTTCTAATATTTCTATAAAAGATGACTACCTTTAACATGTGACATCTCATGACATCACGTGGCGTCAATCATTGGCTCAATGGCACGTGCATTGTTTACATGAGACGTTCTAGTTCGGGCAGAATGGAGCCTTTTACTCATTTTAATACCCATTTGACCTAAATAGGAAATATTTTTTTACCTACAAATACATAAAACGCCTTTATGTATTTTTCTAAAAAAATGTTTTAGAATTTAATTTGTCGTATGAAAAATGTTAATATTTCTGGCTCATTAAGTCGCATCAATGTCATCCTTATCAGTGATTGTAGCGGCCTAGTGAAAATTCACTGCTGATCAGTGTGAAGAGTGTCGGGTAATAAATCATGTACTAACTGAATAAAGAAATCTCTCCATCAATAACCACAGTCGAAACATGTTCACTGTGTTCAATTCTGACACCATGTATCATCTGTTTGTAGGGAGTAGGAGAATCTTTATTTTGAAGTGGTTGAACTGATGTGAATTTAGAAAGCAATAGAATCAAATTTAACATCTATACAAACCTTCTTTAACTGGTATCTTATTTGTTAAGAAATCAAATAATGTACTGGGGCCACTAGGTTGACTATTAGCTGATGATTCTTCAGTGTTAGTAGGGTTCCCACCTCTCCTTGGACGACTAGCTGTAAAAATACAAAGATAGTTTGACAGGCAATGAAACATATGCCAAGCTAAATTGTCTGAACAGTCGACAAGGGTTGTCACATATTTATTCTTGCTCATTATCGAATGATGTAATGAAACTATACACCGCGTTTCATCCCTCTTACTTAATTAGAACCAAAGTTATCTTGTGCCAAAGCACTTTAATAGTCCCTGTTTTCTTCAAAATGAAATGAAATGGGGTTTAATGTCCTAATGTTCTGCTCCTGACTGGGCTAATGAAGACGGGCATACGCCATATAGTGTGCTATGAGGGAAATTTTGCCCGAGCAGCGGCACTATGGCCTACTCTTATATCGAATTCCAACAGCCAAGGGATCTTTTATACGCACGTCAATGTGTACACAGGATCTTGTTTTTTTACACCATTCGAATAACTAGACAGCTGTCCTCATCTGGCCCCCCTGTCCTGCAGAACTGATGAGGGGAAACCACGTCGGAAAATCCTGAACACGTGACCTCCAGACTAGTGAGCCAGCGTCTTACCTACTTAGCCACTGTGGCTCCCTGCTTTCTTCGAAAGGCGGGGGACAACAATATCAGTAGCACTTAGGGACAAGTACCTGATGCAAAAATGATAGTGTGTGCTATTTGCGTTTTTTTTAAATTTAAATAACAGAGTGTGCTAGAGCAAAACACAAAATATAGCTGATTTCATACTTCCTTATCGTTAAATAGTTGAATTTTACGTATACAGTTGTAATCTATTATTTTATTACAGTTGCCATGGAAACCAGGAGAAATGACAATTATATCCCATTTTGAAAATCGCCCAAGAACCAGTTTAATATTGTTGATAAAATTACGTTTTCAACCATACCAAATAACCTTTGTTCTACCATAGGTAGGGATATCGGAAAAAGTAAGGACTTGTACTGCTAGCCTATAGGTTTAGGAAATGAAGGATGCATTATGAAACAAAACGTAACCAGGCATAAGAGCACATCCTCTGTATCTGTATCAAATAGTTACACTAGTCATATTACTAAAGCTAATTGAATATAAACTAAACTTATATACAATAACCAATACATACATGGTTTTTCTTTTCTATCTGTTCTATCCACTCTTTCAGATGGTCGTTCATGTTTATCTTGACGAGGTCGACCTCGGGAGTTATTTCCTTTACTAAGAAGACTGTGAATGGCATCACTGACATTGCCATTGGAGAAACGTAAAGCATTAGTTGCATCTTCTGTTGAAAATCCCATATCAACAATCTTAGCAATATCATTGTCTTCTAAAGCCTGTAATTATAAACATAAGTTTACAGAGCCTGTCCATCTATTCATATCTAATAAACTGTTTTAGGCAAAAAAGACAACTGCATGTGACAAACAACAGTTCCCCCACTATCTTTGAACCACTTTCTTAACCAGACACTTCATCCGAAGTATATTAAACAGTATGGTACAGTAGTAATCTTTATTAATTAAAGAAATAGACTTGATAATCAAGTCTGCTATTAAATCACGACTGTTGGAAAGTTAAGCTTTCAAGGAGTTTTCAACTCTGGTTTTTACAACACAAAGGATTTTTATCACTTGAATTTTTATTCTTGGATTAATGACAGTACAGTAGATGTGGACAGATGTCCAGACAGACAGAGGTGACAACAATATATGTCCACATGAAAATGCGGGCGAATAAAAAGGGGCTATAAATCCGGGAAGAAAGTCACAGAATGCTGAAAATTTAAAAGATTCATCCTCACATGACCACGATGCTTCACAGGACTGACGACATAATTGGCCCACACTAAATTTGAAAAGAATCCCTGGAAAACTGTAGCCTATTTTGTATTCACAAGGTTTTCTGCAAAGGGAGGCTAACAGCAGAACGGAAAGTCGCAGAAGGCTGAAAATAAGGAACCTATCACAGAGTTTGTTAAGTACAAATTATCACACAACGAATATATACAAGCCTGGACATTGGAACCTGTCAGGCACAAATTATACCAGAACGTATATATGTGATAATTTGTGTCTGACAATGTCTCTTACATGTGCCTTATGTCCAGACTTGATTGTTTTATTATTCTACTCACCAATTTACCACCACCACCAAATGTTTTAGCTTTAGAATCTTTGGCTTGTAACGCTTCTGCAATTGTTGCTTGTCTCTGTTGTTGAAATTCATTTTTATCGCCACTCGACTTTTCCTTATTTGTGTCAAAAGACTTGAAATTCTCTACAACAATTGTATAAAGTTTAAATCAATTAGATAATAATCTATATTTCAAGTTTTGTCAATATCAGATAAATGTGAACGGATGGACAAGATCGATGACATAATACATTAATATGAAAATGTGTTGTATAAAAATTATTAACATTTATCTGATATCTCCAACGCCCATTGATTAAATCATCGACAGTTTCATTTCTTTCACCAGTCAGCTCTTAATGAAACATCTGAATAGTGCCTATGCCATCTTGTATATGCTTATCATATGGATTTATAGTACCGTAAACAAATCTTTATACATGGTTCAGTACTTTCAAAGACCTCAATTTGGTATTTTCAAGGAAGTTTAAGATCAAAATTTGATACTTTTCAAGAATATTTGAATGTACTTCGAAGTCTAAATACCTAAATGAATTATGAAAAACAAATAATGTGTTACGGCAACAATATGTTTAAAAACACTAGGTCACTGGCGTTTACTAACAAGTTCCAGTTCTGCTGTGGAAATGGATTTGTAATAAACGTTTACCGTCATCACTCAAAACAGAGAGAGAGAGAAATGGTGTTTAACGTCCACTCGACACTAACTAGGTCATTTCGGGACCAACATATGGTTTAATCTTATTTCAATAATTTGCTTGCGAGTATGGGGCTTTAGCAGTGGGAGGTTGGACAGGCAACCCTACTCCTTGTCACGTACAACTGGGGATTCGAAACCACGCCTGTTCACTCAATGACAGACTTTATGATACAGCGCGTACGTGCTAACCATTCAACCATCCAACCTCCCTCAAAACAGAGACCATTTCCTGTTATTTCGTAAGGATAATAACTTGGCATCCGTAGACAGTGCAAAGACACACCCATCTTTGCGAAGTTACGCATACGGTGGGCTTCATCATGGTGAATAAAATAGCAATATTTGAAGTAGTCACTCAAATATAGTCGTCAGATATTCAAAAAACAGAAAGTATGATTTTACGCATATTTAATGAGATTTAGCAAAATGTTGTATATTTAAGCATTTTAATGACCAAAATATAAATTTACACTTTTTTTGAAACAGAAATTCATCACCACTAATTATCAATTTCATACCTTTTCTAGGATTAGGTAACTGTGAGGTATTTTTCTGTCCAAAAGGCACATATGCTGGTGGTCCACCTTCTGAGCGTACATTAGATCTAGTCTGATATTTGAGAGACTGCAATGTAACATGGCAAATATTCAAATCCAAATTTCATAAAAATTTGTTTAATCTATACATATATTTCTGACTGTCATTTGTCTGTTTGTCTGTTCAGGGTTGTCGGTTACACTAAGGCTGTCCCAAGGCTGAAATTTGACATCAGACATCCCTCACATCAGCCACAACGCGGGTTATATAACAACTCTTCCAGATCCTAGTCAGTAACATTGCAATACCACTTTAGGTTTCAGAGTTGTACCACTTCCAGTTTCAAGAAAAATTTATAATGAAGCGTTGCAAGCAGCTCAATGTGAGTAAAATAAGGTAAAAAGCTAGTATGTTAATAATTTGACAGGAAAGCTTAATTAATTATTATTATAAAAGATATCTGTAAAATACCTTTTTTAATTGCCAGTTCTCAGCCAGTTTTTCCACATGCCCACCGATAAAACGTGTATTTTTATTATTCAGCAGTAATATATTGCATTCAACTTCAACTGTTCCATCTATAAATATCTTAGAACCAGGAGGTGTATTAAACCTAAAATAAAACAAACATAAGCTTAATTAAAACATCATTTATATCCGCAGTCTCAGATATATATTCTGTTGAATAAAATAACAGATGTTGTTTCCAAGTTTTGCATGTCAGACATTTTTGGAGCTAAAAGAGCTCAGTAACTGCTCGACATTTTCAATATTTGATTTATGTACCAGTTTCAAATTCATGCCGACAATATTCTGCAATAATTATGCGTCTCTGTTAATACAACACAAACACAAGCTAATCAGCTGAGATGAAAATACTTGTACCCTCAGTACAGATAATATTTTCACAGGAAATTTGAATATGATTCACCATATCTTGATGTCTGATTGGTCATAATTCCCTGGATGGACGATTGTCACTCCTCGTAGGACATGTCCGGCATATTGGCCCAAAACAGCATCACCAATATTATTTCTATGTAGAAAAGTCAAGAAACATTTATCCCGCTCCCATGTTTATATAAAGACATTTTCGAAGAAAATACAAATGGTTAGTATTGATGAATTAAAAATTACAAGTTTCCAAACTCCCAGACATAGTATCTGGATAATCATGTCTGTGATCTTACGTGACCTGATTGTGTTTATAAGGTATTCAGTACTGTAAATAATCAGACAAAATTCTATATTTGAGCTACCTAATGTAACCTGTTAAGCACATTTTGGTGATGATATCAGGAACAGCTCAATATTTTGAGCTGGAACTTCAAGGTGAATAAGCTACATCTTTATAATGTGGCATTTGATTGCATCTGGCATCTACTCCACCAAGCAAAAGATTTAAAAATAAGGCTATTGGATGAATGCGTTGTCAGGTCAATATTGTCTTACCCCATGTTTTTAAGTATTTCTGTCTCTACAGCTGTACAATTGGTTTGACCATCTGTTAATATTATCTTCATCATACGTGGTGCCCCTTGAGATTCTTCATTTTCTTTTGGAGCAGCTATATTTTTCATCTTGGTTATTTGTAATACAGTAGGTCCTTGGATCTGAAACAAATTTACACCATAAAATTGTTCAAACATTTTATATATAGGCTTATTATTATAATTGATAAACAAGTTAAACATACATTATGCAAGAGCTAAATCTGTCTATTGCAGGTCTTTCTTTAGGCCTGAAATGTTATCAAAATTATTAATTAGACATTAATTAACTTATCCAGACCATAATCAACTCTAGATGGCATCGCTAGCCTGCGATCTTAAGTGGATTGTGATCCGATTTACTGCATAACTTTCCTTCTCGATTAAACGATTAAATGGATAATCGAGACTATGCTCTTTAACGTACTGACTTTAGTAATGATGAACGAGGCTAGGCAGAAATTTTATTCGCTTAGTTCTCGGTTCATAGTGGATCAATTTGAATGAAATTTTCAGCAAATTGCCTTTACGTGATCTACTTTTTAATTATTATAGTGAGAACCGCCAATTCGTTATCGAATCTCCCATAATGTATCTTTAAACTTCCTTATTGAAAGATAATATTCATACAAATAGTTTTGTATTAACTTATGTTGATTAATAAACTCAAGCTTTAAGATAATACTTTAAGACTTTCTTCCTATTGATATTTAAAGAACTATTATGTTTCTGACAAGAAATGATAACCTTCTGTTACATACATAATCCAATTTCCCTCTTTGAAGTTCTTCTGGAAGCCATTTTGCACCAATTTCTCTTAAATCTGTCTGCAAGATAAATTTTAAAGTGTGCATCATTAATTATAATAAAAGTAAATGCTTTATTCATTGGTTCATTAGAAGAATCAGTAGTTTGGCAAACTTTTTTTTTTTTAAAATTTTTACTTTTTTTTAATATCTCTCGACATTCTAACTGTACAGTTGTCTTACGTCTAAAGCATTTTTTACGATTACATCTGTTCTCTTATTTCCATCTTCCATACATTCCTGTAATCCTTGCTCTGTTAAATGCCTGAAAGTAATAAATAAAAGACTGAGGCAGTCAGGGACATTGCGAACAAACGACAATGGTCACAAAAATGTGATGATTATCATATTGAACCGTTCAATTTCTTTATCAAATTGAAATTCATATTTTTTTTTTAATTTTAAGCTAGTTTCTCATACCTTTGCACTTTTGTCTTCGTGATTTCAAAGAACAATTGTGCCAGTGAGCAATGGATGAATCTGGTCTCAATGCAGGGAGTATAAATTGTTCAAATTTTATCTGAATAATGCACATAAATTTCATCAGTTCACAAGATTCTATATGTGAGTTTACTCAACAGATATTGTAGAAAGATGATGGTCTTGCTTGTTTCACTAATCTGAATAATGCATATAAATTTCAAGCAGCTCATATTGTAACTTCTGTTGCTAGATCAAAGTTGACAAGATTCTACAAAATGAGCAAGAACAACAACTCGGGAAGTAATTCAACACATATTTAAAAAGATTCACATAATTATCAATGGCGGAAACAGACCAGTTTTTGAAACTGTATAAACTAGAATATATTTACTCTGTAACTGAATACCTCGTTATAATTGTTACATGTATCTGAAATTCATTTTAAAAAACACAGAGAATGTCTGACTATACCATATATTATATGCCAATAATGGGGTCATAGATTCTAACATCTCATTATCCTAATTTTTGTTAAGAGATATATTTTGATTCACTTTTGATGCACACAATTTGGTAATACTTTTCATTTGGAGTTAAGTATTTTGGGTTACACTGTTAAGGTACCGTACACCAGTTTAATGAAATTGTGCAAATATTTTATTGTGAAATGAATTTTAAGCACCATGACATAACATAAATTTTAGTGGTATGGGATTTAAATTGTTGATTGCTCTGTTCTGGAGCAAATCAAAACCTCTGATTCATAAAAAGATGGCTCAGACATGTATGTAGTCTAATGTGAACTTTTCATGATAAGATATAGCATAGCTGAGATTCACTTCAGACTACATCAATTACTACCTAGCATTTAACAAGCCTCTGAAAACATTTTTAAAAAATTACATTTACATTGTGAATTTGATCTTTGATTTTGAATATCATTTCCATCAAATACTGATGATGAAAGCATCTGCCATCTGGATTGGGGGAAGTCTATAATAAAAGCTTATTGATATTGATGACAGAGATAGGTCTACAATGTCAATACAATATTGTGTTATATGTAGGCATTACTTTAATGAATTGTTATAAATAGTTTTATTTCTGATGTTGTCTATTGCTGCTTTGCTTGGCCTACCAAAATGACAGCCATTCCCAGAACAGTACCTATCTGTATGGTCAGTATTAAATGTGTGTGTCGGTGTGCATGATGATGGATCGACATTTCTCGTCTGTCAGCTACATTCTCGAATACAAAGTAATCTGGCTAGGCAAATACTTATTTAAGGATATATTCTACCTATTCATTATCTAGAATACTTCGTTTATACGCCAATTATTGTGCAACAGACGTACAATATTGGACATGGGCTCAAAAAAACTTTTGACACCTACCATCCTTTCCTTGCCAATTCATCACCCGCCATCTTACCGACCTATTTGTTAAACGTGATTTCATTGGTGCATCAGACCAAGTGTCTGCTACAGTTTATGAACTGGGTTAGGTTGCGCGTAATTTGGAGGAGATCTATTGATTGAAAAACTTAATTGATTACAACGTGGTCAAGTTTTAGTGTAAATGCATTAAACTAACAGTGATAGTAAAGCTGTCAACAAAAAAATAGTGTTTTTCGCCGTATTCAGTCCTGCACGTGAACAGGTGGCCGCCCAGATGTGACAGCAATTTTGATAGGCTGTGTCATGTCCTTATTGTGTACATATTGTAATGGCGGAAACAGTTGACTAAATCTAAATGGGAAGTGTAACTTCTGCGTTAACTTGAATTATATTCGTCGAGTTTCTTTCATTTAGGTACTGATGATTGTAAGAACTAACTAGTAACTAAACAATGTTTGATTTCTAAAGGTTATGATTAAACCAACGTCCAAAGAACCCCAAAAGTGTCAAAAATCGAGATCTCTTTATCTTGACTCACCACCCTTCTCTTGAGTTTAAATTGGATGACTTGATCAAGATATAATAATATATTATAAATATAGTTGATACTTATGAAATGCATGATAACATGGGCAGTAATATCAAGTTGCTTAGTGGATGGGTTTTATATGGTACCCTGCATTTAATTTCTAATATACAACTTTCACTGAAAAGACCATCCACTTTTGTAGAACTTTGAAATAATAAAAACGACTGTTGTTATTTCGACAGTGTCAATGTCACTGAATGTGAAACCAATAACTGAGTAAGTTCGGAATTAAGCCTGTTGTAATCAATTATTTAATGAAGTGATTGGTAATTGGCATTGATATCCAGATAAAACTATAAAAGGCAAAGATAGATAGGATTGTAAATTTAAATAATTGGAAGGTAAAGCACAGGAATCAAAATGGATAAGAAAGACTCAAAAGATAAAAGAAATAGTTTTGTAAGTACCTGGTATTAATTATTATTTACACTTTATCACTTTATGTATTTTTATTCTGTTTTATTTGTAATGAAGTACATTGATGAACGAGGCAAGTTAAGCGTCAATGCAGGCCTACGACTGATGTAGTGTCATAGACTGGATCAACCATTACGGAACAAAATGCTTGATAACGATGAGAGGATCTGTCAAAACATGCTTTTAGAATAAAACCAGTGATTGTCTCCCATAAAAATTGTGTTATGTTAATGTGTTTCCCAATCGCTAAATGCCACTTAAAGATTATGGATCAACCAGATGTAAATAACTGCCATTCAATTTGTACTACTCTCATATTTCATCGACCTGATTAGAAATTGCAATAATACATTTTAAAACTGAATTTAAATCAGTTTAGGTTTTGACCCATTTTAGCTTCTGCAGGCCTACCTCATCACAACCTCAGTGTCTCGAGATGAGGAGGAAGGGGGTACCACACTAATATTTCTACCTAGTAGAGCTATATGTACATTATCATAAATCACAATGGCATTTACTGTGACATCATCGTATTTATGTAGGCTAAGCATTTTTGGTGAGTTCTTGTAGCTATGCCGATATGGAAACTTAAATACAATGTACATGACTGCAATGGATGTAGGCCAGGTGAACAGTCTTGACATAAATTGATCATATGCATACAAATGTAGTTCTTTGGATAAAGATGGTAGACCGTAGACCTCAAACCATGGACCTGTCTTATAAGGTACATAATGCTCAAACTGAAAGGTTATGGCTAAATGTGACAGAATGATGAATTATTTACACATTTATTTAGAAACTTACATGTATAGTAAAGATGCATTATGTAAGTTTTAGATAAAGAGCTAATGAAAATATTGAAAATTTCAGTCAAATTACTATATTCTGACCACAGTTATATATATGGGTATTTGAAGTTTTCACAGTATAGCCTCAATAAGTCTTGATTATCTATTTTTACATTCAATTATTAAATGGCGATTGTGTTTTAATCCATTCAAAATCACAACCATCCGATGAACTAGAGATTTGATTATGGGCTTGTCAATGTCATGTGAATAAATGCCTAATCAATTTAAAGCCAAAACAAAGACCTACAATGGAAGATTTAGCTCTAATTTGTAAAATTGAATCATTTGATATGAAGTACATGTAACTGTAAGTGCAAGTCATCCTGAAATATTAATAACCATGGCTCATAATGTATGATATTGGTAGGCTAATAAACTTGGTTTACTAGTACTACCCTGTCTGTAAAATGGCAATGGCATGCCTCTTATTTCTCTGATGCTGATACATGTATCTCAGTACTAGTCAGTAGACTGTGGTGCTACATGTACCTTGCCAAAAAGCCTACCATCCAAAATAATCCAAACACTCCAGAAGATATTTACATATTATACCAAATACTCCAGAAGATATTTACATGTATATTATACCAAAATCTAGGAGAGTGAGTACTGTACACTTACTGACAGTGACAGGGAATGCTTGGTAATTGGCAGTTGTACGACATTGTAACTATTGATCAGCCTTAATATTTTGGTGTAAAATGCAAACTAATTAGCAATTGTTTAATTGGTAGGCTATAAAATATTGTATGTTCTTCTTCAATTATTGGGGGGGTTGGATGGCTGAATGGTTAGCGCGCGCGCTGTATCATAAAGTCTGTCATTGAGTCGACTGGCGTGGTTTCGAATCCCCGGTTGTACGTGGCAAGGAGTAGGGTCGCCTGTCCAACCTCGTGGGTTTTCTCCGGGGCCTCCGGTTTCCTCCCACTGCTAAAGACCCTTACGCGCAAGCGAATTATGTAAATAAAATTAAACCATATGTTAGTCCCGAAATGACCTAGTTTGTGTCGAGTGGACGTTAAACCCCATTTCTCTCTCTCTCTCTCTTCAATTATTGTTTAACATTCACTTCCACCGAGGGTGATATCACAGACAAGTTGTCTTATTTTACTATGTTCAGGGCCCTTATTCACGAAAACTTAAACTAAGATACAATCAAAATTTGAAGAAATACTGCAATTCGATTGGCTGACCAGTAAAATCAATTTGCATATATCCAATGAAGTTGCAGTATTTCTTAAAATTTCGGTTGTAACTTAGTTTAAGTTTTCGTGAATAAGGGCCCAGCGCACACACAGAGGTCTTTCCTGTGGGAGAAAACCGGAGTAAACCTACGAGGTTCAGAAGGGACCTCTATCTTCAAGCCACACACGGTCACACCAGGGGTTAAAACCACGACTACAACTAGTAACTACTACAAGCCAGGGGTGACGACCAGCTGGAGGTCGAAGCGCGACACTAGGCCATCCCAACCACCTATATTGTATGTGTAGATAGACGTGTTCATATGACAATCCAGAATGTTAGTTGTAATGTAAATTATGCTATAGATGAGGAAATAATTCTAACATTTATCTAAAATTAATTTAATAAATTGTTTTTCTTTTCATAAACTTCTTGTCATCAGTAAATTAGCTTACATTCTTACATGAAACTGTGTTAACATCAGATCATCTTTACAGTAAAGATGATCTGATATTAACAGTTTCATGTATGCATCATGTTCTTTTAAGCTAGCTGAACCCATTCGGCCAAATCACCGCTGAAATTCGTCTAGTCTGTCCAGAGGCCGAATTAGAATTCGCCTGTATCAAACATGTTTGCTATATTTGGGCACATTTTCATTCGCCGCGTGTATATGTGCCTAGTGTGCCTGGCTTGCCGAAGACACCGCCTGATTGTAGAATTCATTAGCCAATCACTGATGTTGAGAAAGTGACATAATTTCTTGAAGACAAAATGGCTGCTATCATGGCTTCATAACCGCCAACGTCTTTTCGGCCAATTCTCAAACAAGATTGATAAAGAAAAAATCTGTTTTTGTCCAGACACTACTATTCGCCCACCTCTTTCTATGCCGACGCATACAGCGTAAAATAAAAGAATCCCACTGCTGCAGCTATTTTTTTCTTTTTCTTGGTCATTGCCATGTTTAATTATGTGATATGAAAGGAGATGCGGAGAATTTGTCTAGAATGTCCACCCAGTCGTCATTTCGGTGCTGATTCCTTCAGCCAGAAATTAGCCTAGTGTGTCTGCCACTTTATTGATAACGTTCAAGATCAGATTTCTTTACATATTTTCTAACTTAGTGAAATAGATAAGTGAATTTAAAATATACATTATGCCAAATTTACGAATGTCTGTAAGTACATGTATTTACATGTAGTATAAAAATGTCTTCTTTTTTTTTACGCCACAGAGTTACACTCTGTACATGTATATACACACAGATAAGTTGTATTTGTTTATTTATATATAACACATCTAAAAGTATGACATAATTTATTTGGGATCGAGTTAAATCCATACATGTATAGTGTTTTTCACACATGATAAATTATGTTATGTTTTTGAAATGTTAATGATAAACTACATGTACATGTAGTCTACATGTAATAGAAAGAGTTCTTTATTCTTGATTTAAAATAAATGGATCATAAGAAAATATAATATTATTTTGTTTTAGAATATTAGTGAAATACATGTATAACAGTGGCTAAGGGGGAAAAAAGTGGCCTTCAGCTTGTATTTGAAATATGACCATCATGTCTCAATTACGTCCAAATGTTATGTACATTTATAGTGCTGACTTACATGTTGAAAACATCATCACGATAGCCATTTAACCTGTCCCATCTATGCCTTACTAATCAAGTACCAATTTAGATCATTCTGGTTAATTCAGACATTTCACAGGTGTACTCTTAAGTGTCTTGAAATGAAATGAAATGAAATGAAATGGAGTTTAACGTCCTACTATTCTGCTCCTAACCTGGGCTAATGAAGACGGGCATACGCCATACAGTGTGCTATGAGGGAAATTTTGCCCGGACAGCGGCACTACGGCCTACTCTTATATCGAATTCCAACTGCCAAGGGATCTTTTACGTGCATTCCAATGTATACACGGGACATTGGTTTTCCGTCTCATCCGAAGGACTAGACAGCTATCCTTGTCAGGCCCTCCGTCCTGCATCACTGACAAGGGGGAACCACGCCGGAAAATCTGGATGAACTTTCTCGGCCAATGCAGGGATCGAACACCCGACCTCCAGGCTAGCGAGCTAGCGTCTTACCCACTTAGCCACGTGATCCCCTTTAAGTGTCTTGAACAGCCAGTTACCACAAAATGGATGCTAGTACATGTACTATCCAAAACCAATATTCACTGTATTCCAAGCGAAGACAATATAAGTTAGAGCAAGAAATATAATCTATTCACGGAAATTTCATATATTTGAAACTGTGATTTCAAATAATACCAATCCTCAGTTTTCTGTACTACATGTACTGTACATGTACCAGTTGGGGGTAGGCTTTTTGACTAGCAATCACATTGTGGCTGGATAAACCTCTTTGACAACTGTCAGACATGCCAAGGTATTTCTCTATTATATAAGCACTGATTTACAATTACATTAAAAGCCTTATGTTTCAAGACACAGTGGAAACTTTGATTGCCATTTTAACATATATTTGGGAGATTGCAGACAATATATTTAGTATGGTACCCAACTTGTAAATAATTGCAATCCACTAACAATGTAAAATTTTATGGATACACAGTTACCGAGTTTATTCTATGCGACGTTTCAACAAGGAAACTCTTGTCTTTATCAAGCAAATGATATTAGTCGATGAATATATTGAGTGGACAAGAGTAATCGATAATGCAAGGAAAACAGTAAATATATTAATTCAATAAACCCAAGTTAAACCGTAAAGTGGGACTTGATATACTACCAAGGGCTTATGACCAACTTATACATTGCCCCTTACCCCCCACCCTCTGTTATTTATATCCATACTGTCCACGTCAGTACCCTCTCACTTATCTAAGTTTACAGTCTAAATGCAAAAACTTAGAGATGTTATTTTTAATATTTTTCAGTTTATTGAATTAATATATTTACGGTTTCCTTTGCGTTATGGATTACTTTTTTCTACTCAATATTACCCCCCCCCCCCCCAACACACATTCTCTTTTAATTATTGTTTATCTATGACTTTGGTTAATTTGTTTCCCATTAATAACGGTGTTGATGATCAATCTGAGTTAATTAACAGGATCCCCCCCCCCCCCTCTAAATCATGCGAATTGTTGAAATAAAATGAAACCATATTTTAGTCAGGAAATGACCTAGTTTGTGTCGAGTGGACGTTAAACCCCATTTCTCTCTCTCTCCCCTAATCAAAGGTGTTAAGTAGTTCAGTGTTATTCTTGTTGCATATTCTGTATACGATTGTCTACTATTCACATATTTATATCGTTTACTTGATAAAGACGAGAGTTTCCTGGTTGAAACATATTATACATGGAGTAATATTAATAAACCCAGTAATTGTGTATCCATAAAATTGTACCTTGTGTTTATATATTCAATTACTAAATGCCTAGCAGAGAAATTCCAATCCAATTGAATATCAGTTCCAAAATTCTCTAAAAATCAATATTCAGGTACATTATGTAGTGTAGATCTATGTAAAATGTAACATAATTTAATGAAATCATTGTGAATTATTGATAAATGAATGAATTTATTGTAGTAATAAATCATTGAGAGACTTTTTGTACCAGCACTTTAAATAGGTGTGATATCAGTAGTATTACTATTACTATATGTTATTTAAGGTATGCTGACAACCAAGTTGAAATTGTATTATTCGTTGTTCTATTTTGAGAATGACCTGATTGGGATAAACAAATAATCAAAGCTTGAGTTCTTGGAGTTTGTTCAATGTCCTTAAGATATTATAAACAATGTCTGTAGCAGTCTTGTCCTATTTGGGTAAAAGATAAAGTTGTTGATTTCATTGATTTTAAATGTTGATTTTTGTAGTTGGATGACAATCTGTCTTCATTGAAAATTGTATGGAGTACAATTGTATGCCAGTCTTTGGCATCTGTTTATTCCAGTCTACTCCAGTAGTCTTCCCTTGAGGAATATGTTTAGCCTTGTTTGTCCAGTCACTTCATTACAAATGGTGCATCTTGGCACGTGATTCGTGTGCCAAGTTTAAAATTTTCACCGTGTCTTAAATATGGGATACCAGAAACCCATCTTTTAACTGTAAGATAACAACATCAATTTGGATTTAAATTGACCAATAAGTCGTGTTTGCAATGTCGAAGACTGTGGATGATACTGAGTTAAAGATTTAGCTACTATACAATACATGTAGTTAAAAACTAGATTATGTAAATGGAATATGCTGAAAATTTCAGTCAAATTGCTTCACTCTAAGCTGAGAAAATCTTGCTTTGAAATCTCTGTAGCCTCGAATGTCATTGCTACCACTGTCACGATAATTAACAAAATCTTGATTATCCATTTTTGCATTTAATCATCAACAGATGTTGAACAGCAGATCGGATTCAAATTCAATGAAAATCTGACACATAAGATGGCATTGAGAATTGATTATGGTCTTTTCATGTTAAATAATGTCTAATTAATAGTTTATATAACATTTCAGGTCTAAAGAAAGACCTGCAATAGGCAGATTTAGCTCTTGCATAATGCATGTTTAATTAATTTAATATATTTTCCTGTTCTGGAACTACATATATGCTATGACATAATGTCATTATCTTGTACTATATTATGGCCTGAAGAGGTTTAAGTGAACTGAAAATGTTAGCTTAAAACATGTGTTGATTTCTTTTTTCTATGTAATTTTTTTTATATACACATGGAAATCTTTAGTTTTTATTACCATTTGATATATATTTCAGTTTGATAAAGTGGGAGGGACATTTAGAATGGGTAAAGAAAGAAATAAACCAAAGAGTGTATCCAGCTATCCTAAAGGTGGTTTTCAAGATGATGATGGTGGTTTTACACCAGATCCCTTTTCACAGATGACTGATAAAGACATAAATGAAAAATTTGAAAAACTGTTGGTGAGTTTCAGTTTTTGTACAATTGATCATCGGTGGGAAATCAAAAGGTTGTATCTTGCAACGAAAGAAAAAACCCTTGTTGACTGCCCGGACGACATTGCTGTCGTGGACATACATATATATGTTTCATTGCCTGGCATCTTACATGTATCTTTAAAATCTTTGTGGATGCTCTAGAGGTAAAAGTTATCATCCGATTGACTTTAAATTTATACAGTGTTTATGGTCATGCTTCACATACCTTTTTTACAGAAAAATTTGAGAAATTGTGATAAATACATCATTTTGCGTATGACACTTTTGAAGTGACGTTTTTGTACTATATCATAATTCTTAATATTTGTTTTTATCTTCTTATCTTAGTAGTTAACATTATACTGGTAGTACTCTTATTAATTAAAAGAGAGAGAGAAATGGGGTTTAATGTCCACTTGGCACAAACTAGGTCATTTCGGGACTAACATATGGTTCAATTATATTTCCATAATTTGCATGCACGTAGGGGTCTTTAGCAGTGGGAGGAAACCGGAGGACCCGGAGAAAACCCACGAGGTTGGACAGGCGACCCTACTCCCTTATTAATTAAAGTCTTACTTGATTGTGTAAAATGAGACAGAATGTTGTTAATTAAATGGGCAAATTAGCTTTATACCAATGACAGTCTTTTCTTTGAACCTAGCAGTTTGTTATTTACTATTCTGGGTAATAGTAAATACTACTTGTTTCTTATTTATGTACAGACGAAGTTTGGCATGTAGGAACTAAAGTAACCCCCTGTAACCCTGTTTACATTTGCATAATATTGATCTGTCATCCCGGATAAACAAATAACAATATAAAAAGGCTATACACAGGCCGATATTATTGTATATCACAATTATTTCACAAATAAACAGAATGTTGCATATTGCCGCAATATATAGTTATATCGCAGTATGAATACTGAAATATTGTAATGTTGAAAATAGCAGATATCAACCATCCTTGCCATACAATTTCCCGTGAGGGAAATTTTGCCCTGACAGCGACCATTCCTGCCTGCTGTTCATCGAATTCCAGCTGTCAGGAGTGGGTTGTTTTACGAGCACCCCAACGTGTACATGATACCTTACCTTGATGTCCATCCCATCCAAATGGCTAGATGTAGTTCTGACAGTGACAGGCTGAACGCACACTGAACAATTAATTCGGGGGCACTTTCTCAGTCAACACTGGGTAGAACCTGGGACCTGGTTAGTGAGCCAATATCTTACTCACTAGGCCATTGTGGCTACCATTTGCTAATAAAATGCTTCATCCATAAAATATATTAGTTTTTATTTGCCCAAATTGAAATGTGGTTGTATATTGTCTCACACTATCTATCCATCCATCAGACTTCCACAATTGCATGTGGACATTCTAGAGGCTAAAGATATTATCCGATTAACTTGGAATTTATACACAGTGACTATGATCATGATACATGTACCTGTATGTAGCCTTTCGATTTTCAGCCATCTTTGATAATTAATACCAGAATAATGGTTCTTGATCACTTTGATAAATCTTATGGACACTCTAGTCTAGAGACTAAAGCTATTATCCGATTGACTTTAAATTTATACACAGTGTTTATTGCTATGGGATGAAGAAGCTGATTGATTTTTGATAATTACTGACAGAGTTATGGCCCTTTTAAAAAAAAGCTTTTATGCATTCTAGAGGCTAAAGTTAATATCTGATTGACTTCAAATTGATTTTCATTAATTTTCAATGATTTCCGATAATTTCTACCAAAGTTATGGACCTAGATCCCCTTAAAAAATCTTGTGGATGCTCCAGAGACTAAATTTATCATACGATTGATATTAGATTTATACACAGTGTTTAAGGTCATGAGACAACGAAACTTATTGATTTACAATGGTTTCTGGTAAATATTAACAGAGATATGGCCCTTGATTTTCAATGATTTCTGATAATAGAACAGCTAAATTCATGATATTACATGTTTGTATACAAACATTAGAAACGTAATGATTTCTGATAACTTAATGTGTTGTTACTCTTAATCAGATTTTAGTGTGTTGTAAATGTTTTCATTACCTAACCGAAAAAAGAAAAAAATATAGGACAACCATATTACAGCACCAGGTATCCCCTAAATTTAGATCAGCATTTTAATCAGATAGAAAATGAATAAACTTGATATTTCATGTTGAATATAATGTTGATGTTATGTATTGTAGGATGACATGAATTTAACAGAAGAGAAAAAGGCTCCATTAAGACAGAGAGACGTAAAATTAAAACGTTCAATGCTTTCTATGCACTACAAAGGGGCCACTAAGGTAATGGTTTGATTAGTAATTGCAATACTCTTTAAATGTAATGTTACTGTAGTTTACTAAATGTTTTAGAGGTTTGTAAATTGTTATTATTAGTCAAGAAAATGCAGAAAGTTATTGGGTTGGAATCATTTCAGTTCTTAATATTATCTGAAATACTTCAGAAATTCTCCTCCTTACATACAGAGTTGATAAACTTTGCCATTGTCAGTACCTAACTCTTTAGCACTTGGACTGCCCCAAACAACACAGAGAACTATTTTCATGACTGGGGGTGGGTGGGGTGGTTTGCTGTGCTTTATTGAACAGTTTGGGACTGCTCAGGGATATAACACGGTATGAAATTTATCATTTTTCGATAATTTTATTCAAGGAACTGGGGTAGTCTTTCACAACATGGCTTAGCCAAACAGAAGAAGATGTTCAAAATGTCTCTGAATCTTAATTTCTAGATTCCAAAGGAAAAGTTTTAAAAAAATATCAGATATAGAATATGCGTGTTTTCCACCTCGTTTGAAATATTAACAGAAATATTTGTGGGTAATTTTTGTTTCCAATTTAATTTTTGATTAACTTTTGTAAATTCCATTAAAATAAAAAACTTATGAAATCAGAGAAATAGTTTGTTTTATGAGATTACTGGGTTACTGATAATCTTGTTAAAACAATTCTAATAAAAAAACAGGATGAGCAATGATCAAAGTTGTATATTATTTATTAACACTACTGAATAGTGTTGAAACTACTATTCGGATATTCGTTAACAGATACAAAATAAGGGTTATCCGAATCATTTTACTATCCGTTTACTATTCGTTACAATATATTCTGACATCCTGTATGCTCTATCTCTATAATTAGCCATTTTTCCATCTGATTACTTTGAAATTTTCATCAATGCAATTGATCACGTACGCAGCTCTGAGCATAAATGTCAACATTATGCGTATTAATTAGTGGAATTTCACGTCTCCGAATTATCCGAATAGTATTCGGATAGCCAAGAAAAGTATTCGGATCACAAATCTCGATCCGATTTTCAACACTACTACTGAATCAGAGATTGATTCTAAACAAGTTTGTGGTAATAAGAGTTCAAAGCGTTGATTTCCATTTGAGATCATGTTCCGATAATGCCGTAATCACTGAGAGAAATAAAAAAAAAAGCAATCCTAGATTGGGCCTTTGGTGAGAGATGGTGCGTGAGAGGAACAGTGCATGTCAAATGTGAAGGTCTGCTAGAATCAATAAACATGGTATAGTATACATTACATGTTAATAGAGGTTTCTCATTGTTACATGATAACAATAACCTCAGTTACCATGACTGGCTGAGCTTTACCATTATTACACGATAGCAAAAAAAATCAGTTAACATGACTGACTGCACATTACCTTATACAAAATGTTTATTCTTTTTTTTAAGCCTGATAAAGAAACACCACAAGAATTTATACAAGAATTACAAAATGCTGATTTAAAAGGAGATAAAAGATTGCGAGTTTTAGAATCATTGCGTGTTTCTTTAACTAGTAATCCTGTCAGGTTAGTTTTATTGATTTAAAAATAATTGTATTGTAACCATCCATGTATAAAACAATGCATTTTACTGTAGATAGTTGAAGATGCAATATATTTTTATGCAGAAGTATTTTGTCGACGATGTCCTGACGTTTGTTCACATTTCTTTGTGGACACCCTACAGGTCACAATTTCTATCCAATTTTGAAGAAAATTGAAATGTAGGTTATATTTCAAAGATCTTGATTCCTTTTGATATTGACGCATGTTGGACTGTAACATCCTGGATTATGGCCCCTGAATGTACAAAAAATAACTGTGGTGATAAAAGTTTCAGTGCTGCTGCACCTCTACTGTGGAATCAGTTGCCAGTAAACATTTTAAAGAGAATCTCAAACTTTCACATTTCTTTAATCACAACTAAAAACTCATTTGTTTCAACTCTATTATACAGAACCGAACTTTTTAATCAAATATACAACTGATTGAATACAATTCTAGCTGGGTTTGTGTCAGACTTTTACCATGTGTACTAAATAATATTCTCCGTTTTTTGTTTATATCTTTTATTTTATGGATTAATGTGTTGTGATTGTTGTAATTTTATATTAGTTGTACTTTTGTAAAGCGCCCGAGAGCAGCTCGCTGAGTTGAATTGTTGGCGCTATATTTATCAATTATTATTAAATGTAGTGCTTTGCGCATGCTTATATGGATGGATTAATTTATCGCATTATAAATATACATTATTATTATTATTTTTAGCTTTTTCTCTATCCATCTCTTGCAAAATATGGGCATATCTTGTATGGCAACCACTTGTTGAAATTCAATGTGAAGCATTGGGACAATGTGTGGATGAGGCCTTATTTGTACCGATCGTCTTGTATTGATTTATATTACAGTTGGGTACAAGAATTTGGAGAAAAAGGATTTAATGGAATATTAAGAAATTTAACATACTGCTGTGATTCGTAAGTATTAAGGATTAATCATGCCTCTAATTATGGCCATTGCCTTTTACGCAAAGAGATTAAAATGGGTCTCTCCGTCTGCATATCACACTTTTTGGGACACAATACCTATCCTTCTAATTGAGATAGAATGTTTAAACTTGGTGTAGGTGTAAGCAGAGATAAGCAATTTGATTGGTTGATGCTCCGAGGAACGATAACATTAGTTCTAATTAAAGATACATTATGGGAGATAAGATAAAGAGATGGCAGTTCTCGCTATAATAGTTAAAAACTAGATAGTGTAAAGGTAATTTGCTAAAAATTTCAGTCAAATTGATCCACTATGAGCCGAGAAAGAAGCGGGTGAAATTTTTGCATAGTCTCGGTCATCATTACTAAAATCATTAATATAAACAGCATAGTCTCGATTATCCACTTTTCTTGATTTAATTATCAATAGCCGTTAGCGGCATATAGGAATCTAATCCAGCCAACATCGAAGGCTAGCCTTGACATCAAGAGTTTATTATGGTCTGGATAAGTTAATTAATGTCTAATTGATAATTTAGATAACATTTCAGGCCTAAAGAAAGACTTGTAATAAGCAGATTTTGCTCTTGCATAATGCATGTTTAAGTGAGAGTGATGAAACCTGGTATATAGTTTCATTACATCAATAACTTGACTAAGTTTGATAATGAGCATTTTCTACTCGGGGTAAGTAGAGCAATAAGCATTTTCTGCTTAGGGTAAGCAGAGATAAGCAGTTTGATTGGTTGATGCTTTGGGACACTATGACTTTGGTTCTAATTAAGTGATACTTCAATCTGATTGGTTGAGACTGGAACACAATAACTCTCCTTCTAATTGAGGTAGAATGTTCAAGATCGGATTCAAGTCTGTTTAAAATCGGACCTATCAGATGGCATCGAGAGCTAATTATGGTCTTGTCATGTTAATAAATGTCTGATTAATAGTCTATGTAATATTTAAGGCCTAAAGAAAGACCTGCAATAGGCAGAATCAGCTCTTGCATAATGCCTGTTTAATAATTGAATTTTGTGAAAATACCCGTCAAAATGGCTTCTCCACTTTGCGCAAGTACCAGTAGTGTAAAAGCATGTAATACTATTTTGTGGACCCTCTAGAGGTCACAAATGTTTTATTCAATTTGGTTAAACCTAAATGTTTATTATCCCAAAAATCTGTTCTTTTCGATATTAGCACATACCAGACTATGACTTTCAGGATTTTTCTCCGACGTTGTTTCCCCTTGTCAGTGGTGCAGGACAGAGGGCCTGACAAGGACAGCTGTCAAGTCATTAGGATGGGACGAAAAACCAAGGTCCTATGTACACATTGGCACGCACGTAAAATATCTCTTGGCAGTTGGAATTTAAAATAAGAGTAGGCCATAGTTCGCTGCCCGGGCAAAATTTCCCTCATAGCACACTGTAAACCCCATTTCATTTCGACTTCCAGAATTATGGGACTTTGCGTAGATAATGTAAAAGCATGTAATACCAAGGTTTTTATCCAATTTTGATGAAATTTAAAATATATGGTTATATCCTGGAGGTCTCGGTCCCTATGTGAGTTATTATCATATGTTATTTATTTCATTATTAGTAAAGCTGAAAGAAGAAGTACATACGAGTGTGTGCGGTGTTTAAAGGCGTTTATGAACAACAAGGTTTGTCAATTCATTTTATTATATCTGTATCATGCTTTGAATGATTGGACACTTAATTTAACTCTTCCTGTCCACCTGCACTTACTATTATTGTATACCTTGTTTATCTTATCTCAGAATTGTTTTTCAACTAATTTATTTCTTTTTTAAATCCTTTTAATGTATTATTTAATTCTTAAAACCGCTGATAGCCATTTGCATTTATATGGCAATATATAATTTTCGCTGATAAAATTATTGTCAAACTGATTATTTAATATTTTGTTGAGAATATCAACAGAATCTGCCGGTTTTTGGATTCAGTCAGATTAAAAAGAGACCCATCAGAAGATATTAGTGAAGATTATAGGTGGTGATAGCTTGTTTTGACCATATCCCATTTACAATAGAGGATGCCAAATGTTGTAGATGTATTATGTCATCACCCCTGTCCGTCCTTGTTTCCATCCCTCCACCCGTTCAAATTTGTTTGTGGACACTTAAATATGTTTATATCCCAATGATCTCGGTTCCTTTGGATATTGGCGCAAATCGGACCGTAACTTCCTGGATTATTGCCTCTAATTGTACCAAAAAAAATAGTTTTTAACTTGAAGACCCTCTAGATAACGCAATTTTTGTGTATTTTAAAAACCGTACAATCAGATCACCATTACACCATAATCATAGTTGAGTTTGAATTTGGTGAAAATGGGACAGAAACTTTCCGTCAAAATGGCTGCTCCATTGATATGTATGTCAAGGTTGTAGCCCCTCTAGAAATTTGAAATATGTGTTAGGTACTTAGGGATGAAAAGATCTTGGATGAGTTTGATTTTGGTGTGCATCAGACCCTCCGTTCTGGAGTTATGCCCCCTTTTACACCAAATGTGAAATATGTACAAAGTTTCACATTGGGTTCATGTGAGGACGAACCCTCTAGAGTTAGCCCCCTTTTCCAAAAAGGTTCTGAATGCGATAAAGGCTACAATTTCTAACATATTTATTTCAAATTTGGTGCGTAGCATCCGGTTCATGAGAGGACAAACCATATCGATAGTCAGCGATCTGTGACATTCGGTTCCAAAGCCCTTTTCCGGAAACCTTGGTGCTACAGCTTTTAACAGCTTTATTCCTAATTCAGTGTGAAGCATTTGAACAATGAGAGGATGAGCCCTATTTCGCAGTTCTCCATGTCTATCTATTGCAAAATATTGACCTATCTTGCATGGCAAACGTTTGTTGGACAGATATTTCTTTCTTAGAGATCGAACTTTAACAACATTGTAATTAGCAATGGATTAATGATCCCGCAAATGAAGATCAGACACTTTAATATATATATTTTTTAATGGCTGAAATTTTTGAAAGAAATTATTTTTATTACTTTGATGAATATTGAATAAGAATGTAGTTTTGGTATTGTTTTTGCACCTGTATTACTAACCATACATGCATGTTGATGTTTGTTTCAGTTTGGTTTATTACAAATATTAAACCATGAAGAAGCCTTAATAATATTAGCTCGTACCATAGACCCGTCTGATCCTGCTACCATGTTAGAAGCTGTCAGAATATTGGCAGCTTTATGTCTAGTCCCTCCTAATGGGTAGGTTTATGTACACATATCAATATCTTACCACAGCTAACTTATTGCTCCTGGGATTTTTGAATAATCTCCCATCATATACTAAAATATATATATATTTATAGAAGATAGAGTAGTCCCTGCTGAACAGAAGTACAGACTTATATAGATTACAGTAGTAATTTAATTCATAATGTTTCAGGTCTTACAACCCATTTCAAATCATCAAATATCATCTAAAATCATTATATCCATGTCTGAATAAAATCTGTGCACCACTAGCAGCTTCATATGCTGTGAAATGTCACCGCATGAAGGAGATAAGCCCCTGAATAGCTGCTTGTGAGATGAGATGAGAAAGCCTATTGATTTTCAGCAATTTCCGATAATTACTGCCAGAGTTATGACCCTTGATCACTTTGAAAAAATCTTGTGAACACTGCGTAGGCCAAAGTTATCATCCGATTGACTTCAAATTTGTACATATTTACTGCCAAATTTATGGCCCTTGACCTCTTTGAAAAGTTTTGTGTACACTCTATAGAGCAAAGTTATCATCTGATTGACTTTAAATTTATACACAGTGTTTAAGTTCATGAAACAGCGATAATTACTGTAGGAGTTATGGACCTTGATCACTTCCAAAAATCTTATGAACGCTCTAGAGACCAAATTTATGATCCGATTTACTTTATGTTTATAAGTACTGTTTAAGGTCATGAGACAATTGCAATGAAGCCTATTTACAATGGTGTATGATGTATATTGCCAGAAATATGGCCCTTGATTTTCAACTATTTCTGATTAATAGAAAGAACAGCTAAATTCATGACTTTTCATGTTTTGTATACTAAACGTTAGTGTGGGGCAGAAATAGAAGCCAAACAAATTGGCCCTTGATCACTTTGAAAAATCTCTTGATGGCTCTAGAGGCTAAAGTTATCATCCAATTGACTTCAGATTGATACACAGAGTTTAAGGTCTTGAGACGAACAAGTATATTGATTTTCAATGAAATTTTATAACTTGAACAGCTAAATCCATGATATTAAAAGTTTTGTATACTAAACATTAACATGGGACAGAACTTTATAAAAACCAAACAAATTCTAATGGTTTTTCTGATAATTACTTGTGATTTAAGAATTTATCCACTGCAAATGACTTGCTAGAAATTGTACAAACTGTGTTGTTTAGGTATGAATAACCCTTGCTTTATTGATATTTATTTAAACATGTATATAATATTTTATTTGTAGTCAAGAGAAATCTTTAGAAGGAATAACAGTTTGTGGAGAAATTAGAAGTCAAGATAGGTTTATACCTATAATTATGGGTTTAGGCATGAGTGATAATCTACCCATGCAGGTAGGTACATATAATATTTTTGGAGTGAATTTATTAGTTGTTATATCAAACGATATTTGAAATTGAAAGTACAACGTTTTGAATTGTTAAAGGACAATATTGATGTCGGCCATTAGCACATATGTGATAAAACTAAACACGTTCCAAATATAATTTTAACACAGAGCTAGATCATTGATGCAATAGGTGCGTAACGGAGATTTGAAGTAACAAGCGATAACAGATACCTTGCGAATTTCAGCTCACTGATAATTCCTTCGAAGACCAAAAGTTGTTATATGACAATTTATAAAAAGAATTGACTGCAACTAGATAAGAGAAAACAAAAAGAAAATAGAAAAAGTCTGTGCATTACCATGTTTTTATTAAGTATAGAATAAATAAAAACAAGGAAATGTACAGGCTGTTTCTATTTTTCTCCTTTTATCTAATAACGTTCAATGAATTTTTTTTTTCATCCATAGATCCGTGACCACACTAAACATTCGTCAATTGCAATAAAATGTTACATCCAGGCGAAAAATCTTTTGTAAATAAAATATTCTGAACTAAACATCATGTTCATCCACACTTCTTTCGGTCAAATATTAGTAACAAAAGAACATTTTATTCTAATTTAGACTGGCTTAATATTTTATTTCCAGCACATACGGCAATTCGTGGTAAATAGCAAAGCAAACTTGCTGCAACGGCTAAATGAAATAAATAATACTCTTGTGTACTAATATATAAATAAGTAAATTAATCATTTATTTTATATAACAAATGAATAAATAATTTGGCTAGAAGTTTCTGATTTGGCTAATAATATTTGTATTTGGCTAAATAATAGGCTAAATAATATGTTATTGATGGATGCAGTTAGGTAAAGTTATATATTTTGTTATTGAAGGTTAAATATATACAGTTAGTATCTATATATTTTCTTGTTAAATGTGATGTGTATACAGTTAGTAACTATATATTTTGTTATTGAAGGTGGCGTGCATGCAGTTAGTAACTATATATTTTGTTTTTTAAGTGACTTGTATGCAGTTAGTAAATCATAAATGCTGTATATTTTGTTATTTTAGGTAGCCTGTATGCAGTTAGTAAATGCCATTGTTAGTACACCAGAAGATTTAGATTTTAGATTACATTTGAGAAATGAATTTATGAGAACTGGTTTAAATCAACTTTTAACTGTAAGTTATTTATATTATTCCTATCTTTTTTTCCATTATTAATATCTCAAGTGTGGGCTAGAAAATTGTCAGTCAGATGCCTTATCAGAATGCATATTGTATACAAGTTTCAAATTTGTGTGATATACCCACTTATATCATGTATATATATTCACTGTGAGTTATTTTGTTAATACCTTTCACATTAAGATGTTATAATGAACATATTAAACAATGTATATTTTGATCATTGTTCATTGCAAACTGTGGGCATATATCTAGCATTCCAACAGTTTGTTTGGAAGAAATGTTTACCCTGTATATAATATACTCACTGTATTGTTTTATTATTTCAGCAATTAGAAAAATCTATTGATAGTGAATTAAAGACACATGTAAATATTTTTAATGAACATAAAGAAGAAGATCATGAAGAGTTTTCACATCGTTATGACAATATTCGTTTGGAGTTGGAATATCCTTTATTATTGATACAATTAGTACTTATTACCATCAGATCAAAATTAAATGTTACTCCTAAAAGAAATGAAATGAAATGGGTTTTAACGTCCTACTGTTCTGCTCTAACTCGACTTATGAAGACAGGCATATGTCATACATTGTGCTATGAGGGAAAATTTGCCTGGACAGTGGTGCTATGGCCTACTCTTATATCAAATTCCAACTGCCAAGGGGTCTTTTACATGCGCGCCATTGTGTACACAGGACCTCGAGCAGAACAGTAGGACATTAAACCCCATTTCATTTCGTAAATTGGTTGTCAATAGAATACTGTACAAAGCTTAATGTATGTAGTCATTTACAAGTTATTGTCCTTAATGTTGTCACTGATCCTGAGGCGTGTTTTAAAATAATAATCAATACAGTAGGAAATACAGTAGCTGAACCATATTTTTTATCAATATTACAACATTTATTATCTATCAGAGATGATACATACTCCAGGTTAGTAGTATAAGCTTATCAATTTTAATATCTTTGTTTCACTTTTATATTTTCTTTGTTATTCACAGCATCACAGATCTAAGAATGTCTTTGAACAACATTGTTTTAAACCAAAGATTTTGATATTTATATGCCCACATTGAATGTCCAGGTTTTTGAAGCTTTATATTACTTCTATAGACAACATAAGTACTAGCACAGTTGACATTCTCTAATTTTGAATGATTTCATATCTTGACTGGTTATTTCTTGGGTTGTACACATAGTCTCACATGATTTGCATAATTTCCTTAAACAAGGTTGACATCCATATAAACTTTTGTCTTCAATACTATTATTAGTATTAGTAGTTCTCAATTTATTATCTTTCAAAGTATATACAATTTATTGTTTAACATGTAAAACCTGTAAAATGCAATATGTAGGCCAAACTATTACTCCATTTAGCATTAGATTGAATAGGTATAGCTGTAATATAAAGCTTTGAAAGCTGGCCATTCCCATGTAGCCCCCCATTTCAATATGGCTGGTCATTAATTTGTGTTTACCATAGTACCATACAAAGATCAGAATAAAAAAATGAACACAGCAGATAATATTTGGATTCCTAGACTTTCAGTTTGACCAAATGGTTTAAATGAGGTAAATCCAGGGGGTTTCAAAATCATTCATAATCATGCATAATATTCCTTCAAAATTTCATTTGATCATTTTTACTATGATATAATCAAAGTCTATGATGTCGTAACTTGCTATGATGGCATAATTGACTTCCACTCATTTGGTGTTTAATTCTTCATCCCTGAAGAAGTTTGTATCTTTACGGACTAAACGTTGGATAAAATTATGTTTTTTGTATTGTTTTCTGTTTATTATTGTATATCAACTAATTTTAATATCGATATTTTTCATATTGAAATGTGGTCATATATTGTCAACGCCCAATTGACTTTAAATTTTATACACAGTATTTAAGGTCATGAGACAAAGAATCATACTGATTTTCCGATAATTACTGCCAGAGTTATGGCCCTTGATCTAAAGACCAAAGTTATCATCTGATTGACTTTAATTTTTCACAGTGTTTTTGTTCTTGAGGCGAAGAATCCTATTGACTTATTACAATTTCTGATAGCTTGAACAGCTAAATCCTAATGATGTCTGATAATTACTTATGGGTTTTTAATCTTAATCAGTTTTTAGTTTCTTGTAAATGCTTTCATTATGGTACCAACAAAAGAAAAAATATGTAACAACCTGTGTGGACTGCTTGACAACTGAACTGCTATCGTCTATTATATCTTAGAATCGGCATGTTTTATTTGGCAATGGGAATAACTGCACTATCAATGACCAGTGACGATTGAAATGTATATTATATTTTTTTATCATTTTAGACCTCAGTATTATAAATTAATAGAAGAATGTGTTACTCAGATAGTTTTACATAGAAATGGTGTAGATCCAGATTTTAAAACACAGAGATTTGAAATAGATGTAGAACCTTTACTTAGTAAGTAGATGGCTCCCATTCTCTTTTGTCATAATAAATAACTTTATTAAGTCATCTGGAATATTTTTATATGCCCACATTTTCACGTGGATGTATTATGCCATTGCCCCTGGACTTCCGTGCATCCACAATTTGTTTGTGGAAACTCTACACGTCTTTAGCTTGTGGACACTCTAGAGGTCACAATTTTCATTTGATTTTGATGAAACTTTAAATGCCTGTTTATAACCCAAAGATCTTGGATCTTAACTTTCTGAATTATGGCCCCAGATTGTAAAAAAATATTGTGGTTTTAGCTTGTGGTCCCTGTAGAGGTCACAATTATTATCTGATTTTAAAAATATAGTTTGAATATATCAGCGTTACACCGTAATGGCGGTTGCATTCAAATTTCGTGAAAATCGGACCAAAATTGCCAGAAAAAATGGCGTCCCCTCCTACCCAAATAGTGTAAAAGTATGTAATACCACGGTTGTGGACCCTCAAGAGGTCACAGCTTTGATCTGATTTTGATGAAACTTAAAATATGTTTGTATCCCAAAGATCTAGGTTCCTATAGATATTCATGCATATTGGACCGTAACTTCCTGGATTATAGCCCCTGATTGTACGAAAAATCACGAGCTTGTTCTCTCTCCATCTCTTGCAATATGTGGACGTATCTTGCATGGCAACCGCTTGTTTTTTTAAAACATGATAAACTATGCATAATGATGACACACTTTTAGTATTTTGAAATGATACGGTACTGAATTGACCAATATATTATATATATATAATACGCGTCTCATTAACTCCTTTTAGTCCTTAACATCCAGATTACATAATGATGCCAATTATTTTTATATATGTGGGACTTGTGAAGAAATACTAGTTTGTATGTCATAGTACCTATCAGGTGAAATTAGTAACCATTAGATATGAACCATTAGGATTTTCTCTCTTTTTCAGGCAATTTAACTGAAAAATTTGAAGATTCCGAGCTAACAGGTGGTGGATTAAGTGCTAAATTAGAAAGTGCTCTAACATCTAAACAAGAAGCAGAGGCTAAAACAACAGGTTTAGAAGAAAAATTAAAACAATTAGAACAGGAAAATACACAATTAAAACAAAAGGTAAGACGACTATAGGTAGTAATTAACAATTGTAATACACTTAAACATGCATTATGCAAGAGCTAAATCTGATTATTGCAAGTCTTAATTTAGGCTTCAGATGTTATAGAAATTATAAATTAGATCTTTATTTAAACAAGACCAAAATCAACTCTGTAGACCCACGGATGGCTCGGCTACAGCTCGGATTTAAATAGGATTTCACTAATTGATTAAATCAGATAAGGGGTAACCTGATGAAAATACGTCAGTTAGATCGAGGCTAAATGATAGAGTGTACTTAGCGAGGCCGCTGTAAAGCGTTTCCGTATGCCATTGAAAACTTTACTTGATAATCGAGATATGTAGGTGGAGTTAACGCCTGTCAATCAAACGATCAGCGAAGGTGAAGACACAATTCGCTACCATTTCTAGGCAAATATTACAACGATGATAACTATGTTCAGAATAAAGTAATTTGACTGAATTTTTCAAAATATTCTTCTTTCATCATCTACTTTTGAACTGTTATAGCAAGAATGGCCAACTCTCTATAAAAATCTCCCATAATGTATCTTTAAGTTAACTGTCTGTTATCTGATGAAAACACAATAAATGTTCAAACTTGGTGTAAATTCTCATTACGTGAATGTCTTGACTGAATTCAATGATTAACATTTTGTGCTAAGGCTAAGCAGAGCTAAGCAATTTCATTGGTCAATACATTGGGACACGATAACTTTGATTCTAATTGAGCGATGAAACTTAACTTATTGTGTAGTTTCACTACATGAAAACAATGACTAATTTCCATCACGAATACTTTCTGCTTGGAATAAGTATAGATAAGCAGTTCGATAAAAAAACAAATGTTCAATTAATTAATATGTTTCATCTATTTATTTTGGATTTTGGCAGAGGACATCAGACTCACTGTTAGCTTCTTCAATCCTAGATCATTATCAAATTGCTCAACATCCAAGTTTTCCTTTCGGAAGCTATATTACTTTAATTTATAAAATTGTTCATTTTAATTGTAGTTAAATGATGGAATAGGTGCTGTTGTTAGTTCAGCTATATCTAAAGGAGTGCCAGGAGCCCCTCCTGGACCAGGAGGAGGTCCCCCGCCACCACCACCTCCACCTGGACCAGGAGGAGGTCCTCCACCACCACCACCACCACCGCCCCCAGGTGGAGGTCCACCACCTCCTCCACCACCACCAGGAATGGGGGGGCCCCCTCCTCCACCAGGCGTCCCTCGTCCTCCTGGTATGCCAGGTATTCCAGGCCCTCCAGGTATACCATCACCACCAACTAATGTTTTACCATTTGGAATGACAATGAAGAAGAAATACTCAACAAATACGCAAACCAAAAGATTAAATTGGAACAAAGTAAGTTTATACATTAATTGTATTGTATATTGTAAGAGAATTTTGGTAATGCACTTAATTGTCTATTATAAACTATTTAAATTCTAATATCTGTGATTACCTATGGTAAAAACCAATATATTATCTGTTAAGGTTAATGTAAGGAATTTGGATGAAGAGGCACTGTGGGTGAAGTTAAATGAAGAAGAGTTGGAAACTGAGGCTTTATTAAAAGGATTAGAATCGAATTTTGCTGTGAAGGCAGCTCGTAAGTAAACATGATTAACTCATTTTGGTGTGAAATATTGTGGTCATTAGAAGATGAACCCTATTGATTTTCAACATTGCACAATTTTTCGTTATAACCCTTTTTTCAAAAACCTTGTGAACGTGATAGAGGCTGTACTTTTCCGACTTTATGTTCCCCTTTACCAAAAAATTTTATGAACACGATTGAGGCTACATTTTTATACACCCACATCCACCAAGTCCTATTTAGGTGACCGAATTCTGCTATCATCATAACGGCACTGCAGTATATATTGTGGTTCAAATTGCAATGTCCACAGATCATTATATTAGGTATTAAATCACTTATGATTCATAACCTTGTCCAAAAATAAAGGTTATGTATAATTCACTAACATTTGATAAAATCAAATAATTTGTGCTGGAGAGTATTTTATAAATATAATTTTAAACGTAAATATAGTTGTTATGTGACCAAGGAATTCCAGGGGGGCCTATTAACACATGGTTAATAATAGAATAGTTCCACGTACAAGTGTGCAGTCATGTTTTGATATTCAATTTATTGTGGATATTATAAAATCTGAATTCTACACATTTCTCAACTGCGAAGTTATTGGACTTTATATTTAATTTAGAGCATTGTGTTATGTAATTGCATGAATGTTTCGAGTTGCTGATGCGAGAACTTTTAGTCCTGCCGATGATGAAGAAATAAACTAGTTTTATATCACGATATTCATGTGGATCAAAATAAGGACTAAAACTATTTACGGGTAGTTACTAAATTGACAAAAAGAAAAAAACATAAAGAATTGTAAAAAAATCGATATAGAGGCTCACGATTCAATACACAAAGGTGATTCGCAATGCATCAATTCAACAATATATTGTGCCAGCAGTAACATTGATATTCATTATTTAAATTGCTAAACTGGAAAAGCCTATAGATCAAATTTCAACTATTTCCTTTAATAACTCTTGTTTGCTATTACCATCCATTGTTTGATATTACCAACTTAAGAGAAACAATATATACTAGACTATAGAATATTATATGTTACAGCTGTAAAAGAGATTGACGGTGTGGAAGTAAAGAAACAAGGTAGAAAAGTGAAAGAATTAAAAGTTTTAGATGGTAAAATGGGCCAAAATTTATGTGAGTACATAAATAATATTTTATAAAGAATACAAACTATTTTATAGGATTTTCAAAAATTTTGTTTTCCATGTAAATTGTGTGATTAATGTATGTGTTTGTATTGTTGTTATCTGCTGCATTTCTCCTGCCACCTTTTTTATTGAAAATATTTATTCCATTTCTTACATATGCAAACAGATATTTATTATTATTATTTTGTTTTGTTTATTATTATTACAAAATTTATATAGCCGCAGTTTCATACAGATGTTCAGGGGTGCTTTACAGAGTTACAATTAAAAGATAAAAAAAGATTGTAAGATGGGAAAGCTCTTAAAAATAAATGTGTTTTCATATTTTTCTTAAAACTATAAACAGTATTACAGGATCTTAAAGTAATAGGTAATTTATTCCATAAAAGAGATGCTTTAACAGTAAATGAGCATTGACCAAAAGTTAAAAGTTTTGGAGAGTTTGGTTTTAAAAGAAATTTATCACCAGAAGATCTTAGACTTCTTAGTATATATACATAATAAACTGCTGTGTGTCATCAGCATATAAATGGAAATCAAGACCATGGTTTCGAAAATACCCCCTAGAGGTGATGTATACAAAGTGAATAAAATAGGACCAAGGACTGAGCCTTGTGGTACACCAAATTATACAGCTGTGTGTCATCAGCATATAAATGGAAATCACGACCATTGTTTTGAAAATATCACCTAGAGGTGATGTATACAAAGTGAATAAAATAGGACCAAGGACTGAGCCTTGTGGTACACCAAAATCTAATACACATTCAGAGGATGACTGACATTTTATAACAATAATAAGACTCAGTTTCCTTCCACATAAATAGCTTTCTAAAAGTTTCGGTGCAGAACAAATGCCAAATTTAAAACAAAGACAATTTGAAAGAATAAAATGATCAACAGTATCAAAAGCAGCAGACATGTCTAATAAAATTAATACAATGATGATTATCAAGTGAAAGTAAAATATTGTTAGAAACATGTGTCAGAGCAGTCTCTGTGCTGTGAAACCTTTTGTAATGGGTCATTTAAACAGTTTTGTTCAACGTTAGACATTATCTGGGAAGTGATACATTTCTCAAATATTTTCGAAATAAAAGTAAGGTTGGAAAATGGTCTATAATTTTCTAAAACATTACAGTCAAGATTTGTAATTTTAATCATAGAAGTTATAACAGCATTTTTAAAAACATCAGGAACAGTACTAGTAGAAATATACAAATTTATAATGTCTGTTATTACAGAATTAATCTGAGATAAACATTTTTTAAACACATGGATTGGCAGAGGGTCAAGATGATACGATTTTGACGGGGAAGCTTTTATAATATTACAGACTTCAGATTCAGAAACATGATGAAATTTTGAAAATACAGATGGGTTTTCGAGATGTGTGGATCAAAGTTGATAGAATTGTTTGTTTCAATGAATTTTTTTCTGATTATATTGATTTTATTGTGAAAGAATGAAACAAATGAGTCTGACAATACTTTGTCACAAATACTTTCTGGAATAATTTTGTTACCACAATGACCACCCAATAGAGAATTCACTATTTTCAATAATTCTTTTTGTTTGTTGTCACGCTTTTCGATTTTGCCTCCTCTATCAGTCTATTAATGCAATTTTCTCAGAATAGAATTTGGATTTTGCCTCCTCTATCACTGTTAGTGTCAGTCTAGCAACGCGATTTTTCTCAGCCTTATAAATCTCTTTGTGGGTGTATAATTAAGTACAGATCTGGCATTTATAAGTCCAAATTTTCATTTAACTGTATCCAAATTAAATTGTTCAAGTCACTATGTGACTATGGTTGCTTTTTAAATGTTTCTTTTTGGGTCCATTACATTCATGTGTAATGTCATTTGTGTTTACTTGATTTTAAATCACTCATTCACTCAGCCGGGTAGGATGTCTGTTCACTGACCTGGAAGTCTAGTGTTCGATCTCTGCGTTGATCGAGAAAATTCATCAGGATTTTTTGGAATGGTTCCCCCTTGTCAGTGGTTTAGGTCGGTGTGCCTGACAAGGGACAACGTATAGTTGTTCGGATGGGATGAAAAACCAAGGTCCCGTGTACACATTGGCGTGCACATAAAAGAACCCTTGACAGTTGGAATTCGAAATAAGAGTAGGTCATAGTGTCGTTGTCTAGGCAAAATTTCCCTCATAGCGCACTGCATGATGCATGCCCACCTTCATCTGCCCAGTAAAACCACATGTCATTACATTTCACTTTTATATGCCTAATTAGTTCTACCACCTCTACAGCCTCTAAACTGACTGGGTTATAATGTAGAACTCTATCGGTACATCCACTTTTTTACATGCAAACAAATATTTATTGGGTTATACCTATAAGGTAGACCCCTAGCTATCTGTACAACCCTCTGTAGGATGTTAAACCCAATTTCATTTCATTTCATTTATATCTGTACAATGTACATCCACTTTCTTTCATATGCAAACAAATATTTATTGGATCTTAAAGATACATTATGTAAGAATTAGATAAAGAGCTAGCCAATCTTGCTATAATAGTTTGAAAATAGATAATGTAAAATTATGAATAATTTGAAAATTTCATTTGAATTACTCTAATGCGACCACCGTACTGGTTGTTCGAAGCTAAGTCTCGCTCCTCCATTTTTAGATTAAATCAAAATATGGCTGAACCGTTCTAATCTATTTAAGAGCCATTCCACGTGAAAACCATGCAGAAGTTTTGAAGGTGGGGGGCAGCCGATTGAGTTCATATTTACAGGGTTTGGTCGACCCATCGAGCCTACTCCTCAGCCAAAATCGTCGATTTTAGAAATCAACCGTTTCTGAGATACAGCTCGATTACGTTTTTCGGATGATTTTCGTCATTTTCAGGTCAAATTTCGACCATTTTTGTAGCATTGCGATAGCCGTTAATCAAACTGGCGAACTAAGTTTTGGTTGGTGATTATAGTCCAGGTCTCACCCTGCCATATTATAATGGTTACCCAATGCAACCTCTCTTTCCGTAGGTGTCAGGTATATTCCGGACATGTCCTACGCTATTTTCCTAATGTCCAGCCAGGAATATGCCCAATCGGACATCAAGATATGATGAATAATATTCAGAATTTCAAAATTAATATTGTAAACTGAGTGTATAACTACCACTCATCCCGATAATTGTTGATAATAGGCTGGATTGATTAGGTAATTAAACATGCATGATGCAAGAGCAAAATCTGCTTATTACAAGTCTTTCTTTAGGCCTGAAATGTTATCTAAATTATCAATTAGACATTAATTAACTTATCCAGACCATAAAAAACTCTCGATGTCAAGGCTAGCCTTCGATGTTGGCTGGATTAGATTCCTATATGCCGCCAACGGCCTTTGATAATTAAATCAGAAAAAGTGGATAATCGAGACTATGCTGTTTATATTAATGATTTAAGTAATGATGAACGAGACTATGCAAAAATTTCACCCGCTTCTTTCTCGACTCATAGTGGATCAATTTGACTGAAATTTTCAGCAAATTACCTTTACACTATCTAGTTTTTAACTATTATAGCGAGAACTACCATCTCTTTATCTTATCTCCCATAATGTACCTTTAAGTGATCAGCGTATTTATCGTATTATACCGTCTATACACCTACGTTGTTTACCTGCTTAATCTGCCTTGCTTGACTGACTTATTACTTTGTCGGGAAATTCATCAATCTAATCTTGAACAGAAGTCATTGCTTCTCTTTTGTTGGACTTTTCTTATTTCGGACGCCTTTCTTCATTTGCAGACGTATAAACGAAGACTCGTAATTTTGGGGGAATATTACTGGCGTGACTTTGATTGAAACGGGCGCGGATTGGCAAATTTCATTCTATCGTATTACGAAAACACGTAATTTTGTAGGAATATTACTGACATAAATTTGAATACCACATGGGAATTAAATAAGAATAAGTGGTTGCCATGCAAGATACAACCCCATTTTGCAAAAGATGGACAGAGAACAAGCTAAATAAAATCTGATTTTTCGTACAACCAGGGGCCATCATCCAGTATGTTATAGTCCGACATGAGACAATATCAAAAGGAACCAAGATCTTCTGGATATAAAAGTATATAATATAAAAGTTTCATCAAGTCGAATAAAAATTGTGACATTAAGAGGGACTACAAGATCAAAAGGTGTTTTTTTTGTATATTCAGGGATCATAATTCAGGAAGCTACGATGTGATATGCGCGAATATCGAAAGGAACCAAGATCTTTGGGATATAAACATACCTTTTAAGTTTCATCACAAATGGATAAAAATTGTGTTTCTAGAGTGTCCACAATCTTGGAATTACATACTTTTACACTATTTGCTTATGAGGAGCGGCCATTTTGTCCGGCAGCTTCCCTCCGATTTTCATGAAATTCGAACTTAGTTGTCATTAGGGCGTAACGGTGATATTCAAACAGTTTTTAAAATCGGATAAAAAATGTGTCCTCAAGAGGAACTTCCAGCTAAAAACGCGATTTTTCTTAAAATCACAGGCAATATTCCACGAAGTTACGGTCCGATATGCGCGAATATCGACAGGGACCGAGATCTTTGGGATCTAAACATAATTATTTTAAGTCTCATGAAAATCAGATATAAATTGTGACCTCGAGGGTGTCCACAACTTTGGAATTACATACTTTTACACTATTTGCGTACGAGGAGCTGTCATTTTGTCCTGCAGTTTTGATCCGATTTTCAAGAAATTCGAACTCCGCCATCATTAGCGTGTAACGGTGATATATTAAAATGTTTTTAAAAATCGAATAAAAGTTGTACAACGCGACTTTTTGTACAATCATGGGCCATAATCCAGGAAGTTAAGATCCGATATGCGAGAATATTGAAAAAAAACGAGTTCATTGGGTTATAAACATACCTTTTAAGTTTCATCAAAATCAGATAAAAAATTGTAACCTCCAGTGTCCACAAACTAAAAACGTGATTTTTGGTAAGTTCAGGGGCCATAGTCCATGAAGTTACGGTCGGATACATACCCATATCGACAGGAGCCGAATTCTTTGGGGCATAAACCTATATTTCAAGTTTTGTTGAAAATGGATAAAAATTGTGACCTGTACTGTAGAGTGCCCATAAACAAATGGTTGACAGATGGGCGGACAGGGGCGACGACAATATATGTCCACACGAGAATGTGGGCGTACAAAAATAGCGAGGTGTTCCTATTTTTATTACATGCGGATTTGAATATTTTGTTGACACATGATTTTTAATTGTGGTATGAATCCGTCTGCTTAAATAACGATAAGAGTTATACCCCTTTATTTTTGGTAAAATGTCCGACAAGCAAATTTTTGAAATCCCAACTATAACTCATTTGTTTTTCAATATTTTCGAATGATATATGGTTTGTCGATAGAGCAACGTGTGAACTTCAAATTGTTTCCCTGATGACCTCGCGATTGAAGGTCACGGTGAAGACTAAATAGGCGATTTTCATGGAAATTGCGTCTGTTTTGCATAACTGTCGACTTTCATCTGCTCTAACTCGACTATTTTTCAAAATATTGAATTGAAATTTCTCATTTTTCATAGAAAAAAAAAATGTTTAAATAATCAGGATCAACATTTTAGATCGAGAATTTGCGAAAATCCATATTCACTTGGAGACGCCATCTTGTATTTGTGGACTAGATACCAAACCACACCGAGACTGAATATTTTGGCAAAGCAGGTTGAAGGGGAGCCGAAGTTGATATATTGACCCTTTGAATAACAATATTGGCGATTGGGTACCTGAATTATCCGCCGATGTATCCCAATCAAAACTAAAGTTTTTGGTAACTTTCGACACGAATTTTCATAATTTTGCAAGTTAGCTGACAACGATTTTATTTCTTATGTTGTTAGAACCGGTTAAGCTGCAAATAAATTGATTTTAATTTTTATTGCTAATCCTGCTCCAGTGGAGTTATCGCGATCTGAAGATAGGGTACATTTCAGGTATCTCCAGACACGTATCTTGTGTATTTTCCTGACACCTATGGAAAATTAACTTGAACCGGGTGACCATGATAATGTGATAGGGTAAGACCCCGACTATCACGAACAACCAAAACCTAGTTCGCCAGGGTCATGCAACAGCGGTAGTAGAGCGACAAAAATAGCTAAAATTTGCCCTAAAAATGACAAAAATCAGCCGAAAAATGTAATCGGCCTGTATCTCGGAAACGGTTGATTTCTGAAATCGGCGATCTTGGCTGGAGAGTAGGCTCGATGGGTTGACAAAACCCTGTGAGTATGAAATCAATCGGCCGACCCCCACCTTCGAACATCGGCCTGATATTGCATGGTTTTCTTGTGGAATGGCTCTTAATATCGGAGAAATCCGATGCCATCCGATCGAGAGTTGATTATGGCCTTGATTAGTTAATTAATGTCTAATTAATAATTTAGAAAACATTTCAGGCCTAAACAAAGACCTGCAATAGGCAGATTTAGCTCTTACATAATGTATGTTTAACGCAGAACTCTTTATTTGTAAATTTTCTTTCTTACATGTGCAAACAAATATTTCAGTCTTTGTTAATTTTTTGTTTTTCATTTTCAGCCATCTTTCTTGGTTCTATCAAAGTACCATATGCTGAAATAAAGAGACGTATCCTAGCTATGGATGAAGAAAATTTATCCGCTCAAGTTATTGATCAACTTATTAAATTTATGCCGTCCCCAGAAGAAATGAACAAAATAGCAGCATTAAAAGATGATTACAATGATTTGGCTGAAGCTGAACAGTTCTGTCTTACAGTGAGTTACCTGTGAAATATGAGCTAGAATGTGCATTAATTAATTAGATATCAATGGAATCCATGTTTTGCAGATAGTATTTATTATGTATGTCACCCTTCATTTTGATCAGATGGTCCAGAAAAGTAGTATCTTAAAATGGAAGTCTTTATTATTATTTCAGATGAGTAGTATTAAAAGACTTACACCACGTTTAAAATCTATGCTATTCAAAATGGGATTTGCAGAAGCTGTTGCAGATATTAAACCAGTAAGATACTCAATTTCTCTTGTTTTAGTTTCAGAATTAATCATTAGATATTGTTTTATTTAAAATGTCTTAAAAAACGAAATTGTCCTAAACTGATGTCAATTGTTAATGTACTATCTAATTTTTTTAACAAAATAAACTGGTAATTATTTTGAATGTATAGGTGGTTGAGGGATCTGGTATAAACTTGATCGCATAATTTCTGCTTCCCCAGTAATTTGGCTTGTTAGTTTAAACAATATTTTATTTCGAGTACATGAGTAGACAATACTGATATAATGGATTTGAAAACAAGCCAAGGCTTATATAAATTCATCTCCATGTAATTTATATATTTATATGTATAAACTTACATTAATAAATAAATCATCATCATTTAGCTTACATATTTACATAAATAAATAGATAAATAAATCATCATAGTTCTAATCATTTAGCTTACATATTTACATAAATAAATATATAAATGAATAAATCATTTAAAATACTTGTCTAAAAATGACTTTGGTGTACAAGTAATTTTCATTGGGATCACCATAAAGAATTGCTTTACTATGTTTGGATTTTAAGTGGCAGGGTATTTAATGTTATCCGGTTATCAGAAATATGCATTAAAAATCTATGAAAATTTAGAACATTTTTACACTTCCAATGTCTGGAATGGATAATCTGAGATTTTTGTTGACCGAAGTAGTAATATTTGGGTATTTTCAGTAATATCATTGATATAAATAAGGAAAAGAACTGGACCCAATACTGATCCTTGGGGAACCTCTGCAGTTTTATTATTTAAATTAGAGCTTTAATAACGACTGAGTTTACATCGAATACCTATACAACTCAGTTTGTGAATCAAACCTTTATGCCACACATGGTCAAAGTCTTTGCTAATTGCACTCAAGAACTTCAGTGTGTTTTATAAAGGCAGCACTCCTAACAATAGCAGGATCTAAGAGGGTTGTCGAATTAGGTGTAATACACATAGCATTCTTTACTGTTTGCATAAGATTGAACCGGTTTATGATATCATGGATTCTACTGGTATGATTGAGCAAAAAATCAATGTAAAAATCACCAAGGATAATACATGGTTTATTTAAGTCAATAGCGAAAACAAAACTTTCCTCTGATAATTTCCAGAATGAAATATACGACGTATGTTTCTATAAAATGTGCCTATTATGAGGGAATTTTGGTCTTTGGTTATTTCTACCATTATGGCTCCAAGACCCAAGACTTTTACGTTTTTACGATGTTTAAAATAATGGATTCTTAAATATAAATAGCAACTCTGCTGCCAATATCTGTGTTAAGGTTGCATAGGATGGGTGAATGGTAACCTTTTAAATTTCAACAAATCAATATCATATGAATTAGGAATCCAAGTTTCTGAAAAAGTTAAAATACCTATTCCTGAAAATTCGGGTAGAATGAGGTCTAGTTTATTGAGGCGCTTCTTCTAACTCTAAAAGGAATAATGATTTTTAATATTTTCTATAATGCAGATAACAGAAGTATTTAAAATCACTATTTCCATTTGTGTGTGTTTCTGATGGATTACTATCAACGAAAAATAAGTGGAAATTCATGTGAAATTTATATCACCACATTCACAGACATGAATTTTTGTAAAGAAGTATGGGATTTATATTTTGCCCATGTTTAGGACTGGTGTGTAGGGTTGGCATGTTTGTTTTGTACTTTTGTGTGACCACGGTGAACTGGTATTTTGATTGAAAACCTGATGGTTTTAGGTTAATGGTATATTGATATATAGTGCCTTACATGTACTATTTGTAATAACTGATGATAGCCAGGTGAGATGGATCTTTACCATTTCCTTGATTATCATTGAATGAAAAGATCTGTGTTTTCTCCTCCCTATTTGTAGATTTTCAAATTATATCATTTTTGTTTTTAGGATTTAGTAGCAGCAACTGAGGCTTGTGAAGAAGTTCTTAACAGTAAAAAGTTTGCTAAATTAATGGAATTAGTCTTACTTGTTGGAAATTATTTAAATGCAGGTTCTAGGAATGCGCAAACAGTTGGTTTTGATATCAGCTTTTTAACGAAGGTATATTGATGCCATTTACTTGTAGATTCAAATCCAAACTGAGTGTAAAAACTACACTTATCATAATAAAAAAGTCAAATATGTACATTTAACAGGGCATCCTAAATTGCCTTAAGGTATTTAAGTGTTGCCTTCTTTGTTTAGAATCAACTGGGTTGGGTTTTTTTTCAATAATAAATATACACATGTAATATGGATTTGATTTTCATTCACAATTGATTTACCTTCAGCCATTCAGATTCCTGTATAAACATATAATAACAGTTAATGAGAGAGTTCATATATGCCGTAAACATGTGCTATTACATGTCATTCTTCATCTCCTTTGTTCTTCCAAGCTATGATTATAGCTACAAATTAAACCTTAGATAGGCTACTTGAAATTCTAAACAAGTATATACAATTACTCCATAGCTGTGTGATTTTATATTTTTTTCTCCTAGTTGAATAATACAAAATCTCAGGATGGAAAAACCACATTATTAAACTTTTTAGCTGAGATTGTTGAGGATAAATATCCTGATATAGCTGGATTTATTGATGAATTATCATATACAGATAAAGCAGCACGAGGTAAGGCTAAGCACAGATGAGCAATTTGATTGGTTTATGCTTTGTCACACGATAACTTTGGTTCCTATTAAGTGAGAGTGATGGAACTTGGTGTATAGTTTCATTGACTAAATTGGATAATAAGCATTTTCTGCTCAGGGTAAGCAGAGCGATAAGCAATTTGATTGGTCGAGACTTTGGAACACAATAACTCTCCTTCTAATTGAGGTAGAATGTTCAAACTTGGTGTAGGTGTTTATTAGGTGAACGTCTTGATGGAGTTCGATCATGAGCATTTTCTGCTTAGGCTAAGTAGAGACTTCAATCTGATTGGTCAAGACTTTGGAACACAATAACTCTTCCTCTAATTGAAGAAGAATGTTCAAACTTGGTGTAGGTATCTAATAGGTGAATGCCTTGACAGAGGTCGATCATTTGCATTTCCCACTAAGGCTTAGCAGAGATATGCAATTTGATTGGTTGAGACTTTGGAACACGATAGATTTTATTCTAATTTGTTGAGAATGATGAAACTCCAGAGTATAGATTCATGATATCAATACCTTGACTAAGTCTGATGATAATAATTTTCTGCTAAGGCTAATTAGCGATAAGCAATTTGATTGGTTAAGACTTTGGAACATAACAACTCTGCTTTTAATTGAGGTAGAATGTTTAAACTTGATGTAGATGTTCATCAGGTGAATGTCTTGACTGAGTTCAGTGATTAACATTTTCCACCAAAGCTAAATTTCATTGGTCGATGCTTTGGACAAGATAACTTTGATTCTAACTTATGGAGAGTGATGAAACTTAGTGTAGAGTTTCACTACCAGGTACTTCAAAACCTCGACAGAGTACGATCGTGAACATTTTTTGCTTACACTAAGTATAGATAATCAGTTTGATTTCTCCATACTTTTCAAAAAGATGCATGAGCAATTAATTAATATGTATCATCTTTTCTTACAGTCTCTGATGAACAGTTAACAAAAAATTTAAAGGCAATGGAAACGCAATTAAAACAGTTAGAAATTGATCTGAAAAATATGAACAAGCAGCAAATGGAAGGAGATCAGTTTGCAAATGTTATGAATATATCCTTTTGTTAAAACGAATTACTGGCACTAGTAATTTAGTATGTTAAGTTTTCATCTAGAACTAAACAATACATCAGAAACTGTTAATGGGATAGGACCTCTTGGATTTAGGTTAAAAAAAATGCCAGTTTGGTTTAATTCAAAATTGAAATTACTTCGTAAGATGAAAGTCAGTCTTCATTATAGTCCGATATCTGCTAACTCGACTCAGTGAATATTTTATCTCACACTGAATCTAAAAAGCATGTTCAATTTAACTTGAATATCGCCTAAGTTAAAGAGGAAAAGTCTGCTCTAACTACACATATCTGAACTTAGAAATGGTATTAGATGTTCTACAGAGAATTAGCATACCCACTATTGTCACAACTTACAGCAACTTGGAGCAATAGTTTTCAGTAATGCAAAAGATGTCTTTTAGAATGTTTTGTATGAGATGTTGGCTTGTAATCAATGTCTGGGTTTATCTATATGAAGCTTTCTCTTCGTATTTTATTTGATCTTTTTATAATTTTTGTTGTGTAAATTGTATCCTTAACCTTGTATACAAGTTTGTAACTACAGCTAGAGATCAGTATGAAGTATTAAACAATATGTACAAAAAAGTTGATACTTTATTTACTAAACTTTCTAAATATCTTACTTTTGACAACAAAAAATACTCTTTAGAAGAATTCTTCACAGATTTAAAAACATTTAAAGAATGTTATGTGGTAAGTCACTAAACAGATTTTTATCTTTAAAGTGAATTTATTTTAATTTTGACTTTACTAAACCACATGGTAGATTTCAGTGGTATGTTGCCAAGAGGATGTATATTCTGATTTGCTTAAATGATATTGCATTCACCCATAGGGCAGCAACAGGGCAGTTTCAAGGGTAAAATTTAATTAATCTTATTTATAGGGATGAGCCGATATAGGTGTTACGGCCCCTGCTTAAAAATCTTATGAATCACCTATTGATTTTGGTCCACATGACCAATGTGAATCACGTACAGGCTGCAAGTTTTGGACAAACTTCTCGAAACTTAACATACCTAATTAGCTCACTTTTGAGATAGATTTTTTATTCTAAACACTGTAAGGGTCGTTCTCGCAGATTTTCTCGAAACTGTTTAAATGATTGAATTTATGAAAACAGCTGTTCGTTAATCAGTGACGTTTTGTTATTTTGTTACATTATTATTATGAAAATGAAATGAACATTAACATCTTACTGCTCTGCTCTGACTGGGCTAATGAAGACGGGCATACACCATACAATGAGCTATGAGGAAAATTTTGCTCGAACAGCAGCGCTACAACCTACTCTTATATCAAATTCCAATTTTCAAGGGATCTTTTATGTGCACGACAATGAGGTTATTATGTTCTTCGATGTATTATGATCAACTGGCACAAAACACTGACATTTTAGATGCAAGAAAATAGGCAGAGCGATACTCGATGGTAACCTATCCCTATCGATAGTGCTTTTCAGTGCCGTCCAATAGATACTATCAGTTTATATTGATATTTTACTCAGGCCTAATCATGGTAATATTAAATACTAACAAATATAATTTCAATAAAGGCAGCACAGAAAGAAAATATCAAAATACGAGAAACCAATGAAAAGATTAGAAGAGCTCAAGAATCACGAGAAAAAGCTGAACGTGAAAAGAAAGATAAAAAAGCCAGACAGAGAGCGTTATTAGATATGACAACAGGTAAAGTCTTTGTAGTTAATTTTCATATTTTGAATCAAAGGTAATATGATTCAATTGATGTTATTTGTAAACATTATCTTTAACAAAACAATGATTCAAAAGCTTTAAGTCTAGGGCAATTATTTTTTGCACTAACATTTTTATATTACCACTATGGAGTAGCTCAGATAGCGCTTGGTGGATTTGTCACAAATTTGTTTATTGATCATACATTAAACACACACGTTTTTTTTTTGCCCTCGACAATCTCCTCTGAACTATAGGTGTGTGATATTCAAGGGGTTGCCAAAATTCATGTCTTCTGTTCTCGCTGCTATTAGTTTTGCACTTGGATTACTTATATTTAATTAAGATTGAAAATAGATAAACTGTTTCTGAGAATAAATATTGTATTCTGTATTTATAGATGATGACCAAGAGGGTGTGATGGATAATCTACTTGAAGCATTAAAAACAGGTTCTGCATTTAGTGTTAATCGAGAAAAACGTGATAATAAACGAAAGACTCCTAGAGCAGCTGGAGGTAATATATTATACATGTATTTATTGTTTTTAAATTATACAGAAATCAGACATTCAGTAACAATAATGTAATCATTAGGTGATTCTTGGTAGTCCGTGTCAATAATGTAATCATTGGGTGAACCATGGTAGCCAATCAGTGACAATAATGTAATCATTTTGTGTACCATGATAGCCAATCAGTGACAATAGCGTAATCATTAGGTGTACCATGGTAACTAATTGGTTAGTGCATTCACTTATAAAAGGTTAATTGAAGGGTTAATAATTGTGGATTAGACCAGCAACCACAAATTTGCCATTTACTAATGTTCACTATCTCATCCATAAATTTTCGACCATAGACCTTTTTGATCAAATTAATTATGGCTTTGATTTATGATTGAACTAATAGAAGATCAAATTAATCACCAAAGAAGAAAAGAACATGGCATATACCTTGAGCATGGGTTCTAACTCAGCCATGTATGCTGGTCATGATAGCAATGTTTTCGAACCCATTGGTCATTTTATAATTTAATGGTCTGTAAAGATTAGTGCACACGCATAGAAGCCATATATCACTTCAGGATTGATATTGAATAGATATATATAGTTGTCAACAGATGATTATATTGAGTGTTTTGTGGATAAGTAATGATGAATGTACATGTTGGGTAGTAGGTAATAAAAGGTAATTGTTACACAAGATATTATCAATGTCGAGAAAAGATCTATTTGAGCGCCCAGGTATTCTCCATGCATGACTCTAAATGTTTACCTGTCTACTTGTCATTAACAAACGAAATTGAAGTCTAACAGGTAGCAAGAATATTTAACTTAATGTTCAATAAATAGACTTCAGACCACAATACTCACATAAAACTTTATGTATATTTAATTATTCCTTTCCAAAATGCAAGAATTGACTAAGAATAAAAAACGTAAGACACCTTCATTTGCACTGTTTACACAGAGCTCTGTGACTCACAAAGTTTTAAGTCAAATTGCATCAAAGTTTATAACAACGAATTTCACACTATCTTTGTCTTAATCAGCATTATGAAGTAATCACATATATAAATCTAAAAAAGTATGCATTATTGAGATTAGTAAAATGAAGAAGCCTTTTGAATTTAAGCAATTTCTGTTTATGACTTCTACACTTATTGCCCTTGTTTCACTTTGTTGAACCTTGTCAACATTCGATCTGTATGAAATTGATATCAGTGTCTTGTAAATGCTCCTATTACCTACAAAAGCATATATATGTGACAACCCTTGTTGACTGTTCGGACGATGTATCTGCTGTGGGTATATTTCTTTGCCTGGCGACATATCTTTGTTTCAGCAATATTGATAATCCTTGTGTCAAACAAAGTACAATGTAAATGTCTAACTCTTTTGCTCTAACCATATCCTAGCTGTGAAGCTAGTCTGTAAATATAATTCATCACCCAGTTTCAACAAGGAACTTTTTGATTCTGTTATTCATACACAGACAACTGTAGGGGACTGGAAGAAAGGATTGAGTGGGTGGGTGTGAAATAGCTTTATTTAAGGTCTGCTTCCACTGAAGTGATATCGCCAACAAGTGAAAGAATTGCAGAGATTGATATTTTATTGAAACTTTAATGTATTTAATTATTGATACAGTATTAAGATAAGAATATGTAGGTGAGGTTGTAGGTTTGCAGACAAAATAAGAATACAAATATACTTACTTTCTTATTCAGTAGTAATCAAGATTAGAATGATTGCTATGGTAGGAACAGTTTACAGTTCTAATATATATGACTAGAAATTATCTAATTTAAATGTTTGAAATGTCAAGTTATATGTTCATTTATCTGCCATAGAGACAACCTTTGGTGGTTTCGTACAATTTACTCAAGAATTTTGAAAAAGTTTGTATTGGTAAGATTATTCTAGAATTAGATTTTTCAACATCTATTGTTTAAAATTAGGTATTCTTATTGAACTGTCTTTTTGATAGGTTATGGCGATTTTGTTACCTTATATGTTCAGTGGATTCATATATTGCTGTCTACTTCTTATTCTCTTCATTGTCAAGTTTATAGATTTAAAGTTTAAATGAATTTCTTTTATTTTTTAATTGGCACAAAATATTTAAGTATCAATTCCTTCACATCTATTTATACATATTAATTAGTTGTTCAAGTTTCACCAAATCTAAGGAACAGAGAATATTTTTCTTTCTTTCTTTAATTCCTGAAGTAAAGATTTTTTCCCCACATCCTTTATGTAGCTGATATTCATGGAAAACCTCATTCCCATCTTCTCCTAGTAATTAGTATAACTTTACTTTTATCAAGTTTAATTTTCAGATTTTTGGTTATATTTGTGTTGATAATAAGAAATACAAGTTTCATATATTAGTACAGTATTATTTACTTATAAGATATGATACATATCATATAGACCGTAAAAGTATTACAGGTTGGTGTAAGTTGGGATTACTTACAGTAGTATTGATGGTCGGCTTGTATTGATTGGATAGTTTGGGTCATTATCAACATGCATTATATTGAAAACCTTTTTTTGACAGCTGACCGTTTCAGTACACTGTCCCGATCAAGAATATGGAAAAACAAGCCCTCACAATATGAGGTGAATACTTGATTTATTCAAGAGCATGACATTATTGTTGTTCTTGGATTGTGTAATTGCATGGTATCATTAATTTAGAATTAAACATTATTTTGTTGAGAATGAAGTCCCAGTAGTAATAATGTTGTCATTAAGAGTCAATACTATAATTATCAAAATGTAGATTTTGTTCAATTTTTTTACTTCTTAAATGCTGTGAAATCTAGATCTTGTTAATTATATGTAAAAAGATAACCTAATTTTTCTGATCTGTAGAATTCTTTATGTCTGTGTGTATTTATTTAATTTCATTTTTTCAGTACTGTATACTAGCTTATAATTAAGTTGTGTCTTTTTATTTCATTGTATTATCATATATTACTCCTGTAGCTTAGATATTTATTTGGTTATTTTTGTAAATAGTAGATTACATTTTTATTTTGATTTTCATTTATTGCTATTTTTATTGAATTTCTAGATAGTACAATTTCTTACCTATCCTTAGATTTTTGTCTCCAGTCTTTTATGAAGAGTGTGGAGGAGCTATAAAATTTGCCCAATCGATCTCCATGTATTGTGTTTAATCAAGAACTATATAGTCTGTCGTGTAACTTATGTTTAGTGCTTTTAGTTAACAACAGGTTAAATCATAAACTTTTTTTTTAGGAGAATGAAATATCTGTAAGTCACTTTCATAGTTTGAACTTTGAAGGGGATTGTAATTTTTAACTTGAATCCCATATTTTCTATGCATGATCCTCTATCAATGCTGAGCTGAATGTCTGCATAATATTGGCTAATAGTTCATTCAAATTCAGGAAGAATCAATGATTTGCCGATGATCATTTGGTCATACAGAACACATGGCCAGTGGAGGTAGACATCTATAGAAAACAGAAATGTACTCTGATTATTATATAGAACTGTCAAGGGACATGATAGAATGCATGACATAGTTAATCAAATATTTTCACCTTTTGAATGCAGAATTAGGTGTATTTATCAAGTTTATAAACATGTCATATTTGACTAAGGGAATGTATAAAAACAAACAAGACATAACCCTACCATATCATCTGAAAAAAAAAAGACAGAGATTCAACATAACGAATAATCAATATGTATATATGCTACAAATTATACAAGCTGTTATAGATGATTCTAGACATCAGTTATAATATTTATTGCTGGAAAATCACACTTATATGTTGGTGTTCCCCCCCCCAAAAAAAATAGAATCAAACGAGTTTGAGAATAAGCTCACATCAGAATCTTCAATAAGTTTGCTATTTCTAATAATTCAAATATATTATTCTAACAAATAATAATAAGCATGGTAATTAATTCCAAATACTTTCTTTTAATTGCTTCCAATTTATATTTTGTCTGATGTTTTAAGTAAAAATTAATATTCAATTCCTATCTCTGTAAGAGCATTTTGTTTGAAAGGTTTTCCTTAAGAAATATAAATTCAATATACTAACAGGCTATTTGGATGTCTTTGTTATCATACTTGGTATGCACTGTTTAATACTATGACACTGTACGTATAAAGTATTTGAATGATAATCCTCTAATAATTAATTTTATTAAGTATTTGAGATGGTGAACTAGCTCCACTAGTATTACATATATGTGTGATGTTTTTACTAGATATAGAACAAAACAATATTATATTTAAAATGACTAATGGTAGACATCTTTGAATTGGCTAACAAATAAAAATTGTCAATTTAATCAATTTTGATATGTAGATTTGCTTTGTGAAGTGCATCTATATTTATGATTTTAGGTCTACAGATAGAGCCAATCGTATAGATTTTGTTCAGTCAATAATAAAAACTACATGTGGATTCAACCAACTGAATATCTAATTTCTTAATTTTGACGTAAGCTAAAAGGTTTAGCTTATTTATGTGAAAAATCAATATGTGCATTGATTTTAATATTGGTTTTTATTCTATTTATTTTAGCGGAACGGAGGGCTCAGCTTGCACGCTCCAGGTCTAGACAAAACCTCCTCAACCTAGACAATTCAACAGCCCGTGAAATAAACTTTGATGATTCCAACATGTCCAGTCTGGATTCTCCTGTGAAAGTAACTCGCACACGGCGATCACCTCAAAATAAAGACGATAATGAAGGATCTGAGGCTGAAAAATTACTTGCTAGACTGAAACAGTTATAAACAACTTCCTCATGTTTAAACACTTCTGCTATAATATTATATCCTGTTGGAATGATGCTTTATGTTTATCTGGTTGGTAAAAACGATCATTTCTGTTTGTTCAATAGATAGTTGTGATAATTTCTATTTATCCAGTGGGCAATTAAAATGACTTCTTTTTATCCACTGGGTGTGAGTAATTATGATCAATTTGTATTTATCCAATAAGTGATTTCCATTTATCCAGTAGATACTAATGATGACTTATATTTATTCAGTGGGTAATTATGATTTAATGTGTTTTAACATTCCTTACCAACAGATTATCAATGCATAAATATTTAGTGTAGTAGCTAATGGCATCTTTAATATTAAAAGAGTACCTTATTATATATTTTATCTACCTACATATAATACAGTATCGAAACTGTGGGTTATTAGGATTGATTAATTGATTTTAACACTGTGTGACTATATAATCCAAGTGAGTTGTGAACTTGTAAGTTTGCATGTTGTGTTAAATTTAGTTTGAAGCTTATAAAATCAGATTGTATACTTTAAATAAAATCATATGAATAATATTCTGTTCAATTTAGGTTGTGATTTATAATACTATTAAGTATATTTTTATGATTTGTTTTACTGCTGAAAATGTTTGAATGCAGTTTGCTTATGACAGGCAAAACTCATTAACATTATCAATAACACGAATTAGTTCAAATCAATCTCTTCTTTACAATTAAGGTTATTGAAGCAATCACTTTTGATGTTCTCTAGTTCATCTTAAATATTTCCAAACTGTACATTTTGAGGGTTTTTTATGTTTTATAAAGCCTGTCTTCCAATGTATCAAGCTCCCTTTATTTTCTCTTCTGAATAATTTGATGGGAATTATGTACATTATTATGGAAAACCAAACAGTTCTTTATTCAGTGTTCTTAATTGATAGCCCTTACTTCTTATTTCTTCATTTGTTGTTGTATTTCAACATTTGTATACTAGAATTAACGTTTGTATCTTAAAATCAATATTTGTTTTACAAATCAAATATTTGTCATATTAGATTTGTAATTTGTGTCTTTGTTAAATTTAATTGTATTTTAATATAAAGATGAAATTTATTTTAGAAAATCAAAAAATTACATGTGTATGAAATTTATATGCATCATTGAAATTTGTGAAACTTCCGTTGATTACTTCTAGAGTTATGGCCCTTGTTTTACTTTCTTGAACCTTGTGAACATTCAAATGACAAAAGTTATCATCCGATCTGTATGAAATTTATATACATTATTCAAATTAGTAAAACGAAATAGCCTGTTAAATTTCAACGATTTCTGTATATTGCTTCCAGCGTTAAGGCCCTTGTTTCTGTTTGTAGAACCTTGTGAACCCTCAAACGACGAATATTAGAATCTAATCTGTATGAAATTGTCTTGTATATGCCCCCAATTACCTACAAAAGAATGAATATTCGTCAACCCTTATCGACCACTTGAATGATTTAGCTGCTGTGGGCGTATGTTTCGTTGCCAGGCAACCTATTTTTAACTTTGTTAAAATACAATTAAATTAAACAAAGATACAACTTACAAATCTGATATGACAAATGTTTGATTTGTAAAACAAATAATGATTTTAAGAAATAAATGTTAATTAAAGTATCCAACGAAATACGACAACAAATGAAGAAATAAGAATTCAGGACGATGAATTACGAATGAAGAACACTAAATAAAGAGCTGTTTGGTCTTCCATACATTACTGACAAATGTATTATTATGGCCTAATATTAATGCTGTAAGAACTACTTGAAGGAATTATTTTCCTAGTAATTTGAGATATTTATGCAGTAAACTGACTGTATAAATCATTATATCAACTACCTCTCAGTGTGGACGTATTATGTCATCACCTCGAACAGCCGTCCAGCACCATAGCTTGTGGATCTCCTTGATGCTAAAGCAATTACACAGTTGACTTTAAATTCATACACAGTGTCTATGGTCATGAGACAAAGAAGTCTCTTGATTTTCAGCAATCTCTGTTAATTACTGCCAGAGTTATGGCCCTTGATCACTTTGATAAATCTTGTGGACGCTCTAGAGGCTAAAGTTATCATCCAATTTAAATTTATACACAGTATTTAAGGCCATGAGACGAAGAAGTCTGGTGAATTTTAGAGTTATTGCTCTTGATGACTTTGAAATATTTTGTGCGCACTTGGACAGTTATGGTTTATTTGCAAAATGACGGAGAAATGTAGATATTATGATAATAAAATAGAATTTGAGTGAGTATTTATAATGAGCATTGAGAGGTCACATCAATCTTTGTCAACAGTCTTTTTGTTGAAGTAAATAAGTATGACTGAGTAATGTTGGTATAATATTATATATACCGGTACTATTTTTATATGCCCACATAGAAATGTGGTTGTATATTGCTGCCTGTCCAACGTCCACAATTTCTTGTGATCACTCTACAGACTACTTTGAAATTGATATATGTTGTGTATATTAGTGAGATGAAGAATCCTTTTTAATTTCAATAAATTCTGTTATTTTTTTCTATAGTTATGGCCCTTGTAAAAGTTATCATCTGATCTGTATGAAATTTAAATTCATCAAAGAATCCTATTGAATTTCAGAAATTTCTGATAATTACATCTAGTGTTATGGCCCTTGTTTCACTTTGTTGAACCATGTGAATGCTCTTAAGAACAAAAGTTATCACCCGCTCTTTATGAAGTGTCTGTAAATTACTTTCAGAGTTAAGTCCTTTGTTTCAGTTAGTGGAACCTTTTGAACCCGTAATCTAATCTGTATGAAATGGTCTTGTAATTGCCCCCATCATGCATCAACCTTTGTTCTGTCGACCGCTCGGACGATTTAGCTGCTGTGGGCGTATGTTTCGTTGCCAGGCAAACTATCTTTGAAACTTGAAATCTGGTTTGTTTTTGTTATTGCTTCCCTCATGTATGTTACAAAATGTAAATATATCTTTAGATTAGTAGCAGTGTTATAGACAATGTTGTGTATAAATTATGTATCTATTATGAACTATGAAGTATTTATATTAGAGCAATATATAAATATGTGCAATGAGTATCAGTAGAATATATTTATCTAGCACTGATATCTAAGTAATAGTAATCAAATTGTTCAAAACTCAGATATCAACATCAGTTAGGTAAGTAACTGGATGTGCATTTAAAGGGGGGTTTGATGATTTAATTAACAATAAATTTAGTATGTATAAAGTGTAGTAGTGTGTATTAGATGATGTATGTAATTGTATTATATTTTTTTAGGTGTATATAAATTATAAAACCAGTAAATATTATATATATTTTCTATTACAACATAACTCACAGTGCTAGATGACCAGGGCTCCTTTTATGGAATGTACATCATACATACATGGAAGTTCAGTAAATTTCTAAAGCAAATTGTTAAATTTTTACATGTATTTCGAAATAATATATTGTTGCCAATGTTCCATATCTCTCACTTTATTACCTTGCAAATTATGGCTCTCAACATACAGACAGAAAAATAAAATGCATCAAGGTTGTTTTGGGGTTTGTTTTTACCAGAAAAAAACACATACTCTCCCTAATTAGCTCTTTGTGATTGTTGAGTTGATGTAAAAATAGGACTTAAAGATATTTTAATGATAATGGTTTTTACTCATCAAACATGAGATTTGTCCATCATAACTGCTTTTGACTTGGCGCCATATTATTGTCACATCAGCTTTACATCTAAATTTCAACTTTTAAACTTATTAGTTGAGCATTGGTAAACAATTGAAATTAGTAGGGAAAACTTTTGATTGAATTTCAAAATAGTAAGTCAAATATTTTTAATAAGATGATAGTAATCACAGAAACCAAAACAAGTGTATCAAATCAATAGTTGTAGAAACATTTTGAATTATGATATCAACAAAATATATCAATTGATGTGGAATAGTGTTATCTTAGTTAAAATTAAAATCAAGGACAATTGATATCAAACTCAAGTATGTATACATCCTGTTTTACAGTAGTATATTGTCACTATTGTCATGTTGCATACCAAATATTTACACAAATCTAAATTATATTCGGAAAGGGAACCACTGTAGTAATAGATATATCTTGTAAGATTATAGACAGACATATTATGGAGAGCTCAAATATATTGTGATTTCCAATTGTGCCTCGGGAATCAGAGTTATACTATTGTAAATGTATTGGTTTTACAAGCTATTTTGTTAAGAATGAAGAAAGATAATGCCAATAGAAACTGCTTGACTAATTTAAATTATAAATACTAATTATTAAAACAGTATTTATATGTTATGTTGCATGTTTTAACTATTATCAACTTTTCTATATAATGTACACAATGTTATCAGGCATGTTTTTCAACAGAACTTTTATAAAATATATTTAAATCTTTATAACTGTATTTTGTTATTTCTTAAGGTAAAGTATGAGTCATTAATGAGGGGTATCTCTTTATCAGATTGCCTATCTGTCTATCTTTGTTTTGATGGTTATCCATATCTCAAAACTTTGTACACACAAAACAAATTCTGAAGTAATGCCTTTTCCTATTTACCGGTAACCGATTTTATTGAGGAAAGGTAAATTCATAATTTGTGCACACATTGTACTGGAATTTTACATTTTGATATTTTAGGAAAAGAATGTTTTCCTCTGAAACTAATTGGATTTGATTTCATTTAGCATAGAGTGTGATTTTGGAATATAACTTTTTTTTCTTTTTTTTTTAAAAACTGTTATTTACATGCTTTTTCTGGAGAAAAATATATTTTATTTTACCACCATTTGTAACTTGAGTGATAATTTTTTAAAGGTTTGAACACACATCAATTATGTATGGAAGTTGTTGTTGTTTCTTTATTTCCAGAAAGCCTTAGAATTAGAAATTTACTATGATATTGTCGAGAAAGGATAGGATTGCAATTTTCAGAATTCAGATTTTTCACCCAATCTGCATAATTTATGCCAATTCAGTACCTATGTTCAGTTGTTTTAAGCATACTGAAAGAAAAACAAATGCTTCTAAACTTTGAAAGATAAGGAACATGCAAATGTTGCACAAAATGCCCAAATTTAATCAAAGTGCCAGGACCAACTGAAAAGTCTATTAACCATCCTCAGAATGTTTGAAATTTGATGAGAATTAGCCTAAATAGTCTTGATCGTCCAGTACAATTTTACTGTAACAATGAAGTCTTGATTATCTATTTTAACGTTATATTATTAATTAATGCAGGTGTTGGAATCCAATGTCGTGGCCATTTAATGATTAAAAGAGTGGATTATGGGTCTAAATACTAATTTGAATCCAGAAACAAGACCTGCAAAGGGCAGGAAGATTAACCCAATAGGCTACGAACTAAATACTACCACATACATGTACTACCTCAATATTGTAAAAAAAACTAACCGAATACTTTAATTATATTAAAAAAAAATTGAATTAATTCGTGGAAAACTTGTAAAAATGTAGGTCAGTGCTTAATTGGTGATTTAACCTCTCCACCATCTTGATATTGCTTGAACCCTTACCAAACCCTTCACATGATACCTGCATATTTTGGCACTAATTTCGATTGGCCACTGACCCAGCAGGGGGAGTATCAGATTCCTTGATCGTCGTGAATACCAAGTGTTGCGCTCTCCAGCTAAAATATCAACCTGTGGTAAAGGGAGATAACGTAGCTATCAGTTCGGGATTGCAGACCAGTCTAGCAACATCTACTTAGTATTTGGTGATCAAGGGAGGTAACTGGAACATCAAGACATTGGCCATCACTTTTGTGGTACATTTTTGCAAGTTTCCCACAAATTAACTCAATTCTCATATGTGTGTGTCGCCTACAGACAGCCATTCTTAACGGTGCAGACATATTTCTCATACCTTAAGGTTGATCCAACAGAGCCATGCCCAATTTTTGTGTCCGTGTGTGTCGCCTAAAGGCCACAATTCTTAACAGATCATCTTGAAACTTTGCATCCTTATTTCCCAAAAATGATGGCTTTTGTTGTTTGGTGCATGCCTGACCCATAATGTCCAAGTTTTGTGTATATCGATCGCAATGTTGAATGGATCGTCTTCTAACTTGGCATATTTATGCCATATACCCTAAAGATGGCAACTACTCCCTGGGGTGGTGACGTACTCACTTTTATCTGTAAATACTCTACAGGTTGCAATTATTAACAGATTTTGTTCAAATTCGGCATGATCAATCATTTCAATAACAGGGTTTTATCTGTTTATATAGGCCTGTATCCAACCCCCAGGAGTAAAGCCATGCCCAGTTTTTGTGTTTATTGTGTACAGGCTGCAATTATGAATGGATCATCTTGGAAGTTAAAATGTGTTTCTAATAGCAATTGTTTACTATTGCCATGCATGCATTGTTGCTTCTTCTATAAATAGGGAGAAAAGTAAAATAAGCCGAACCGTAACCGTGTCATTCTGTCATTGTATTTTTATCAAAATTATCAACCACAGATGGCAATGAAATGAAATGGGGTTTAACGTCCTACTGTTCTGCTCCTATACTGGGCTAATGAAGACGGGCATACGCCATACAGTGTGCTATGAGGGAAATTTTGCCTGGGCAGCGGTACTATCTCCTATTCTTATATCGAATTCCAACTGTCAGTTGATCATTTACGTGCAATCCAATATATACACGAGACCTCAAGTGTTTCGTATCATCCGAAGGACTAGACAGCTGTCCTTGTCAGGCCCTCCGTCCTGCATCACTGACAAGGGAAAAACCATGGCGGAAAATCTGGATGAACTTTCTTGGCCAATGCAGGGATCGAACACCCGACCTCCGGGCTAGCAAGCCAGCGTCTTACCCACTCAGGGACGAAGACGACCCGCGCGCCGAAGGCGCAACGCTGGTAGGGTGGTCTGGGGGGGTTCTCCCCCAAGAAAATTTTTGAAATTTGACAACAGGAAACGTGTTTTGCAAGCACTTCTGGGAGAAATCTAGGTATCATATTTTCCAAATTTATGCTGCTATTTTGACTATAAGACATACTACTGTACTACACAAGACAAACCCACCACGCCTTCTTTTCCTTCCAGAACGTAAAATAGCTAACATATCTGATCTAACACTAGCACTATATTCAAATAGCTGGGTTGTTGCGATACTTTTTTCTCCAGGTCTGGTAGTGTATATTAACCCTTTAAAGCACCTAGTCGATACAGACATAATGTCTGCGATATCACCTCGGTGGAAGCGGACGTAAAATATAACTAACAACAATATTGGTGTGACTGACAGAGTACAAGCCCATTTAAATAGATCCCTGCTTTATTCTAAAGCCATGGGACAAAAACAATTTAAAAACAGTTAATGACCTACTGTTCAACTGTTTTACTTCATTAGACACATCAGAGCTCATTTTCATGAATTCAGCTATAGTGTATGACTCACTAAGCTACTACTGCATAAATATGTTATTTATACTACCGTAATATATCTATATATATGTCTATATCTAAGTAGAACACTAAATATCTGCTTCCCATTGGGTGTGTCATATAGGTCCTGTGATGTACATAATGTACAGTTTAGCCTATGCTACATTAAAGTTTAGTATGTAGAGTATATGTCAAGTATAAGCTGCATGTGGGAGGTCACCTCTCATTATTCACTTGTGAAAATAACAATATTCTGTTGCTGTGGAGGAGCCTATCAAAATCCAAAGGACTGTTTACAATTGTGGTAGAGGAAGAAATAATTCAACCTCATTCATTATATAGTCTGTTATATTCTTTGTTCAGTATAGCTGACTATTTATGGCTGTAAATACGCATGTGTAACTGATCATTCTATAAATATATTGAAGCCAGTGACACGGAAGGCATTGGATTATTAAACCCATGTTTGGATTACTGATATTATTGTAGCAGATTTATGAATCTAGAACACTCATAAAACAATATGGTAAGTGGCCTAAATTTGTTTTACTTTGTTTATATTTTCATATTTGATGATAAAGATAATAATTTGAATAAACATATCTGATTTGGTTGACTGTGATATATCATATAAATGAGATTATATAATGCCATTATTAGTAGTCTAGCTAGTTGAATATAAGAAATAAACTGTTGTACAGTCTTAGGCCTACCGTATATAGACTCAATATACATCATATTGTATATAGTTTATATTTTTAATTCATTTGACTTTACTACAGCTATTGTAAAGATTTAACATACCGTAGTATTTTGGGGAACATAGGTCCTGTTTAGTATGAATGTTATTTCTGTCTGAATTTCTGTATGATAAATTAGATAATTTCTGATGAGTTGTACCAATTCTTATTTGAAGAACAAAAAATCTCCATGATCAAATGAACGGGACCTCTTTGGTAGTTAAATGTGTTATTTCAATTAATGGGTGAGCCTAGCTCTGTAGAAATTATACTTGTATTAGTTTTGATATACGCCCACATTGAAACGTGGTTGTAATTGTAAAAATAATTATTGTGGAATATAAGGCCTACTGACATGAAATTGAAATGAAATGAAATGAAATGGGGTTTAGCGTTCTACTAAACCAGGTACCACAAAGTAGCTTAGTTTATATGAAGTGTTATAATATACTGGTATGAAATAAATGCATATCTTTTAGCAAAAGATATTAAAGATACATTATGGGAGATTCGATAACGAGTTGGCAGTTCTCACTATAATAGTTTTATAAAAACTAGATAATGTAAAGGCAATTTGCTGAAAATTTCATTCAAATTGATCCACTATGAACCGATCAGAACTAAGCAATGGAAATTTCCGCCTAGCCTTGATCATCATTACTAATCAGTACAATAAACAGCATAGTCTTGATTATCCATTTAATCGTTAAATCGTGAATGAAAGTTATGCAGTAAATCGGCTTATAATCCACTAAAGGTCGCAGGCCAGCGATGCCATCTAGAGTTAATTAATGTATGCTCTTGCATAATGTATATTTAATTAAGTGTTTGATGACTGTCTCTGTTTTTTTTTTTTAGTTTAGTAGAAAAAAGAAAGTTCCACATGTGCCACAGGCGGCACAGAATGAGGATCTTGGCTTACAATCAGATCCGCTCTCACAGATGTCGGATAAAGATGTTGATGAAAATTTTGAAAAACTTCTTGTGAGTTGATGTATTTATGAAAGTAATTCTATTAATTATAATACTAGAAGATGTAAATAGTTTGGAAGTAATGGGGTCATAAGAGGATGAACAATTAGAGATTAGATTTCTTCGAGGATCCTATATATAGATCCTTATCAAATTTCTAAACATCCCAGTTTTCCTTTCGGATAAGCTCTAATTGAGACAAAGATCCTGTGTGGACATATTCAATGCTTTGCATGGCTAATCTGGCTATCTTCTTCTATTTCATTAATGATATCCACTTTAATAGTAAGTTTATATGTGACTTGTGTGTTGATTACATATGTAACAATTTACTTATTAAACAGTTGTACACATTTCCAGAAGTTAAAGTTGTGAGCCAGTCTATTTGAAATTTATTTACCAGAGTTATGTCCTTGATCACTTTGAAAAAATTTTGGAACACTCTACTGCAGGTGTGGCCAAACTTGGCGCATTGGATGATTAGCGATTTTATTTTTTCGTTCACATCCTTTTTAGCGAATGTTATCTTTCATATTTCAAATATGCTTAATGAATCAAACTAGGAAAGAAGGACTTTCATTCTGGAATTGATATAAAAAATCGTTGTTGTGTTTTTTCTCGACAAAGACTGCATACTCGCATTTATAAACCCTTTTTAACTTACTGACCCCAGTAACATACAATTAATGAGACTTACTGACTTGAAAACAAATTCATTATTGAGAAAGAAATCTGATGAGCTTTCCTCAGTCCCAAATGCTTCTGGCGTGATTCAATTCCTGAAGATCATTACGCTGATAAAATTTTACAGAACTACTTTTTTTGCCTAGAGTTATAGATGTTGTTTTGGAATGACATAATATAGATACAAACAAGCATTTTCATTCATGAAATTGATTAAAAGCAGGACAAGGTCTCGACTGACAGATTCAAATTAAAACAATCCTCTACTGCTCTCTGTAACCAATTCAACTCCAAAAATTGAAAAACTTTCAAAATCAAAACAGACTCAAAAGTCTCAATAATGTTTATCTGCTTTTTCACTGCCTTCTTTTGTAGGATGACATGAATTTAACAGAAGCGAAAAAGGCTCCATTAAGACAGAGAGATGTAACATTAAAACGTTCTATGCTTTCTATGCATAATAAAGGATCTGCTAAGGTAAGTGCTGATTCATGGAGGGTTTGATCAATCAGTTAATCTTATCTTCTGAGAAACTGTGTAATCAGAAGTTGTTATTATTTAGGAGGTTATTTAATAAATTGAAGAACTGTTATGTGATGTCATTACCGGTATATATAAGAATCTTAAAGGATGTAGATTGTTGAAGTTGGCAAGAACCTTTAAAGTCAAACAAATCTAATTGAGAAGTATGTCAAATGTTTTGACCAGTAAGACGAGTTATATACCAGACATAGATGTAGGTTCTAATGGTTGTATAGTCTGTGAACAGTTTCAGCTGGCGTTCACATCCAAAGATAACTACAGATACTAATCCACTAGATGTATGTGAACATGGGATTTTAATTCTAATTAAGTAAGAGTGATGAAATTTGGTGTATAAGTTCAGGTTCATTACATCAATACCATGACTAAGTTTGATGATGAGCATTTTCTATTCAGGTCAAGCAATTTGATTGGCTAAAGTTTTGCAAAAATATAATACTGAAAATATTATTGCTACACGATTATTATGCCTTATCAGGTACATATTATTTTACTTAATTTCAATCAGTCGGGAGGTAATTGGTAGTTGAAATATTGCTAGCAGGATGTGGACAGCGTGGTTGACAAGGTATACAATGGGTGTGGGCTAGGCTTGGCCTGCCTCTGTTTCGTATGTCGTACAATCGGCATGTTTGTTCTAAAAATTGAAAACAAATATGGCGTTTATGTAGGGCAGGAATTTTTTTTATTTAATTATTTCTGTAGTTTTGTAATCAGAGTTCAGCTTTAATGAATGTCATTTATTTATTTTTAGGATTAAGTCACAGGAACATCTGTATCTCTGTTGGTTTTTTGACTAAGATATAGTCATCAAGTTTTATGGTTAATGTAATAATTATTTACAGGCCCTGTCTGCTTTTTATTCCAGCCTGCCAAGAAAGATACACCACAAGAATTTATACAAGAATTACAAAATGCTGATTTAAAAGGAGATAAAAGATTGCGAGTTTTAGAATCATTGCGAGTTTCTTTAACCAGTAATCCTGTCAGGTTAGTTATTTAATTAAAATTGGGACAACCTCAAAAATTATACTCTAACTAGACCTGTTTGCGAACAGGTTTGATAGGTTTTATACAACCCAGTCATACATACACTTATACATTAATGTCAACATCTTGTAGATTAATAAGTTTTGTTGTCCTGGTTTATTTTTCAAGAATCTTAAAGAAAGCAAGGATTATTAAAATCTGTCAAAAAGTAATATTGACATTCGGGTTCGGGTTATACTTATTGAAAGGATATGTTGACATTATTACATGCATTATTTAAAAAAAAAATGATGCTTTTCCGGTGACCTTTAAGCAAGCAAAATTTCCTGTGTTTTTTTTCTTAAACAAATTTTAACACAGAAATCATTGCTACGATAGATGTGTTATGAAGATTTCAAGGAAGGGAAGTGACGAATGCAAAAGGAAAACACGAGTTATCCTTCTATACATATAATTGACAGATACATGGGCAAATTTCTGCTCACTAATAATTCCTTCGAAGACCAAACGTTGATATATGACACTGTGGGAGGATATCTGACAATTCAAAAAAATAATGCATGCTTACTGAGCTAAGTAGACTAACTGATCCAGTCATATAAATTCAATGGCAAACAATTACATACTTAAATGACTTATTTTCACTGAAGAAGCCAAAAATACATTTAAAGTAAACATAACCAATATTAAAGGTGCTGTGCCATAATCACATTAATATTTTTTAAAAGTTGTACAGAACATTTGTTTACATTTGTGTTTTTGATGAAACTTTCAGAATATGAACCAAATAACTCAATTTATCGTTTGTCATTGACGCTTTAATACCTGATTTCAAAGTTTTACACTATTTTAAAAAACTTCAATTTTATGACACCACTTTAAAAAAATCTAGGTCAAATATCAAAATTCTAAATGCGCCGATCGATTGCGAATTGTGAATGCTTTCCAAAAATATGACGATATTGAAAATTGGATAAAAATTGTAGCGCGAGTAGGATTTTAAAGATTGTCTTACATTTTCAAAATGGTGGCACTTTCGGTGAATTTTAACTTTATGAAATTACTCTAAAAAGTTGATGGACGACTCGCATTAACAAATATTTTTAAATAAGGCAAAAGTAAAGACGTTTAAAAGAAATCTGACTTCATCTTCAAACGGGAGATAATCGGAAAAATTTTGTTGACATTTTTGGCTTTATCCACCCATTTGTAATGTAAATTGTGAAAGTTTCAACTCAAAATTTCAAAAATAAAAAACTTACGTTAAGAATTTTCATTCTTTTCACTTTTGAGTTTAAAAGTGGGCCATACGCATGCGTCGTAGAGGTCACAATGCTCCGACATCAAAATTGAGAAATACGAACAGCTACAAATTGGTGAAAACCCCATTCAAATTGGTTGAAAAACAAAAAAAGTTTCCTACGATGTCTAATATTGGTCTATTTTCGTCGATGACGTCACTTCCTGTTATCATTTTTATAGTTTTAGTTATTCATTCACAATTCCAACTAAATACCTTTCGGATAGTATAGAGTTTAATTCTATAAAATGTGTACTTTTCCAAAACCAAGATGGAAAAAAAAAAATTAATAATAATAATAATCCGAACAAAAACAATAGTTTTTATAAAAACTAATAAAGATTTCATAATAAATCTGAGAATATCTGGAGAACTGTCTTTGTCTGATCAAAGCAAACAGCGGTTGGTAATATAAAAAAAATCCAATTTATCACACCACAGGATATTTTTAACAGAACCTTCAATCCAGATAAAGGAAGTATAAAAATACTTTTTTAACAGAGTTGGAAATGTTAAAGGTATGATTAATTGAAAAGTTTCCACATTCCAGAGATGTTATTATTTGATAACGATAAGAGGATACTTATCGAAACGTTGTACTTGTGTATAATAAACCAGTGATTATTGTTCCATATTACTGTGTTAGTTAATCCCTGGTTGTATGTGACAAGGAGTAGGGTCGCCTGTCTAAACTCGTGGGTTTTCTCAGGATCCTCCGGTTTCCCCCCACTGCTAAAGACCCCTACGCACAAGCAAATTATTGAAATAAAATTGAACCATGTGTTAGTCCCGAAATGATCTAGTCTGTTAGTTTTGTTATGTTTCTGATCACTAAATGCCAAATTAAAGGATTATTTATTTTGTTATGTGGTGTCAGAGGAAATTCACCACTCTCCTCATGCTCCCTACTAAAATTTCAGTTTCTTTCCACCCAGTCAGGAGTAGATAAACATATGTTTATTCTAAATAGTCTGAGTCGACCATAACCATTATTTTTCACATGTATCAGAATTTACAGCAACTGATCAGTTGTTCAAAAGCATTCCCATTATTCATTTATATAGTTGCATAGATATTATTGGTTGTGAGAATTTCTTGAATCAGGTGGCCTAGAAAACATACCTCGATTACTACATACCTTAAAAATATGATCATTGGTTGAAACAGATTTTAATATATAATAAGAATTTAATCTATTCTATATTTCAGTTGGGTACAGGAGTTTGGAGAAAAGGGTTTTAATGGTATATTGAAAAATTTAACATTTTGCTGTGATTCGTAAGTATTTTTATATTAGATTTACTCTGTTTTATATGCCCACATTGAAAGTTGGTTGTATATTAACTGTCACCTCCGTCCATCAACCACAATTTCTTGTAAACACTTTACAGACTACACTTATTATTCGATCTTGGTAAAATTTCTATATATATTTCTAGAATTATGACCCTTGTTTTTTTTTGTAAAATTTTGTGAATGCTTTAACCACAAAAGGTATCATCTGATTTGTATGAAAGGGCTTGAATATCAATAATTTCTGTTCTTCACGTCTTGAGTGAACCACTAGGAGTTCCATAGGGCAATTGAAACTGAATTATTAGAAAGGATGAAAGCTGCCACCCAATTCAGATGTTAGAAAGATAACATGATTGATGGCTTAAATATAATATTCTCTTGTTGATTGTTGGTGCCCACTGATATTGAAATGTTAGATTAAGTTTTTCTCTATCAGTATTTTCACTCTTACAAGAAATTTCGTTTCCAAGGGTCTTGTTTTACAAACAGCCCAGCTGGTCCGACCAAAGATATGTGAAATTGAAATTTTATCGATCTATGTTGCTTCACTATGTAATAAGCCCACCGCCATTTTTGATTTTGTCCGCAAGAATTTATTGGTAGGGCTGATTTGATTCTGATTGAATCCAAGCAGGGACATTATCGTTAATATTTTGATTTTGTTTTCTTAATTAAATATATTAAATAATCAATCTGATAACATATTAGCATGGATTAAATCTTTAATTCAAATTGGATATACTTAATTCACTTCTCTGATGCTAAACTTTGAGGCTTGTCATAGTTGGAAATATTAATATGTAATTGAAATGTAATTGACTGTTTCATTATTTTTGGAATGTAATTAATTACATTTCCATTAATTTAGAAATCTTCCATTATTCATTACATGACCATTACTTCAAAAATGTAATCATTACATTCCATTACCATTACCCCAGCCCCATCGGTGCCTTGATCCACCTTTGGGCCAACCACATGTATTATGTGGGCTGCAATAATATTCCACCATGTTACAAGTCATATTGACTATTATATTCTGTTACTCCTCTTTAGAGTATTATATTCTACTATTATTTCTGTTGCAAGAAGTTGAACTAAATGGATTTTAGTAGAATTTTATCACCAACTATTTACATATTGGATAGTAGCTTGGTTGGGTATTATACACAATGTGACCATGTCCAGTTTATAGCTATTGACTATAGGAGCATCATATTATCTGACCAAGGTCTTTTCCTGCGCTCCAATATGCAATGTTACATTTTCAAAATTATGTAAATTTGGCTAAAAGTACAAGCTGACCTGAGCTTACTTTCATTAATGGTGCACATTTCGAAAAAAAACATTAGTTTATATTTATGTTGTAATGTAACTAGTAATGTTACCTTTAATTAATTTTAACAGAAATGAAAGAGGTCTAGTTGATATAAACATAAGTTGAATCAATCTTAATTAGGTCATCTGATCACCCTTCTAAACTTTATATGAAAGAATATTTTTAATGGTCTGAAAAAAATCTTGCTGTGTAAATAATGCAGTCTTTTTGTGACATTATTTGTAAATCTTGACTTTCCTGAATTATTATATATTTTTCGAGTTAATCATAGAAGAAAAATGTGCATAATGCTGTTTGCAAGCTTATTTTCATCAAATTGAATTTTGCCCATTTTTGCCCACAAAAAATTAGTGAAAAGGTTGTTTTACCATGTGTTCAAATGGGTTAAGAAATTAATTGGGGAAGATGTACATAATAATGTTTTTAGTTTAATAACATAAAAAATACTTCTAGGTGAATATTGTCTGTCTTTCTGTCAAGATAATTTTCAATTATTGTTTATGTTGTTCCTAAAAAATTCAAAAAGTATTTGGAACATTTAGACTTTAGCTAGGAAACAATGGAGACAAATTTATGATAATTGGTGTTCCACTTATCCTGGATACATTTGAAATAGACCTAAAATCATCCATAATCTTTAAGTGCATTTAGCGATTGAGAAACACATTAACAGAACACAGTTTTTATGGAAACAATCACTGGTTTATTCTAAAAAAGCACAACGTTTCGACAAGTATCTTCTTATCGTTATCATTGTGCTTGATAACGATAAGATGATACTTGTCAAAACATCGTGCTTTTAGAATAAACCAGTGATTGTTTCCCATAAAAACTGTGTTCTGTTAAAATCATCCATTACTATCTTTATACTTCCAGAATAAAAGTTAATTATAGAGTTTAAGATCATATGCCATGAAAATTACATTTTATTAAAAACTATATTTGGTCAAAAAATTATTCAAATCAATCAATTCTAACCAATTCGTATCAGTCATTTTAAGTTATATTGGTTTCTATTGATTTAACAGCATATTCTTAATCTCTCCTAGAAAATAGTAATAATAATTGTGCTATCGTTTTCTAATGAGCCAGGCATTCTAGTTATTTATATATTTAATAACCACAGTCTTTACATAAATATATTGCATATACAAAGGATCTGGCTTTGTGTGCCAGTAATGATGTGGGTAAAAGTTATTTCAAGTATTTGTTTTCTGCCATAAGGAAAACAGAGAGAAGAGGTGCTTATGAATGTGTGAGATGTTTAAAAGCCTTTACAAACAATAAGGTAAGTAGTCTTATTTTATAAAGTATTCTCATTTCAACAATAAAAGATAAAATGAGTTTCTAATGTATTTATGAAAGTACCAGTATATCTAATTAATAAGACTGATAATTATCATAGTTCATTCAATATTGGGGATTTTGGTAGCTGAATGGTAAAATCATGCGCATTGCATCATAGGGTCTGTCATTGAGTGAACTGGCATAATTTTGATTCCCGCTTGTATGTGACAAAGAGTAGGGTCGCCTTTCCAACCTCATGGGTTTTTCTCCTGGTCCTTCAGTTACCTCCCACTGCTAAAGACCCCTAAGTGCAAGTAAATAATTGAAGTAAAATTGAACCATATATTAGTCCAAAAATGACCTAGTTTGTATTGAGTGGACGTTAAACCCCATTTCACTCTCTCTTTCAATTTTATGGATCTTGTGTCAATTCGAGTTTTTACTCCTGCTTATGATCCTTTAAATAACTATTTAATATCATTATTTCTTAGCTCTTTGGAGCCGACGACAACACCACATTCTCACATGGCTTCTGCAGTTTATGGGAGGCATTTATATTTGTCCACACACACAGTGTTAAGTTTATTCAAATCTGTCAGTTTATTACAACAGACATTCATATTTTTAGTTTTAAACTGCAAATGAATGATTGAAACCTTTATGAATATATTTTACACAAGTTAATTCTCATGAATTTTTTGAATGTTTGTTTCAGTTTGGTTTATTAAAAATATTAGACCATGAAGAAGCCTTAATAATATTAGCTCGTACCATAGATCCATCTGATCCTGCTACCATGTTAGAAGCTGTCAGAATATTGGCTGCTATATGTTTAGTCCCTCCAAATGGGTAGGTTTACATGCAACATGCAATCTCCAATAAGTAAGAGATGATATATGTATTAATCATGTCATATTTTTAATTCTTTTCATAGAAATATATATCCTATTGAAGTAAGACAACTCCCCACACCCACCAAGAATAAAACTTAAATATCATGATTTTTTAAGTCATTTGTTCTTAATTATCTACTCTCCCAGACATTGAACAGTAATTATTAAGGATGAATAAAGTTTTTAACTTCCTTTAGAATCAACAAGCAGTTTGTTAAAATAGACAAGTGTGATATAAACATGTATCTTATTTTTTTTTAGTCAGGAAAAAGTTTTAGAAGGAATAACAGATTTTGGTGAAATTAAAAGTCAAGATAGATTTGTTCCTGTAATTATAGGATTATCAACATTTGAGAATTTAGCCATGCAGGTAAATAACTTTGATACACAGACATAGTAATATTTTTAAAACCAAATATAAATGGGGCTTTTATAAATATAGGCTAATTTAACACTCTGAATAATTCTATATTGGTTGCCTCTTATTAGAGAGACAATCGATTTTTACATTAGAATTAGAGAAACTAAATTTACATTTTTGATGCATTACTCATTAATTTAGGCATGGTCATGGGGGAGAGATAACCACATATCTAGTATATAATATATATATAGATATATAATATTAAATATCGTCGGTGGGCGATCAAAACCACGTATATCAATTTTGGCGCCAAAAACGTTTTTTACATGGTTAGAATCGTAAATAAATGGCACGTCGAATGCTCTATTCGCGGTACTTGTAATCCAGTTAGAACTCAAGTTATAGGCATGTGACTAAACATCGTATTCTGATTCGTGAAATTTTCTACAAACCAAAATGTCGTATCTTATATACGCCAGTTTGTCATAAAACATCTTTCAAAGTCACGTGTTTTTTAAGAACCAAAAAGTCGTATCTCCTAATTGACATCGACTCAGGCTACAGGCTAACAAGGAATTCACGTTAGAAAGAGATAAAACATGTAAAACTGTGTCCCAAATCTAGATGAAAAAAAAGAAAACAATAGTCTTGAACTTTTAGACACTCGAACGAACCAGCTTACTTAAGAATTTACTTTCCTATTACTAAGTCTTAAGTTTTGTCAAACTGTTTTATTATTCTTATTTGTTTGAGGTGCCCATTACAATGACGTATTCGAATTCGTCTTTCTCAAGGGGGAAACGTATGCTTCAGATCTCCTTAAATTCGAATAACCTATTTACACAGATTATTTTTTGGGGTAATTTACCTAGTACAGTGGCGGACGCAGGATATTTTTTTTTTATCGGCCGGGGAGGGGGGGGGGGGCGAGGTAAGAACTAGTTACTGGAAGTGATGCTGGGGATTGTAAGTACCGGTTACTAGAGGTGGTGCTTAAGCGAGGTAAGTACTAGTTTCTGGAAGTGATGCTGGGGGGTTGTAAGTACCGGTTACTAGAGGTGGTGTTTGAGCAAGGTATGTACTAGTTACCAAAGGTGATGCTGGAGGGTTGTAAGTACCGGTTACTAGAGCTTGTGCCCGAGCGAGGCAAGTACTAGTTACCGAAGGTGATGCTGAAGGGATGTAAGTCGTACCGGTTACTAGAGGTGGTGCTTGAGCGAGGTTAGTATTGATTACCAGAGGTGATGCCGAAGGGATGTAAGTATTGGTTACTATAGGTGGTGCTTGAGCGAGGTAAGTGCTGGTTACCAGAGGTGAATCTGAAGGGATGTGAGTACTGGTTATTAGAGGTGGTAAAGGAATGTAAGTACTGGTTACTGGGGGGGGGGGGGGTTGCTAAAGGTATGTAAGTACCATTTACTTGATGTGTTGCCGGAGCGGGATGAATACTGATTAGTGGTGATGGTTCTGGAGCGAAGTAATTATTGGTTATTGGAGGTGGTGCTGGGGCAGGTAAGTACTGGTTTCACGAGGTGGCACTGAGGACTGGTAAGTTCTTGGGCCTGGAAATGATGTTGAAACAAGGTAAGTACTGCATATAGTAACTGCATGTGGTGCTGGGGCCAGATAAGAAGACAGCCACTCTAACTCATGATCACAGCTACATATTACTAAGGGGTCTGTAGAGGGTTTTGAAATGTCGTTAAGCCGTCCATTATTTAAAGTAAATCTCCGACTAGATGCTTGACTAGATGTGCCAGATGGCAGAGGTATACATAGTAAATCTTGTAAAGAAATGTAATGTCAAGGATAGAACCGTATGCGAAACGGAAGAAAAGATATACAGAAAGCAAACTACTTACCATTACCACTTAATTAAAAACAATGACAGACTACAGGTCTGCAAGAATATGTTTTATCGACGTTTGCTCTAGGAGAAACAATGGTGTACAGATGGCTCGACCGAAAAGAGAAAAAAATCCAAGAATAGTGAATCGTCTACATATTTAACCGCTAAAAGATTTCTAGACTCTTTACCTAAATTGCCGTCCCATTACTGCCGATCATCGTCAGACAAGATGTACCTAGAACAAGTCTTCACAACATTTTTTGAAAAGTCTAATTCGATAGCTTTTCTCTAATAGATTCCATGCTCTTGGCTAAACGTACATTGGGTTTTGTTTATAACTTCTGTTTATGGAGTAAATATCACGAAACTTGATATCTTATCTTAGGTTGCGTATTCAGTATCATCCCTATCCAAGGCTATATTTACCTACCAGAACCGATCCAAGGCTATTTACCTACCAGACAACTTACCTGGAATTGTGTAGTAGATGCTATGACCCTGGGTAACTTACTTTGATTTATGTCGTGGATATTATAGCCTTGGATTACTTACCTTGAATTATGTCTTGGTTATTATGGCTCAGGGTTATTTGCCTTGAATTATGTCAGCTACAGCTGATGAAATTGAGTGTTATATTCGCGTGCAGATAAGCTTCATAATCCACCACTGACACCCCGATTTTCCCCGATTTGCTCCGCACCCCCCCCCCTCCCGGCCGATAAAAAATTATCCTGCCTCCGTCACTGTACTAGGTAAATTACCCTAAAAAATAATCTGTGTAAATAGGTTATTAAGAACAAAACGTCGTATATACTCAGAACAGGCTTATAGTTTGTGAACAGAACGTCCTATATCACATACGCCGCCATTTCACAAGACAAAATGTCGTATATAGCCACAGCACATAAACCCCTAAAATTATCCCCAAAATAACCTTCCCATATTAAATTTTCCACAATTTAGTTCATAAATTAGAAATATAATCACATTTAATAAAAAATCCGGGACCGCAGACAGTTTTTTGTTTCCCCTGAAAACTTAATAAAATCCGATATACGAGGTTTTGATCGCCCACCGACGATATGCTATATAGTACCTCATGACTTGTGTTAAAATAACTGTGTATTTTATCGATATATGCTTAGAATGTAACATATTGGGGAATACCATATACTACTGCCTCATTATTGTGCAAAACTAACATAATACTTCAAGTATATAAAACAAAATTGAGTTACTTCTTGGAAAACTTACATAAAATGTATGGAAAAGGTGTTGGTTAATGTCTCACTATTCCAGTTATCTTCCCTTATCACCCAATACTAAATATTAACACATAGGCTACTATAAAAAATCAATCGATTTCTGTAAAATAATGGGCCAATATAACAAAAAAAAGTGAGATAAAAGTTAGATAAAAATATTTTGTTTGTGGAAAATAAATTATCTATTCAGTGTTTTGCCGTTCCATTTATCACTAATACAGTAAATAGATTTTCAGATTACTGTACAAATTTGCACTTTTCAGGGAATTAACTCGCAGATATTGATGAATTATGTCAGTTTTTTTATATATGCTATATATTTTGTTTTTAAGTTAAATTTATACAGTTTATATTTTGTTATTGAAGGTTGCGTGCATGCAGTTAGTAACTATATATTTTTTTTTTTGTGACTTGTATGCAGTTTGTAAATGCTGTATATTTTGTTATTTTAGGTAGCCTGTATGCAGTTAGTAAATGCCATTGTTAGTACACCAGAAGATTTAGATTTTAGATTACATTTGAGAAATGAATTTATGAGAACTGGTTTAAATCAAATTTTAAAAGTATGTTATTTCTGTTTTTTTAAATAAGTTTAAACTACAACACGGTGGGACTAAATTATACGACATTAAAACAACTGATTTTCAAGTCCCATCATATTTAAATATTTTGTATTACATTGATAATTCACAGTTTTGACAGTTTCTACAACAAAAATGTATCTTGTGATTTCAGCAACTAGAGGAATCAGAAGAAAGTGAGTTAATCACACAGGTTAATGTTTTTAAAGAACATAAACATGCTGATTTTGATGAATTTTCACAACGATATGATAACATACGCTTAGAGATGGAATATCCTTTTTAATTTAAAAAATATAACACCGGTAAGATTTAGTAGTGACATAAACCATGTATGGTAATTGTCGTGGGGGGTGTGGGGTGTTGGCCGAATGGTTAACGCGCATCAGAAGGTCTGTCATTGAGTCAACTGGCGTGGTTTCTATTCCCCAGTTGTACGTGACAAGGAGTAGGGCGTCTGTCCAACCTCGTGGTTTTTCTCTGGATCCTCCAGTATCCTCTTACAGCTAAAGACCCCTACGTGCAAGCGAATTAATGAAATAAAATTGAACCATATGTTAGTCCTGAAATGACATAGTTTTTGTCGAGTGGACGTTAAACCCCATCTCTCTCTCATTAGCCTGAATACATGGGTAATCTATTGACTAGAACTGTAACATTTTATGGAAGTACTACTATTTTGAGGTTCTTAATGATATAACCGGTGATTATTATTAAAACTAAAATTCATACATATAGTAAGATATTTGCCTGGGAGATAAAATCAAGGGATTAGAAGCTCCTTCAATAACCTTCCATTTAACATGTTCTAATTTAGAAAATCTTCTACTCCCTTGACTTATAAATACTCCCAGATTTATCTAACACAGTATAGGGGCTTAACATAGTAAATGTTTTGAATAAATTTGATTATTTTCTTTAATTATTGTTTCACGGACCCACTGGCCTGTTTTCAGTTAATTTCTAAGACAGTAGATAATACAGCAGCTGAACCATATTTACTGTCCATAGTACAACATTTATTATGTATAAGAGATGATACACACTCCAGGTATGGTTTCAACAGTACTTTAACTCTAGTGAATACTAAAAACATGATGTCATTATACACTGTAGCCCAGGTATTCATCGACAACTGAGGCAACGGACAGCGACATGTACTATTAAAGTCGTGTCTTGTCAAATGATCAGACTGAATAAGGACTTATTCAAGGCCTTCTCATTGACGCATGTGTGTGTAATTATTTATCTAGACCAAATTGATCCTTAACACTTTTGTTTATGTTTAGATTCAGAAACTTATTCCTCTCTAAAAAAATATTCATCGTTTAAAACAAAACTGTCTTTCTTATAGAACATGTACACAGGTGTCAACTTTCTTTTGCCCAGTAGTTTATAAAAGACAATATACAACAGAAGGTGGACTAAGCTCCACTAAAACATTGCCTATCAAAATTACTGCCACTATGCAGATAAGTAGACTTAAACATTTACTAATGGACTGATTTATTAAATGTGGCAATATTACTGATTTGGATTTAACGGAAATTCTCTCCAATACAGTATTTTGGTAGGTTGTTCAGCTTGTTATCAGGAAGATTGTCAGTTTCGATCATACATGAATGTCTTTATGTATGATAATATATAATATTTAGTTCATTTATTTTAGACCTCAATATTACAAATTAATAGAAGAATGTGTTACTCAGATAGTTTTACATAGAAATGGTGTAGATCCAGATTTTAAGTCAACACAGAGATTTGAAATAGATGTAGAACCTTTACTTGGTGAGTTTAGATGTATAAAGTTAATGTTACATATCAAAGTAAACAATGACTATAATTTGTAATTGATATAGAATGTTTACTTTGTAAGTTTAGACATATAAATTTAAGGTATATGTTCATGTAGAAAACTTACAGTAGGCCATATATTCATGTATAAAACTTACATGCAGTATTCATGTAGAAACTTTACAGTGTATATTCATATATAAAACTTACAGTATATATTTATGTATAAAACTTACCTTTTTTATGTTTAAAACTTACAGTATATATTCATGTAGAAACTTTACAGTATATATTCATATATTCATGTAGAAACTTTACAGTATATATTCATGTAGAAACTTTACAGTATATATTCATGTATAAAACTTACATGCAGTATTCATGTAGAAACTTTACAGTATATATTCATGTAGAAACTTTACAGTATATATTCATGTAGAAACTTTACAGTTTATATTCATGTAGAAACTTTACAGTATATATTGATGTAGAAACGTTACATATATATTCATGTAGAAACTTTACAGTATATATTCATGTAGAAACTTTACAGTATATATATTCATGTAGAAACTTTACAGTATATATTTATGTAAAAACTCTACAGTATAATATATTCATGTAGAAACATTTTAACTTCATAATGTACAAAAGGAGAGCTCAGCTAAATAAACTTGATAATAACATGCTTTTGTGATGGTTAAACATATCATTAATTTATTTCTTCTTTAATAAACATTCAAGCTGATTTAACAGAAAAGGAAGCAGAATCAGAAGAAAACAGTGACCTGAGTAAAAAATTAGAAAGTGCTCTCACATCTAAACAAGAGGCAGAGGCTAAAACAACAGGTTTAGAAGAAAAATTACAACAGTTAGAAAAAGAATTTAGCCAACTGAAACAAGGGGTATAGTAACATACAATTAATTATATTCTAACATCCATATCCAGAAATTATGAATAAAAAGTCAACCAAAAATTGATATTTTAATAACTTTCTTTTGGGTTGGTTCACTGAGTTTTTTTTTATCTCTCTAGAAACATTTTTAGAAAAGAATTAGAATATGTCACAGTCATTTTTGAAATTTTATTTTAGTTAAAGGATGGACTTGTTGCTAACATCAGTTCAACTATATCTCAAGGACAATCTGGAGTTTCTACTGGACAGCCTCCTTTACCTGGAAATGCGGTAGCACCAGGAGGAAAACTAGTACCTCCTCCACCAGCACCTCCACCAGCACCTCCTTTACCAGGAGCACCAATTCCTCCACCACCACCAACTATAAAAGGTGGACCTGTATCCTTTGCCCCACCTCCACCCGGTGCAGGACCAAAAGCCCCTCCTCCTCCACCCTTACCAGGAGGTATACCTCCACCACCTCCTCCACCTCCAGGTATGGGAGGAGCACCACCCCCTCCTCCACCTCCTCCACCTCCCGGTATGGGAGGAGCCCCACCCCCTCCTCCACCTCCACCTCCAGGTATGGGAGGAGCCCCACCTCCTCCTCCACCTCCAGGTATGGGAGGAGCCCCACCTCCTCCTCCACCTCCAGGTATGGGAGGAGCCCCACCCCCACCACCTTTACCAGGAGGAGGACCACCACCACCTCCTCCACCTCCAGGAATGGGAGGCCCACCACCTCCACCACCAATGTTAGGAGGTCCTCCTCCACCAGCTCCAGCATTAGGTATTCAAACTGTAAGAAAGAAATATACACAGACAGTACAAACAAAACGATTAAACTGGAATAAGGTAAACTTATCAGATATATTTGTTATTATAATATACAGAATGAAATAAAATTCTAAACATTTGATGATTTGACTTATAATAAGTAACATGAAGCTGGACTACCCACCAATGCTTGCAAGATAACCATATAATGTACATGTATATATAGTTTGTTTTAGAAATACACAGCAGGCAATTTTAAAATGACATTGGTATGTTGTAGATTAATGTTAGAAATCTAGATGAAGACGCAATATGGACAAATATTAAAGAAGAAGAATATGAAAGTGAAGATTTGCTTCTGAAATTAGAATCTAAATTTGCTGTCAAAGCACCTCGTAAGTAATTGTTTTGTATCAATCGTGCCTTAAAATAAAAATTATTCCTGAATGTTTGATAAATGTAATAATTACAGTGTATGGATGATTACGCATTGATTTAAAATGTATTCTGTGCTGAATCATTTGATAAATATATGTTGTGTCATTATCATTAGTCCACTGTACTGTTTAATTACATTAAGTGTTTTGAATATTCCTATGACAGCTACAAAAGAGACTGAAAATGTTGCATCCAAGAAACCAGCTAAAAAAGTGAAAGAATTAAAAGTATTAGATGGTAAAATGGCACAGAATTTGTGTAAGTAAATGATATTTCTACATCATTTAACTTCTACTTTTAGTTTTAGTCTGTTTAGTCTTGAGCTTCAGCCAGTTTAAAAGACAAATAAAACCCTCAAACATAAATTACCCTAAAAACATGGCCGCAGATCTTATTAAATTTTAGGGGGGGACGGATGTGGCGGTCAGAGCCTGACACACACGGCTCGCGCCTCAGGGTCTGGAGTTCCTCCCCCAGAAAATTTTGAAAGCAGGTAGCCTGAAAATGCTATCTGAGACCATTTCTGAGCATTCTGCAGAGATGAACGTAACGAGAATAAATTGTCGTTTTTGAGCGAGAATAATCAATACGAATACGGTAAAAAGTAGTTATGAGGGCTTAGAGTGCAGGCGGACTGGTTATATTACAAAAGTTAAAAATATTTATTATTAAACTTTGAAAATATAAACAGTAAACCACAGATGATATGGACTGATTAATTAAAGAAGTCCTCGCAATATAGGGATATAGGCAGGCTACTAAATTGCCGGTCACGGATGAAAATGTGATGAATAATTTCTCAAGTGGCCAGCTCTGAGCATAAGCTGCTGAGGTCATGAAGAGATCATTCTCAGATCTGGGTTACATCAAAGACCGAGCATTTTTGAACTAAGGGGAAATATCCTCAGTCTGAAAATAGGACTCAAGTTTTGGGAGACGCTGATAGAGTACGGCAGCCGAAGGCATACTCCACGTGCGGTACAGGCGCGCATTTAGCGGGGGTCTTGGTGCCTCCCCCGGAAGATTTTTTAAAATTAGGATGCCTCAAAATGCTATCTGAGGCCATTTCTGGGCATTGTACATCGGCATTTTCGGAAATATAGGCTACATTTCCCGGGCTGAAAATAAGACTTTTGAAATTTTATCGATGCATTTTTCTGGGGGTGGACGAGGCATATGAAATCCCCCCCCGAGAAAATCGAGGGGGGGGGGGACACGTCTCCCCCATCCCCCCCGGGATCTGCGGCCTTGCCTAAAAACACAACACAAATGATGTACTTGATAAAGTAAGAGAATACTTGTCGAAACGACGTGCTATATGTATATAAACCAGTGATTGTTTTCCATATAAATTGTGTTGTATTTTTTAAATTGTTCAATCACTAAATGCCACTCAAGGATTATTAATTACCCTACTTTATACTCTATTGCCAGGACATTCACGTCTTAAAGACATTTTACATAAAGAGAAATAAACATTTGTTTTTGTTTTCGTTTTCAGCCATCTTTCTTGGTTCTGTCAAGGTACCATATCCTGAAATAAAGAGACGTATTTTAGCTATGGATGAAGAAAACTTATCAGCTCAAGTTATTGATCAGCTTATTAAATTCATGCCATCCCCAGAAGAAATGAACAAAATAGCAGCATTAACAGATGATTACAATGATTTGGCTGAAGCGGAACAATTCTGTGTTACAGTGAGTTAACAAACATATCAGTAGATTAAAGGATATTTGTGAGAAATCAGACAGTGTTTATGTTTCGTTAATTGCTATACGTCTTATTTGCAAAAGGGGGGTTGGATGGCCGAATGGTTAGCACGTACGCGCTGTATCATAAGGTCTGTCATTGAGTCAACTGGCGTGGTTTCGATTCCCCGGTTGTACGTGATAAGGAGTAGGGTCGCCTGTTCAACCTTGTGGGTTTTCTCCAGGTACTCCGGTTGCCTCCCACTGCCAAAGACCCCTACGCACATGCGAATTATTGAAATAATTTTGAACCATGTGTTAGTCTCGAAATGACCATATTTGCAAAAACCTAAAGCTGTTACCTGTACCTGTTAGATAAGGCAATTCAGAAAATGATCTGAATGATAGTGAATGTCTTAGCTCTGATTTTGATTTAGCAAAGAAAGTTACAGTAGTAGTTCGTCTTAAATGAGATTTGTTGTCTGGTGCTCATGGAACAACAATCCATCATATAACCTAAATAATTTTAGGGTTCAAACTCATCAAATCAGTATCAGTACGTAGTTACCACTGGTTACCATAGAGAGGAGACATTAAAGAACCATAGGGTTTTCACGATTTCAAACTATCTGCTCTGGCCTTGATCATAGCTTAAGTCTGTGAACCAATCATAAAACAGTTTACAAACTAGTCTTATCAATTTGGGTCTGTAAATTCCCAAAGCCCTATAAAAGACATATTACAGGGTACATACCATTTATACTAATTTTAACATTAGGCATCCATGAGTTTTGGTACTGGGATGACTCATTGATTATTTCAATGTATTTGTGTCAAGAAAATTTGAATTAGTTTTATAATGGTCTTATGAATATATTTTCAGATGAGTAGTATTAAAAGACTTACACCACGTTTGAATTCTATGCTCTTTAAAATGGGATTTCCAGAAGCTGTTTCAGAAATTAAGCCAGTAATTATATTTGATATTTAAACAATAGATCCATACCTTGATTTATTTTAGTACACCTTTATTTTAATGTAAGTTTTAGCTAATAAGCATTAGTGGTAGAAAGTAAATCAACTGTGAAAAGTAACTGGGTGGAACTTTCCACTATATGTTTATGATTATTTAAATGATATAAATCATTTTGAATTAATGTATCAATGAAGTAGCATCAGGACTGGATTAACCATTAAGCAAAATAAGCATGGGCATCATGGTAATGGGGGCACCACAGAAAGACAGCTTTGTATGTTATCAAATTTAAAATGTTTAATTTAAAAATTAATCAAAAACTTTCGATTAGTTTTTCATTATTTTTGTCTTTCAATATTGTTACGTGTTTTGTCGCAATTAATGATGGTATAAAATCCTAGAAAAACTCTAATCACATGCTTGGTGTTTGTTTGTGGTTTATTATTGTTTATATTTTGAATTAGATATATATGGGGGCACCAAAAATCTTTTATGTGTTTAGAGTGTCTGTGGGTCATAATTTGGTCCTAATTAGCATGTAACTGTGTGAGGTCGTGTTCTTCATGTTCTTTATTTTCTTCTGCTAGGGTTTAGTAGCAGCAGCTGAAGCATGTGAGGAAGTCCTAAACAGTAAAAAGTTTACTAAATTGATGGAGCTAATTTTGTTTGTGGGCAATTATCTAAATGCAGGTTCAAGAAATGCACAAACTGTTGGTTTTGATATCAGCTTTTTAACTAAGGTAAATAGACAAACAGTTGGTTTGATATCAACTTCTTAACTTAGTCAATGTCCTCATACAGGATATTATTTATTCTTACCAACTCAATGAAAGTTTTTCTCCCTCATCATTATATTAATCAATAGTAAATTTTTACTTATAAATTTTTGTACAACCCCATAAAGTACCTCAGAAAAAACCTGACACGTTATGTAAAATCCTTTTTACAGATAAACACATTCCTAAAATTTCACCCAATTCGAAATAAAATATTTATAGATTCAAGAGGTAAATCTGCTTATTGTAGATCTATCTTTAGGCCTTAAATGTTATATAATTTATTAATTAGACCGTAATAAACTCTCTAGGCCATCGGATGGTTCCGATTTTAAGTAGATTAGAACAGTTTGGCCATTTAGTTATTTAATTTAAAAATGGAGAAGTGAGGCTAAGTGTTGAATATACCAGGACTTATCAATTAACATTTATTGTTCTACTACCAGACACTCATCATTAATTATCAACACAACACTCAGTATAATCTGTTGACGACTACATATACAACTCTATATAACACCAATCACGAGATTGGCTTCTAGACGACGTGCATTCTTGTATAGTTACACAGTGAAGGTCGATCGTAGCCATGTTTGAAATTTTGGTTTTTTTTAAAAAAAGACCCTCTTTCCGGCGTGCAAAATGACCGTTAGGTCAGATCTAGGAACGGTCATTTTCCATAGCCGTAGGTCTCGACCGGCATATACGGCCGACATGGAACCCATGGTTACAATAATTAACAATCAATGCACAAAACTACAAACAATGATAACTTGGATCAGAATAATTTCAATAAAATTTTCAATATATTCATTTTGCATTTTCTATTATTGAACTACCAGTATAGGCAGAACGGCCAGCTCTTTATCTAAATCTTACATAATGTATCTTTATAACTACCATGAAACAATTGAAAATCTAAGCCTACAGAAATTTATTGACAATTACAAAAATACACCTTGTCAATGTTTCTGAAAATCAGTTAATCTTGTTGACTTTATTCATTTGAGTCTGGTAATTGCTTCCATTACCTAAAAAGAATAAAAATGTATGAACTACTTGGATGACTTAGCTGTTGAGGACAAATATTTCATTACCTAACAACCCAGCTTTATCTTTTAGATATATCCAGTTGCTTTAAAATGTAATGGATGTCAAGATTTAATCAACTTTATGATTAATAAGAAATTGTTTTTTTATGATTAATATGTAATTTTTTCTTTATGATTAATATGTAATTTTTTCTTTATGATTAATATGTAATTTTTTCTTTAAGATTAATATGTAATTTTTCTTTCTAGTTGAATAATACAAAATCTCAGGATGGAAAAACCACTTTATTAAACTTTTTAGCAGAGATAGTTGAGGATAAATATCCCGATATAGCTGGGTTTATTGATGATTTATCATATGCAGATAAAGCGGCACGAGGTATGTTTTTAAGCAGTTAACATTAAATTTTCTTAACAAATTGTTTTATATATTTCTGGCACCATCTTTGCGGGCCCGTATCTAGACATCATTAAGCGGGGGGGCATTACCTTTCGGTAGGGGGGCAAACATTTTGAGGACATTTTCGGAAAGGTCATTCTAACAGACTGTTGTAGTTACCTAGGCGTCTAATAAGCATTTTAAAATAATTATTCAAACAAAAAAAAATTGTGATTTTTTAAATTTATTTAAAACTATTTTAGATTAGTACAAAAGAAATTATTTATAAGGTAATGAGATACCGTGGGATAGTTTTTTTTAGGTTAATATAAGGAACTGTGTATACTTTAATGATTGTAAGCAATTTCTGAGCGGGGGGGGCGAGCATTTCACGCGGGGGGGGGCCATGCCCCACCGCACCCCCCTGTAGATACGGGCCCGCATCTTTGCTTTCAAAGTATGTCATAATGGTATGTTGGCTGTGTAATCTATGAGTGGCATTTAGTGATCGTTAAACACATGTATACTGTGTTCTGTTAATGTTGGCTATGTATTTGAAATATCCTATTAAGACATATTTATTAAGACATATATCATTACTATAAGTTGCTTGGGTTTTATATTAAGAAGAAAGTATCCACATTCCCTACTATATAGTACATATATCTTTGAGTCAATAAGACATGTCAACAAAAACACTGCTGAATGTTTATATTTTAATGGTTAAAATCATTAATCCCATTATGTGTAGCAATGAAATTTTTGATTAGCAAGAGCTATGAAATGAAATGGGCTTTAACATTCTACTGTTCTTCTCCGACTGGGCTAATGAAGATGGGCATACAGTGTGCTATGAGGGAAATTTTGCACTATGACCTACTCTTATATTATATTGAATTCCAATTGCTAAGGGATCTTTCACATGCATGCCAACGTGTACATGGGACCTCGGTTTTTCATCCCATAACTTGTCAGGCCCTTTGTCCTGCTCCACTGTCCTGTTATTACATAGCATTGGTCAGAAGAAGGCATGTATGTTTGATATGGTGGTTTAATATGGCAGTGTAGGGTGGGTTTTATCCAAAGAAAAACAACTATAGGGAGTGAAAACATACAAGAGATGAACTGAACTTAACTATGGTCTGATAAATAAAGTTGCATATACCAGTTGGCCTATATAAACAATTGTGGGCCTAAGAGAGAATTGTTTTCTTCATTGTGAATCATTTTCAAATATACATTATACTAACATTTGCGTATTTAATGCTGTTTTCTACAAAACATACGTATTATTATTATTACTCTTGTTCCTTGACATCTCTACTGATATTTAGAGACAGACCAAGAATTTAAATACAGTCTTTTGACAGAAGCTAAGACTTACACCAATCTTGAGCATAAAGGCTTTTAATTGAGATAGACTGTCCAGCCTTATGAGGTTTCTCCGGGTCCTCCATTTTCCTCCCACTGCTAAAGACCCCTATGTACATGCAAATTATTGAAATAAAATTTAACTATATGTTAGACCCAAAATGACCTAGTTTGCGTCGAGTGGACATTAAACCCCATTTCTCTCTCTGTCTCTCTCACCCAAGCGATGTGAATATCAATAGATATGTGCATATCAGGGATATCAAAGATACAAAATAAAATTATGTCATGTCTACTGGGAGCCATATTCCAATACCAGAAGGCCAATCTCACACCTAAACACTCATAAATTGTTATGATTAATGTGTGAGGTAGTCTAGTCTACTGCAGTATATGACCCAATTTAGCAGGAGAAGTAAAAAGTCAGTGTTTTAAATACAACAGTAGGAAGTTAAACCCTATTTCATTTAAAACATGGAGATAACTGGTATTTGGTCTTGAAACACATTCAATGATGGTTACTAATATTTGAATTATGTTTTTTATTTGCCTTTTCAGTGTCTGATGAACAACTAACAAAAAATTTAAATGACATGAACAAACAATTGAACAATTTAGAACTTGATCTTAAAAATATGAACAATCAACAATTAGTAGAAGGGGATGAATTTGCTAATGTTATGAATATATCCTTTTAAATTTTTCACTGATTATTCTAATGTTGCTTTGTCAATACAGAGCGGTCTTAATGCTGAGTGGTTGTGTAAGTATGGACCCCAGTGTCACTGTTTGCCCAGTGTCCTATAATGCCGTTAAGATGACCTGGTGTCTATATACCACCTTTCATCCTGTCTTCTTTGAAGTTAGGCTATGACTTTTAGTAGGCATATACCCTTTGTGTACCATATATTAAAGAAACAAAAGAATTCTATCACATTTCTGAAAATTACCAGCAGAGTAATGACCCTTGATGAATTAACTAAATCCTGTGGATATCATTAAAATACAGACAGAGGATATTCGCCACCCTTGTGAACGTGATATAAGCTACAGTTGTTTACAGATTTTTTATCAAAATTTGGTTTGAAACATTGGGTAATGAGAAGATGAACTCTAACAATATTCAGCGTTCTGCGACTGTTTGTTTCAGAGTTATCCCCTCTTTGTCAAAAACCTTGTGAACGCAGTAGAGGCTATGATTTGTTAAAGATTTGGTGTGAAGCATTGTGATCATGAGAGGACAAATCCTATTGATATATTCAGTCTATCACGACTTCTGTTCCACAGATATCCCCCCCCCCACACCCCTTTGCCGAAAACCTTGTGAATGATAAAGACTAGTTTTCAATGGATGTTTTTCGAATTTTGTGGGAAACATTCTGGTCATTAGAGGATGAAACCTATTGACTTTTTGTTACAGAGTTATGCCCCTTTTTCCAAAAAAAAAACTTGTGAATACGATAATGGCTATAGTTTTTAATGGATCCTTTTCCTATTTGGCTTGAAGCATTGGTGTCATCAATCCCTATCGATATTCATAATCCACAGCCTGCCGTTCCTGAGTTTTCCCTCTCTTTGCCACAAAACAGTGTGAACACGATAGAGGCTATAGATTTTAACAGATATTTTTTCAGATTTGGTTGGAAGCAAATGGATAAGATGAGGAACCCTAGTGTTCAAGAATCCTATAGATCCTTATCACATTTGCTCAACATCCCAGTTTTCCTTTCGGATAAGCTGCAGTTGAGACAAAGCTGCTGTGTGGGCGTATTCAGTGCTTTGCGTGGCTATCTTTGAAAAATATTTTACACTTGTCAACCCTTTTACTGACCTTAACCTTGTATACCAATTTGTAACATCAGCTAGAGATCAGTATGAAGTATTAAACAATATGTACAAAAAAGTTGATACTTTATTTACTAAACTTTCTAAATATCTTACTTTTGACAACAAAAAATACTCTTTAGAAGAATTCTTCACAGATTTAAAAACATTTAAAGCTAACTTTCAGGTATGTTCAATACACCTTCATGATTATGTTTTAATAAATACAATTCACTGAATGCAATTACTTGCCTATAAGTTTATAGGAATGCCAACTGAGGGTAGTTTAGGGTGTTATAGTAAACCAGTACAAGATTTGAACAACCTTCAGTAATCAAACAAATGCTCATTTCAGTTTTTTGTGAAAAGACAATTCTGTGAATAGTACAAAGTGGTGTTTATTTGGTGGGGTGTGATAATTCAATGACTCCTAGCCTCTTTAAACCTTGAAATCTAGGTCAACTTTCACTCAGGTTGTTTTTTTAACAAGATAAATAAAGCATCAGGCCAATATTAGTGTCAGCAAGCATCTGTCATAAACTAGTGAAAATGACTCTCATCCAATCAGTGAATTTTTCACTATGAAGCCATGTTCTAATGTTGACGTGCTCGTCACCATGCTAGTCATGCAGCATTATAATCATGTGACAGGACTATTAGTGCCGTATCTAGCCGATTTGAGCGGAATACGAACAGTTTTGTTAGGACAGAAGGCAGTGAGGTAACCATTCCCTTTTCAACACAGTGTTTGGTCCATTACGTCATTAGTCTGTTAATGTTTTTGCAATAATCGACTAATGGTCAAGGGATGGTGACCATTTACAGAAGTTATGTCCGAGACTGGAGTAAAGAATTTTCGTTCCGCGCAAGATTCAGCGACGGTCAAATTTACTGATGCAAGTATTGATGTTCGCGTCCAATGCATCCAAGCGTAATATTCAATTTATTTCAGCACAAAAAGCACCAAGATTTTATGAAGAGGTCACTCCCGTTAAGCGGTCAGTCGTGAAAATTCCCTTGGGTGGCTGCTTAATGCAGATTCTACTGTAATTAAATAACAACTTCTTACTGGTGTTCTCCATGTACTATAGGACACATCATACTTCTAATTTTTCTTAAGTTAAGTTGGGGCAAGAAAGAACTTTGCTTTATGTTTCTTTCCCTTTATTAATTCAGGCAGCTCATGCAGAAAATATCAAAATACGAGAAACCAATGAAAAGATTAGAAGAGCTCAAGAATCACGAGAAAAAGCTGAACAAGAAAAGAAAGATAAAAAAGCTAGGCAGAATGCTATATTAGATATGACAACGGGTAAGTTGTTTTTGTTGACCTTCGAGCCAATAACCATTTTGGTCTGTGTTTTAAAAAATGTCATCTGAGTTACTGCATTATAGTAAATAATAATTTTTTAGGTATTATAGAAAATAACAATATAAAGAAAAGCTGAAATTGTTTGGCACAAATAGTATATTTTCACTTATATTATCTGCATAGCATATAATCAATAAAATTACATTTTGTTATACCCTAAAACTGGCTAAAAATTCAAGCTGATATTCTGATCTGTAGACGGTATTTCTTCAGAGAGCAGATAATAAATTACTGCATCTCAATGCAAATATTACTAAGGTGCATATTTAGGACATATTTTGGGATGTGATTTATCAGTAATAAACAGTTTCAAAAGTTATGAGAAATATTTGAGTTATTTTTTAACAATATGCAGTAAATAATATTACTGGTTATGCACGGAAACCGGAAACCGACCCTTGTATTTTATTAAAGCTATTATAAAAATGTTTGTAAACTCCTTGCACATTAGATTTATTTTAATTGTTTAAAAATAACACCAGTTTATTTATGCATAGTATAGTTAATAACATCAGAATATACATTCAATGTGAATTTAATATTTTATAGATGATGACCAAGAGGGTGTGATGGATAATCTACTTGAAGCATTAAAAACAGGTTCTGCATTTACTGCAAACCGAGAAAAACGAAAAAACCCTAGAGCTACAGGAGGTAAATAAATAAGATAGTTAATGTACCCAATGTTTTTGATTAATAAAGTTTATTTAGTTTTGATGTAGGGGCCTGTAATGAAAGAAATCAATTGGATGAAATCAAAAGTAATCACTTATTTGATTTGTTTATCTAAAATTTTTAAATTGAGTGGTGGGCCATGATTAATAATGTGAAAAATGCTTTTACTGTTGATTTAAGTGTATCTGTCATTGTAGCTTAGTTAGAGTGGGTGGGGCTGGGGTGGATTCCAGCTTTCACAATCAATCTTGTGGTTTCTTTGGTAACAAATGTATAGGATTGTCGGCAGTGTTAAGTTAGCTCGATATTCGTTTTTCGTCATTGACTAATAACGAAAAACATATTGGTGAATAACGAAAAACAAGATACTCATTTTTCAATATTCAGATTTTAGGGAGAAAAACAATTTTGTTGTGCTGTTATATGTCTATATATGTCATCTGATTTCAATATGGAATGTATGTAGTATCCTGATTTTCAATACCTCTCCATAAAGACTTCCAAATGCTTCTATACAATGATTGGCTCCTAGTCCTAAACACAGATGGTAATAAGCGCTGTCTGATTCATAAAATATTTTTGACCAAAATAACAATCACAGGAACCCACTAATCCTATGCTTGCTGTGTAGTCTTCTTGCTGATCATGTGACTTTGATACAATGTCACTGGATCATCTACAATCCCCCCATCCTTAAAACCTGTTACACAAGCGAACTAGTACATCCATCAGAAACACTTCAAGTCTTTGAGCCATTGGCAAACTAACAGTTTGTGATCGCAGGACTTAGCTGATATGCTTCTCTCATGGTTTGTTTGTCCGGTTTTCCAAGGAACATTTCCAGCCATTAGAACATACTGAAGATGCTGCTGCGAGCCTCCCACGACTAATGACATTGTAGTGATCTTCAACCCAGAGCTGAAATATGCTTCATTTCATTACTATATCATATTCATATAAGATGTATTCTGTATAAATTGCATTGGACATTCATGAAACTTATCTCTTAGTAATTGAAAAGTGGTCCAACACATGCGCTTTAGATCGTAAGATGTGGCATATCACATGTGAACTTGTCAAACAAAAAAATGTGCCATATATTTTCTTATTAAATTGGATTTTTATCTGGATTGAATTCAGATGCTGTTAGTAGTAAATCCTAGACTTGCCTAATTAATGTGTCTTATCTTTCTTTTTTTCTTTTGCAGCTGAACGGAGAGCTCAACTTAATCGGTCCAAATCTAAAGATCTTGTCTCAACATCTCAGGAAATGAGCCTTGGTGATGTTATCAATGCAAGTTTAGATTCACCCCCATCTAAAACTCCGGTCACCACACGTGTACGCCGTGCACCTCCCAAGCGTGAAACTTGAAACAGAAAAACCTATTGATAGTTTCAGAATTGTTTAAACTGAAAATAGTCCATGCAGCATGGATGAAACTTTTGTTTATTTATCCGGAGGGATAAAGTTTGAATTCTCACCAGCAGCATCACCACCCTCATCATCATCATCATCATCATCATAATTGTTCCTAGTATGAAATATTTTCATTTCTATTGTTTGTCTTTAAGTGAACTCATCAAACTTTATTAAATTATTTGAAATGTGAATGTGAAGGGAACAACCACATTGGGAATAATTTACACGAATTATTAAATAATATTTATGTGTGTCAAGTCAAAACAAGGTGAATTTGTGTATAAATTTAGTTAAACTTTGTTGAATGTATGCCTTATCAAATTATATATGTGTACAGTATGTATCACCTTTGACCAATTTGATTAACATTTGTATTTAGACAGTAAGAATCTCATCTTGGTGTATATGTATTCTGGACTGACTGGCAATAATTGAATTGACAATCTGACAAATTTACCCATCGACCAATATTCCAATCTAACTAAAATTTGAATTAAAATTCATTCCGGTTTAAATTTTGAGACACAATGGACATTTTAAAATCTGTACACGAGTCATGTACCCAATCGTTTCGGTCCCAAAAGGAATGAACAAAAAAATACATATCCTAAATTGCAATAGGGCAGTCAGTAATTCACAAATGATAAAATAATAATAAAAAAAATGTGAAGAATGGGCTAATTAGGTGTATACGATTGCCATTCAATTTTACGGAACACAATTGATTAGAAATTACAGTCTTTTTTTTTTAAAAAATGAATATAAATCCCTTTATATACACTCATATTACATTAATATGTGTTTTTAGAGACCCATTTATGGTTCCAAAGAATTGAGCCATACACCCTTTAATTGTACATGTAGCTACTACAGTGATTGTTTAAAATCATTTTTAATGTAGATGTGAAAGTAGACTGTTAAATTAAATGCTTGGAAATAGGGTGTTTTTATAAATTATAAACACTAAGTAGCTTTACTGTGTAAGATACATTCAAAATCCATTTTCAGATTCAAAGAATGCTAAAAACAAGTCATGTTTTCTGATGTCTGAACAAGCTGTCTAAAATTGCACATATATCATATTATTTGATTCATCTAGCTTCTATTTATCTATGTGGATTATTTATTCACAGAAATGTATTTGCAGGTGCTGGTAACGGATATGTATTGCTTCAGTAGTACTTTCAGAATGTTTGTTATATATTTTATCTAGTGATATTTACAAATGGTAAGCTGTTGTTTGTTAATAATATCATATTTAATATAATATGTCTTTCACTGAATAATATTATTTTCGGTAATTTTATAAATAAAATTATTTTTGTTAAGTCATTTGTGTTGTTGAAGTTAGCATAGCGCTAGCTACCAGAACTAGCTAAAAACCTTGAGATATACAGATGTGCTTGTTCTTCACCACGCTTGGGTGTCTTTAGTATCACCTGGCAAACTTAATTTCTTTATTAATGCATGCAACATCTTAAAAATAAGTTAATTTTATACTATTAGGACTTATTAAACATACGCAGACAACTTTTGTTTATCTGCAAATATTGTCAATAAAGTGAATCAAACATTGTTTGATAGGGACATTCATAATCATGGTGCATTAGTCCTGCAAATCTCATATCAGGTTAGTACTTTCATTGGCTGTTGTTCATGGCGTAAATATGTCAAATTTAAAATGGCGAGAAAAGCCAGTTACTATGCTTCAATTTAAAAGAGATGCTTTTGTACCCATCTCAGATAGGATTATATGCTTAATTATAGTAGGACGTGGCAGAAATGTTATAAATAACAATAATCCATCGTTTCGAAGAAAAAATTGTCTGGTTTCTTTATTGATCTGCATCAGGCTTTGCCAGGTGGATCTATATATACTCTTCAAAAAAAGTAGGGGATATTGAAATGCAAATACCTATGCAGGTTGTGATATGAGAGTATGTTCACAGATGAAGAACTTATCGCCCCAAAACAGAACCACTGAGCTGCACATGGGTTCTTGCATAAGATTTACTGTTTAGCGTATTTTTGCTTTAGTGTGTTACATTTATTTTCATTGGGAGACGTGTTCGTGGACGTCAACGTCAACCGACAACACTGCAAGAATTGGCCGTGGCACTGCAAGGGGGGTGGGTCAGATTGCCCCAAATCGTGATTGGTTGGTTGATTAGGACTAGGAGCATGCCACCACAAATTGCTGTTATATGTCTGAGGATGGGTGGAGCAATTACTCATTATTAAGACAAAAATCAGAAACGTCCATTTTCATTTTTGACAGTTATCCCTTTGCGAGTGAAATGGGGCCGTCATATAAGCCGCCAACAAAACTGTTTATGTTCATGTGTAGGCAATTGGCCTGTTATTAACATACACTGGTTACCTCTAATAAAAACAGTAGTGCATTTCTGCAGTTTTGTATTGTTTCTGAATATCCCCTACTTTTTTTTGAAGAGTATAGTACCAGAGGGTTGAGAGAAGAGGTTTCTTATCTAGCATAACACCAGATCCACTGTGCATCAGTCTCAACTTCTTGTTCTAAATTGATTGGTAAATTTCCACAGCATTTGTTAAGTAATGTATGTTGCTCAAGAAGTAAAGTTGCCGGAGTCAGGACTTTTAGGCCATAATGCCAAGGATTCGTTCCATGTTCAGTAGTTCAATTCAGGTCCAGGAAGAGGCATTATGCCAGATCAAGCGGAATATTTCCCCCGTAATCCAGCACCCCAATTCAAAATGTATTTATTGGCGCTAGGATTAGGAATATGTTTCATAACCTCATTTCGATTCCGGGTGCTTGAATACGGGTGAGAGATTCTGCACAGTGCAAAAAGGCCTGTTTCTAAAGTTTGAATAGATCATTAGTAGTCCCTTGAAAACAAGCGGTTGCCATGCAAGATATGTCACATTTTGCAAGAGATGGACAGAAAACAAGCTAAAAATGATTTTCGCACAATAAGGGACCAGAATCCAGGATGTTATAGTCTGACATGCATCAATATCAAAAGGAACCGAGATCTATGGGATAAACTTATATTTTAAGTCTCATCAAAATTGGATAAAAATTGTGACCTCTAGAGGGTCCATAAGCTAAAAACGTGATTTTTCATACAATCCGGATCCGTAATCCAGGAAGTTACTATCTGATATATCAACAGAAACTAAAATCTTTGGGATACAAACCTATATTTCAAGTTTCGTCAGTGAAAATGTGGGCATATAAAAATAGTTTGATTATATGAATTTCGTGTCTTTAAACAAAGATAGTTTTTAAAATTTTAAGTCTTTTTGGTTGTAGTGTATATATTCAGGCATCTCTGTAAGACTTTGTGATTTCCCATGTATTGTTTACCCTCTAGCTGCCAGTGCTGAATGGAAAATTTGCTTCATATATTTCAAAGTTACAAATTCCAGTCATCATTTTTGATTTTCATCCAATTTGTATTTTACAGTATCGTCTCAAGCACATTTAGATACCAAAATATATGCACTATAGCTGAACAGTGCCTTTTTGAGGACCAAATATTTCAGTTAACTTTGTCTTGCCCTTAAGAGACATGGTGATCCTATCCCTGGCCCTGATCCACAGTCTTGACTCCTGCATATAGCAAGGATAACTCCTCAATCTTATTACTGTACCTTCCTTTAAATCATCATGAAATATGATCTGAATATTATAGATATGGAGGGACAATCCATGGACAACTATCAAATTTATTTATAATTTTTTTTAATTCAATGTATACAAAGTTGTTCTACATGTATTATTTTTAGAACTAACAATTTAAAACCACACCAAAATAATTTTTCATGCATTGTACACTTTTCTACTGTACTTCAAAAACTACATTATTTTAGTATAAAAATAACATTACAAAATATTCATCTCAATAAAAAATAGTAAGTTTGTATTAAAATACAGTCTATTACATATAAGAATGTGTATAATTTTGTAACAGCTATTGAGCTCTAAAATAAAATTTTCTAATATCAATTATTAAACCAGAGATTCTATATAGTTTCTGTTTCTACAGATCAAAATTAGTTTTATAGACTTCATGACAATAGCTTTCTTGTTGATATTACAAACTAGTCAATAAAATGGTCTATTTAATTGAGCTGAGGTGTACACTGAACTACACATTTATAGAGCAGTAAAGAACAAAACATGTAGTCACCTAGTGACCACTGACAAGACCCCCCCCCACCCCGCAATGGGTTCTGAGAAAAAAAAATTGGGTTTGATATCCTACTTGTCTGAAATAAGCAGGCTAATAATGGAGACAGAAATATGCCATGCAGTGTACTATGAGGGAACCTTTGTCCAAACAGCAGGGTTTCTGAATACTCTTTGTTGAATTCCGACTCATCTAACGACTAGACACTTTTTCTTTTCAAGTGCTCTCCACTGACAAGGGGAAACCTGGATTGAAAGTTCGAAGGAATGGTCTTGAAATTCCGATCTGTACTTTAATCAGTTTGATCAAATAAGCATCAAAATAATTCAGTAATTTGGGCTTTAGACCTATTACAGTAATAGCAATTACTTGCCTTTATTGCGAATATATGTCTTGGTTAGAATATTCCAAGTAATATCGTTAGAATATTCCAAGTAATATCATTTTTATATTATTCTTATATAGAATAGACTGAATATTTAAAATATACATGAACAACATAGAATTATAAACTTGGACAAACTAATGAGTATTGCTTAAAACACTTAAGAACAGCATAATCTGTAATTTACATCAATTTGAAACAAAAATAGACTAAAAAAAAAAAAAAAGACTAGAAAGTGAAATCTGAGGAACATAAATAGGTTAGAATTATTATTTATTAGACATAATTTTAAAAATAAAATCATGTCAATGTACCTTAAGTTAAATAAGTTGGTTTCCCCTAATATTACAATAATGCGCTTGTTGGTAAAAATCAAATGTTTCGTACAAATATAAATACTAATATTATTACTTAATATTTTTTTTTTTTTTAAATTAATTTGACTAGAGATGATTATGCGTATGAAGTTGACAGTTTATTTATTATAATGATTAGCCCACAACCCTCATAATAATAGTAATAATAATATATAGTGTTGGATTATGCAAGTATAAAGGGTACATAAAAGGATTTTTAATTAATCCACTAAACCCAGGAGGAATCAAATTATATTTAAAATTTTAGATTGTGTCCACATGATTGACCAACTTTAAATATTTCTAATCATACAAAATAATTGGCACTGGCAGAGACTGGCTCATTAATTTTACATTTTCAACTAATTTACACTTAAATATTTTTCAAATTTTTAAAAAAATCTAGCTGCTATATTACAGGCAAACTAGAATCGACAAATTTACAATCAATAGCTGCCTGTGTATATATCTGAATGTTATAAAATACAGCAGTAGTTTCTTATGTAATAAATATAAAAAAAAATTGAAATTTTGAAATAACCAAATAATGAGTGAGTTGAACAGCATGACTAATATTCATGCACAATGAAGCATAGGCCATTCAGGTTACTGGTACTTTAAAAAAAAATTATAATTTAAAAAATATATTCTACTTTATGTAAAGTATGTTGCAAAATCATTTAATTTTTTTATTATTATTATTTTGAAAATATATCTATTAAATATAATATGCTGTTATTATTTAAAAGTTATTCCCTGAACTAAACAATGAATACATGTGTACGGTATACATACAGAATAATATATTCTATACTAATTTTCAGCCATATTCAACATTTGTTTTTAAATTAAAAGGCCAATAGTTTCAACTCACAATATGAAAAAATACAATTTAAGGAAGAATATAAAAAAATATTACTACATTTATTACTATTTTTTTATTTCAAAATTCATTGTCATTTAAGCATAGTGTTGATCCTAGTCTTAACTATGGTTGATCAAGATATTAAATGTGTACAATTCAACAATGTACAACTACATGTATAGAAATGAAAAAGCTTAGACAAAAATGATTTAAGCACTAAAATATATATATAAAATATTGAGAAATATAAAATAATAAATTTATACAGAATTATATACATTTATTAGTATTTGATCATATGGCAAGCTTTGATTACAAACTTTGTAAAGTTTTAGAGCAAAATTAAACAATAAAATTCAAAACAGGGTGAAATAGACAGAGTACATTTCAATAAACAATTCACTGTAGATAGTACAAATCTGGTAAGGTTTTCAAGTAGTTTCTATAAAATTGTTAATCACAAGTACATGTTTCATAGAAGTGATTCATAATTTATATAAAAGTTAAAAGAATTTTATTTGTCATGTAATTGTACTTGTTATTTAACCTCATTTATGTCAACTTCCTTGTTCATGTTGTGTTTATGTTGAGATCAGTTTTCAGTGACATTTTAACATGTACAATGTATATATTTGCATTCTCAAAGCTTTCAAAAGAAATTCTGGATAAAAAAAGAGTCATTTACAAGCTTATAAAGTTCATTTACAAGCTACCAAAAAACAACTTAATTTTGTTGCAATTTTTAAAATTCATCTTGCCGGCCCACACAGAAATATAAAATACTAGATATAAGAGCCATGCCTGCTGCACCCACGCCTACCCAAAAACTCCAGCCAAATAATGGGTCCATACTGCCAGATCGCGCTAGTACCTCTGTTTTATGATCCATGTGTGCCTTTGCACCAAACACGCAAACACCAATAGCCAGCAATAAAACTGAAAAAACAAAAATCAGTTTTAAATGTAAAAAATAACACTTTTAAACAAGGCATTTGTTTCAATTATTTGCAATTCCCAATTATAACAATCACTAATACAGATAGTACATGTACATATGATATTAATACATCTTGCCTTAAAGATACATGCAAGATTAAGATGGGCATTCTTGCTATATTACATGTAGTTCAAAAATAGAACTGGTGTGGTTCGATTCCCAGCTTCAACATAACATGAAGTAGGGTCGTCCTGCTCGTCCATCCAACCTTGTAAGTTTTCTTCAATTTCTCCTGTTTCGTATAGGTTCCTTTGTCTCACCCATGTAAACGATATATATAATTTCAAACTGATCAGATGTAGTGTGTGGAGTGTCCACAAGAAATTATGGACAACGGATGGTGATGACGGCAAAATACGCCATGCGGGTGTATAAAAACCAAATGGGGCAAAAATGCTGAACATCGATAGGGTTTGAGCTTACATGACCCCAAAAATTCAAACCAAATTTGCGAAGAAAATCTGCAAAAAACTGCAGCTTATATCGAGTTCACAAGGTTTTCGCAAAGGGGGGGGGGGGGGGATTACTCCAGAGCGGAAAGTTTTGTAAAGCTTAAAATCTAGCATTCGTTCTCTCGTTACCCCAATGCTTACAGTTACAACCAAATTTTTAATAAGCGGTTGCCATGCAAGTTACAAATACACATCTTGCAAGAGGTGGACAGAGAACAAGCTAATAGATAGGTTGCCAGGCAATGGAACATACGCCCACAGCAGCTCAATCATCCCGGCAGTCAACAAGGGTTGTTGCATATGTAATGAAAACATTTACAACACATGAAAATCTGATTACGCTAAGTAAGTCTTAATTATCAGAAATCATTAGATTTTGTTTTGTTTGTTTGTTTCATGACCTTAATTAAACACTGTGTATAAATTTACATTAACTTTAGCCTCTAGACTGTCCACAAGATATTTCAAAGTGATCAAGGGCCATATATCTGCCAGTAATTATTGGAAATCGTTAAAATCAAGAGGATTCGTCGTCTCATGACCTTAAACACTATGTATAAATTTGAAGTCAATCGGATATTGACTTTAGCCTCCAGAGCATCCACAAACATTTGTGGATAACGGACTGCTGGACGGACTGTGACAATATACATGTACTACCACATTTCAATGTGGGTGTATAAAAAGTGACTTTGCATACAATAAGGGGCTATAATCCAGGATGTTACAGTCCGACATACCAGTACATGTACCTCATCGGATTTTCACAAAATTCAAACTCAAATGTAATCACACTGTGATGGTCATATATACAATGTATGAATGTTTTTTAAAATCAAATAAAAATTGTGACCTCTAGAGCTTTCATAAGTTAAGGCATGATTTTTTTGTACAATCAGGATCTGATACATGTATGCACTAATGCCAAAAGGAAGTTACGATCCAACATGTGCCATTACTGAATGCATAAATGCATACATGTATTTGAAGTTACTGTCTAATAAGCGTGAATATCAAAAGGAACCAAGATCATTGAGATATACTGTAAATATCTTTTGAGTTTCATAAAAATCGGATAAAAATTGTTACCTCTAGAGGGTCCAAAACCTTGCAATTACATGTATTTACACTATTTGCGTAATGAACGGCCATTTTGTCGGGCAGTTTTGGTCTGATTTTCACGAAATTTTAACTCCACCAGCGTTACATATTTCTGAAGCAACGGCCCGAGAAATCGTTCTCTGGCCATTGCTGGATTGGCTTCTGATACTTGAGCTTTTGAGGGAGTGTGTCTATTCTTCCCGTTCAATCAAATCTATCCCAAGTACAGCAACATGACAGCCCTTTGTTTAATCTGGTGTCTTCCCTACAAAATGGTGACACTATTGTTCTTTTACACTGTATCCGTGTTGATAGCCTCATTTGTCACGCAATTAGTTTTTCTGCAATATTCTGCTATGCACTTGATAATTGGGCATAATAAAATCGTGAGTCATGCTGTAACGTTATGTAAACATATTTGGTCCAATTTGGAGCTCTGTTTAAAGCGTAATGATATTGTTATGCAGTTAGCTATTGGTTGTTAATCGGACTAATAACCAGTCATAATTTGGAACAGAAATTTGCAGTGTTAAGTGGGATTAGCCCTAATCAAACGAAGCACTCCGAGGAGTATGCCTGCATTATGGTGTACCGGTGACATTATATTTGAACTATTTTTAAAATCAAATAAAAATTGTGACCTCTAGAGGGTCTTGCCAGGTAAAATCAAGATTTTTCATATAATCAGGAGCCATAATCCAGGAAGTTACATTCCGATCCGATATGCACCAATATGGAAAGGAACCGAGATCTTTGGGTAATAAACATATATTTCATGTTTCATCAAAATCGGATAAAAATTGCGACCTCTAGAGTGTCCACAAGATAAAAACGTGATAAAAAGCATAAAAAGGGAGTTTGCAAGGGTAAATAAATAGAATCTAATTGTACCCGTCGCCAAAAAAACATGCACAGTCGAAAAAACACAATTGTTGTATGATAACTTTTGTCGAAAGGTTCTACAAAGTGAATCATGGTCCACAATTAACTCTTTAAGTAATTAACGTTAGTGGCCAATATGCATATAAATTTTATACAGATTGGATGGTAACTTATGTCTTTAGACTAAATTAGAGTGTTCACAAGGTTCTTTTGAAGTGAAACACAGGCCATAACTTTAGAAGCAATAAATGGAAAATGTTGAACTTCCATAGGCTCCTTTATTTCACTAATAGTATAGTAATATATTGTATCGTAAATGTTGCCTGTAGAGTGTTCACAGAGAAGACAGCAATACAATCACTGGTTTATAAGTGTAGCACGACGTTTCGACAAGTATTCTCTTATCGTTATCATTTGTGCTTGATAACGATAAGAGAATACTTGTCGAAACGTCGTGCTACACTTATAAACCAGTGATTGTATTTCCATATAAACTGTGTTGTGTTTTTTAATATGTCCAATCGCTAAATGCCACTCAAGGCTTAGCAATAAAAATTTTTGACCAGATTTCTATGTGGGCGTATATAAATAGTCTATCACTCAGTTAAAAGATAATTTGTAGGGTAAGGAAGCACTGTTTTGAATGGATAACGAGATGCGCAAGTTATATAAATGTACATGATAATATCATTTATTATATAATCATAGTAACATCCTGAGTTTTTCTCTTAAAGTTGGGGATAAATAGCTGGGGGCTAACTGGAAATTATTATCACATTTAAATGTCATCATTATAAAATCTCTATATGATGTCCCTATTTCCTTGGTATTTTTACAGCAGGGTATTAAGAGAAAATGTCATGTATGTTGTGAATTAAGCCAAACAGTTAGTCTATTACACAAATGGTAATCTTGACAAAGACAAATCCTAGCAGAAAGATATTTACAGTTGGTGCATCAACTATTTAGTAAATTCATTATAACAGCTGTAGAAAAAAAACCTTATGAATGTAGTTTTGGAAATACTTACATGTAAGGTTGATAAAGGCTCCAGCAGCCTGGTGTGGATTACATGTCTTGCAGTAACAACATAAGGAGAATAGTCCAATTAGCAGTGATAATAAACTACTGGCTATAGCACATGAAAATAATCCTTGTACTGCTTTAAACCATTCTGTAATAAAGAAAAAAAGAAAATGTATTTGTCTCCTGTAAAAAAAACCCTGCTTATTATGGTTATTATTAAAAACTTACCCATATTTTAAATCATCATTGGTAAAAAGACAGGTTGCCAGGCAGCGAAACATACGCCAACAGCAGCTAAATAGTTCGAGCAGAGAACAAGGGTTTCGTATATTTATGCTTTTGTTGGTAATGGGAGCATTTAGAAGATACTGATATCAATTTCATACAGATCGAATGTTTTCAAGGTTCAAAAAGCGAAACAAGGGACATAACTGAAGAAGTAATTAACAAAAATGGCTCTTAATTTCAATAGGATTCTTTGATTTAGTGATTTAAATAATGCAAATAATCAAATAAATTTCAAACAGATCGGATGATAACTTTTGTTGATAGAGCGCGATTTAACAAAGTGAAACAATTTAATTTGCTTCTTCGTTTTACGGATCTAAATAATGCATATAAATTTAGACAGATCGGATGATAACTAATAGAGCGATCACATGGTTCAACAAGGGCCATAACTCTAGAAAGAAATTGCTGAAATTCAATAGGCATCTTCGTAAGCTTAAAAGTCAATGTAGAATCTTAATACGGTTTATTGAAAAACAATATATTAATTGTAAATGTAGGCTTCTTGTAGGCCTATAGTAATAGTATTCAATCCGTCAAAATACTGTTTTTAAAAGTTTAGTCATTCAATAATTTTTTAAGGCTGATGTGACAGACACTGGGGACTAGTTGATGATGAAATAAGTCAGTACTCTATATCAATCATGTTAGATCTTTTTTCTTTTCTGTATATACTGACCTGGGAGTGACCTCTCAATCAGAAAGTCCTGCGAGAAAAACCATCTACAGTTATCAAGACTGCCTGTATTAGTCACACCTCCTCCGGTACAAAATAGCCATAGACCACAATCGCAGTGCCTTCCTCTGCATCCACAAAGTTCTGCATCATTTAGACCACGGAATCCAATCCAATTTGGTGTTGCAAAAGCAACGATTGTTGCTACTGTTGTCAAAAGTACGCATATGATAGACGTTATCACCAAACACGAGGCCATCTTGTTTAAAAAAGTTACACCCTCTTCTTAGGTCAAAATTGTTTGCCGATGACAGCTACTCACACACACAGGGAATTTTTTTGAGGCCAAGTTATAAAATCTAAAAAGAGAAGCCGCAAAAGTTTAAATATATCTCGGTTTAGTTCAAGAATATATTTAAACATAAAGAACGCAATCTGGTATTAACAACAACTAAAACACAAATCTGATATTCCCAACGACTCGAATTTATAGAATAATTTAGCAAACAAACAAGCCAGTCCGGCAGGTTGAGGTTTTATCGGCTATCGCCCAATAGTTGAACTGTGTTGTCCTAAAGTATAACCCCTAGTTTGGCTCTGATTACAAGTTGTTCTTTTTATTTAAAAAAAAAATAGCGACACTTGAGTTACCACTTGCGTATTATGTACTGAAACGTTCACCTAAATAAAACCTTCAAGTATGCAGATCTCCGATTTTTCTTCGTTAACAATCCGCCATATTTAATTCTTGGATCGCGACTGTCCAGTCTCGAACGTACTAGTCTTTCTCACAAAAGCACCCACCCAATGACGTCTACATAACGAGACCGCGCGCAGACGATAAATTCGTGGAGAAAGGCGTCTGACTTCCGTAGTAGTAGTGGTTAGTCTGACTTCCTGTGGTGGGCGAAACGTCAAAGCCCAGAGTAGTATCGGCGAAAAGCAATTTAAACAAAAGGCGTGTGAATGGTGAACTTTAGGGAGAGGGTGAAATGGGGTTTAATGTCTACATGACAGAAACTATGTCATTTCAGGACTAACATAATAATATGGTTTATTTTTATTTCAATAAATCTCTTACTCGTTGGGGGCTTAAGCAGTGGGAAGAAACCGGAGGACCTGGAGAAAACCTACGAGGTTGAACAGGCGACCCTACGACTACTACGAGTATTTTGTCACACCGAGGAATGGAAAAGCACACCGCAGTTGACAGAATGACTGACCTTACGATACAACGCGCACGCGCTAACCATTCGGTATTTTATATTTTTATTTTTTAAATCATATTTCTTTTATGTAAATGGCCTACAGATTTTCTTTAACCCCCCCCCCCCCCTAAAAAAAACTAAAAAAAAAAAAAAAACTTTTAAGTAAGGAACCAAAAAAAAAAACATATTTCTTTTATGTAAATGGCCTACAGATTTTCTCCCCCCCCCCACCTAAAAAAAAAACAAAAAAAACAACTTTTAAGTAAGGAACCAAAAAAAAAAAAATTGTGATGTTACGATTGTAGGCCTATACACATTTTTTATTATTTTGCTTTTAAACCGAAATGATTCATTAAAAACATTTCTGAAGAAATATTTTAAATTATAACCAACCAGGAGGTTAGGGGTTCGATCCTGCTTTGCGCTATACAGTTCCTCGGCATTTTCGGTATTTTTTCCTCTTATCAGTGGTGCATGGCGGGGAGCCTGGGAAGGAACTGTCTAGTCGCTCAGATGGAACAAAAAATATTCCTCATTGTGTAATACTATCTTAGTGATAACAGAGATCAGTTGAGTAAATACAGCATTTATTTACAACGGGAACAGAATATCAAACAGTTACATAGATACAACAGGAACTTAACTATCGGGAACTAGACTTCCAAGAACACATCAGAATGTACAGAACTCTGCCAAGGCAGCGGCTGAACTCGGGTGAGTCCATACACTCGTCCAAGCCTCTCTTCTCCTCCCGCTCGTCTCTGGTCGTCTCGTATCTGCGTCTCTGCTCGTCTCTAAACTTCTGCATGTATACACTCCGACAATAGATAGGACTCCTGATCAAAACCAGCTGGGGTCAACAAGTTCACAGAATCGAAATAATAGTTCGTATTTTATAAAATAGAAAATTAAGCACTTTGTCACAATTGCACCCACTCGAATCCAGGTACCGGTACTGTGAACATTGTGGTTATATAACTCGAAAGTGCATCATAAAACGTTAATGAACTTTGGCATGTTCATATCCTATTTAAAGCCAGTTTGGATGTTATTGTGTGCATAGTGAGCCTACCCTAACACGAGTTTTTCATATTTTTAGTATGATGTACGGTAATATATCTCGCAAATAAAACAATAACACATACAATTTTATGGAATACAAGTTACTTAAACATACATTATGCAAGAGCCAAATCTACCTATTTCAGGTCTTTCTTTAGGCCTGGAGTGTTATCTAAATTATTAGACATTAATTAATTTATCCAGACCATAATCAACCCTCGATGTCATCGCTAGCCTGCGATATTTACTGGATTTAGTTCCGATTTGCCGTTCAACTTTCATTCACGATTAAATCATAACGTGGATAATCGAGACTATGTTTTTTTTTATCGTACTAGTAAAGATGATCGAGGCTAGGCCGAAAAATCGATTGCTAAATTCTCGGTTCAGAGTGGATCAATTTGACTGAAATTTTCCTCAATTCCCTTTACATTATCTAGCTTTTAAATATTATAGTGAGAAAAGCCAACTCTTTATCTAATCTCCGTTCTTGTATCTTATAAATACCCTGCCACTTAAATCAAAATATAGCAAAGCAATTCTTCATGGTGATCCCAATGAATGTAACTTGTACACCAAAGTCATTTTTAGACAAGTTCACAAGTATTTTAAACTAAGCCCTTAGAACGATTATTTATTTATCTATTTATTTATTGTTTAAGCTAAATGCTTAGAATGATGATGATTTAATTATTTACTTATCTATTTATGTTAATATGTAAGCTAAACGCTTAGAATGATGATGATTTATTTATTAATGTATTTTCCGGCGTGGTTTCCCCTTGTCAGTAATGCAGGACGGAGGGCCTGACAAGGACAGCTGTCTAGTCGTTCGGATGGGACGAAAAACCGAGGTCCCGTGTACACATTGGCGTGCACGTAAAAGATCCCTTGGCAGTTGGAATTCGATATAAGAGTAGGTCGTAGCGCCGCTGCCCGGGAAAATTTCCCTCATAGCACACTGTATGGCGTATAGCCGTCTTCATTAGCCCAGGTTAGGAGCAGAACAGTAGGACGTTAAACCCCATTTCATTTCATTTATTAATGTAAGTTTGTATATATAAATTACATGGAGATGAATTTATATAAGCCTTTACTTATTTTAAAATCCATTTTATCAGTATTGTATACTCATGCACTCGAAATAAAATATTGTTTAAACCATATTTAACTAATGGCATTTTCCAATACCGAATTCATTGTATATTCCATACCCACAACCCTCACATTTTATAATCCTCTGTTAACAATATGTAAAATTTGTATGTTTCAATTATTTTCTATAATTTATTTAGCTATTCACAGTATTTTATGTTATGTTATACCTCTCATATTTATAATTATAAAAAGGTTTCATCATAGGGCCTTCTGCTTAATTTATCATTATTTATTTATATTTTATTCAACCCTTTGATATATATTCACCTTGTAAATACATATATGCAACTTATTACTTAACTTTAAAACATAACCGTAAAATTCTATATTTCTTAACTGTTATAATCAATGTAAACATTATGGTTTCGATATAATTCTATAAACCCCCAGTTTGATCTTCTTGTATGTTTATTTAGTAATCGTAGTATATACTGGTTTCAGTTATGGTACACTGTGTATGGTTTCAATATTTGTTAATCTTAGTTAATCCCCTGTTTCATCTTTTAATTGTACAATAAGCCAACTCTAATATATACGATTATGCACCTTTGTTACATCAATAGCTTGTTATAGCTAATCATGCTCACTCACCTTGCATTCCATTGGATAGTTCGCACTGATGTTTGTATTTATATTCATATCTTTCTCATTTTTTATAGTTGTCTACGATATCACCGTAGGTGGAAGTGGACGTAAAACCCCAGAAACGAACGAACGATCATTTTTTATCTATTTGTATATATGCTTGATAACGACTTGTGAAACCTTGTTGAAACGTCGCAGTGAAATAAACCACAGTAATTGTTATCCATAAAAGTGTGTTTTTGATTATGTTCCAATTACTAAATGCCATTCAAAGAATAAGGAAAATAATATTACAGCACTAACAGGAACAAGCTAAATTACTGGGGAAGCAGAAATTATGCGATTAAGTTTATACCAGATCCCTGGAGGTCGTGTGTTCGATCCCTGCAGATTTCCCGGCGTGATTCCCCCTTTTCATTGATACATGACGGTGGGCCTGACAAGGACAGCCGCCTGGTCGTTCGGATGGGACGAAAAACCGAGGTCCCGTGTATACATTGGCGTGCACGTAAAAGATCCATTTGCAGTTGGAATTTGATATAAGAGTAGGACAAAGTTCCGCGGCGGGGGCAAAATTCTATGAAATATAAATAATTTACCAGTTTGGGCGCTATTTGATGCCGAATGAGCGTAACCGCTGGCGAAAACGCGTATTATGGATAGCGGGCCTTGCTTTGAAAACAAACGCGAAAATAAAAGTTTAAATATATTTAAAACATATTTTTATTTACAATAAGAATGACACCATTGTTCGTGTCCACCAATTTTACATATTTTATATACGGTCTATGGTTAAACACATTCCAAATAGAATTTTAACATAAATGATGCAAATAAAGGACCGAAGCCAGTCATTGTTACCGAGAGCTGCATATACAAGCAGTCCAATCATCACCCACTTTGATTAATTCTTTGGCTACAATTTAAATGCAAGTTATATAGTTAATGTAATGCCGATACGTCTACAAATAAACTAAAGTCATACTATTATTGCTGTCTCCACCACGTGGATTACAAATCGCAATACAAATTGCATCTTTTTAAAAAAAAACAAACCCAACAAACTCTGCCAATTATACTATTACTGAAGTGACGATCGACATACGCCGACATTGACTGTAATAAACAAATATTTAACAATCCAGGAAAACTTCTAAAAATAACCAAGTAGACACAGTACACATTAATTATATTAATTTAGTCGCCTAGTTAAAGCAAATTTCATTGGGTGATGTTGGCATCTTTAGCCATACCATAAAATACACTAAGTTTATCTTGCAATAAATTTGTTGGTGTATCAAACTCGACAATTTCACCATCATCTAGTACCATTACACTGAAACAAGCCAACAAATAAATATTATAATTTTTATAGTCCAAACCAGATACAATAGTTTATAATCCCTAACTAAGTAAGTTAGGTCTTCTTTGGGTACATGTAATTAACAGGTATCTATGGTTGGTCTGCATTAACCAAGTATTGTTGTGTAGGCCTACATGTATATATTGTCTTGTTATATTTTCATATTTTATCATTGCTTGATAATGACTAGAGAAGCCTAGTCAAAACGTCGCTCAGTAATAAGCAGTAATTGTATTCCATAGAATTGTGACCTGTATATTCCAGTTCAATTACTAAATGCCATTGAAACAATTTGACATTAAAGCCATCGATTCTATGTTTTCTTTTTCCTTTGTTGTCACATTAAGTTATGGATGGAAGAGCTTTACATGCTGCTAGAGGAAATTTAAGGTGACGGGCGCATTTTCTCAATTAATAATGGTAAAGACAAAAAACAGACGAAGAATATGAAAGACAAGTAATATCCAGACTGCAGACCAGTCTAGTATTGTCCATGTTAAATATAATAGACAATGTAGGCAAACTTCTCAACAAAACATAAGGATTATAACACTCAAATTTAAACAAAAAGCAAGCTTCCTTATTGTACTAAACTCTCACATATTAAACTTAATCAAGCTGCTAGCTCCGTGATCTTACTACAAGAAAATCACCCCTCGTAGATATGACAAGTGGTAAATAGTAATCATAATCCACCGACGACCATGGTGGTTACGACTGTGTACAAGTAGAACAATATAAACACCAGATGAGAAGGTCGCTAAAACTTTGAGATAATGTATAACAAGGTGTTTGGGGTGTGGTTTGTTTTGTTTTAGCTACGATTGGATGCCGTTAGTTTCACATTAATGCATGTAACATTTTAAAAATATTTTTGTACTATTAGGACTAATTAAATATGCATTGTGTAAGAGCTAAATTTTCCTATTGCAGATCTTTCGTTTGGCCTCAAATGTTTGTTACATCATTAATTGGGTTGAGATTTTCAACAGATTTAAACACGATCGCAAGTTAATAATTCAATTATCAACAATGGTAGCAATGACAATCAAGACTACGCTAGTCATCAAATGACCATAACTCCGCTCAGTATATGAAGTAATTTGATTGAAATTTTCAATAATATATTCCCTTTATATTATCTACTTTTTTGCTATTATAGCGAGAACTACCAAATTTAAACATACCCGGCCCAATGTAGTGAAACAACTTTCGCTTGTCTGGAAATATTGTCAGTTAAGTAAATCAAGTGGTGATTTTAACCAACTTGAAATCGCCATTCATAACATTACTCAATGGTAGTTATCCGTTGAAAACTGTAGTCTCTACCGCGTTTACAAGGTTTTCGGCAAAGGCTACGGAAGGTCGCGTAACGCTGAACATCGAGTGGGTTCGACCTCTCAATCTTATGATGGACTACAATGTTTTATAGCAAATTTGAAACAAATCTGTTAAAACTATAGCCTTTATCATGTTCACAAGACTTCCGGCAAAGAAAGTCGCGGAACTCTGGTTATCGATAGGGTTCATCCTCACCTCACATGACCCCAATGTTTCGCACCAAATTTGAAAAAGATCGGTCCAAAACTGTTGCCCCTATCGCAACTCTGTAACGGAAAGTCACGGAACTCTGAAAATCGATAGGATTGTTCCTCTTATGACCACAATGCTTTATACCAAATTTGAAAAACTGACTGACGGACGGACCGGCGGACAGTGTAGCGATATAGCCTAATGCGCCGACACTTAAATGTGCGCGTATAAAATATACTTACCGATCATAATCCATAATAGTATTTAAACGATGGGCTATAGACAACACAGTACTATCTTTAAACTCTGATCGTATTGTTTTCTGTATTAAATCATCAGTTTTCAAATCAACAGCAGCTGTAGCTTCATCTAATATTAATACTTTTGTTTTCCTTAATAAACTTCTAGCTAGACATAATAGCTGACGCTGCCCAATACTAAATAAAAACATAAAATCTATATTGAATAAAGGCGCTAAATCTCTAACATAATAATATTATCCAAAATATTTGAAATTTAGAATTAAATATTGGCCCAATTCAATCAATATTGATGTTTTTATCTTATCGTGAAAATATGGGATCCTAATATTCAACATCTAAGACACAATTAACATTTTAAAATCTCAATAATTGTTTTTAAAAAATTGAATGTAAACCACCTTATATACACTCATTGCATTACATTACTATGTACATGTACTATTAAACCAATATTCGTCTATTTTAATGTTCTAAAGAATATAGCTATACGACCTTTAAAAATGCATTACATAAAGAGCCGGTCGTTCTTGTTGTAACAGTTCAAAATAGATATTGAAAAATTAGTTATACTGAAAATTTGTGTCAAATTGCTTTATTGTGAGCGAAGTTATGAGTGTTTAAAGTTTCGACAAGAGCTAGCATCAATAGTCTCGATTGTCGAGTACCGTGGATACGATAATATCCATTACATATCTGCACGATCCGATGGTGTATAGAGAGTTAAATATGGGTTTGCCATGTGAATAACCTACCTTTAATGACATTATGATGGCTATAAATTCCTAATCTGATATGAGTATAAAAATGTAGATCTACCTTAAATTTCCACCACCTTCATCACATTCATAATCTAAACCTGATGGTAGTGTGGATATAAAGTGTTTTAAATGGGCATGTTCCAATGCTGTCCACAGATCCTCATCACTAAATTCATTAAATGGATCTAAATTTATACGTAAAGCACCCGTAAACAAGACAGGATCCTAAAATCAAGATATTTAAAAAAAGAATTGACAAGAGCATCTATACATTATTGATGTATGCAGGCAACGCGGCGTTACCGGATCCATTTATAAAAAAAATGTCACCAGTTTTAAAATATTTTGAAGTTACAAAGTTTTAAAATAATTTCTCCAGAATCCAAATCAAGTACATCTAACCTCGTCGCTGTCACTCTCACCAAAATGGTGACATACTAAGGTTTAATATGGAAAGAAATTACCAGAACTTACTTGTGGCAATATAGTTATATTAGATCTTAAATCATGTAACCCTAATGTAGCTATATCTATGTCATCAACTTTAATTACACCACCTGTTGATTCTATAATACGAAACAACACCATAGATAGTGATGACTTGCCTGCTCCTGTACGGCCTACTATTCCCACCTGTAGACACAAAGTTACAATAAACATTTCGCCATAGTTTCTTATAGAATGAGAGAGGGAGAGAGAATTGAGGTTTAACGTCCACTCAACACAAACTAGGTCATTTCGGGACTAACATATGGTTCAATTTTAGCAGTGGGAGGACACCGGTGGACCGGTAGAAAACCCAAGAGTTTGGACAGGCGATCCCACTCCTTGTCACGTACAACCGAGGAATCGAAACGACGATGATGCGCATAACCCTTGAATAAAACTATCTGTGAAATGCACAATCATATCACGAGGTTGGACAGGCGACCCTACTCCTTGTCACGAACAAGTGGGGAATCGAAACCAAGCCACTTCAATCAATGACAAACCTTATGATGCAACGCGCGCGCGTTAACTATTCGACAACTCAACCACCCTCTTATAGAATAGAAGAAAGCCCAGGCTTAGAGAGTGCATATTATAATCTGAATTCAGTTAGTTTGGCCACAACTGCCAATCTGATTAAAACACAGATCCTATTTCGTTTCGCTTTTTATAGTTCAAAAATTTGCTTAACTTGTCTTTACTACACTAGGATCTGGAACAGTTGTTATCATTGACGTGTTTTGGATGATGTGAGGGTTTAGGCAATGGAACGGTCTGTTACAGCGATCTTTTGGCGTGTGGTTCCGGAACTGTGGGTAATCCACTAGAAACATCAATGCTGATTGGTTAATCAAATGTCTGACGCCATAGGGTCAAAAGCCGCTCGTATGACGTCTGACGCGACCTATCACTACAACCGGTCATATCTTCATGTAGTGCAGGCCATCGAAAGTATAAAACAAACGAAACGAAATATAGATCTGTATTTTAACCAGAATATAATTCAGAATAGGAAGTCTTGATGACCGAGACTAATCGCATTCCTTGAAAACTGTAGACAGTACACACCGAATTGTCAATGGACAACTTGGCACAGGTGACGGTACCATAATGACCATCAATGTAAAACTGACTATAAATTATACTTTCAAGAGCATATCCTGAGTACCAAGGCTCAGCGTTTGAGAACATTAACTTCTTTAGGATTCCCCGAACCTTTATATTCTCGCAGACTCCTTAGCATTCATGAGAACACTATAAGCGCATGGTTGTTAGAGGTATATGTCCCAAAAAATAAAATTGTACAATTTGCTCGTTGAAACTTTACACAACTTATTAAATGCCAAAGGTATTGAATGTTTCCGAGTTTAAAGATGGGTTCCCAGAAAAGTATTTATCGGGTGGTTATTTCCAATAAAAGTATGGTAATTTTGGTATATATGGAAAGTAGAGATATCCAATCTTACTAGAAAAATACTGGATTCCCTGAATAACACTCATGGAGCGTATACAGGACAAAAATGTAAGGGTTCCCCTAATCAACAGCATCTGTGATGTCAAAGGTCACACGCGAACATTGAGCGCTTGATGTTAGACGTACAACACTTTCTGAGATAAAAATGACGGAAAAAGACGCGGGTAGTGGATAATCCGAGAATTTAATTAGGATTCAATATTTGTAATAAATAGTAAGCGATTAAAGACAACATCGTCTTATGTATGCAACGAATTCTCCTCTGACTCCCAAGAGAGGTAAGTCACGTGACGTAAACATGACATGGTTTGATCGAATTTTTATAGCAGGACAATCCTTCGCAATAACAATGTTTGAGAAGGATTTCAAGCAAAGTTATGACAAATTAATTAGTTTGAATATGTTTTTAGTCCATATATACCATTAAATCACCCAGTTTGTACGCGGGAACCCATATTTAAATTAGCATGCAGACAGACAAATATTCACATAGAATAATGGGGGATGCTAATTGTAGGCCGACTGGAGAGGTTCGGGAATTTCCGGAGTATATAAATGTGTATTTTGGGGAATACTACCCCAATTTCTTAAACCTAACCCTTTTTAGAAGACTGCACATGGATCCAATTTACCTTTTACACCACTTAAAAGGGTTAGGGTTGGGGTAAGGGTTTGTATTCCCCAAAATACTCATCAATATAAAGCGACCGACAATTAGCATCTCCCTAGAATAATACCTTTTCACCACCTCTCACACTACAGGAAATACCCTTCAATACTAGCGGTAAGTCAGAACGATATCTTGTTTGTAAGTTATCAAGTTGGATTTCGCCAGAATCTGGCCATTCATCTGGAGGTTTACTTTCTTTTATAAACCAATCCGCCTAAAATATATGAGTATTAAATGATTATTGGTAATTGTTATGGAAAAAGTATTAATATGACGTCAAGTTACTGGCAGACTATCATCGCCATTCAAGAGAAAACTACCGTCATGATAGGCCGCATTATTTCTGTTGCGTCTTTTTTTTTTGAAAATCATATTTTTTTCACTTTGAGGGAAGTCTGTATCATTAATAGGCCCGTGACTATACAGCGCAGTGGACGCTTGATTTAATATATTTGTTTATTTCTTGCAATGTCTATGTAGTTTGTCTTGTCCGCGGGGTTGTCTTGTCGTGTTTGTTTTGTGTGTAGTGTGGTCCTCCTGTACTTACTACCAGAGACAAGTTGCACCTAATTCCAATTAACCCTCTAGACCCCCTGGATAGAAAGCCACATACTAAATTCCATTACTCATTTGAAGTATCTGACTAAGATGTGGAGAGAATAATGTTTGTTTCAATCTGTCAAAGATTTAAAGTCACATACCCGTACTTATAATTGCCGAAGATGTAATGTATATAAACGCAGGCACGTACCAACTTTTATTAAAAATGTAGACCGAAGTGGACGAATCAATGAAAAGACAGATATGGAGACAACAATGTGTGTTTTATTATACAGAAGTTTGGGCTATGCCAGTATATAATTACTCACTTCTTGTGGTATATCTGTATATTCTAATATTCTCTCTACGGACACAATATTCACCTCTAACTGGGTTGATACTTGTACAAATATATTTAACGATTGTGTTACCTTCAATATAATATATAAAACATAGTAATTTGGTACCTACAAGGTACATCAAGAACATATGCATTTACTACTGTCTAAATTTAAAACTAAATTAAAGAAACCAGAACAATTCTGGATTTTTATATGGATTTCATTCTTCTGGTAGGTTACTACTATGAAATGATTAAAATTATTGCAATAAGAATGTATTACATTACCTGTATGGCATAAATGATTGAAAGACCAACGGCACTCCCTGTCATATGTGGCATCAATACGGCTAATAAAGATGCTATTGAAACTGTGATATTTCCCAATATCTCTAATCTCATTCTACACCATCTACAATACAATACAACACAACACAATTATCGTAACATATTACGGTAGTCTATAATATATATATTTTAATACAACAAATGGAATCTCCCAAAACAAACAGGAAAACATTTTCTGATAATAAGACATTCAAGGTGAAGAACAATGTACACAATAAATAGTTTTTTGGAGTTTTGTGTTTGTTCAAGTCTACTTACCTACTGATGGCTATAGCGGCAAAATGAAAGACATTATTTTTATTCATCCTTTTTTGTGCATCATCACGGAATCTTTCTACATCTGAATACGCTCGTATCGAACTAGCCCCTGTGATAGTTTCTGCGAAATGGGAGTATATAGGCGATCGAGCAATCGACTCATTACGCCTCAGTTGACGTGATGTTGGCACGTAAAATTTCTAAAAAGATAAAAATCAGTTTTATTAAAGCTTTGCCCGAAACATACAAAATGATTTTTTAAAAACCCAGCGTATTAAAAATAAGGGGGCGGGGCGAATGGTTTAACACGTGCGCTTTAGATCATATGGACTAAGTATCGCTTATCCATGTATAGATTAAATTATTAAATGGCGATCATAATTCAAATCATTTAAATTTCGGCCATCCGATGGTCTAGAGCGTTGATTATGGGCTTGTAATTAGAATAAGGTGTATTCCCACGAAGGCGCAGTTACAGAGCGTGACCAAAATTAATCCTTCCCGCGAAGGCGCAGATATCGACTTGTCGGCTTTCGTTTTAAGAGAGGCATGTTGCTATTAGGACCCAATTAACGGTGTTAAAGATTTTATGAATTTATGTTCACCCTGAACCAACAACACTCTGGAAGTATGGCATGCAAGAAGCTAGTTGGAAAATCCCATCCGAATGTTTTTGAAATGATCACATTTTTACAACAAGAACAAAATATTAACCACCAAGGAAGAGATATAAATATGCTCAAATCCAAAGCCAGTTCCAGGAATTAAAAGACACGAGGAAGAGGAATTGACTTTAGTCGAGTATTTAGTCAGGGTGTCTTATTTGGCGAAATTAAATTAATTTTTGTTATAGTGTAGTTATGTTTACATTTCTTATACCAAAAATGATGCTAAAATGTTGGTTAATTAGTTACATTGGGGATTATGAAAGTGTAAATTCTTATCATAACAATCTATAATACCATTGTTACGATTTTAATCCATTTTAATCCCTAGGAGCTGGATTCCCACGAAGTCGTCGAAAACGACCTCGTTTAATCCGTTACGCACTATAACTGCCCCTTTTGGGAATAAACCTAGAATAAATGTCCAGATAATAGTTGATACTACATTTGAAGACAAAATAAAGATCTACAATAGACAGATTTAGCTCTTACGCAACACTTTTTAGTATTAATTAAACTGGCCGATATCAGGGTCAGTCATCAAAGATGGGCGCAAAAACAAGCCTAAGCATTAAATAAATTATGTTCACATTTCTCATTCTCTTTTTGATTTTCATTAAAATAATTTAAAGCAAACAAAATGAAAACATGACAAGTATCAAGTATATCAAGTGGTAAGGTATACATTACCTGGATAAAATAGTAGATGGTGAATATAGGAATCACAGCAGCTATAAATACAGGGGCACTATACGATATCACAACAACTATACCAATAACAACAAATAAGGTATTCAAAAACTGGCGAGTAAAATAGTTTAAACCCGTATCTAATATATTAACATCTCTTGTAAACCTGTTCATGATTCGTCCAGATGGTGTTGTGTCAAAGAAACTCATTGGTTGATGTAGAATATTATTTAAAAGGCAAGAAAACATTATTTTTGCAGCACGAACCATACTGGTATATAGTGTTATCATGTACATTAACACTAAAACAGCTGAAAAAACAAAATCCAAACATTATTGTAAGAATTGAAATAATAATTTACAGGATGGAAGTGATCCAAATTTGAGGTTTGCCAACTTCTATATTTCGAGATTTCAAGTGCACTATTCCTAATAAATATGGGACGTGTGGTGGGGTGCAGATGTTTACACTAAGTGTACAATATTTGGTTAAAGGAGGGCCGGTGGTCCTCCGAGAAAATATTGAAAAATCTTGGTGTCAATGGTGATTTGTGGCGCATACCTGGACCCGAATATAACATTCGATTTCCTCTGCTACATTACCCCAACCAACAAATACCTCAAATTGACAGTTTCATACAAAAAGGCTAATAAGTAACTTTTTATACTGTACCTTGAGATATGGCGATCCCTAGGGCCCCAACCTTGACCAACCACAAAAGTGGTCCAAACAATGTTTACATATAGTTTACATTTGTTAGGTATTAATTAGTACAGTTTACCTTGTGAAAGAGAAAGAAATGCATAAATTCCCAGGTAGTAGGTAGTTGTTGATGACGGTACATTTACTTCATATTTGTTAGTCAGTCCATCTTGTGTTATATTCATGAGTCCATCTTGTGTTATATTTGTGAGGCCATATTGTGTTATATTTGTAAGGCCATCTTGTGTTATATTTGTAAGGCCATCTTGTGTTATATTTAGATTAGATGTATCATCAATCCACACACTTAACCAGATATTACTACAGACAGCAGCAACTTGATACAGTAGAAACATCATCATAATAAATCCAGTAACAATACATCCCATATGACTAACATACCTTCGTAAAACACTAAAACTAATCTAAAAAACAACATACGAGTATAATAGCTTACAACTACGTCAATAGCATATTAGATAAAAAAAATCGATGGTTATGATGGTTATAAAATTAGATACTTCATGTCGATTAGAAGCACAAATAACAAAGAAACAGTGGCCTTATTTGATATTTTTTAAAAGGTTTGAAATTCAACATGACCCAATACCCAGATCTTACACTTTAAGACGACGCAATAAAATGACGTATTTGGTGACCAAAATGGATATTTATGGTCCGTTACCCAATGGCGGTCAAATTTACTCACCTTTCCCTTTTCTATCCATTCTTCTTCAATTAAGTTTGTCGTAACATCAATGACATTACCGTCTTCTCCATCTTGTGATAAAACTTCTAGATCATCTATATTACCTATACTGTAATAATATTATACTATTTTATAATGCATTACCAATACAAGTATATAATACTTGTAATATTTATTACCTAATCTTTACTAGTATATAATAATATTATACGATATCATATTTATTACCTAATCTATACTAGTATATAATAATCTTATACTATACTATATTATATCCATTATAATATTATACTATTATACCATTTTATACTTTATCATATTTATTAGTTACTAGCAGGATACCCGGCTTCGCTCGGGGGGTCATAACTCCGAAACCGGAAGTGGTAGACTAACGCCACCTGGCCTATGTTACTCCCCGGTCCGAGCTACCCCTATACCTCAAATTTCAGACTCGGGGCAGACCTCGTGTAGCTGCCAACCCCGAACAGACCGGATTCGCTCGGGGGTCATAACTCCGAAACCGGAAGTGGTAGACTAACGCCACCTGGCCTATGTTACTCCCCGGTCCGAGCTACCCCTATACCCCAAATTTCAGACTCGGGGCGGCAGACCTAGTGTAGCCGCCAACCCCGAAAAGATCCGGCTTCGCTTGGGGGTCATAACTCCGAAACCGGAAGTGGTAGACTAACGCCACCTGGCCTATGTTACGTCCCGGTCCGAGCTACCCCTATACCCCAAATTTCAGACTCGGGGCAGACCTAGTGTAGCCGCCAACCCTGAAAAGATCCGGCTTCGCTTGGGGGTCATAACTCCAAAACCGGAAGTGGTAGACTAACGCCACCTGGCCTATGTTACTGCCCGGTCCGAGCTACCCCTACACCCTAAATTTCAGACTCGGGGCAGATGTAGCCGCCAACCTCGAACAGGCAGACTTTGCTCGGGGGTCATAACTCCGAAACCGGAAGTGGTAGACTAACGCCACCTGGCCTATGTTACTCCCCGGTCCGAGCTACCCCTATACCCCAAATTTCAGACTCGGGGCAGACCTAGTGTAGCCGCCAACCCCGAACAGACCGGCTTTGCTCGGGGGTCATAACTCCGAAACCGGAAGTGGTAGACTAACGCCACCTGACCTATGTTACTCCCCGGTCCGAGCTACCCCTATACCCCAAATTTCAGATACGGGGCAGACCTAGTTTAGCCGCCAACCCCGAACAGACAGACAGACAGACAGACAGACAAACGACAGTCACAAATATATATATAGATACTAGTATATGATAATATTATACCTATGCCAGTTTATAATAATACTATACTATATAATATTTATTACTTATACTAGTATAATATTATACTATATCATATGTATTACATATAATATATAATAATATGATATAGTATACTTATATACTGGTATAAGCAATAAATATGATATGTTATAATAGTGTAGGTAATAAATATGATATTATAGTATATAATAGTATAGGTAATAAATATGATATAGTTTAATATTATTATATATAAGGTCATTTCGGAAGAAAACCCACGAGGTTACACAGGCGACCTTACTCCTTGCCACGTACAACCGGGGAATCGAACCAAGCCAGTTGACTCAATGACAGAACTTACGTGCTAACCATTCGGCCATGCACACCCCCTCCCCCTTATTGCATATAATATATAATAATATTATACTATATCCTGTTTATTACAATATTATACTATATTATATTATATTATATTATGTTCGTGACAACAGTAGGGTCGCCTGTTCAACCTCGTGGGTTTTCTACGGGTCCTCAGGTTTACTCCCACAGATAAAGACCCCTTAGCGAATTATTGAAATAAAATTGAACCACATGTTAGATACCAAAATTATCTAGTTTTTGTCGACTATATTTACCTGTGAGATCTAATGACCGAATCACCATCTTCACTAAATGATGCAACATCTGATATGACGGAATCTAAGCGTTCTATATTTAATCTAGATCTACTGACTCCATCTGATAAATATTTGAAAAATATATATTTAAAACTATTTATTACTGACTATAGATATCTTCATACGAATTCAAATTGCAAAACAGATATAATTTTTAATCAGTATCACGAAACCCACAAACTAACTGGTAGTCAAACAAAAAACCGCAAAGACAACTGTCAAGTTTAAAGTGCTACATCAAAAATGTTTCACTAAATTCTTCAAAAACTCTTCACTCTCGGACTACTTACCAGACAGGCTTTCTTCTTTTTCATTCTGATGCGACATGTACATTTTTAGAAATTGAGCAAACGATTCGTCATTGCCTAAAAGGTCGTCATAATTCCCAACCTCTGTTATAGTTCCTTTGTCCATAACTATAATTCTATCCACCATGGGTAACCAATGTATACCATGTGTAACAAGAATCCTGGTCTAGAAAACAAGTTCTAAATAATATATCAATAATATTGCTTTGTTAAAAATATATCTCTATCTAACTGAATGTCAACTACATAATACGCCCCAGAAATAGAAAACAGACGGTATTCTACTTTCATGAATTAGCATTCTGATTAAGACACAGATCCTATTTCGTTTCGTTTTTATAGTTCAAAATTTCGTTTAACTTGTCTTTATTATACTAGGATCGTTCGTCCATTCCTGGGGTTTTTAGTCCACTTCCACCTAGGGTGATATCGCAGATAAGTGTTTCCTAAGAAACTTGCTAGAAGAAGCCACAAAAATGGGCTTGGTCCAGCTTATTCGTTTCGTTTTTATAGTTCAAAATTTCGTTTTACTTGTCTTTATTATACTAGGATCGTTCGTTCATTCCTGGGGTTTTTAGTCCACTTCCACCTAGGGTGATATCGCAGTTAAGTGTTTCCTAAGAAACTTGCTAGAGGAAGCCACAAAAATAGGCTTGGTCCAGCTTATTTGTGTAAGACACAAGGTGAAATTCATCCAAAGAAAAGGCTCCGAATGTTACTTAACTAGGAACTGGAAGAGTTGTTATATACCCCGCGTTCTGGTTGATGTGCGTGATTAGCCAATGAAACGGTCTGTTGCGGCGAGTTCTTGGCGTGTGGTTCACGGAATTGTGAGTATCCCACTAGAAACACCAACGCTGATTGGTTAAACAAATGTCTTACGTCTGGGGTCAAAAGTCGCTCGCATGACCCCTGACGCGACCTCCCACTAAAACCGGCCAGATCGTTGTGTAGTAGAGGCCATCGAAAGTATAAAAAAACGAAACGATATACAGATCTGTATTTTAATCGGATTCATGAATTAGCCAATTGGGATTTACCTTATTTTTCAAAGAGCCTTGTTTGCCAATAACATTCCTGAAGATATGTTTACCAACATGTGCATCAACCGCGCTCAATGGATCATCCATCAAATAAATATCTTTATTACTACAAACAGCTCGTGCTAAGCTAACTCTTTGTTTCTGGCCACCACTCAGGTTTATACCCTGGTAAATTAAAACATATATTCAAATATCAACAACAAAGGGGAATAATAAGACAATATGCAACCATGATAAGATTTGTGCATCTCACAGATAGAGTTATAAGTATCATTAAAAGATTAGATTATTATTATCAATTTATTATATGATAGAAAAAAAGATTATGCACTAGGAAATTAAAATTAAAGCATTAGAAAACTAATACACAATACCCTTGGAAATAATATTTTGAAGTCGTTTAAACGAGCTAATTAAGTTGTTTAATCGACACGTGGGCACATTATAACGACGTTTAACACGTATAAACAACATACATAATCATGGCGTTTAGACGACTTAAAGATGCGTCATGTAAGATTTAGATGAAGAACTGGCAGTTCTCAGTTTAAAATAGATAATGAAAACGGAATATATTAAAAATTTCAGTCAAATTACTCCATTCTAAACGAAGTTATGACTGTTAGAAGAATAGCGTAGTCTTGATTTTCATTACTAGTCTCCATTATCTATTTTTAAGTTAAATTATGACATGGCGATCGTGTTTCAATCCGTTTAAAATCACAACCACCCGATGTTCTAGAAAGCTGATTATAAGCTTGTCATGTGAATAAATGTATATGATTTACAGTGTAGCTAAAATTATTAAAATTGTTGATAAAAATATACAATATAGTTGTGAATATAATTGGATAATATAAGCTAATATTTATTGCATGTATATTGTTTTAATAATGATGTATTATTAGCATGTATTTGTAGGGAGGAGAGCTTTGTAAGTGAATTCACTCTCTTTGATATCTTATGATCAATAAAATATGTTGAAATAAAAGTCATAAAAGAGCAAAACATGGATTGTTCCAGTTTTCATCAGCTTTTTCTGCCGTTGAGCAATGGTAAAGAAGTACGCAGTATAAAATAATTCAACATAGAAATAATGTCATTAAAATATTGAAGTATATTTTCGCTCTTGTCATATTGAAGCAAATTGAAGTATACTTTCGCTCTTGTCATTCAAAACATTACAAATAATTTGGGAAAATCGATGTTTTAGTTTAAAAAAGAACATAAAGAAGTATTTAACAAAATAATATAATGTTATAACTATACCCTTTCTCCTATTTCTGTCGAATCACCACCGGGTAAAACAGCCAAATCTGTTTCTAAAGCACAATCTTTTAATACTTGGTTATAGTTGTCAGTAACATCTTGTCCAAATAATATATTGTTTTTTAGAGTCAGATTTTGAATCCAGGCCTGTTGAGGAACATAGGCTAAAGTACCCTGGCAAATAAAAAATAAAACTCTTGAAGTAATATTGGGAGCTAGGTAGCTGGCCCTTAATTCTATTTTGCTGAAATCCCGCGTATTCAAAACAAATTTAAGGATACCTTAAATCGTTTCAAGCAGTTTTACTACACACGTTCTAAAATACGAATTTAACAAAAGAAACATGCTTCCAATCAATCAACCAGATACAAAACACAACACAATTTTCGTGGAAAACAGATGTTCAAGAGCAGCAATAAAAAATAAAAATAGCGCCATCTTAATGTTTTTAAAACAAGTCCACTAATTTCTTTAAAACCATTGTGCTAGGTTCCCACTATCACGATTCGTGCTACGGCTGAAATCGTGGTTTTAATCATGGAGTAATCGTGGTGGTCCTTAATTATATTAAGGTCAGTCGTAGCAGTCGTGTTGATCGTATCGAGAAGTATCCAAACGCATCTCCACGTACCAGATCGCAGACTCAAGGGACAACCATATCGTAACGTATCGCACAGCAGCGGGAACCTATAAATTATAAATTATAATATTCTGAATAACCTGAGGTAAACCAGGGGTTAACTGCATCTACGTACAACATGGGGTTCACTGTAGCTTCTATACAGCTAACAGATAGTAAAGCTGTGTTAATGGTAATGGTAGGGTTGTTAATTCAAATATCACACATCCGCAGGTTATCGTCACAATTAAATTGTTGGTAAACAAACACGAATAAGGCTTGATCTCGCCTTAACTACGTACAACACGGGGTTCACTGTAGCTACTATACAGCTAACGGATAGTAAAGCTGTGTTAATGGTAATGGTAGGGTTGTTAATTCAAATATCACACATCCGCAGGTTATCGTCACAATTAAATTGTTGTTAAACAAACATGAATACCTTAATGTTAACAGCTCCTTTTAATTTATCCATCTCGCCTAATAATGCTGATAGTAATGACGATTTACCAGCCCCTACTGGACCAACTACTGCTACTAATTCTCCTTCTTTTATCTCCATATTAATACTAAAATACAAACCATTCGTGTATGCAAATGAGTTTTATCACAGTCATCAAAATTTGGAAATTTTATCAATCTTATTTGAAGAAAATGACCGATGTAAATCTATAGGAAAATTAAAAAGTATTTTTTTACTAACCGGCATTGACTAACTGACATCGATATCTACGATCAGGTGAGACTGTCTGTACTCGAGAAATACAGTCATGTTGGTCACACCATAACCAATCAGATTGCAATCGACCATCTAAACATGCAACTAAATATGTACCAATAACATTGTTGTAATGAAAGTTTCTTTCAAGTTTGAAAAAATCAGTCCTATTTTAGTTGAAGTGTACATATAAATAAAGTTATTCCGTTTCAAAGAATTGACCTATAAAATTTCAGCAGTCTAATCAATTAATGTTCAAACCTATGCGAGTAACTTTGATAATAAAGGCATATGCCAAGCCGGATCAAAAGTCGAGTTTTTACGAGTGTCGTGGATGAACGAACAAACGGACAGACCCCCAGTTCAGTAACACAATAACCTGATTTGTGTAAAAAAACGGAGAAGAATTTAACCATTTATAGAAAAAAATACCTTTTTAGTGTAGGTGGCAGACTTGCGTCCCAGCTAAAAGTCCCGTCTTGTATCTCTATTGCATTTCCTAAAATAAAATCAAAATCAAAAATACTCATGGCTGTACAGATGTACAACTAACATCCCAGAGCTTATTCTATCCAAAACCCAACCAAAAATAACTACCAAATTGGGTTGAAAATGTAAATGCTAACCGAACACAGAATTGTGTTGCGTTATATAGAGAAATATCAAGTCGATAACGTAAAAAAAGAACCAGGCTTTGTCGTTTTCTTGTTACTTTAATGACAAGTGTTGATATTTTATGATATTAAAAAAAACGAGTAGAAGAATTCTTTTTATCACCCTACCCTTTCCATCCTTTTTAATTGACCAATCAAATTCATGTAAAGCGATCAGTAGAATGTTATCACACAAACGATATCTACTGTAAAATGTTTTATTGTGTGGTAGATAGTCTGCATATATACCTACCTGGTTTCTCACAAATACATAGCAATAATCATATCATAGTCTGCATACTTACCTGGTTTCGTAAAATGGGACACATTATCTGCAGCTAAATCTCCACCTGATAAATATCTACCCAGTCTTACAAGAGAAACCTGTGCCTGTAATAATAAGAAAAATGCGACAAGTGTTAAAACATGAAGAAATATGGCCCATTTTTCCTGCCTGAAAGTTTCAGCTAAAAAAACCTCATTAACAGCTTTTTAAATTCATAATTAAAACTATTCAATGCCTTCCGTATCTAAACACAAATTTAGTCCACAGAGAGAACACTGATCGACCGATCACACAAAACTGGTAGTTTGCATTTCGTGTAAAGAAGTAATACAAAATGTGAGATAACTGAAAGGAATTAGGGTGTCATTATTTATCCTTTAGTTGATCTCCCGGTAAAACGACTAGCCACTTACTTGAATGAGTGATGACAGACACTGAGGAAGCTGATGCATTGGATTTTTCAAAATATTAAATAAATTGAGTGCAACAAAGGCTGTCTGTGCATCAAGCTGTTTATTTTCTGACATCATAATATACATAGTAAAACTAGCTAAAGCCACCTATAAAACCAAATAAAATCATCTTCTTGTACATACTACTTTTAAAAAGATAATTATACTACAATTTTATGACCTCGATAGCACAAGATATGTGTTTAGGTGCAGCGGTCACAGGCTGAATTAGTCGGGGAATCGAAACTTATTTGATCAATTTTATATCCAATTCAGACCTAAGTATTCAAAAACAATTTCGTTTTTGGTCTTTAATGTAGCTATAGAGACAATTAACAGGTTTCACTTCTGCTTTGTATGTAGATCAAACTAAAATGTAAGGAAATTTGGGTTCCACCAAATTATTATTTTCTAAAACGTAGACGAATAGTTCATAATACAATGATATAAGATTGGGTAACATAATATAAATCAATCATTAAAATATATAACTGTTCTACTAAAAGCACAGACGAATGATACATGTTATATTGATATCACAATAGCATCATGTCCTAGAATAGAATAGAGTGTAACGTCTCGTCGAGGTCATTTTCATGACTAGCAAACCTAATACTTTTGTGCAATGCGACAGGGAATTTCAGCTTTATCTTCCAACTGTCAAAACATATTTTACTGCGCACTACCAACGGGATATAACAACAATGGGAATAATATCAATTCTACCGAAATATAAACAGTTCTGTCTACATAATTACAAAAACCACATGATTTTGACGTGTATTCATCAAACCAGATATCTGAATGGTGTATTCATACTAACCAATGCTGGAGCACTAATCATACAAAAGGCACTCGACGCATGTAATATGGCTTCTTTTTTGAGTATTTTGAGTTCTTTTTGTCGTATATCCAGTATCTTCTTTTCAAACGAGGTTTCCCAAGCATATAACTTTAACACCTGTAAAGAAACCAGTACACAATAATTTAAATGAACGTGTTGGGGTGGTGCTCACTAATATGTCTCGATATCAGCTTATTCGAAAAGAAAACTTTAATGCTGACCAAATTTTATGAAGGAAATGATCCTTTCGAATATATGAATATATTTAAAATTTTTATATGTGATTTGACAGCTTATGACAACAATGATTCACATCGAAACAATTCTGTTAAAAACTGTAGCCACTATCATCGTCACAAGTTTCTCGAGATAGGGGGATAACTCCAGAATGTACGGTCGCGAAATATTGAATATTGATAAGATTCCTCCGATGACCCCAATGCTTCACGCGGAATTTGAAAAAAAACCCAAACAATCTGTTAAAAACTATAGCCTCTATCGCGTTCACAACGTTTTCCGCAAAGGGTGGATAACTCCAGAACGGATAAAAAAACAAAAAAACCTGTCCAACACCGTTCACCAGATTTTCGACAAAGGGGGATAACTCCGACGCGGGAAATCGCATAACGCTCAATATCAATATGGTTCATCCTCTTATGACCCCAATGATTCACAGTCCCGCTGACAGCCCCACATGCCTCTGTGGTCATATATTTGAAGATCCCAATCACTACCTCCTGCGGTGCTCTGTACATTCAAATGCACGGAAGAAAACCCTAGATAAATTACAATATGATTTTAAAAACACAAACTGCCTAGAAGTTTAAAAACAAAATGCTTCACACCAAAATCCAAAAAAAAAAAGATCCGTTAAAAACTGTAGCCTCTATCGCGATCGTAATGGTTTTCTGCAAAGGCTCTAAAACGGAAAGTTGCTAAATAATCTGTTAAAAACTGTAGGCTCTATCGCGATCGTAATGGTTTTCTGCGAAGGCTCTAAAACGGACAAAGGTTTACACCAACTTGGAAAAAGATCCCTTCAAATCTGTAGGCTAAAACGCGTTGACGGATGGACCGACGGACAGGATGACAACTATATACGCCCAAACTATATAGCCTCTATTGGGTTAAAAAGGTTTTCGATATGGTTGATCTTCTCTTGATCCCAATGCCCTTCAACAAATTGTAATATACCGTATAGGCCTATCACGTTGACTAGCCAATTATTGATGGGCGGACTATATATGGTTAAACTACGTGTGACTGTATTCAAATTCTTTTGACTACCAGAATTCATTTAAATCAGCCAAACTATCAAAACTTAGTTTAATTTTGTCAAATGGAAACCGCTATTATAATAAACAATACTATGAAAAATTTCTTTTTGTGACAGCTAATCATAGATAAAAGTGTAACTTTACCTTTATTCCATTTAGAACTTCGTTAATGATTTTTAGTCGATTGTCCTGAACAGTCAGTAATTGGGTATGAATCCGTTTAACTATGGTTGATATTATAAGATTAATTGGTATAATGGCGATGATAACACACAGACCCGCTACAAAACTGATGCCAATTGTGTGGTAGAGGAAATGAAGCGACAGTCCAACCATTAAGGGAGCTGACCATACCATATATAGTGTGATAACAACGTCTGTTACCTTTTGACAATCTACAGACATCAAGTTAACAATGGCACCAACTGTATATTGTTTTCTACAGTTATTGTTCATGGTTAAAGACTGAAAATGATCAAAATAATCAGATTAGACTTTAAAACATCGGCATAGACCATAGTGGTTGCCCAATTCAATACTATATTGAATCCAGGTCCAATAAATCACTTCCATGAAGAACTATTACTACTGTACATGCCCGTTGTGGAGGTTACTTTTGCACTAGATTATATAATTTGTAAATGAAGTTGGATTCGACGACCAAGTACTGCAGTGTGTTATTTTTAATTAGAGTAAGCAATTAACAATGGCAATTCCAGGTTCCCACTGCGGTGCGTTGCGTTGCGTTGCGATAGCGTTGTTCCTAGTGAGTCCACGATCTGCACGTGCAGATACGTTCGATACGATGGCTACGACTGACCACAATATTATGATAAGACCTGATAGGATCACCACGATTACTCCACGATTAAAACCACGATTTCAGTCGCAGCATGAATCGTCATTGTGGGAACCTAGCATAAGGATAAAACATGAATTATTTTCGACACACAACATTAACAAATTTCACCGATTGGCATTAGCTCGGTCTTGGGGACGCAATAATATTATAAGATATGGTACAATATAATAATGTTTTACAATGTTACATCTTCCATTACAAAAAATAGATGGACCATCTTTTTTATTAGTCTACACAAATCCCACCCCCTAAAAACAAGAAAAGAAGAAAAAAACTAACAATAATAAAGCGTTAGAAGACAAGCCACGGTGTTTACAGGATATCCATAGATACATCTGGGTTAACGTACGCAAATCAAGCGCCAAATGATATTTTCCTAATTTCAAATTTTTAGTTTTAAATAATTTTCATAATAATGGCTACCTTCTAGACACGATTGTCCACGCACTACTTCAGGTGTCTCTTAGACAACAGAGCCCCCAATCTATGAAAATAGTAACGTCCTTTGGGTATTTCACCAAGAACTAGCAAATCAGTTTTATTCAACATAATTACCTTTCTATAAACAGCTGCCACTAGAGCTGTTTTTATATTCATAGCTAGGTTTTGCATAAGGAAGAAAGTTTGGTTAAATATTGCTGATTGAGTAAAGGACACCATGGAAAATCCGGCTACTAAAACAAACCCTTTCCATTTAGCTTCTTTATCCCGATGCTCGATATAATTAATCATCGTTCTGGAAGCAAATAATCAATTAAATTTGTCAAAATGTGTCTCCTGATTATAAAGATTATTATGTTATAGTTCGTATGTTTGAGTGGTGACTGGATACGCGCAAGACCGCTTTAAGGAAAGAGTCAGTTATCTGGTAATAATATGTGTATGACGGTAGCGTTGTGTACTATAATTATTAAACTTACCTAAGTAAAAAGGGGTTTATAAAATTCATTAATTCTGAACACCCTCTTAACAGATTACCCCTAGCTAAAATAGTCCAGTATGTTTTAACTAATACTTTAAGTAATGCTATAGTAGGTCTGGCTATTGTTCTTTGAGGTAGTTCTCCTGGTTGTAATAATGGTATATCTCCTCCATTCTTCACCTCTCCATTTCCATCATATCTATTATTTCCATAAACCATCTTAATGGTTTCTTTACTTATCCTAAAGAAAAAAAATAGTTTCATTATAGTAAAGATAATATACGCCCACACAGCATTTTGTCTTGATAAAAAGATAACCATAGACCGCAGCGTATCCGAAAGGAAAACTAGGTTGTTCACCTAATTTGATATGGGTCGGTAGGCTCTAACAAGGTTTTCAGCAAGAGGGATGAGGGTGGGACGGAGTACTTTGGAGTGGTAATTCGCGCGGTACGCTGAATATAGATAGGGTTCGTCTTCTCATGAGCCCAATCATATACACCAAATTTGAAAAAGCTTTGCCATGGCCGTATAAAAATTACAGAGATCAGGGACAGCCACGTCTGAAATCCGACATGGTCCACATTATCATCAGTATTAAATATTTGCAAGAAAGGTAATAATCTGCTACATCCTGTATGTTTAGAGTAATATAATATATATAACATTGTTACGTGACAAATCAGAATAAAAAATAGAGAAATTACTTGTATCTTTCTTTAGAAAGTTTTCTATCCCATTCAGTAAGAAACGTTGGTGATACTTGTTCACTTTTATATTTATCGGGTACATCAAACACATCTTCTTCTGTTATAACTTTCTTATAACCAGTTAAAACTAAACTATAACAAAATATAGAAGATGTGTGGCTTATAGATTATAAAACTAATGAAACACGGTAACTGTTCCTCTTAAAAGCGAGTCAAAAGGTACACAGTGAATACAGTAAACTATAAGCTAGGTGGACTAACCTGTTGGTCCAATAGAAAAAGATTTTCGATGGAAAAGAAGCATACTGGAAAGGACAGAATTCCTGCAATTAGACAAAAATAGGTTATACACTTAAGTTGTAAAATGTTAACTTTAACAGAAGTTATAAAGTAATGACTTTAACTCAGGTTGTAAAATGATAATGTTAACTTAACTTATAATAAAGTTATATTTAAATATTGGGGACATAATAAGCACGGATACATGCTACACAGTCACGGATCAATTTTCTTATAGGCTATTGAATAAAAAGGCACTGACATGCGTTCTGCAGAAAGTTTTCGGACACGACAAGGTGAACAATGACGCAGGGAAACATACCCAACCCAAGGAATGTAGACTATGATAAACAACCTTCAATATATACATACTGGGCCTATGTAGGTCAACCAAACGCACTGAAATTGTTAATAGTATTACATACTTCAAAACCAAATTTTGGGTAGAAATTAATTTGAATTTAACTTTTTCCCCGACAGGAGTCAATGTTGATTCAGTAAGTATGGCGTTAACTCAGTAAGTATAACCGTATTTCCCCTAGTCGTTCGAACTGGATGAAAAACCCAAGTCAACCGCGTTCTTGTTGGTGTGCACGTAAAAGAACATTAGCCAGTAGTTTGAGGAAACGCCTTAAAAGAACCCCCTAACAGTCGGAATTCGATGAAGTGTATGTAAAAATGCCATTGTCCAAACAAAGTTTCTCTCATATGCCCGATTAGTGCACCCTAGTCAGTGATTCAGGACGGAGAGCCTGACAGGATGGGACGAAAATCCGTATTCCCATGTTCACGTTGGCGTGTGCGTATAAGAAACATAGGAAATTGGAATTCAACTGTTGTCGGGGCAAAAATTTTCCACTATATAGCGTATACAGAAATGAAGAACGTTAAACCCTTTTCAGATCAGTTCCGACTGTGCACTACGTCATTAAACACCATTTCATTTCAGTTTCACTGACGCTACATTTTTAGTTTTTCTACTAGATATTTTCAATGAATGCTGACCGGATGTTATTATGTTTAAAGAAAATTTGAAAATATCTTTAATTTTTACCTGTTTTTTAACATGTTTTGGTGGCGTAACTTCAGAAAAACTAAACATAACAAGTTGAATCGCAATTACGGCAAAATAAATATAAAATAATACAAACTGAAATAAATGGTCATGGAAAACCTGGAATAAAAATATAGAAAACAATATACTATTAGATCTCTTTGTGGAATATACATTAATAAAAAGAGTTCATTATTGTGGTCTAGTGATTTATACTCGGAAAAAATCGTTCATAAACAAAGACTTGAGAAAATACAGCCGATTTTTAAAAACATATATCATATTTCAGCAGGGGATTAATGATTTCAGTTTTACACCAGGAAATACATGTACATACGTATATCTAAAACACGTTAAAACATCTACAAACTAATGACGTGCAGGGTCGTCAACATTCTGGTAGATCTCGCAGTACGTCAGCAAGAGGCTCGTGCGACATCATACTTTTGTATCAATCTGTTAAAAATGGAATGAATACCCCACCGTCCCTATCCTAGAGAACTCTTCATGATCGTCCCAAAGCGATTGGATATGGCACCTATTAGACGATCTTTTTTGTCACTTGACCATAAGGCAGAACGACTAGCATGGTGCCGAACACGTCATCATTGGAACATGGCATCATGGCGAAAAATTCACTGGTCGGCCGAGACTCGCTTTCTCTTGTTCATTATTGATGGCAGAGCAAGGCCATGGCGATGCTGGACCATGGTATATTCACAGAGAAATATCGTAGACCAGGTTCTATTCGGCGGCGGCTCTATCATTATATTTGATTGTCAGTCATATGGCTCTAAGTTCCCACTAGTAATCTCAATGGCCAACGGTACAGGATTGTACGGTTCTACTTTGACAACCATCCTCTTCTCACAAGGCTAATCTTTATGGAAGAAAACTGTCAGAGGGATCCACAAGTGCAGAGCCCATGACGATTTGGATGAGACACTAGACCAGGGATGGACCAGACTAACACCGGCTCAGATCAAACGTCTCGTTCAGTCGATGAAGAGTACAAAGTGGATCCAGACTGGTGAAGGCTACACCTCGTATTGACTTTGTTCTCTGTTTTGCGGCTCTATGGACACCTTAATCTATTTGACATATCAATAAAGTTATTAATTTGATTAAAGGTCATAGTGTTTACTTCTAGGGTGTGGGTTGAGGAACCAAACAAGAGACGTAGTGGGTTGAGGAACCAAACAGGGTTTCTTTTGGTTGATTTGAATGTAAGGAGCATCACAGAAAGAAGTGATCTGAATATTCAACCGTTTGGCCTATAATCTGTATAAAAGGCGATCGCAACCGATCGCAATGGTCTAGTTTTCAAATAAATTAGGAATTAACTTTACAGGAGTCTACATTAATATATGGACGAATTTTGCCAACAGAATTCACATGACTTACAGACATAGGATAATTATTTTGTGCATGATCATTTTGGAATCGAAGTGAACACAAGTCAACATTTTTATCAACATAATTTCCTATTTTCCAGTAAGCATTTATTGTGCCTAAACCAGTTTTAGTTTTAAAAAAAATTAATTACTTCGGTGTTATCATCGTTAAGTTTAAGAACACTGTGTTTCATGTCATCAACACATTGTTCAAGGTTTAATCCGATTCAGGTGAGGATTTTGTGTATCTTCGACATAAAGGCTGAGGTCCCCATTTACTTAAGTGCGCCAGGGCACCCTCGCGTCATAATATAGGCATATTATACAGACCAATGAATAGGCCTAATTAATGAAAAATATCATTCAGCGACCACAGAGCCACTGTCGCTTTAGTTACAGTCCGCCGGATCGCACATCTCCAGTCGAAATAACTTGGTCTCCATAGTCTCCCATTCGGAATAAAGGGTGAAGGTCCAAGGCACAAGATTTGGAGTCCAGAATAAAAATAAAGAACAAGAATAAGTTTTTTACTCTCTGAAAAGGGTTGAATATTTCAATTTCCCCGGGGGTACCAGGGTGGCATCATCCGGATTCCGAATCTACACATATTGATATTGAACATATATAATCCATCAAAAAACATTAGGTGGACTATATTTCCATGTCAAGGCTTAAAATAGGATTTGGCTGCCGGACTATTTATAACAAACGCCCTTTTACCCTTAGAAGTGGGGTAAATGGACGTTAAGCTAAGCGTTGTGTAGATGGTCTCGTGAATGGGGTTACTCACAGACCCAGTCATACTCTCTCGGGGAGCCGCGGTGGCTCAGTTGGCTTGCTAACCTGGAGGTCCCGTGTTCGATCCGAGCAACGTATAGTTGTTCGGATGGGACGAAAAACCGAGGCCCCTTGTACACATTGGTGTGCACGTAAAAGAACTCTTGATAGTTGGAATTCGAAATAAGAGTAGGCCGCAGTGCCACTGTCCGAGCAAATTTTCCTCATAGCACACTGTATGGCGTATGCCCGTTTTCATTAGCTCAGTCGGGTCAGAACAGTATGACGTTAAACCCCATTTAATTTCATTTCCAAGAAATCTTTGTGAATCTCGGTGAATGTTGTCATGGAGCTAGATTTATAAAAACCTACCTGTTTTATAATGAGGGTGTAAAATGGTATCAGGTTTGTAACAATAATTAAAATCCAGAAGATATAAGGCAGACAAGGTGATGGTAGTCCATATATGCGTGATAGTTGACATAAAAAGGCCATCAGCAGCTAGGCAAAACAACAAAAAAAGAGAGAAAGGGTACATTTAAACAAATTAATATTATTCAGTCCATTAGTTCTCCTTTGATATAGAAAACATAAATTTGTGACTGGAGGTGTAATGTGGGGGTTTTATTTCTATTTTCTAACTTTAGTTGATTTCTCGGCAGTCGAGGGCCTTAGTGTTGATTGATTCTAAGCTTACTAAATGTATATATATGTAGGCTACTGGTGTAATGGTGATAAACGACAACGTCTACCACATTTCAGAAAAGAGAAAAAGTGAACTACGCTGTATAAAGTGACCATATTATAATATATAACTTACAAAAGTGAGACATCTGACAGAAACTGAGACGATGAACGAGTTTGAGGTGACGTCGTTGTGTAGACGCGCTATTAGATGGGCCAGTGTTAAAACTGACAGAAGAATACATAACACCTAAAAAAATAAACATTACATAAAACAATACACATTACACATTGAAATAGGCGAACCACACTTATTACACAGACACTACCTCTTATAGGATTCATGTGAATATTGTGAAAATATTATATTTAAAATCAACTAATCAACTGCAGAATGGCTGGGAACGAAATTGAATAAGAAGAGCAACAACTCTTACATGGACATAAATAACCACACTAGGGGTGGGTTATGCGTCCACATTCCAGCTTTACTCTGAATGACAGCTTTTCTAATTCTTGTGGCCGATCAGTGTCAGAAAAGACTACATGAAAGTTGACGTACGAGAAGAAACTACAATCGGTATGTTATATTTAAAATCACCGGTCCATAGTGCTTGGTCATCTACCATGGCAAGTGTTTAGACTTAGCTACCATGAAAAATTTTAAGGAAATATGTAAAGAATTATGGAATGAAGAGTGTTCACAGTCAATGCCTCGGGGGGCCGAAAATGTACCAAAGCCAACAGTGTGCCTGGTGTCCCCGGCCGAAATCCCAAAATAAATAGATGACAAATGAAATGAAATGAAATGGGGTTTAACGTCCTACTGTTTTGCTCCTAAACTGGGCATACGCCATACAGCGTGCTATGAGGGAAATTTTGCCCGGGCAGCGGCGCTACGACCTACTCTTATATCGAATTCCAACTGCCAAGAGATGTTTTACGTACACGCCAATTTGTACACGGGCCCTCGGTTTTTCGTCCCATCCGAACGACTAGACTGCTGTCCTTGTCAGGCCCTCCGTCCTGCATCACTGACAAGGGGAAACCACGCCGGAAAATCTGGATGAACTTTCTCGGCCAATGCAGGGATCGAACACTCGACCTCCAGGCTAGCGAGCCAGCGTCTTACCCACTTAGCCACGTGATCCCCCATAAATAGATTACACATACTAAACGGGTATTATGCAAGAGCTAAATCTGTGTATTGTGGGTCTTTCTTCAGGCCTTAAATGTTTTTAAACTATTAATTAGATATTTATTAATATGCCAAGACCATAATCAACCCTCGATGCCATCTGATGGGTCCGATTTGAATCTGATCTGCAGTACAATGGCCGTTGATGATTAACCGTATACATGGATAACCGAGACTTTGTTTATTATCCTAACCCCAATTAAAAGCAGTGTTAGTCAAAGTATTGATATAATGAATCTATACTCGGAGTTTCATCTTTCTCACCTAATTAGAACCAAGGTTATCGTGTTCCAAAGTCTCAACCAATCAGATTGCTTATATCTTATATCTGCTTCACCTTAGTGGAAAATGCGCATGATCGAACACTGTCAAGACATTCACCTAATAAACACTTACACCAAGTTTAAACATTCTACCTCAATTAGAAGGAGAGTTATTGTGCTCCAAAGTCTCGACCATTCAAATTGCTCATCGCTCTGCTTACCGAAAAGGCTCATTATCGAACTTAGTGAAGGTATGGATGTAATGAAACTATACACTAAGTTTCATCACTCTCACTTTATAAAAACTAGAAGTATCAACCAATCAAATTGCTTATCTCTGCTTACCCTAAGCAGAAAATGCCCATCTTCGAATTCCATCAATGCATTCACATATTAAACACCTACACCAAGTTTAAACATTCTATCACAATTAGAAGGAGAGTCATTGTATTCCAAAATGTGTGACAGACAGACAGATCCATTTTAATAGTCCCCTGTTTTCTTCGAAAGGCGGGAGGACAAAAAAACAATGGGTACCATCCACTCTGTGAAAAGAATAACATGCCAATCCGTTAAGAACTACAACCCGTGTCGAGTGTTCACATACTATTAACTCGCAAAGACAGACAGCTCTAATTAGTCTTGGGAATTAACTCATTGATATTGAAGTAATTGAAGAATTCTCTTAGTTTGGGATACTAATAAGGTAGTATGTGGTTGTATTTTGTAGAATTGGGAGGTATTTGGCCTTGAGGTAACGATACAGTAGATAGACATTCCAATTTACCGTAATTTTTTACTACGAATTAATTCAGTATTTGTATTAATCAAGTAATCTTCCAGTTTTTCACAATAATGAAGTAGTATTTGATAGTACTGGGTGGTATTTGAAGGGTACACAGAAGTGGACGACGGCGTAATACGTTAATGTTATTAACCTGGACGTATAAAAAAAATGGACTGTAAAGACATTATGACATACTTTATACTGATTAGAAAAAAAAGGCACATGAATAGTTTTAAGGTTATCTTAACTATCCTAAACATCTTATCAATACGTGATAATTTGTATATCTAAACGCTTAAAATTTATCTTAAAATTTCCATGCACATAAATGTTTAATTGGCGCATTTAGGAAAAGGTTGAATTGAGGGACGCTGTAATTCTACAATTTATAAGAAATCTTACGACGGATACTTTCATGAGAATATATGCTTTAGCTTTAGTCGCCAATATTAAATACAGATTTCAAATTAAAACCAAATATAATATGATTGAAACTAAACACAATTACCGTTTTCGTTGTGCTGAGTTTACCAAGTGGTATAGGTGCTGGTTTTGGTATAGTACGTAGATATATAATAAATACTGGTAATGTTAACCACAGAAAAGCGCACGGAATCAGATCCAATACTACTGTCTGAAAACAATCGCTAAACTCTGGAAAAGTATTTTCTAGCAGCAAAGTCGTGTTCTGAAAATAAAAAAAAAAAAAACCAAACAAGAAAAATAAAAGAACAATTAAAATTGAAATTCCCATTGGACTATCAAGAAGGTGTGTGGAGTTCCTGCTGTACATATTACGAGGGCGTTTATTCATCTTCGAACCACCCGAAGGCTCGGAATTCTGGACTTTTCAAGACCTTCTCCGGGGTGCAAATCCGGAACGCTGAATATGGATAGTGTTCGTTTTCTATTGACTCCAATGTTTTACACCGAAATCTGAAACAAATCTGTAAAACTGGGTAACAACTGAAGCTTTTATCCGGGGCACAACCCAAGGCCACAATGCTCCAAACCAAATTTGAGAAAACAATGTTAAAAACTATGGCCCTATTGCGTTCACAATGTCTTCCGGAAAAGGGGCAAAAATCTGGTATAGAAGTTCGCGAAACACTGCGTTCACAAAGTGTTCGACAAGGGGAGGGTATCCCAAGAACAGAAGTATGCGTAGCGATGAATATTGTCCTCTGATAATCCCAATGATTCACACGAAATTTGAAAATAATAGGCTAAACACTGTAGTCCAATATTGCTTTCTCGAGGTTTTAGGCAAAGGGCTTGGGTGCGGTTAATCCGGAACGGGAGATCGCAGGATGTACATTATCGATAGGGTTGGTCTCTGACGGACATACGCACTAACATAGAACGATAAAAGGTTTCATGCTCTCATGTTCCCAATTCAACACACCAGAGAGTCCAAAACTTTTAAGTTCATCGGGATGACTGATCGACAATTGACCACTCGAGATACTGCCAGTGTTGTGGGCATCTCTCATGAGAGGTTGGGCACATTATCGCAAACGAGTTAGGAATGACAACAGTTTCTGCAAGATGGGTGCCAATGCTGTTGACTGCGGAGACTGCGGATCAGAAACATGCCAGATTCCTGACATCTAGTGACAATCTGCGCCGTTTTGGTCAGACTTGTAGCCATGGATGAGACCAGTTTCTATTCTAAAAATGAAAAAAAGAGACTAGGCGGTTGTCATGACGACGTCATGTTAGCTGTGAACGACTTTTTTAGGGTGACTGAAGAAAATCTTTCTTGACCGGCATTCATGCCCTACAACATTGTTGGCAAAAGTATTTACACTTCGAAGAGGACTATGTAAAAAAATAAATGGAAACCCATCGACTTTGTACAGGTCTTTCACAGATAGGCTTAGAACTTTTCAGCCAGTCCTCATATCCTCAAATATGACAATTATGTACTCGTATGTAAAAATAAGTGAAATGATGTGACATGACATGACATGAAATATGCGTAGCTTTAAACGTTTCTTATCTTATTTTTACTGCATTTAAAATTAGTATTCATTAAAGATACATTATGTAAGACTTAGCCAAATAGCTGGCCATTCTTTCAGTAATAGTTCAAAAATATATAATTGAAAGTGAATATTGAAAATAATTTAATTCAAATTACTTATTTATTCTGGGCGAAGTTATCGTATCAACTGTACTTAACAAGTTTCGATTATCCATTTTATCGGGTGTTCTAATCCGGTTACATCACGGTCATCCGATGGTCTAGAGGGTTGATTTTTATAGGCATGTCCCCGGTTGTACGTGACAAGGAGTAGGGTCGCCTGTCCATCCTCGTGGGTTTTCTCCGGGTCCTCCGGTTTCCTCCCACTGCTAAAGACCCCTATGCGCAAGCGAATTATTGAAATAAAGTTAAACCATATGTTAGTCCCGAAATGACCTAGTTTGTGTCGAGTGGACGTTAAACCCCATTTCTCTCTCTCTCTTTTTATAGGCATGTCATGTGCATAAATGTCTAAATAATAGTTTATATAACATTTGAAACAAAAATAAAGACCAGAAATAGGCAGATTTAGCTCTTACATAATACATCTTTAATGATCTCGGTTTGTAGCAAACCTGATTTAGTCTATTTAATGTAATTAACATACAGTGACGTTAAGTAATTATATACATATATAAGCATTTATAATAATTTTCACGGTATAATCTTCATTTTAATTTATTAACCATCGTACGGAAAATCACATTTTGTAAATTTTGATGTATTGCATACCATATTTATATATTTTCCATTATTTATAAGATCTATAAAGTCTATAAATATTCCTAATACTTTAATCAGATTGTGAGAATTTTCATAAATGTATAAATGTAAGTTTTGACAAGCTACATGTAAGTTATATTATCTGGTAATTGGATTTGCTTGAAGCCGGTTGGTATTACCGATTGCCGGGTGTAAGTGAGACCATTATGTCTCTGTAGCGTAGTTTCAATGCCCGGTACCGGTAAAATCACCCACGAGTACTATATCTAGAAAGAATGCGAAGAAAGCTATGGCGTATATCAGGTTCACAAGATATTCGGGAAAAGGGGCATAACCCCGGAACGAAAAGTCGCGGAACGTGATATTTAACACCAAATTTGAAAAGAATACGTCAAAAACTCTAGCCCCTGACGTCTGTACTCACTTATATCTTTCCCATGGGCTATTTCTATTTTATTTTAGTTACGTAATCCTTTATCCCCTGTATTTATGGTGTAGTAGTTATATCCTATTTTTCTTCAGTGATTACTCCGCTCTTTTTTTAATTATCACAACTGTAGCAGTTATAGCCGATAGTTTCTTGTAAGATTACTCCATCGTGCCAACATTATTTAAGAATAAACCGTTAGACTGCAATCCACGGTCGAGGTAATCCTAGTATGCCTGGGTGATACAACGTCAAATATGTTATTCGTATGAATGAATGAATGAAATGGGGCTGAACGTCCTACTTTTTCGCACCAACCGGGATAACGAAGAAGATCATACGCCATGCAGTGTACTATGAAATTTATCCCGGCCATCAATTGAATTCCAACTGTTCCAACTGCCAAGGGTTGTTTTACGTGCACAAGGGATTTTTCTCCCCCTTGCCATCTGAGCAACTAGCTCATGTTCTTTGCCAGGCCCTCCGTCCTGCACCACCAAGAGAAACCGCGCTGAAAAAATTCCTGCAGTGGGTTAGTGCCTTTTTCATATTCATTTTAGCAATGTTTATTCATAGAAAGACAAATACAAATACACGGACATATATCATAGAATCATTATTTTATAATTAACGACTGGGCTATATCCCCATCCAAATAGGGCTAGTTAAATAGCCCGGGTATTTTGTTGGCCTGAAGCAGATACGGTCACTATGGTGAACTTGCTGATTGTCAACTTCAGCACCAAACCGGTATATGGCATGCAGTGTGCTAAGGGGAAATTTTGCAATTATTTCGATTACCACTAACCAGCAGGCTCTTTGAGTCACTTTGACATGTTGCCAATGTGAAATAACCTTTCTTACGATCACTTATATCAATTTGGACTGTGCACCAACCAGACCATTTATGGACAATTCTTTGGAAACTTTTAGTTATATTTAGTGCAGGTGCAGGGGTCTTAGCTGTTGGTTTATAAATATTAAAGGTTGAGGAGGAGCACACATACACCAAGAATCAAATACAAGACCATTAGCCTCTGGTAACTAACAAGAACCTGAACATAACTCTCACCCTGTAGAGCACTGGAGGATCATCCACCCTATCGTTGATTAAAACGTACACCCCACACCCTTTGGTTGTTCCCCAAATAGCTTTCTGTTCGGAAATTGAACCAATCAAGACGCGACTGCATCCACCGCTTGGCTATGATTACTATTTTAATGTAGTGTCGGATTTAATCAAAAATGCCCCTATTCCCCTACCCCACCTTGTCCAGTCCCTTTCCGTGTTACAATATACAAACCAACACTTGGTCTCGTATCTTTGTGGATTTGGCATGACGTTATACCCTGAAAAAATGTTTCCCCCCCCACCCCGAAATTTTTTTTTGCCGACCATAGCTCTAAAATACCTACTCTGTGCCGGGTGTGCCCCCGCTAAAAACTTCACTGTCACTCCTACGGGTCTGGACCGGAATATTGCACGACTCTTGGTAGAATTGTCACAATTCTTCTTTTGCTCAACGCTTATGCTTATAAAGCAATATAGATTAAATAAAGAAGTTAAATTATCTTAATTTAGATATTACACGAATAGCAGTTAGACGACATTAACAAATTTACAATTTTGAATCTAATCTGTCGCCATACAATATCAACACCTAATGACTTTACAGAAGGTTGACACGGTGAATAGCCACCTCAAAACAACAATAATTGCTATGAGAGATATAGTCTGGAGGCGTGTAACGATGGATAGCCTATAAATCGTCTGCTATTTCATATATCATCTTCTTTACCTTGATATAAGCGGCCCATGCATTCGGATTTCTTTGATGGATCGAGTTGACAGAGAGAGAGAGAGAAATGGGGTTTAACGTCCACTCAACACAAACTAGGTCATTTCGGGACTAACATATGGTTAATTTTATTTCATTAATTCGCTTGCGCGTAGGGGTCTTTAGCAGTGGGGGGAAACCGGAGGACCCGGAGAAAACCCACGAGGTTGGACAGGCGACCCTACTCCTTGTCACGTACAACCGGGGATTCGAAACCACGCCAGTTGACTCAATGACAGACTTTATGATACAGCGCGCGCACGCTAACCATTCAGCCATCCAACCCCCCCCCCCCCTCGAGTTGACAGAGAAGCATTTTGATTTTCAAGTATTTTCAATAACTATAAGCGTATAGTTTTAAACAATCGCTGAATATTCATTTATTTTGACACGTACCTACATTGCAGTGATTCGTCTTATAATATAAATTTGTATGTTGTCTCCGAAAAATATTAAAACAATATCAGTTCCTATCCAATGCAAATTTTGTTTTCTTAGGTACACTTCAAAATCCGCTATTTAGTACCAACCAAATTCCATTTATACATAAACAGATTAGTTCAATAATAGCATCTTTACTGTACCAGAAGAAAATGGGCCTAGTAATTGGGTGTTTCAAAACATACATTTCTTTATATGGTTCCTTCATGAGTAATTAAGCCACAGTAGATTGGTCATGGGCGTGTGTGTATAGGTGGGGGGTGGGGGCACCGATTTCTGAATGGGATATAGCCCTGGTTACTGCTAATATTGTTTTATTAATTAGAAATATATTCATATCATTGATATAGAACCAGCAAAAACATAGTTAAAGAAAAAGACCAGGAACAAAATGAAGCTCACAATTACCTGTCCAGTCTAGTCAGTACTTTGTTAAATTTTGTTTTAATTCAACCAGAATAATCTGTACAAGGCAGCCTGCCAAAATCCGGGGTGGACCTTTTATATATACACTAGCTTGCAGCATGTTAACGATTCGCTGGCAGTTGGAAATCGAAATAAGCATAGGCCGTATCGCCGCTGTCAGGGCAAAATTTACTTCCTACTCCTAGCACACCGCTTTGCACGGCGTATTTTCATTTCAATCCGCAATCTATAATAATAATAATAATGGTAATAATAATAATAATAGCTGTACCAAATCCAGCATAATAATTGTTAGTAGGAAATTTTTGGTACCAAAAAGTAGCATTATTATGGTAAATATTGTTTTATTAATCAGCCTAGCCCTAAGTTATTTTTATTTTATAAGCCAAATCCGCGTTCAATGTCTTTATATTTTTAACACTCGGTCTACCGAAGAACTCCGAATGCACGAGCCGCTTATATCAAGGTGAAGTGGATGTGCTAGATAGTGTTCTCTCATCGTTTCAGCTTTTAAAGTTAAATTCACTTGCTTTATTGACGATAATTGATAACAATATCAATGAATAGGATGATTTTGATCTCTTTAACTCTTACCCAAATTGGTGAACCACCACAGAATAGGTCAAAGGAAGACATTTTCATCGATTCATTTGTCTCTGTTTCGTGGCGTGTCGATCGAAGTACGTCTATTCTATTCTATGCCATACAGTTGAGCCAAAACTCGTTATATGTCACAAGCTTTATCTATTTTTAACGATTACAACAGGTTGGACCGGAAAATGGAGTCTCGAATATCAAGACAATTAATGTATAAGCCCACATGGAAATGTGGTCGTATTGCCGTCGCCTCCGTCCGTCCGTCGTCCACATTTCTTTGTGAGCATTCTACAGACTACATTAAAAATTTTGTCATCTGATTGTTTTGGAATTGATATATGTTGTTTACATTAGTGAGATGAAGAATATTATTTAATTTCAATAATTTCCGTTTATTTCTACTGGAATTATGGCCCTTTTTTCACTTTGTTGAACCTTGTGAATGCTCTGACAAAAGTGATCACCCGTTCTGTATGGAATTTATATAATCATTTAAATTATTTAAACGAAGAAACCTATTGAACTTCAGCAATTTCCGTAATTACGTCTAGAGTTATGGCCCTTGTTTCACTGTGTTGAACCTTGTGAACGCTCTAACAACAAAAGTTATTATCCGATCTGTATGGAATTTTTATGCATCATTTAAATTAGTGAAAAGAAGAACCTGTTGAATTTCAGTAATTTCCATTAATTACGTCTAGAGTTATGGTCCTTGTTTCACTTTGTTGAACCTTGTGAACGCTCTAACGACAAAAGTGATCACCCGTTCTGTATGGAATTTATATAATCATTTAAATTATTTAAACGAATAAGCCTATTGAACTTCAGCAATTTCCGTAATTACGTCTAGAGTTATGGCCCTTGTTTCACATTGGTGTACCTTGTGAATGCTCTAACGACAAAAATTATCATTCGATCTGTATGAAATTTATACAGATCATTTAAATTAGTGACACGAAGACTCCTATTGAATTTCAGCAATTTCAAAAAATTTCTTGTATAGTTATGGCCCTTGTTGAACCATGTTGAACCTTGTAAATGCCCGAATGATGAAAGTTATCATCCGATCTTTATGGAATTTATATGCATCATTTAAATTAGTGGAAAGAAGTAGCCTATTGAATTCAGCAATTTCTGTCAATTACTTCTAAGATTATGGCCCTTGTTTTATTTGTTGAAATTGTGAACGTTCAAATGTCAAAAGTTATAATCCGATCTGTATGAACTTTATACGCATTGTTTGAATTAGTAAAACAAAAAAGCCGCTCGAATTTCAACAATTTTTGTAAATTACTTCCCGAGTTAAGGCCCTTGTTTCAGTTTGTAGAACCTTGTAAACCCTTAAACGACGAAAATTATAATCTGATCTGTGTGAAATTGTCTTGTAAATAAATGTCCCCAATTATCTACAAAAGATGTGCAACAACCATTGTCGACCTGCGGACGATTTAGCTGCTGTGGGCGTATGTTTCTTTGTCCGGCATCCTATCTCTTTTGTTGCCGAATACTTATTTTAAGCAGAAAATTACAAGCACTAAATTCTATGCATGTCAAATTCTAAATTATATGCCCTTTGATGAATGCTAATCTAAATGATACGCCTACATTGGTGCATTATTAGAGAATGCTGAGATTTATAGCATAAAATATACCACCCTTAAAGGAGCTAAATCGCGATTCTTTGGCACATAGAAATGGACACAAATGTGTCGCAACGCATATAGTAATGTAATAAGAATATATATAAACAAATTGACATTAAATCGTTTCTGTTTTTACTGTAATTTCTAATCAGTTATGTTGGCCGAAATACGCGAAGAGTGCAAATTGAATGCAGTCTTTAGCGTCTTGTTATTCCAGTCTACCCAGGAAGTCTTCCTCGTAGACATACCAATAGTTCTACAAGGAAATAATCTATAAAAAGTTAAGAACGAGATAATAATAATAAAAAACCGGAATTATCGTGAAACAGACTTATATATCTTTCATGCGCATAATTAGAATGACTTGGCTTTTGTAACGTCTAAAAATAGAAATCCAAAATATAATTTAATTAACAAGAAAAACCGAATGTATTTGATTTTTATAAATATTTATTAAAATAACAAGCATGTGAAAGAAAAATCACAACTATTTGACTAAGAAGCAAGACCTTTTATAATGAAATCAATGGCGCAAACGTCATCGTGGGGTTGTCCAATGGCGGAAGCGACGTCACTGATTTGATGACGTTATCAGTCTATGTTCTATGGTCTTCCCTTGTGGGCAATGTTTAGCCTCGTTCATCCAGTCACTTTATTACAAATGGCGCTCGAAAGCATTCTAGCACGCGATCTGACCAATAAGTCGTGTTTGCAATGCCGAAGACTGTGGATGATACTGAGTTAAAGACTTGTCAACTTTAAGTCCAATGTTTCTGTATTCCGATAAAATGAATAAAACGGCTAAAAAGGTAATTGCCGCACTGCTTTTGTGTTTCGGAAAGGAAATAATAAAACGATGTCGGGTAATTTTAATCATAATGTCATGTTGTTTCTGATTTAATACCATACACTATATTATGATTTTCATTACACTAACACACGCCACGCCAGAAATAATTACATATCTTCGGTAAAGAGACCTGAAATTGATGTCTAGCATTTTCGAAAATAGTAGGATTTAATAGATTTGGGGATTTTACACCCGACTAGTGTTATCAAAATCTTTTGATAAATGCAAATTCACAAGTTATCAAAGTGAGTATACAATATTACAATTAAGAGTCATTTTTGTGTCCATATTAAAGTCGCTCATCGTCATTTGTATTTTCCCGACAATATCTATTTATTCACGGTTGAATCCACGATAAAATGTACTCAAATCTGAATTTTAGAATTTCAATAATTCGGTACATGTTGGTCTGACGCCCATTTTGTTTTTAGGTCATATTATGAAACCGCTCGCTTATGGTTTAATTAGAATGTGATTTAATGCCCCCCCCCCCATACCAGAAAACAGGGGACTATTAAAAAGGGTTCATCAGTCCATCAGTAAAACTTTTGGAACACAATAACTCTGCTTCTGCATTAAGGGCAAGGTAAAGTGACAAAAAATATCACAACATCTGAAAAGGTGGTGAGTGAGGGGGGGGGGCTAAAAAAAGATAAAAAGATTCACAGCAGCTTTAGTGCGTGTATTTTGGTATCTAAACGTGCTTGAGATGATACTAAACAATAAATAATAGATGAAAATAAAAAGAAAATGACTTTATGGAAAATATGAAGCAAATATACCATTCAGCACTGTACAGCTACAGGGTAAACAACACAACCTGGGAAATTACAAAGTCTCACACAGATGTCTGAATATATACACTACAGTCATAAAGATTTCAAATTTTGAAAATTATCTTTAGCATTTAAGTCCATATAATCCCTTTTTTTCTCTCAAATATCCTCCATTTTTTTTCAAGCGACTACTTATAGACTTTTTATGCGGTGTACCGTTATAAACATCATTTTGGGTTAAATATTTCGGGTCTATATGGAAAATAGTAAATTTCCTTGAAACTGCTTTTGTGTTGAGCAAATTTTTGCATTGAATACACGTTGTTAACATTTTTATGACTTCTTAATTCACCCATCGAAACTTTTGCTATCTTGGAGGTCGGGTGTTCGATCCCTGCATTGGCCGAGAAAGTTCATCCAGATTTTCCGGCGTGGTTCACCCTTGTCAAAGATGCAGGACCAGAGTTCACACTGTCTTTCAATTTTTTTTCCGCCAAAATGGATGATGATTTTTATATAAAAAAATGTTCATATTTTTTTTCCGCCAACTGGAATAATTTATCTGCCAAAAATGTGTGATAAAAAAGACAACATCTAACGATTTTATGTCTCAGCTAGGCTTATTAATATTCTAAAACAATTACCGATATATACAATACAATATACAGCAACTTTAGAAATCTGTCTGTACATAATACATTAGCACAGTTTGGATTTAATGAGGTCCTTTTTGGTGTCTTTAGTCTATTTGAATACCGTGCTGCACAATATATTTTCAGTAATTACACGTCAGATCTCATTCAAGGATTGCCAATTTTCTATAAATTTATGTGTTGCGTGTACAATAGGCTGATAGTTATTTTCAGGTACCCATAGGCGTACGAGCCAGGGGGGGGGGGGGGCAGCTGCCCCCCTAACTTTCGGGCAAGCTGACTTTTCGGGCAGACGGTAAAGTGAAAAAAAATTTTTTATTTCATCTACTTGGCAAAATAAAGTGCCCAAAATCTAATAAAACACTAATTTTACGGGCTGGAATAGTAGGAAAACGCGTTTGCGGCTGTCAAATATTCCAAAATTTTCTTTAGGGGGTGGGGGGGGTCCATACAAGGTCAGTTCCGCTTCTCACCTCTCGAAGAAAACCGGCGCCGCTGTCTGTAAACCCGAAATTTTTTCGGGCATTTTTATACGTCCACATTTTGAATGTGGACGCATATTGCCGTCGCCCCTGTCTGTGTGGGGGTGTGTGTGGGTGTGTGTGGGTGAGTATGGGTGTGTTTGTTTGTGTGTCATCTCTCCCCCCCCCTCTCTCTCTCTCTCTCTCTCGTCCCTATATTAGATCCACATGACAATATAGAACAATAGTATTTTGACGTATGTGTAATGGGGTTTAACGTCCACTCGAAACAAACCAGGTCAATTCTGGACTAACATATGATACAATTTGATTTAAATAATTCAACCACAGAAACCCCACCGACACTTCTACCTGTCATGTACAAGCGGGTAATCGAAACCACACCACTTGACTCAATGAAAGGCTTGATGATTTCACGCGCACACGTTTGACCACTAGACCACCCAACCCCCAACGTACAAATAATAGTAGATGTCAATGACAGATCACCATTACTTCCCGGTCTACTGACACTTTATGATTAGATCGGTCTGGAATTGTAGAGAATATGGAATACACTTACCGTAGCTTGTAGACATCGTAGCCATTATTATCAACATGTGAATTAAAAACATCATTTTCAAACCTATGTTTGTTAACTCCATTTAATTTGGTTTATGCTGACATCATGTGACTAGTGA